AATTTAAATAGAAATTTTTAATACTAAAAAAAGATATTTTTTAGCATATATAATTTCAAAAAAATATTATAATAGAAAAAATTAAGAGGCGGGTGGGTGAAGGAGAGGCTAGAGCCACCCTTACCCCCAGTAGTTTCGCCGATGGCTATAGCCTATACCTATACGTGTATTTACAATTCTTAGCGAAGTTACATAAAATCTATGATACTATTTCTCTTACAAAATGGATTTTTTTTTTTTTTTTTTTTCTATTCAATCTTTCAAGTTTTTTAAAATTATTATACATTTGTTGTAAATTCATAAATTAGAGACAACTCCAATGATAATCCAATCAAATTACTTAGAGAATTTCAATGAAAAAATTAAGCTATAATAAGTATTCGGCACAAATACTTGATAATCATTATCTGAAAAGCAACAAATATTAAGAAGTGCAAAAGTGGTGATGTTGAATTAATGATTCTTAATCATTCTAAAAGTATAAATTGAATACTTTAGGATTTGATTATAAATCTGAAGAGTTATTCACACCTCGCGTGATCACATCACGTGTGATTAAATGACAAAAATAATGATTTTTGTAAATATATAGGATATATTTTGTCAACAACATTAATAAAAGACAAAAGTGATAATAAATTATATATGGTGAATAATTTTTACAATTTTTCTAAATATATACAAATATATTGAATCTAGAATAAATAAATAAAAATCTTAATAAATGTATAATATTTTTTGCAAATATATTTATTTGTTAGATGAAATAATCATAATATCTGCCTCGTTGTCTTATACACAGTGTGTATATATAAGATAACCTTACCCTAGGCAACCATGGAAGCCAAGGATCCTCTCCTTGTTTCAATATATGCATTCTACTCTAATATACTTTTTTAAACTATATTTGATCGGATATTATTCTTTGATTTTAATTTAAATTAAAATTTTTGTTTAAGTATTAGTTTTTATATTATATTTTGTATAAAAAGTGTCTCTTCTGTTCACTTTATATTAAAACTATCAATGTTTATTTATTTATATTTTTGTTTGTCAAATTCAAATATTTCTTTTTTTTAGTAATTAATGTCCACTATTTCTATTCCGTTTGTCCCACATAATTTGTTATTTTTTTTGAAAATATATCACTTGAATCACATTTTAAATTTTTTGATTTATATATTTATTTAATTAAATTATTTAGTCATTATAATCTTAATTATCTACGTAAATTGAGACAAATAAGATGAGACAGAATGAGTAATATTTTTACATACAAAAAATAAATGTAAACTTTTAGAAGTGAAAAAAAAAAGTAATATATTTTTTAATTAAATATTATACAAATTAAATAATATTAGTTTTGATTTGAGATCAAAATCAAACAAACTAGTCATAGCATATATAAACATTACACATTTTTGTTGATTAAAGAATTACAGCTTTTGGTTAATCGATCATAGTATTCGTCAAAACTTTTGTCAAACTTAACATTAATGACATTTATATTAACAAATTATCAGTAGCACAGAATTATACGCTAAGGCAGGTTTTACTAATATCCTCCCAATGTAATAGCTTGACAAAGTAGAATGCCGGCGAACTCGGTCGGGTTTCGAATGAATTTTTAAACAGATTAAATGGTTCAACTTGAAATCCATCTCTTTATTTGAAAGGATTAGAAGACCCGGTCTGAACCCGACTGTTCAAACCAGACCAATTAAAAAATGACTCGATAACCCGTTTAATAGGCTACATAACTAACACAAACTCGATCTGTTCAAACACAACCTCAAATCGATCCATTTTTTTATTTAAAAATTTTTCAAAATTAAAATTTCACAAATTAAACAATAATAATAATAATAATAATAATAATAATATAATCAATCAAAAAACTAAAAAGTCAATAAAAAATAGAGGATTGGATGTTGATAGTAAAAAATCAGCACCCATGATTGTGCAAAAATAATTATGTTAAAATTCATTGTAGGCTGATCTAGAAAATTGCATCTTTTTAACCATAAAAATAAAAGTATAGGTCCTCAATAAACTCAAATCAAAACAACTTAATCTGATGAATATAATCAAATTCAAATAAAAACAACTTAATCTGATGAATATAATCAAATTTTAATTTAAATTAATTAAATCTAATATAAACTAATCAAAATAATAAATGAAACCTAAATTTAAAATATCACAACAAAATTCGTATAAAACTGTATACATAATCGAGTCCCAGTTTTTTACCATTGTCATTATTTGCCAGATCTACTTCTCACTAGTGTTCCCATTGTTTGAGCACTGTCAACAAGATGTACCTAATAAAAATCAGCACTGTAATTCATGGATGAGTTGCAGACTTGCAGTGATGAAAATGTGTTGGCACTGGATCATGTTGGTTAGCCTAATCGTTAATCGTTTTTAAAAAGTATTTAGCATGGTTTCATGGCCATTCAATCAATTTTTGACAAGATGAATAATTAAAATAAAAGTACATTGTAGTAATTACGATATTGGTATTGTATACAAATACAACCCTAGATTTGAAAAGAAGAATAAAAAATCCCCCAATCTTTTGCAGTGATTATTATTTCTCGATTCGACGGAGGGAGACGAAGGTTGCCTTGTTTATCACGTTTCCTCTCTTTCTCTCTCTATCATTCTTTCTGCTTCCTATTTTTATTATCATTATTATTATTATTATTTTGATTTCATTTCTTTTTTGTGGTTCGCATTTTTAGGGTTTGTCGTAAACCTGTCGTTGGTGGTTTGATTTTTTTGAGGTAGAATTCCTCTCTCCCTGGTGTTCCTATTTTTCCGGCATTTTTCTGCCTTTTTTCATTTGGATTCTCATTCAATCTCTCTTCTTGTTATTATTATTATTTTTTAAAAAAAAAAAGTGTTGTTGTTATTAAAAAGATTTCTCCTTTTTCTGTTTATTTTGTTTTTTGTCCTGATGGTATTTAATTGTTTGAATGTATTGATTGACCCATCTCCCAGTCCCAGGCTGCGAGTAGATTAATCATTCCCTGACCTTTCTGCCGTCTGCTTTTTGCTGATCATCCTGCAAAGATAATCAGGTCCGTATCTTTTTGCCCTACTGTTTTCCATTACCTTCCCTCCCTGTTCGTTTCAACCCACAGTTCTCGAGGGATTTAATCTGCATTTACCCACCAGTATTTACAAAAATAATCAAAATCCAGGCATTTTCTTGATTCATCTTTACCTGCGATATTCCAATTCTTGGATAAACATGTTGAAAAATCGAGTCTTTATTGCCTCCACCCCTCATTCTGTGTTTTTATTCTTTTACTTTTGGTGTATATTTAGAGGGGAAAAAGAAAACAAAGAAAAAGAAGAAGAATTGCAAAGCGCTGCTCCTCGTATTTGATTCAATATTCATTCGCATTTGGCTGTTGATGCATTCACGTGCGTTTGTTTGTAATTTCTTAAACCACAGTGTTCTTATTTATTATTAAGTCTTTTTCACATTTTTCTGTCGGCTGATTATGGAGAGCATGGCTTTGTCGGTTGCTCCTGTTAGATATTTACATAGATTGGCTTCTATATATATATGTATGTATGTATACATGGGGTCGTAGTCAGTTGTTTCTTCTTTCGTGGATGCTATTTTAAGTCACTGTATCATTCTTTTCTGGTACTTTGTTTTTACTATTGTATCACAAGCATTGCTTATGGCAATTAATTAATATCAAGATGCGTTTTTGTTTTTAATTTTCTGAATTTCTCAAATGTCTCTGTCGACTGTGGAGAGTCCATGCATGTTTGTTTGTAAGCAACAATATCTATATTTATATAAATATATATAGTGAGGAATCAGGGAAATCAATAGTAGCTTTGAGAAGATGATTCAATGGGCTTTTCTCAAAGTGGTTTGAAAATACATAGTTGCTATACATTTTTGTATATTTCAAAACTAATTTACCTTTTCAGGCTTCCTTCATCATTTTTTTTTTAATAGACAAAGTTGATGTTTTTTTTTTTTTTTTTTTTTCATACTATAGATCTGTCTATAGGGTACTAAACCAAGCTATAGAGTTTAAGATGCAAGACATTTGATACAAAAAATAAATATTTGGAATGATGACTGAGATGATGCTTCCATGGGAAAGATTTGTTTTTAGATATGTTTTGGAATGTTCTTGAATTCTATAGTGTTGTTGGGAATTGTAAAAAATTGAAAATTGGTAGGCATTTTGCATGATATAAATAAACTTTGGATGTGAAAGGTTTTTAATGTAGTATTTTAAATGAAGAATAGGTAATTGATGTAATATTTTTGTGGCAAATGTATTGTAGATGAATAGTAAAGAAATTTATTTGAAAATATATGAAAATAGAGATACCGCGAATCTGAAATACTTAAAAGTATGGATGATTCGATATATGTTCGAATATGTTGCATTAATTCTAGCATTTTTATAAAGTTGTTAGAAGGTTTGGGTTATGGTTGTAGGATTATGTCCAATTTGAAACTTTCCAGAACCGATGTGGTCACTTTGATGCTGTTTTGATTGACATGAATGATGTCAAAATAAAGTCGATCACGATGCTTTATTTCTTCTTCCTATTGACTTTCTTTTATTATATATATATAATATATATTCGTCATTGTTTGATTAATTGTGCTATAATGTGAAAATGGTTAGTATTTCTTTTGAATGAAGCCGCCGTTTGCTGGAAGAAAATGCCAAGAAGATTACGCAACCGCTGCATCGTAGCTTAGTCTATCTTAAATGTATTGCATCACCTCAACCGTTACGAGTACCCAATGGAGCTTTTGAAATTGCTTACCTTTAGATTGGTAAATTTGACACTGGAGTATGTCATTTTCTTTGGTTTGCCAGCTTTAACATATGATATTCTTTATTTCGATGACTTTTTCATTGGCAAATTTTATTTCCCCTATATAAAAGGCAATGGCCTTGGCATCCATTTCACTATCTTAGAAAACTGCATCAAGTAGAGGAATTCCCATGCTCGATAGGAGCGACATTGTAGTGATAAAACCATATAGTTAGATTAACTTCATTATGCAGTCGTGTAGTCAAATCACTTTGTTGTTGCTCCTCATGGTGATGCTTTTGTTTTTGCGATAGACATATGCCATTTCTTTTGATTACTTTCATTTCCTTTTAATTTCAGGAGAACAAAGCAGTCAGGCCAGACTAATTGCAACCTGTGTGAATCTCGTTGACGTTTTGATTGATAGCTGGTGTGTAATGTATCTATTTCAAAATTTTGTGCTTCAATTTTTTTGAAAACTTTTCGTGTATGCACCACGTCTTGATAGATGTTTTTTTCTTGTGTGTTTATATTAGATCATTTGAAGCTTCGACTTGATGGCATCCATTATTAAAAAGACATTGTAAAGCAGTGGTGCTGGATCTTTGGTACACATTTAAAGCCCTGCATTTTTTGGTAATGCATGGTTAAAAGTCGTATGAATTCCATGGACTTGAAGTCGGCTAAAGGATCCCCAGTAATTGCCGATACTGCTCCAATAAGCAACTCTCGAATGAGGATCCACTCTAGTTTCTTGCCTTGCTTACAAACCGGTACATCAATGTCTACCAGTGTTTTCATGGTTCCTCCGAGGAAAAAGACAGCCAAAACCGACGATGCTAGCACCACTGGCTGGCTCGACGCCATGCGCTCTTCCTCCCCCCCTCGTAGGAATCCTACGAGCGATACCAATAGCCCTAATGCTGCTGTTTCAGACCATTCAGAAATGGATTACGATACCTGGATGGTATGTGATGATGTTGTCTTGCTTTCCTTGTAAACATCCTTGTTTAGTACTTATATTGCTGTTTTTATCTTTTCTGTTTGTTCTTGCAGGCTAAATATCCTTCAGCCCTCGACTGCTTCCAATTGATAACCAATAATGCAAGGAATTCTCAGGTTATCATGTTCTTGGACTATGATGGAACGCTTTCACCCATTGTGGACGACCCTGATCGAGCATTCATGTCTAATGATGTAAGAAATTTTACCTCGCTTGTTATTATACTCACCTGCAGACCCTTATACCTGCTTGTTGCCCTATCTTTTCCTTCTTTCTCAGATGCGGTCTGCTTTAAGCAATGTCGCAAAATATTTTCCAACAGCAATCATAACCGGAAGGAGCCGTGATAAGGTGAAGAAAATGAATTCTTCTGATGAAGTCTCATTCGAAATTCAGTCCATATTTGTTTCATGACTTCTGCTGACAAAAATATCCGTTTTCTTCAGGCTTATGAATTGGTAGGACTGGCTGAACTTTACTATGCTGGTAGTCATGGAATGGACATCATCTTTCCTGTCAGCGACATGGTGTCCGAAAGCCATGTAAATTGTGTCAAGTCGACAGACAAGGAGGTTAGTATTCATAGTTTCTGCCCCTTGTCTTAAAGTTCAGTTATTCTCAACGATCTTTCTGTTGTCTATGAACAGGGAAATGAGGTTAATCTATTCCAGCCTGCCGCTGAATTCATACCTGTGATCGACGAGGTGTGTGATGATAGGGAAAATAAACACTTACTTATCTGTTATCCTTGGATTGATGAATATCGTGCTACTATATTTTCGCTGATATTTCCAGGTTTACAAAAGCCTCGTCGAGATTGTCAAAGATGTCAAAGGTTCAAAAGTGGAGAACCATAAATTCTGTGTCTCCGTTCATTATCGCAACGTGGATGAGAGTGTAGGAATTAATAGGCTTCATTTAATATCCGTGCATTTAATGTTTCCGAGCCTACTTAACTAATATAACCGTTGCTTTGTGTTTGATCCGACCAGAGCTGGCCTGTGATTGCGCAATATGTTCAAGACATCTTGGAGCATTATCCCCGGTTGCGAATCACTCATGGACGGAAGGTAATTAAATTTACGAAAATTAGCTGTCCAAAGGAATACAATCTATAAAGATGATATTAACTGCTTGAACATGAATGTTTTTGGCCGATGGATAGGTTCTGGAAGTTCGCCCTATGATTGACTGGGATAAAGGAAAAGCTGTTGAATTTCTTCTACAATCTCTAGGTATGGAGTATTAGTAATACAATCGAACTTTTAGAAAATCACCTGTTCCTTTTTTGTAATGAAAACATTCGGTCATGCAGGATATGGCGATCGCCATGATGTACTCCCTATTTACATTGGTGATGACAAAACCGACGAAGATGCATTCCAGGTAATATATATATATACATTTTTGTATGTAGTCTTCTTCCTTGGACGAGTAAGATGGTCAAGTGGTGGTGGTGATGGTGATGATGATGTAGGTTCTGAGAGAGAAAAACTGCGGGTATGGAATCTTGGTATCGTCTGTCCTGAAACCGAGCCATGCTTCGTACTCTCTGAGGGATACTTCCGAGGTAAGGAGGAAGTAGTAGTAGCAGTAGTAGTTGGAATTGATTGATGTTGATCCATTGTCCATTGATGAATAGGTTCAAGAGTTCCTGGAATCTCTGGTGAAAATGGCGCAAGAAGGGCAGGTGGAGCCACAAGCAAAGAAGAAAGAGACGAGCCGTCACCTTCGCCCGCCGTCGTCGTCGTCGAGTCGTGATGCAGCCAGCACAGATTAGAGCCTTTGATTACTCAGATGATATGATAATATATATGACATGAAATTTAGCAGATGGCCTGTTTTGTCTCTCTGGATTTTAGACCTTTTATGTATTTATTAATTGTGTTTGCTCCTCCTCCTTTTGTTACATTATTATATAAGAACTGGGTTTATTGTAAAGCTAAATTGATCTTTGGATGATTTTGTTTTTATTGGTGTCACAAGTTCTCTTTTACCATTTTAAAACTGTAATTAGAGGATTTAGAATAATTTAAAAGTTTTGACATAAACAGCTATAAAAAAAACAATCTGACGCGTAACGGTAAAATAAACCTATGTTCTAACTCGCTGACCTCTTCCAACCGACGTGGCATTTGGAGGAAATGTCGGATCCAGTTTGGATCGACAGGACCGTAAATCCACGTGGAGCCCATATACGATAACCACGTGTCTCATTTCACGAAGTGCATCGACGCTGCAAGGCTACAGCTTCAGCCAATCGTACCTCGTGCATCGATAGTTGTACTACCGGCTTCCATGATTGCGGTTCTCTTCCTTCGCGCATAAAGCTCCTCAGTAATGGAAAAGCCATTTCCAATCTCCATTGCCAATTGAAGAAGAAACAATGTCGTCTGCGTTGCACTTTCTTCATCCCTCTGCAATTTTCCCCTCCTCCTTATTACCATCTATCCAGGTAAAATATTTTTTTACTGTGGTGATTAATCATGCAATGCATGGATTCGTGGTAATTAATATCTACAATGACGAAAACAGGAGAAGAAGATAGGAAATTTCGAAGCTGGATTCACTAAGCCAAGGCTCAATTTTAAGAATCCGAGGTTTTTTCCTTCAATCCGCGCAGCTACGAATCCCCCATCGTCTTTTTACACAGGTAGATCGATCTGTGTGGTGGTTGTGTGTTCTTCATGGCTGATTTTGACTGCTCTTTCCCTTTTTTATTTTTTATTTCTGCATCGATCGTCTTCCAGGTGTGAGAACCGAATTGGACGTTGTACAAAGCCACAGTGAAATCGTACCGGATACTGTTATTTTCGATGATTTTGAGAGGTTGATTTTGGCTGGAAATCAGATTTGTTCTTCTTCTTGTTCTTGATGCTGATATGTCTGTATATTAATTTAAATTTACTGCAGGTTTCCCCCCACAGCTGCCACTGTTAGCTCTTCTTTAATCTTGGGTATTTGTAGCCTTCCTGGCAATCAGTTCAGGGTAATAACATGATTTATATATAATTAATTACGATTCAATTGGATTTCTATTTGATTTTACTTTGTGTTGTTTAGAGAGATGTTGACACTGCCTTGGCTGATGCAAAATGCTCTCTCATAGAAGAGTCTAATAAGCGAACTGATTGTTTCCTCGACAAGGTATGAAATATTATTATTGAGCAAACCAATCTTCAGAAACCTGTCTTATACAATTAGTATGTAATGAATTATTGACATGTTCAGGCTTTGGTTAATGTCGGAGCCAGTCTTGCAAAGCTAGTGCCCGGCCGAGTTTCGACTGAAGTTAATATTCGCCATGCATACGACACATCCGGAATTGTCAATAAGGTAACCAACCACTATTCAACTTCTTTAGAAAATATTTCTTACATATATAGCTCTGGTTTCTTACATCAACATGCGATGCAATTTGCAGGTGTATTACCTGTTAAAGTTGTATCACGAACTCGGCTTGTCTCCCGAGCGATTGTTGTTTAGAATCCCTGCAACTTGGCAAGTTAGTACTGCAGCAACAAATATTTTCATTTCCAAACTCATAATATTTCTCTTCAAATCAAAACCTCTGTAAAATTAATTGATTTATTTTTCTTTAGGGAATCGAAGCATCGAAGATGCTGGAGTCCAAAGGAATACAGACACATTTAACATTTGTCAACAGGTAAAAAGGAGTTCGATTTGTTGTAGAACAACATAACATTATATTCGACAACTACATCTATACGATCAATGCAAATAAGCCTCATTTTATTGTGATTCTTGAAAATATAAAGATCCACATTTCAAATGCTCTAATGTGCAAAAAAAATGTCACAGTTTTTGTCAAGCTGCAGCCGCGGCTCAAGCAGGTACTTCGGTTATTCAAATCTACACCGGTCGCATTCGGGTAACATTCCATCTAACCATGAAACAACCATCATTAGTCTTGTTCGAAATTTTCTTGATCCACAAATTTATATTACAATTTGGCTAATATTCGACTAGGACTGGTCACGTTGCAATAAAAATGATCCTGAAATAGAAGCAGCTCGGTCGATGGGGCAAGATCCTGGTCGGGCTCTGGTTAGATCCTCTACACATTACATATTTTTTACCAAGACTTTAATTGCAATACTGCCTATCCTAAGTTTGGTTGTGAATTGATGATATAATTTCAGGTTTCGAAAGTGTACAACTATATCCATAAATTTGGATACAAAACCAAAATGATGGTGTCTGCAATTCGCAACGAACAAGATCTATTTGATGTTTTGGGGTGAATTAGTTCATTCTTTTAGTCTACTCATTGCAAACTAATTAAATTCAGACATTGCAGATGATAGGTGCATACCATGGGAATGTTTTTGTTTGGACAGGGTTGATTACATAGTGACCCCAGTAAGAATACTGCAGTCTTTAAAGATGTCGATGGCACCTCTTGAACACAAGTATTACCTCACGAGAAAGCTACACCCAGAAAATGCTGCCTCCTGCAGATTCACCATTGACGAGGTTTGTTAATTTTCTTGCTTGCTATTTCTTCTTGCAAATCAAATTATTACATATATCAATATATATCTTTAAAATTTTTTTGTTTCAGCTTGTGAAGTGGGACGAATCCAACTTCGCCGCCGCGGTAGGGCCGGGCGCGACGGCGCTGCTGATCGCCGGAATTGAAGGCTACCACGATCAAACTGATCGGGTCGAAGAATTGTTGAAGAAGATGTGGCCACCCCCAAATGTTTAAATTTTTTTGGTATAAGAAAGAAATAATAAAAATGGCTTGCCAGCAAATGCAATAAGAACATATATGATTTTTTAGATTTGAGCAAAAACAAGTGGGAATTTGATTAAATTTTAATTTTTTATGTTGGTTTGATTTTGGAAAATTGTGTACCAGTCAAAGCGTGGCGAATCAAAACATGTGTCGGTGGGGATTTCTTACGGGCTTTTTAAGTTTTTTAATAGCACTAGAAGGATCCTGAATGAAAATATAGGCACTGAATTTATGCTTTTTATTTATTTTTTTAAATTAATAATAATAGTTAACTCCATGTAAACACAAATATGCACTGACAACTGTGCAATATCAAACCTTAGCGTATTTAATTAAGGCCCAGATGCAGAGGAAAAAATATATTAAATTTTACAACATATAAAAGTCAAATCATGATTGTGAAATTACACCTATAGATTTTACCACCAATCATCAACTAGGACTAATTTTTTTAAATAAAATTTTGTGAATTCGAGGATTAAATGAATTAATGATATGACAATCAGCCATCCATGAAATTGAGTGAAGAAAATTTTGTAGTAATATTTTTCTCACCCACCACCATCTATGAAAAGGAAACAATTAATGCAGCTTGTAGATCACAACTTCTACCCTTCCAAGCTGCTAAGGTTTATTTAATTTTTTTCACAAAGACAGCAAGCAAGAAATTTCTAGATCATTATATAATTACTATATCAAACACAATTATTGATCACCGTCAATAAATTCATTTAAATAATTACCACAAGTAATCAGTATCGATATTAATTAAAATGACAGATGGAAATTTTGCATTCAAGTACGAGTATTTTTAGATTAGTTTAACCAAGCCAACAAGCTTACATTAAAAACATTCAACTACTGCCTAATTTTCAGTACATCTTGGAATCTTAACTGCAAGATTAATAAATAAATGTTGATCAAAACAAGATGAAAAAATTAAAATAAATAAATACAATGCAAGAAAGAAGATCAAAGAAATAAATAATGTGTGGGTGGGTGGGAATATATGTAATGTGAAATGTGATAGATCAAGGGGAGAAATGTATGGATAAAATATATGTAATGTGAAATGTGATAGATCAAGGGGAGAAATGTATGGATAAAATCCCTAGTCGGGTCCTCGATCTCCCACTTCAGAAACAGGGATGATAATTGCAGTGATGAAATTTTGATGTATGAAATGAATAAAGAAGAAAGAAATACGCGTGGACAAAGTGTATTTTTATGCCATTTATGAACTGGCCATAGGCTGTCATCCAACCCCACATTATTCCACAAATTTCTCCAGCTGAGCTGAATGGAGAGAGTTTTTATTTATTTTTTTCTTTCTCTCTCTGGAATCTAGATCTTGAAATGATCTAAAATTTTAAATTCAGTAGTGGTTGAGCTTTGAACCGTTGTTTCTTGAAAATGTTGGATTGCGATGATGGTCCCGTCTGGCACTTAAGGCCCGACTACAGCAAGCAGAAATTTGCTGTCCCACAGGCCATCGAATCACTCCAAACCATCATTCGTCACTCATACAGCACCTCTTTAATTACCCCTGCAACTGAACCAATACGCACTACTATTTACTCTCTCAATTGGTAAGGTAAACAAGCTAGAAGAGACCCCAGAGCGGTTTTCTCTTTGCTCATATGAACATAAATCCGCAAGGACAAAGGCCCGACTCACGTACTACAAGCCACTGAATAGCTTAGCTGTGTGTCTTTTTGGGGAGGTGCCTTTCTATTCCTCTTTCCAGATTTGTTTCACCTGATAATGTAAAAATTCAGCGGCTAAAAGTGAGGGGAGGAAAAAGGGTTGATTGGATCTTTGGCGTTGAAGCGTGCTTGCTGGATCTGCAACAAATCTTGTTCTTCCGAAGTTGGTTATGGCGGCCTTCAGCTTTTTCCAGGTCTTGGCTGTCTGCATTTGCTTGCTGATGGGCTTCTCCATTGCTGACGACCCCACTGTTAGCTTCGACTTTGTGGTGTCATACATTACTGCTTCTCCTCTCGGCGTTCCTCAGCAGGTCAGCTTCTTGAACTAATTTATGCTCTTGTGAAACCCTTGATTTCCCATTCCCTTTGCTCATTTTGTTGGCATTGGCTTGCTTGGATTTACTTAATTGAGCTCCAGATCTGGTTATTAGGTGTAAGGATTTTGAATTTAGTTGGATGGATTGTTGAATGCCTTTCAAATCAATGCTCATGGTTAGTGTTAGGGTTTGAAAGTCTGTAACTGAAATGCACTGTCCTGCAGGTGATTGCTGTCAATGGCAAGTTTCCAGGCCCGACTATTAATGTAACAACCAACAACCATGTAATTGTTAATGTGAGAAATAAATTAGATGAAGGCTTCTTGATCCATTGGTAAGTGTGCTGCTCCTGTTGATTGGTAAAACTTGTTGTTTGTAGAAATGTTGATGATAAGGATAGATGTAAAAATTGAATTGAAATCAGGGCTGGGATACAGCAAAGGAGGAGTTCTTGGCAAGATGGGGTTCTTGGCACAAATTGTCCCATTCCTCCAAAGTGGAATTGGACATACCAATTTCAGGTCAAGGACCAGATTGGGAGCTACTTCTACTTCCCCTCTCTGAATTTCCAGAGGTCGTCGGGTGGCTTCGGTAGTTTCATTATTAATAACAGAGTGATAATTCCGGTTCCCTTCGACACCCCTCACGGGGACATCCCAATTATGATAGGTGATTGGTATACTCAGAATCATACAGTGAGTGTCGTATTGCTGCATTTTTTGGATTGTTTTTTTGTGTATGGAATGTTTGATCGTTGGTTTGTGTTTAGGCTTTGAGGAGAACTCTTAATGGTGGTAAAGAGCTCGGGATGCCGGATGGTGTTCTAATTAATGGGAAAGGACCGTACAGGTATAACGATTCCCTTGTCGCTGAGGGGATTGACTATGAAACCATTACAGTCGAGCCAGGTCAGTGAAGAATTGGAATGTTGGTTGTCGATTCAAATCGCTTGTTGTATGTCATTTGAAGTTGATGATTTGATGGTGTTCCTCAGGCAAGACGTACCGTCTTCGTGTGAGCAATGTCGGGATTTCCACGAGTTTGAACTTCAGAATTCAGAACCATAACTTGCTTCTTGCTGAGACGGAGGGTTCTTACACAGTGCAGCAGAACTACACCAGCTTGGACATTCATGTCGGACAAACTTACTCTTTTCTGGTCACTATGGATCAAAACGCCAGCAGCGATTATTACATTGTTGCAAGCGCAAGATTCGTCAACGAAACTGTATGGGAAAGAGTGATCGGCGTCGCAGTCTTGCACTACACTAACTCAAAAGGAAAGGCCTCCGGTCCTCTCCCTCCCCCTCCGCAAGACCAATTCGACAAGACATACTCGATGAACCAGGCGAGATCTATAAGGTTCGATCTCAACGTTCTATCCAAACTACGACGTTTGATTTTGCATAGTGGTTAAAGCTTTAGTTTGCTTGTGTAATGCAGATGGAATGTGACGGCGAGTGGAGCTCGTCCGAACCCTCAAGGTTCATTCAGATATGGTTCGATCAATGTGACAGAGGTTTATGTGCTGAGAAACAAACCTCCGGAGACAATTGACGGAAAACAACGAACCACTTTAAGCGGGATTTCCTTTGCCAATCCATCAACACCGATAAGGCTTGCGGACCAGTATAAGCTCAAGGGGATATACCATCTCGACTTCCCTACAAAGCCACTTACAGGACCACCTCGAGTTTCAACGTCGGTCATCAATGGCACGTACAGGGGATTCATGGAAGTCATATTGCAGAACAACGACACCAAGGTTCACACATATCACTTGAACGGATATGCCTTCTTTGTGGTCGGGTACTGTTCTGCTCGCTCCCTTCACTGTTCTTATCATCAGAAGCAGAAATTAACGATAACTATTTATTTTAATTTCTTCTATAAACGATACAGTATGGATTACGGCGAGTGGACGGAGAATAGCAGGGGAACATACAATAAGTGGGATGGCGTCGCTCGGAGTACAGCACAGGTACTTATTCAGACATTCTTGTTACCCGAGACGTGTAACGAATAGTATATGAATCTTGGTGGCGCAAATTATGTTTTAGGTTTACCCCGGGGCATGGACGGCGATCTTGATCTCCCTCGACAATGTGGGTGTTTGGAACCTCAGGACCGAGAACCTCGACTCTTGGTTTCGAGGCCAGGAAACATACATTCGCGTTGTGAACCCTGAGTCGAACAACAAAACGGAGTTCCCGATGCCGGATAATGCCCTGTTCTGCGGCGAGCTAAAGAAGCTGCAGAAGTATGCTCATCCTCAAAAAACAATAAATTTGTGTAGTAGTAAGAATTCCTTAGTGATTGATCTAATCCTAACCGCTGTGTTTGCTTGTGAAATTGTTGATTGCAGGCCGCAGGACGTATCTCCGGCGACATCGGTCACGGACGAGAAGCAGAAATGGTTCCTGGGTTTCATGCTGATGATGTCCGGACTGCTTTCCCTGCTGGTTTGATAATCTTTCAATGGGTGGATTGATGTGATTTGATTTGATTGTTGCTGGTTTGTGAGGATTCAGAAGGAAGGATGTGTAATTTTAGAACCTCTATTTGTGTGTGTGAGAATGGAATCAATCAATCAATCAATCAATCCCCTTTAGTGAGTCGAGTCGGTCAGCCATTTTTATTGTTCCTACTTCCGGCTGTAGGGTGGGTTAGTTCTTCCTTGGTTGAGTCACTGCTCTGTTTCTGTCTGTCTGTCTGTGTTTCTTCATCATTCTTTCATGGCTTTTTCTTTAACTTAACTGTAATATTAATTATTCATCGAAATTTGATTCATCTCTCGATCTCTATCTCTATCACTATCACTACCGCTATCAGAATCTGTGAAATTTCTGGTTCCGTTTTTTATTTATTACACTCTGTATTTGCAGTTGCATGCTGTCGGGTCGTTCTCCCGCATTACACAGTTTTCAAAATATTTGATAAGTTTTTTTACACTCCCCAAATATTTGGAAACTTCCTAATGCTACTTCATTAGTTAATTAAATAATTAAGCTTGATGTTTAATTTACAACAAGCTAATTAACTACAGAAATTAGTAATTGGATTTGAAAGGGTCGTGAATTTTGATGGGTTTACATTTTCTTTTAAATATAAAAATTGAAAAAATAGGTGGCGTACTTAGAAATGTACTTGTGGTGACTCAGAGGTCAACACTAAATAAAATTACGAATAATATCATTTGACATACAAGCTTTCATAGAAGCTGCCTAACAAGTGAAGTTCGAGCTACACCCACCAATCACAAAATTTTAAGGTCCTTTATTCTATTTTATTGAACTTAACAATATTTAATTCGAGTTCTGACAGGTAGAACTCATCCTGGCCGTCAAACTGATCTTCTCAAGCAAATCTCGGCCCTCCGTCAATCTAAGCACATTGCGAAATTACTAAAACACCCCTACTGTACTACTCGCTATTTATACTTCAATCCTTTCCGCCCGTCCATCTGAAGGCTGAAGCTCCCCATACATGGCGAAGACCCGAGGATTCCGGCTGGGTCGCAGGCTGATTAGCGTCTTCCGACGGTGCGTCCTCCGCCGCGCCCGGAGGAGATCCGCCGCGTACCTTCCGGCGAAAGCGCAGGCCGGAGCTTTTTGGAAGGTGTGCGGATGGGTTCGGTCTTGCAGTAGCTGGAGCAGGAAGGGAGATTCGGGTTACATTCCAGTCGGGCAGGAGGATCCGGTGGAGCGACCCAGATTGCCGAAGGGACACCTGGCGGTGTACGTCGGCGAAAAGGAGGGCAACACGTGTCGGGTTATCGTGCCGGTGATATACTTCAATCACCCGCTGTTTGGTGAGCTGTTGAGGGAGGCTGAGAAGGTGTACGGATTCCATCATCCCGGCGGGATCCTCATTCCTTGCCCGAAATCCGAACTGGAGAGCGTGCAGATGCGGATCGCCGCCGCCGGAGTAGGGCGGAGATGGGGATGGGGATGGAGATGGAGATGGAGATGGAATTCTTGAGATTTTTATTTTTTCATTTTTCGATGGAATTCTGTTTTGAGTAAATTTTTGTGTTTAATGCAGCCATCCCATCCGTATTTCTCAAGGCTGACGTTTATCTTTTGGGTTTATGAAATTTTGTTTATTTTTCACCTGTAAATACAAAAATCTGATTGTGTACATTTATTTATTAATGAAAGAGAGCAACTACTACAATAAGTAGAAGAGTTGTGTGGTACAAAGAAAAGCCCCATTAGGCCCAAATATAAAAATTGGGCCTCCAAATACAGGAAAATTTGGATGTGCCTTTTTCCTTTTAATTTCCACATGCGCAATTCGTACTATTGCAAAATCTGGAACCCTAACCCGGAAGGAAGGAAGGTTCGAGAAGGTCTTGACTTCAGCTTGAGCCTTGAGGGTCCTAGAACCCTCTGGTTTCCTCCACCAATCGCCTTCCCCACTCTTCTCCTCCCCTTTATTGTTTATTTTCACCATTCTTCATTCATCATACACCCCTTCACTTCCGTCCTCGCAGATATCAAATTCCCCTATAGAAAAGAATTTCCTACGACGCCTAATAATGGCAGACGAGGCCAAGGCCAAAGGAAACGCAGCCTTCTCGGCCGGAAATTTCAACGACGCGGTCCTCCACTTCACCGATGCAATCAATTTAGCCCCCACCAACCACGTCCTCTACTCCAATCGCTCTGCCGCCTACGCTTCTCTCAACAAATTTTCAGAAGCGCTCTCCGATGCGCAGAAGACTGTGGAGCTTAAACCCGACTGGGGCAAGGGCTACTCTCGCCTCGGCGCCGCGCACATGGGTCTCCAAAGTTATAACGACGCCGTCTCCTCGTACAAGAAGGGTTTAGAAATTGATCCTAACAACGAGGCTCTTAAGTCTGGGCTTTCCGATGCGGAGGCAGCCTTGGCTCGGAGCAACAGATCCCGGGCCGGACCGGGGGCGAGTCCGTTTGGGGATGCATTCGGGCCGGAGATGTGGGTGAGGCTGACGAGCGATCCTGGAACCAGGGAGTATCTTCAGCAGCCTGATTTTGTTAAGATGATGCAGGATATTCAAAAGAATCCAAATAATCTGAACATGTATTTGAAGGATCAAAGGGTTATGCAGGCGTTGGGGGTTTTATTGAATTTGAAGTTCCAGGCGAGGGGTGGCGACGATGATGCAGAGATGCCGTCGGCGACGGCATCGAATGGTGAAACGCCGGAAAGGAAGAGGCCTGCAGCCTCAGAGGCTGAGCCAGTGAAGCAGGAGAAGCGGGCGGAAAAGGAGCCCGAACCTGAGAATGAACCAATGGATATTTCCGAGGAGAAAGAGAAAAAGACTCAAGCTCAGAAGGAGAAGGAAGCAGGGAATGCTGCGTACAAGAAGAAGGATTTTGAGACAGCAATTCAGCATTACACCAATGCAATTGATCTTTACGATGAAGACATCTCTTTCCTCACTAACCGTGCTGCAGTTTACCTGGAGATGGGCAAGGTACGGTTTGTTATTTTGTTTTCAGATTTATTGTCATGTCTTTGTCGATTTATCTGGTTTTAGTGTAAGCTTGCTTTATCAGTAACTACCCTCTTGGATGCTATATATCTTATACTTCGTACTGATTATATTAATAGAACTGTGTTTTGTGTGGTTTTCACTACCCTATGAAATCAGAAATCCTTTGCGGGTATTGGTGTTACTTTTGTGGACCGTAGTTCCTCTTGCCAATAGTATGTTATGTTTGTTTAATAATATTTGATGGGCGATTGGTCTTTATGAAAATTTGTTTCTGGTTTTCTGATAGCTTACAGATATGTGGAATACATGGCGGTTTCTATCATTATAAACATTTATGTCATTTATTTATATATGCTAGCACATTGGTACTTGGCAGCTGGTCCTCTATAGTCTCGTTTTAAGGTTTAGGGTTTTTACATATGTTTAGTACCGCAGGTTTTTTTCACAGATATGGTTATTATTTGGTGGAATATAATTACACGCCTATTAGTTATTAGCATTAAAGTGAAAGTGCTTCTAAGCGCTTTTACGTTCCTCCTGGACTCCCAAGATAGTTAAGATCCAATTTTTATCCACTGATTTGAGTGATTTTTATAGGAGAATATGTTATTGTTCATGGAGTTGAGGAATGTGATGATTCTACCCCCTACATTCTATTTTTAAACAGACCATACTTGGGTTTACTTAGTGCTTTGATCTTTGACACTTGCTGGAAGAATACTGCTTTTTCATCAGTTTTTGGTTCATTGAGTTAAAGTATGTGATAATTTTACACCTCTACTTTTTATTTTTATTTTGGTATGCTTAATGATGGCTTCTTGGTTTTGCAATCCATGTTCTGGTGGTGTAGTTACTTTCTTGTTTATATATCTGGACTTTGAACATTTTTGAGTTCTTTTGTATGATTGGTAATTTGTAGATATGATTCAGTGTGAACTCCAATATAAATCTCTCTTTTTTACCCCTTCCCATGTTAGTATGAGGATTGCATGAAGGATTGTGACAAAGCTGTTGAAAGGGGCAGGGAACTGAGGTCCGACTACAAGATGATAGCTAGGGCTTTGACAAGAAAGGGAACTGCTTTGGTGAAGATGGCCAAGTGCTCAAAGGATTATGAACCGGCCATTGAGACTTTCCAGAAAGCACTAACTGAACATCGCAATCCGGAAACCCTCAAGAAACTCAATGATGCTGAGAAAGCTAAGAAAGACCTAGAGCAACAAGAGTACTTTAATCCACAAATAGCTGATGAGGAACGGGAGAAAGGTATTGTGACCTTATAGTTCATTCATGTATGTCTCATAATCAAGCTTAGTCACTAACCGTGATTTGAATTATAATTATAGGTAACCAATATTTCAAAGAGCAGAAATTCCCTGAAGCTGTCAAGCACTATACTGAAGCAATAAAGAGGAATCCTAAAGACCCTAAGGTACTTTTACTCCTAAATGTATTGCATACATCATATACGCATGCTAAATACTCAACTTTCTGGTACATTGAAATGGATGATTAGGGGTATAGCAATAGGGCTGCTTGTTACACAAAGCTCGGGGCAATGCCCGAGGGGCTTAAAGATGCTGAAAAATGCATCGAACTAGATCCAACCTTCACCAAAGGGTATACTAGGAAGGGTGCTGTCCAATTTTTCATGAAGGAGTATGACAAAGCATTGGAAACATATCGGGAGGGATTGAAACATGACCCTCAAAATCAAGAGCTGCTTGAAGGCGTGGGGAGGTAGGGAATTTCCTGTTTCTTGTTTTCATTGTACTGATTTGTCTTGCTCCAACTTGGATTGATGGTTACCTGGTGATTTTGCTACATTTCCCTGCAGGTGCATGCAACAGATAAACAAAGCTAGTCGAGGAGATTTGACCCCTGAGGAGCTGAAAGAAAGACAGGTTCAATTTGCCTTCCAGCTCCTAAATGTTAAGCTTGATATCTGTTTCGATTCTAACTCAAGTTCTGTGTTTCAGGCGAAGGCAATGCACGACCCTGAGGTTCAAAACATCTTGAGTGATCCAGTAATGAGACAGGTATTTAGAAAAAGTATTCCACTAGTATTAACTCTCCTCTACCATGACATGTTCTGATGCCAAGTTGTATCTCGTCAGGTCCTAGTCGACTTACAGGAGAATCCCAATGCTGCACAGGAGCACATGAAGAATCCTCAAGTAATGAACAAAATACAGAAACTTGTCAACGCAGGCATTGTTCAAGTTCGGTGAAGAAAAGAAAACCATGAAAAAAACGCTACCCTCTTCTGCGATTTATTGCCGCGAACTTCAATTATCTTTCAAATTATATGCATATGCTTTGAAACATCTTTGAACTGTATGTCGAACTCGTGAAACTTCAAATGTTTTTTGTCAGCAAGTGATCATAATTCTATCGGTCTCTTTTATGTCCTTCCTTTGTTTCAAATTAATAACAAAAGATTTCCATCTACCATCTCGTCTTGATGATATTTTGGCTACACTTTGCTATATAATTCAACGAAACAAAACTGATGTCTCAAGATGCCACAGCTTCCTCCTTGGTGGCCAGTTGGTTCTGAATATGTTGTGGGACAACATCGAATTTGGCTAACTGCATTGTGTAGGAAGCACGCCCTTTGGTCATACCTCGAAGAGTGCTAACATACTGAAACATCTCGGCCAAAGGCACCAGGGCATCCACCACCTACACAGCACAGGATGACCACGACTGTTTAGAACCAGAATTCACAGATAGGTATGCGTAATGAAGGTAGTATGTATATTAGTACCTTCAGTCCACCGGGTTTATCTCCAAAGTTGTTGATCTGTCCTCTCCTCGAGTTGAGATCGCCGATGACGTCGCCCAAATGCTCCTCCGGCGTGACAACTTCGACCTTCATAATGGGTTCAAGCATCTGTGGTCCGGCTTTCCTGATGCCATCCCTGAAAGCTCCTTTCGCGGCCAATTGGAATGCCAGGACACTAGAGTCGACGTCGTGGTAAGAACCATCCACCAACACTGCACGAACGTCGACCACCGGGTACCCTGCCAGCACGCCGTTGCTCATGCTCTCTTCCAGCCCTTTCATAACTCCCGGGATGTATTCCCTCGGCACAGCGCCTCCCTTGATCTCGCTCTTGAACTCATACCCGCCCCCGTGCTCCAACGGCTCGAACCGAATGGTGACATCGGCAAACTGCCCCGCCCCGCCGGATTGCTTCTTGTGAATGTACTTCACTTCTGTCACCTTGGAAATGCTCTCCCGGTAGTTCACTTGGGGCGCTCCCACATTGGCTTCAACCTTTAAGCAAATTGTGAAAGATTAGGTTATCAACATTGATTTGATTTACACAAATGTCTGAGCAAGATGAGGGAAGTTCACAGACCTTAAACTCTCTCTTGAGTCGATCAACGATGATTTCAAGGTGCAATTCTCCCATTCCTTCAATGACTGTTTGGTTGATCTCTTCGTCCCGCGAGAAATGGAAAGATGGATCTTCCTGCGCCAGCTTGTACAAGCCAACGGCCATCTTATCAACATCAGCCTTAGTCTTTGGCTCGATCGCGACCTTAATAACCGGATCCGGGAAGTCCATCCGGTCGAGAACAATGGGGTTCTCAGCATCACAGAGTGTTTCTCCTGTGATTGTGTCCTTTAGCCCTGCAAGAGCTATAATGTCTCCCGTTAGAGCCAACTTAATATCCTCTCGGCTGTTGGCGTGCATTTCTAGCAGCCGTCCTATCCTTTCCTTCTTCCCTTTGTTCGAATTCATCACATAAGAGCCGGCTTCGAGCTTCCCAGCGTACACACGCACAAATGTAAGAGAACCAACAAAAGGATCATTCATGATCTTGAATGCCAGTCCGGCAAAGGGCTCATCATCGGTGGGGCTCCTCTCGATCACCACCTCCGGGTCGTCGGGATCAGTTCCTTTCATTGGAGGCAATTCGATCGGAGAGGGGAGGTAATCGACAACAGCGTCGAGCAATGGCTGGACCCCTTTGTTCTTAAAAGCTGAGCCGCATAAAACAGGGACGAAGCAGCCGGAGATAGTCCCCTGCCTGATCAACCTCTTGATGGTGGCCTCATCAGGCTCCTCTCCTTCCAGGTAGCTCTCCATGGCTGCATCGTCGAGCTCGACTATGGTCTCGATCATGTTGGCCCGGTACTCCTCGGCTAGGCCTCGGAGATCGGTGGGGATATCCTCGTACTTGAATTTGGCTCCGAGCTCCTCCCCTGTCCAAATGACGGCCTGCATTGTGACTAGGTCGACGAGTCCTGTAAAAGTGTCCTCTGCGCCGATGGGGATTTGGAGGACGAGAGGCTTGGCGCCGAGGTTAGTGACGATCATGTCGCGTGTACGGAAGAAGTTAGCGCCGAGACGGTCCATTTTGTTGACGAAACAGATGCGGGGGACGCCGTACTTGTCGGCCTGGCGCCAGACGGTTTCGGACTGGGGCTCGACGCCGGCGACGCTGTCGAAGAGGCAAATGGCGCCGTCGAGAACTCGGAGGGCGCGCTCGACTTCGAGGGTGAAATCGACGTGGCCGGGAGTGTCGATGATGTTGATCCGGTGCTTGTTCCAGAAGGTGGTGGTGGCGGCGGAGGTGATGGTGATCCCTCTCTCTTGCTCCTGCTCCATCCAGTCCATGGTGGCGGTGCCCTCGTGCACCTCCCCGATTTTGTAGTTCCGGCCGGTGTAGTACAGGATGCGCTCCGTCGTCGTCGTCTTCCCGGCGTCTATGTGCGCCATTATTCCGATGTTCCGGTAGTCCCTCAGCGGCACTTTCCTCTTCTCTTCTGCTGGAGAAACACCAAAACATCAATTGTATTTGGATTTTGATGGAGATGGACAAAATTATATCTTTTACATATATATATATATATATACCTGCTGCGGCAGCCATGGCGAAGACAGAGAGATTCCTTCTCGGGTGCTTGGGATGAGGCAACTTTGCGGGGGTGGAGGCAATTCCGAGGAAAGGAGAGCGTGGTGCGACTCCATTACGACGTCGTGTTGATTGGGAGGGGGAGGTGGAAGGTAATGGCCTCCTGGAAGTACCGTGCAAGCTGCTGAATAACTGATGATAGCCAATTGATGACGACGACGATGACATTCTCATCAACGCCTCTGCCGCCATTTTTGTTGGGCACTCGGTCTGCTGCTCTGCTTTTCTATTGGCTTATTGATCGATACTGCTACTATTACATGATGGGTTCTTTATTTTTTTGTGGCAGGAAAGCATCTTGAAAATTTGTAGATAACATTAATTTGAATATTGCATTTTTCCCATTGATCAATCCATCCAAGTTTGGAGAAATTTTCAGGCACTCAGAAGTCGCCACGTCGACAGGAAACTCGAGCCTCAGAAAAGGCAAGTGGGCTTCCACTTAAACAGTTAGACAACAGGTACGTAGCCATTTCCATTATCACAAAGCCTTTTACAAAGATTCATATATATAACAGTTCTTGTAATTTTAATACAGCTGGTTAGGTTTTATAGAAACATTAAATACTGTGCTTGTATTTAAAACAACGTATTGAATTTATTGCATACTTAAATTTTACATCAAACTTGTGTCTTTTTTTTTTTTGTTTTTCTACAATGTTTGTCTGTCTAATGGTGGGATTCAGAACAGAGGACATTCTCCATCCCTAAGAAAATCCCAAACTAAATTCTATTCCATCCTCCATTATCGGTTATCCTCTCTTGTTCTTGAAGCTCAAAATTTCCAGAAACATCAGCAGCAAGCAGTACAAGGTTGGATTGGAAGTAAACGGACATGCTTGCCCAGCTACGTCGATCAAACTGTAATATACTTGAGCATAGCTTTGCGAATTTTTTCCATGTACTCAGCAGCTTGTGTCTGCAGTACAGAGATACCATTGATCATACAACTTTCTTTATTTTTGCAAGAAATTCTAAACATAAGCTGAAGCTAGGAGAAATTTGGCGAAACCTCTAATCTAATATCACCTGGTTGCCCCGATATGCTGTCCCGATGTTTTCATCGAGAAGTGCGAGCAGGGATCGGTTCAACTCATTTTGCTCGACCATGTCCAGAAGCTGTAGGCATGAAAGAAATTGACAATGGCCATAAGTACCAGACAAGAACGGATTATACATGGTATAGGTTGAAAGAATTAGTCACATACGGTAGCATTGACATCTTTTGACGATAAAAGCTTCACCAGGGATGCCCTTGCTTTTACAAGCTCGGATTGCATTTTATCATAAGCTTCTGCAAAAGGATGAACACATTGGCCTAACATAAAAGAAAATTTTTAATCTTTCAAACACTTTTTCTAGTAGTAGTAGCCATTAATCCAACCTATTCCTTCCTGGAGGGCTTTTTCAAGTGATTCCAGCTCGATTACTCTGTCCTCGACAGCCTGCATGTATAAAACACAGACACAATTCATGACTCTGGTTGTTCATCCCGTCGACACAGCAAGCTTCGATATTTTAAGACAAACCTGAGTCTTGGACACTGCAAACCTCAATGTCCCCAATTCAAATTTCAGGTGAGCAAAGAATTCTTCATTTAATCTGCTCAATGCATCATCAAGGAATAAGATCATGAACACTTATCTAAAGTAGCAAAATCTTATTAACCATATCATATGTAGCAAGTAAAGAAACTAACCGTGGTCTCAATCTTGCAATCTCAAATTCAATCTCCTGAGCTTCAGTATCAAGAAAATACTCAACCAAGTCCTCTACAGTATCCGGCGCCTCCCGCGACTAAAATTCAACATGCAATGACACCAATCAAATCAAAACCCCAGCCAAAATCATGTAACAATTATGGGTACTCACGATGCTTCCTTAAATCTAAGACAACATAAATCGAAACAAATGCAAACCTCACGAAGAACTCGCCGACGCTCCTTCTCCTCACGGACTTGGCGTTCGAAAGCTTCTCGAGCATCGGCGTCCTTTTCAAGGCGTCTTTTGAATTCTAGCCTCGCGATGTGCCCCGACTTGGGAGGTCCAAGGATGCCTTCCGGATCCTTCCTTCACACATCGAAATATGTCAGGAGATCATACATAGTTTGCTTGTTCGAAGGTCGAGGTCATTATCATTATTAATTCAGGAAACAGACGATAATCTAACAGACAGTTAGAGAGTATTTACCCATCCTATGCAGCGAATTTGGGGTTTCTCGTTTCTGGGTCTTGACACTTTGTAGAGGGTGCTCGGAAGAGCAAGACGGAGGCAGAAAGAAGTGGACATGGGTTGCCGTTGCTGGAGATAGCAGCAGCTGCTTATCCGTTCGAAAATCTCTAGGATTGTCATAGAAGCCGTTATATATGTCTGAATATAGTAAATCTCAGATGGGCCGGGCCATTGCTTTTCTAAGCCCAATTATTAGAGTAGTATTCTAAGCCCAATTATTAGTAGTAGTAAAAGACATATTTGCCCTAACCAAAGAAATTGAATTTTGAGGGTGGATAATTCTATTTAGTAATTTTGGGGGGGAATTGTTAAATTGGAAAATCTGTGTAGTGCATAAATGAAATTTTATACATTGGGAGAGCCTGGCAATAAAGTCTGAAGGAGAAGCGAAATCGGCAGGGCATTCTCCGCCTGCTCGCCACCGGAGGTCGACTGAGGAGAGAGATCAGGTTGGTTTTTCTCTATTTCTTCAGGGTAATTGATTTTTTCCCGATGCACAGGAAGCACATAATTTCTTTAGATAAAACTTGGGAGGACGGAATAAAATTGTGCTTTAATAAGGTTCGGGCATGATCTCTATTAGGAGTTGGCTGATTGTAGTTCATATTTAAATGTCCTTTCTATGATTTGGATATTAATGGCGAGAATTATTGGATGAATATGAAAGCCGTGGATGCAGGCATTTTACGAACTTATATTTCTGGAAACCTAGGCTTGGAGAAAGTTGTTGGTGTAAATCTTAAAGGGATTGAATTTTTTGAGATGTGTTTTATTTTCTCTTTTCTTGGAAGGTTTGATTTCACAAAAGGTAGTGTTTGCTGGTCTTTTCTCGCTGATGTTGTAGTTTTTTAGTAGTCGACTCCATTTGGCCTAATGTTTCTAGTTATTCCGTTTTATGGTTTGTTGGAAGTTATTAGATTAGGCTGGTGTTAGTGATTTTCCTGGTGACCATGGTGGTCGAGTTAATTAAATGCAAGGGTGATGGTGTTTTGGTTATATTGATTTTGTGGTTCTTTTGTTTATTAATGTGTGCAAGAGGTAATTTATATGGCTTTCAGATCATAAACGTACCTAATGATTAAGTGATTGAAAATTAGAGCTTTGAGTGGATTGTATTATGCTGTTATGTTTAATCTGCAGACTCATGTGATACTCAATTAGTTATTGATTTATGCAAAGTGATATGAATTCTGCCTGAGACATGAGAATAAAAATGAGAATTTTGGAGTTCCTTTCATCTACATTGGGTTTGTGAAGATTCATGGACTAGGCAAGATTCGTACCACTTCGCTGCTTCCTTGATTTAAGTTTCATAAACTCCTAGGTAGTACATCAAACGCATACTGAATAATAGTTATAATAGTTCTTGAGTGTCGTTTGAATTTTCCTTATATCATGGCGGGAGCACCAGGTAACTGGCAATTTGTTTAAATGAACCCAATTATGGTCATACTTCAATATAGTTGACAAAGCATTTGACAATCTATGGGAATTATGGTGTATGCAGTTTCAATGTAATATCTGTGGAAAAACTAATTATTTTTTCAACAAAAAATTAAAATGAAACCTGTTTCTAATTCAATCTAGGCAGCTTCAAGCAGCAGAAGAGTGTCTCTAGTGTGAAACCTTTTGGGTTAGACGTTTAAAGAATCCAAAATTGTTAACGAACTTGTTGAGGGAATTTGGTTTGTTGTCACTTACCCTGTTTAATTTTTGATCCATTTATATGATATATTAGTTGCCTTTTCTTGAACTCTTTGTTTTTATTACACACATATTCAAATAAAAACTGAAAAGGGATTCTTTTAATATCTAATGACCATCTTTTTGTCAACCAGCATCTTTTGTTGTTAAATCTAAATTATACCAAAAATTCAAAGATATATATGGTTAATATGTGTAGTTTCCTTCAGCTTTGATTGAATTGTGTGTGTTATTTTATGGATCTTGGTTCATATTCATCAATTGTAATTATTGTTTTACTTTCCTTATTGAACATAAGTAGCGCCAGACATAATCCTTTTATCCTTGGAGGGCTTTGGATTCTGGTATAATCTCCTCCCTTCTTTTTAGTATGACTATAAGGGGGACTGTAACATTGATGTTGCAGAATGAGAGTGAGTTTGCGAAAGTGAAATAGAGATTAGATTTTGTGATTCGGATAAATGCCATTTTTGCAAATTTTTAAAAACTTGTCCTTCAAAGGAAATCAAATGCACTGAAGATGTTTCTTCATCCAGTGCATTTGAAGAGTGATGGCCATTTTGAATATTATGGGTTGTATATGTTGCGGGGTAGTTATAGCATTTAAGCCAATGCTTAAAAGACAAGAATTGTATAATTGCTGAAGAGATGGCTACTAAAATACTATTTGGAGCCAAGTGCCCGATTTGCATTAACTTTTATCAACACGAAGATTTCTTCCTTTGCACCACAAATAATCTACTTATTTGCCATTCCTGAGTATTGTCGATAGGATATACCCTTTGGATTAAATATTTACAATTGTACATTGTGTTTTTCCTCAGGTATCATGAGTGAATCATTTACAATTCAAATCAGCAGCAACTTGGTGAGTCACCTTCTTGATGATGGCAAGAAAGTAAAGAAGAAAACACGAAAACCCAAACCAAGGATTCCTCGAGAGCCACCTCAGACAGCTCATACAAAGCAGCTTGCTAATGATTCAAATGCAAAAGGTCCCTCCTCAGCTGGATGGCCTCTCGACACTCCCTTGTACTTGCCAGTTCCATCTCAGCAAACGCCCAAATATCCAGAGTTAGATTCCATCAAATCGGTCCTTCATGAGAGTGAGAAAGTTGTTGAGCGGCTGCAGAAGCAGGAGGAGAGCCTGGTACAGGAGGTAACTCAAAGAGCCAAGGAACTCCACGAGAAAGAGTTCAAGCTTCCACATCGCAAACCCATGCCATGTTCAGACCAGAAAGATGCCTGCTTAACTTGCTACAAAGAACATGTCAAAGACCCCTTGAAATGCGCCCAAGTCGTCAAAGATTTTGCTGATTGCGCGCGCAGAGCCAGACAGCAATTGGGCATCAACAATAATTAGGTACCCTTTAGATCCCTTCATCCCCGAAAAACCAATACCAATACCAAATCTTTTGTTGTTTCATTTAATAAACCTTAATTTCCCCATTGCTGCTCCCGATAGGCCTCCAAACAGCTCTGAGCAGGCTTCGATGGGTTGTTTCTTATGAGACATATGTTTTCATGTGTAGATGGTTTCTACATCGTCTCGACTATTACTCCTTGAGGGCTATATTTTCAAGTGAATGACTGTCTCTGTCAAGATTGATTGAGGAAATGAGTGTAAAATGTAGCACGTTAATTTAGTTAGGAATTCAGGGGATTGATCATATGAGTCGAGACAATGCCAAGATTTTGAATAAGTTTCATTTCTTGACTGATTTCTTTCTTTCTATTCATGGTTTCGATCAATAGTCATGTGAAGGCTACATACAATTAATTAGAGTTGGTGAAAGGGGGTTAACATTCTGTGCAAGTCCATGGAATAATATTTATTATTATTTACTATATCTGACTAGTGAGTGGATCTGTTTGGAGTCAAACATTGTGGACTGGAGTGAGTCACAACTTTCACATAATATATATGATCTATAATTTTTTCCAGCAAGTACTGCTATTCTTAGTATTTAATTATTTAATTTTCTTATCATTTACATATTTGTTTAGGCCTCGTGCTAATGTTAGAAACGGTTTTTCAAAGATATCAGCCCACAAGGCGGCCCACAAATTATAGTAAAATAGTTTAGTATAATTACAAAATTAGGTCGACCCGACCCGATCCTTCAAAATGGTAGTATATATACCAACCAGCGTTCTGCCATTTACAAAACAGAAAGTAAAAGTGACAGATATCACTACTTCCCACACTCACTCATCTCACTTCTACACGATGATCCCTCCGTTGGTGGTGGCTGTGGCGGTTGTCGCCGTTGCCGGGATCCTCTGGAAGCTGATCATCAGCTCCGGCGAGAATGAGAAAGGCGTCCGCCGACCGCCGGGGCCGCGGGGCCTGCCGCTCGTTGGGTACATCCCGTTCCTCCGGGAGGATCTGCACCGACAGTTCACGGAATTGGGGCAGAAGTACGGGCCCATCTACAGGCTCCGGCTGGGGAACAAGCTGGCGACGGTGATCAGCTCGCCGGAGCTGGTGAAGGAGGTGCTCCGGGACAACGACACAATCTTCTCGAACCGAGACATAACGGTGGCGTCGCGGATCGTCACCTACGACCTCAACGACGTGGCGTGGTCGCGGTACGGCCCTCTGTGGCGCAACCTGCGGAAGCTCTTCAACCGGGAGATGCTGAGCCACGCGAATCTGGAGGCGTCGTACAATCTCCGGCGAGACAGGGTGAGGAAGACGGTGAGGGACATCTACGCCAGGAACCGCACTCTCATCGACCTCTATGACGTGGCTCTGCAAGTCGACATTGACGTCATCATCAACTTGATTTGGGGCGGCAGGCTCGACGACGCCGGCCGGGACAAGATTCTGTCGAGCCTGGCGCCGGTGGTCAGCGACATCATCGATTCCATGACGAAGCCTAATCTCTCCGATTTCTTCCCGCTTCTGGCGAGGTTCGACCTGCAGGGAATCGAGAAAGAGACCCGCCGGCTTCTGCACAAGATCGAGGAGATCATCGAGCACACCATCGACGAGCGCATCGAGAACCCCTTCAAGAAATCGGAGGCGGAAGCCATTGAAAAAGAGAAGCGTACGGACTTTCTGCAAATCCTGGTGGACCTCATGCTTAAGGAGAACAACGACGAAACCTTCGGCAAGACCCACGTCAAGGCCATGCTCATCGTAATTACTAACTGCATTTTACTAAAACTAATTTACTATAGAAATTAATCTCCGACAATATTAATTACTGTTTGGCGAATGAACGTGGAACAGGACAACATTCTTGTGGCGGGAACAGACACGTCGGCGACGACGATCGAGTGGGTGTTGACGGATCTGATCAATCACCCAAAAGCGATGGAGAGGGTGCAGGAAGAGATCAAGAAAGTGGTGGGGATGGACGCCATTGTCGAAGAGTCCCACACCATGAAAATGGACTTCTTGGACGCCGTCGTGAGGGAGAGCCTCCGGCTCCACCCGATAGGGCCCTTGCTGACTCCGAGGACCCCCAGCCAGACAGTGAGGATCGGAGGGTACACGATTCCCAAGGACTCTGCAGTGTTCCTCAACATCTTCTCCATCCAGAGGGACCCCAAGATATGGGAGAGCCCCACGGAGTTCCGGCCGGAGAGGTTCCTTGAAAGCGCCGGAAAATTCGATTTCCACGGCAACAACTTCCAGTACATGCCGTTCGGGTCGGGGAGGAGGGTGTGCGCCGGAATCCCGCTGGCGGAGAGGATGGTGAAGTACATAGTGGCGACGCTGGTGCACTCGTTCGACTGGAAACTCCCCGCCGGAAGGGAGAAGCTGGACATGGCGGACAAGATGGGGATGGTGCTGAGGAAACGGTCGCCTCTCAAGGCCGTGGCCTGCGCCAGATTGTCTAACCCTCAGCTCTACGCTTGAATCCTTTCCTTTCTTCTACTGTACTACGTGCTGTGCTGTGCTGTGCTGCTAATTACTCCATAAATAATGAGCTTAAGCTTAAGGTCTGGTGTATGATTGGATTTTGAAGGAAGAAGTATTAACACGGAGGCGAAGGATATAATAATTAATATATTGAATTTGTCATCACATCAATGATTTCATTTCAATGATCTCCATATTAACTAATATTGACAGATGGATGAAGCAAGTAAATAGTGAAGATGAAATTTTTAAAGATAATCAAAGAGCAGAGCTAGAGCTGAATTTATACTAAGCGTGATCCTAAATGCGAGGCTACTGTGGGGTAAGGGTGCATTTGGTTTTGATTCTTTCCTACGTTCTTAAAAATACATGAAATAAAAAAGTATTCAAGATTATAGTAGAATGATACAACAAATCAAGCAGCAGAAGCATGATCAGGTTTGCAGTGAGGCAAGTCTGTCTCCATTGTGGGAGGAGTTTTCAGAATGGGATTGCTCTCGAAGAAATTCACAGGCTTCAGATCAAAGCTCGACGATACTGTCGGCATAATCGGATAATCTTCTTGGCACGGAATGTGATGGAACCCCAATGTATACCACACCACAATGTCCCTCTCCTCGATCCCACGATCCCTGCACCATAGTAATTACTAATGTAACAATCCCAGATCAATCAATGAAACAGGAAATTAAATTTAGATCGTCTTCTTCTTCTTCACCTGTTAGACCACACTTCCAGCGTGTCATCCCCCCGGCTTTGGTACGTGAGCAACCCGCCGGCCCATTGCTCAGAGGCGTTGTAAGGAGTGACCCAAATTTGGTTGTTGGAGAAGGCTCCTCTCTTCTGTGGAGGATCGTCGTGATCGAGCAAGTTTGCAGCAGTGCCGGCAGGGACAACCTTGTATCCGACCGGGTTCCCCACCCTCGTCCTCTTTGTGGGATTCACGACATGAAACTCTGACGGCTTGTAGAGATTGAGCTTTATCTGCGCATCCTTTTCAGTCTTGGCCACATCTCTCACTGCCTTCAGGTAGCTCAGCCTCGGGGACTCGCCGGGAGAGGTGTTCTCCCGTTGGAGATGAACTTTTACGAAGGAGTTGTTTGATCCGTCGACGTCCATATCGAGATGGAACGTGATGAAGTGGTCGTGGATGACGCCGATGACATTTTCGGACAAGAGAGTTCCGTAGAGATGTTCTTGGCTGTTTACTTGGTTGATGTTGGTGTAAGAAGTGCCTTTCACCATCAAGATTCCACTCAAACCAACCTGATAACGATCGATTTCACTACATCAGCAAAAGCTTATTTTATTTGGAAGCTGATGTAGGAAAAATGGACAAGACAACCAACCAACCACTATAATTCTCAGGACAAGAATTGATAAGAACAAGCCACTAGACGAAAAGATTATGAACCTTGATTCGAATCAGTCCATCGGTTTGGAATTCCCAATCGACAATGTAGTCGTAGTTGGCCACGGAAGCAGCCATTCTTACCACCAATGTCACTTTCGGCCTCGCCTCTGTTATCTGCAACTCATCAAACACAGTCAGAAATATCTAAGCTGATCATATCAAAATCATTAACGAGTAATGAAACTAAAAATCTACCTCCATTCCAGTGATGGGGGATTCGGAGTGTCGCCATCCGATGTCGCCGGAGTAGCTCTCGAAGACACAAACCATACCGGATCGAACGTACGGCGATCCATCGGCAGCGGCAAACACAGCATCCATGTAGTGTGCATTCCTGGGGCAGTCGTTGAGAGGGTCGAGGGGCATGGCCTGCAGGCCGAAGCCATATTCACCTGCATCCATGTAGGTCTTGAAGTACCAGGCGTCGGTAGGGTCCATGTAGGGGACGAAGAGCTCGGAAGTGAGGCCTTTGTAGAGGACACTCCTCATCTCGCCGGTGCCGGGGTCCTTCACCATGGCCCGGGATATGATCACTCCGGCTCTCGGGTCGGGTTTTAGGTGAAATTCCCAGTTTGCCCACTTGACGAGATGATTGTCTTCTATGGTGAAGCTTGGACCCTTTGGCTGCTCCATGGAAATCGGATTAACCAGGCGGTGGTAGGTGTTCTGGGCTGAGAATCTGTAGTCTGTGTTGGCGCCGCTTGGAATTGGTATCTTCTTCCCTTTGTCTGTGATTTCGATCACTTGCTGCGTGTCCAAATCGACCAGTACTGTTAGACCTTCTATCGGCCTCATGTAGAAATTGGCAGTGCCTTCCATGGAGTAGCATTGGACTTTGATTAATCTTCTGCCTTCCTCTCTTTTGCCTGAGACTTTGTTAATTAATAATTTGTCATCGATTCAAAATAATGTAAATCGAAATATTTAATAAAATTTTCTGACCAAACCAGCCGGCGGAAATGGGGAGACAAGCGAGGTCGGATAAAGCGACGCCGCGCTCCGTCACCGTCCGATTGAAATCGGCGCTGGAAAGAGGGGCCCACGTGACGGACGACATCTCCTCCACCGTCATCGTCGGGTAACCCGACAACCCGCTCGAGTCATGGCAGGTCACCTCGCCGGAACTTAAATCCACCGTCAGAACATACGCCTCCTTGCCGGCGCGTGCCGTGACGGACGCCTTCCTCGGCGGGAGCGCCTCCCCCTTTTTCCACCGGACCACCGTCTTCTTCTCCGGCTCCTCGAGAACTACGGAGTGTAGCGCATACGCTCTGTTTTTGAACAATTCGTGTTGGCGGATGATTTTTTGAACTTTTTGCAGTTCTGATATGGTGAGAGGGTCGAGGGGGTGGTGGGGGACGTCGGCGGAGTGGTGGCGGCGCCGGCGAGTGTGGCTGCCGTGTTTTTGGATTAAGTTGGCGTTGTGGGATTGAATACGGTTCTTAGCGGTGCACCAGGGGGAGTAGGCGGCGCAGTCTAGAAGCGCCGTTGTGGTGGACAGCGGCGAGCGGAGGTTGGAGAGAGCGAAGAGGAATAGCAACAAGGTGAAGCAGAGAAAGAAGGTGTAGCGAAGAAGAGTTTTGGTCTCCATTATTATTATCTCTGTGACCTCTGCACCGCACTTTTTTGCAGTGGAGGAAGACGGGGGCGTATGTGTGCGTATATATATATATATGTATGTACATATGGTATGGTACACTGTAATATCTTTGTATGATTTTTTAAAAAATAAATAATAATAATATTATTATTATTATTATTGAACATGACTGAACCATGACCGTCGTTCAATCCTCATGCCGTCGTTCCTTACTGGTTATAAGTTTGCAAGATGCTTGAGTGATAGGAGTGGCTTTTTTTTAATTTTAATATTTAATATTTTATAAAAATAAAATAAAATTATGTGTTCTAATAAAAAATCACGATAATTTTATAAATCATACACTAAAAAACACCAAATTTGGGAAAAAGTTGGTGCAATGACAATAATATAATGAATTAATGAGTTGGGTGTATGCTTAATATACATAATAATAAAATAAATATAATAAAAGGATGTCATAATTTAATTTCACATGATTGAGATTAGGTCAATATCAATCATATTTAGATCCAGATTAGGATTCCGTGCACACATTGTTATTTTGCTTCTAAAATAAGTTCATGGGAATTCTATTCTATAATCCAAAAAATAGGCTAATTAAGTTTAGATTAGAGTGATCAAATATTTGAAATCATAATATTAGAGTTAAATTTTGATTTGAAATAGTAAAACTTATAAAAAGAAAGTAAATATAATTATAATATATATATATATATACATAGTGAATATACTGGCCGGCCAAGGAATCCGACAGCATCTAACCTATACATTTTATATTTATAGTACTCCTATTATTTTATTTCTCTTCTTTCATTTACATGTTTTTTTTTAAATTCAAGAGACAGAACAAACAAACAAACAATTCCTTATCAATAATTTAGTTGCAGTTTGAAATTAATTATTTGAATAATATTTTGATTATATAATATTTTGATGTAATAAATTTAAAAAATTATTAAATAAATAGGAATGATTTTGATTTGAAAATAATAAAAAGAACAAATTGAAAGGACATGCACAAAACATAAAATGGCGAAGAAACTGGTGTTTATTATTTGACTTTGCATTTAGTAAAACTTATAATAATAAATTTTAATTTGTTATATTTTTTAAATAAGCTTTGATTAATTGTGTTTGCAAATGTTTCATTAAAAATTAAATTAATATTTTACCTTTCTACAAAAAATAAAAAATAAAAAAATTGTATTATACTTAATTGTTTCCAAATATCTTATTTTGAAGTATGTTTGTTTGGAGGTTTGGATTTTGAATTGGGATTGAAATAATAAAATTTTTGAATTTGAATAAATAGGTGTTTTATGTGATATTTTGAATGTAAAATTGATTTTTAGTATAATATAAAAAATAAAATATAGGTGTTTGATTTGATATTTTTTGAGAAAAAAAAATTGGATGAACAGTGTAAATCCAATCCAATCCCCAAAATAGACCCTAATTCAATGCGAAAGTGATCACTATTTGATTAAAATCTGTTCGTTCCCATCAAAAAGCTATAACCACAAATCTAAAGCTGAAGAAAATTACAGTCCAGACATGGACATATATATATATATATATCTATCAAGAAACATATCTAAACACTTGCATCTCCGTTTCTTTAATTTTTTCTTGTATAGCCGTCGCAGCCGCTACCAGAAATTGTGCACGGTATAAGCTTCGACCGAACCTACTATCCTTCTATTTCTTCAATTTTAGAATGTATAGTCATGGCTAATCTCTGCTCGACTCGGCGCTGTGGATCGATTTGAGTTAATTCCAGGCACAAGCTAAGCCCGGCGCCAGGCGATCAAGCCGATACAGTAGCTTTACAAACAGGGAGTTCACTTTCCTGATATGGAGCGATCTTCAGCACGGGGTTTCTTTCGAAGAAATTCACCGGCTTCAGGTCAAATCCAGACGACACGGTCGGCATGATCGGGTAGTCCTCCTGGCACGGCACGTGATGGAAACCCAACGTGTACCATACCACAATGTCTCTGTTCTCGATCGCCCGATCCCTGATATACAATAAGGTTTCAATCACGATCATTATTTACACTTGATGAAAACGGCGATGTAATAAATAGTAGCTGCCGCATTTACCTGTCGGACCACACTTGAAGCGTGTCTTCGCCGTGGCTCTGGTAAGCGAAGAGCCCGCCCGACCATAGCTCCGACCTGTTGTAAGGAGTCACCCAAATTTGGTTGTTGGTAAACGAACTTCTCTTCTGTGGGGAATCCTCAGGATCGAGCAGGCTAGCAGCATTGCCCGAAGGAACAACCTTGTACCCGACAGGGTTGCCCACTTTAGTCCTCTTGCTCGGATTGACGACGTGGAATTCAGACGGGTCGTATAGCTTGAGCTTGATCTGCGCTTCTTTCTCCGTCTTGGCAACAGTCTTGTTAACTTTCATGTAGCTCTTTCTCGGGGATTTTCCGTGCGTATATGCCCTTTGGAGATGTACATTGACAAAGGAATTGTCCTCGCCATCGATGTCCATGTCGAGGTAGAAATTGATGTAGTGGTCATGGATGACTCCGATTATGTTGTCTGCCAAGAGAGTTCCATAAAGGTCCTCGTTTTCGTTCACTTGGTTCATGTTAATGTACGATGTCCCCTTCACGATCACCATGCCCGTGAGCGTAACCTGGACAGCAATCAACCAAGCAAGCATCCGGTTAGAAAGTTATGTTCCAAACAACATCGGTACTATGTTGTAGGATTACAATGATCGATGTCGTCGCCAGCCAACCTTGACATGGATAAGCCCATCGGCGTGAAACTCCCAATCCACGATGTAGTCATAGTTGGCAAGGGTTGCAACCATTCTTGCAACTAACGAAATCTTCGGCCGCGCCTCTAGGAACTATACGAAAACACACAACTCTTCAACACTACAACACATCTCACTAATCTAACCAAAATTATAAGATGGTTGTCAAGTAGTTATACCATGTTGCCTGTAAGAGGTCCCTCAGTATGTCTCCAGGCAGCGTCGCCAGCGTATCGCTCGAATATACAAATCATGTTCGACTTAACATACGGCGTGCCATTAGCAGCTGCGAAAACTGCATCCATATATTTAGCATTGCGGGGACAATCATTCAGGGGATCGAGGGGGAGGGCCTGGAGCCCGAACCCGTATTCCCCGGCATCCATGTATGTCTTGAAGTACCAAGCCTCTTCAGGGTCCATGTACGGCACGAAAAGCTCGGAAGAGAACCCCTGATACATGACATTCCTCATTGCACCGGTCTCGGAGTCGCGCACCCTGGCTCGGGAGATGATCACGCCGGCTCGGGGATCGGGCTTGAGGTGGAACTCCCAATTCGCCCATTTCACCAAATGCTCGTCCTGGATCACGAAGTTGGGGCCGTTGGGCTGCTCCATGGAGACCGGGTTGGGGAGGCGGAAAACGTCGCCGTTTTGAGCGGATAAGCGGTAATCGGAGCCTTTGCCATCGGGGATGGGGATGGGGGTGTGTTTGCTTCTGTCTATCAATTCGATCACTTCAGTGGTGTCCAAATCTGTCACCACAATTATCCCTTCGATAGGTCGCATGTAGAAGTTTGCAGTGTCTTTCATGTAGAAGCATTCCAGCTTCACCAATCGTCTTCCCTCCTCAGCCTTGCCTGAACAAAATTAAATGATGGGATTCGATTCTTTACTGTTCTTGATCCTTCAATTTAAAAGTTATGTCCGAATTTGATAGAAATTGAAGGAGAATCATATGTCCGTACCGAACCATCCAGGGGAGAAAGGCAAGCAGGCAACATCGCTAGGATCGACGCCTCTTTTGAGGATCGAGCGGTTGAAATCGGCGCTAGAGAGTGGAGCGTACACCACTTTCTGCATATCCTCCATCGTCACCAGAGGGAAGCCGGAGATGTGGCTGGTGTCGTGCTCCGCCACCGCGCCGCTGTCCAAGTCCACCGTCAGCAGGTAGTTCTTGCCGGAGGCACGTGCAATCACGGACGCCTTTCGCGGCGGGAGGGGTGAGCCCTTATTCCAATTGAGAACCACCTGCTTGTCGGGCTCCTCCAGGACCAGCGAGTGGACGGAATAAGCATAGCCTGCTCCCGATTTGGAAAAGAAGGATTTGATGAGCTTCTGCACTTTGTTCATCTCGCGGATGGTGAGCGGATCCAGGGGGTGGTGGGGGACGTCTTTGGTGTGGTCATGGGAGAGGGGCGGCGGGCGGCGGAGGAAGCGGTTCTTGGAGGTGCACCAGGCGGAGTTGCCGGCGCACTGGACGAGGTGATCGAGCTTGTCGGGGAGAGGGGTGGGGAAGTTGTAGATTGTGAAAAGCGTGACTAGGAGAACGGTGAGGATGAAGATGATGCACCGCCGGAAGTGCTTGGCCTCCATGGCTGCTTTGTATCTCTCAGAGCAAGGTATGTATATATATATATGTATATATATACACACACAGAGGATGAATTTGAGTGGTAAGAGTTGTGAAGTGTTCGAATTAGTTGAGTCTGAGATGTGCGACTTTCCTATGCTTAATATTCCCTCCATCCATGTACCTTAAAATCAATTAATACTTTTCTCTTTCTCTCCTTCTTTTTTTCTTTTATTATTATTATTATTATTATTATTATTTTTTTTTATGACCTATGAATTGCAGTCTAAACTAATATGTGTGTTAACGATTCGAGGCATTTGAATTTTGAATTTATGACAAATCACAAGTGTAATTCCCACAACACTGAACACTGGATCATCTTTATCCATCGAATTTGTCGGACTTAATTTGTAAATTAGATTTATGAAATTTACTTAAAGCCGCACATTTCATAGTAGCGGCAGATTTCCACACTTAAAAAAAAAAAAAAATTAGTACACCTCTCCTTTCAATTTTATACATTCTTTTAAAATTATAAAAAAAGAATAATAAAATTAAATGATGAAGAGAATACTACTTTTATACATTTGTTCATAATTTTATTATTTTTATTTTAATACTATATAATAACTAATTTATCATTATATTTTTTACAAATCTCATTATTTATATTAATTATATATTTCATATAATTAATTTTGTACAATTTTGCCGAAATACAAAACAAACATAAACTCTTTATTTGGATTTTTTTTTAATTTTTATTAAAATTATAATATATAGGAGTATTTTTTTTTCACACATAATATATTCTCTATTATTAGTTAAGATATAAAATTCAAATTAAATAATACTACTATTTTCAACACAAACTCGAAAGAAATACACTTTTTTTTTATATATAAGATAGGAACTTACAATCGTTACTCGAAAGTATGAACTGGATAAATGACCTGCCGAATCTAATGACAATAGACAAACCATGTGTAAAAGAATGTGAGATGGCGGAAGTTTGATCCAATAGAGAAACACAGCTTTGTTGAATAAATAAATTGTACACGAAATTAGTGAGTCCATGAAGTGGGTGGGTGGATTCTCACTTGCACGCACACACACACTATATATATATATATATATTATAAAATAGTATCTTCTTCGTTTGGGGTATTAGAATAATCATAATAATAAAAATAGTAATAATTCCTAGGAAAGTGTACATGTTTATTTATATCTCAACTACTATTCAGCAAGGGAGGATGTTTGGTGCACGTGCACTGACCGTTAAATTGAGGGATTATTAATGTCTTTCGTAGATTTTAAGATTAATAGTAAGACGACACACCATAGATATTTCCTCTTCTGATCCAAGAAACTATATATATATAAATAAATAACAAACCAATTAGCGTGTGATTGTTTTGTGTCTTGGTTTAATTTTTTATTTTTATTTTTAAGTAAATTATAAAAAATTGAATAGATAATATAAATATAATATGTATTTAATATATTAATTTATTTTTTTTAAATGAAATTATTTTGTTAAAGAAACAGATTTTTACGGCAACTCCAACTATATACCAAATATAATAATGTACAACAGACAAACAACAAACACTATTTTTTGTGTAATAAATGGTAGTCCATTGTAGTGTATAAGATCAACTCAAATCTACTGCAAAAAATATTATGTAATTTTGTTGTTTTGAAAATAATTGTTTCAGATATTTTTCAGAATAATTCATATATATATATATATATATATAATAAGAAATATACTTTTTTTTTTAAAATAAAATTTGAAATTTATTTTTAAAATAAAATTAGGATGTAACAACACTAATTTTTAAAGTGAGGGATGGCTTTACAGTAATTGAAGCCAACAGAATATGCCCACAGAAATTGGCTATCCAAAATTCCACATGCAATATGGGTCAGTTCATATTTATATAAATAAAAGAAACAACTTAAGGTTTTTCCTTTTTTTAACAACTTCAACAACCAACAAATTAATCCTAAATATATATATATAGTCAACAAATTTGGTCGCATTCACAACTTAAAATTCACCAACCTCACCTCTCTACATATTTGATCATTCTTTAAAATATTGTTAGATAGATATGTAGTTGTAAAATTGTATAACTTTGACTCTGAAATATTCAAGTGACAACTACCATTGAATAATAATATATATATATATAATTCAAGTGGTGACCGTACGATTGGAGCTCCTGTTCATCGTCACACTATTACTTTTAATTTCGAAAAATAAATAATAAATATTTTGGGGAAGTGACGATTTTTTAATTTATTAAAATCGCATTACCATTGGAAGCCAAATTAAAGAAAATGAAATGGTCCTTAATTATGTCCATGGCCAAAGTAAAGGTCAAATTTTTTGGTGCGCCATTCAATAATTAATGTTGCTGTCTAAAGTCGTATCTATCATCATGTAGTGCGACTGCCAAAAAATCTCACCAATTTTCTTTATTTTATTTGTTTATTTTGTAATTCAAATAAGATTTATATAATTTATTTTATTAAAAGACACGTGTACGAAATAAATTGGGTACGGAGTAAATAAGATGGAACAAGAACCAAAGTACATCCGTAAAATAGCAATTTTGTGTAAATTATTTATTTATTTAAAAATTATTAAATAGTAGTACTATAATACAATCTTATACGAGGAAAATAATGATTATTGAATATTGCAATAATTGGGCGGACAATTCCACAACAGTTATACAGATCAGAATGTCCAATGAGAGCATCTGGGCTGGCTGGGCTGGATTTAGTAAGTTAACTTAAGCCCAAGAATTGGTATTTTTATTTTTATTTTTATTTTTATTTCTACTTGTTTTTTCATGCATGAGAAAAAAGTAAATACAAAGAAACTGCCTTTATTTTTTGCAGCACATAATGATTAATGATTGTAAGTGGCGAAAGAAAAGTTGATGGGATCTCGATACCTTTTTATACATGAGCATTGAAAACTAAGTCCCAGTACAGTACCATTTATATATGCGCAGTGTTGCTGTTGTCATCCTGACATATATATGATGTAGTTAATTAATTAGATTAGATGTTATTCATGAGGTTTTCATTTAATTTGTCCCCTCGATCTCACTGATTAGTCTATTAATTTTAATTAATCACATTTTTCTAAATGCAGATAGATAGATAGATAGATATACATACCTTTCATGACTTGAATCGAATGGCTTAATTATTACAATTATTATTATTATTATTATGTTAAAACTCAATTAATTGTCGTGAATGGTGGAGAGCCGAGACGACGCCGTATCCTGTTGTTCTCTATATCATATATCTTTCTTTCTGCAAAGTTGTTTAACGACTTTAATTCATTGGATCCCTAATTTCTACGCCTAACTTCTTTTTCTTTTTTTTTTTTTCCAATTATATATATACACATATTCTCATACATTCAATTACTACCAGCATTGCTAAGAAATACAAATAATTATTGAGCCAATAAGGAACAATATTTACTCTGTATTAGAGATGATTTGATTGATAAATCTAAATCAAGATTAGGCCTTTAGGTTCAAATCATGTCTGGAAAGTCAACAGTACCGTTGACACGTGGCAATTTTTTTAATTTCTCTAATAGGGAGGAAATATTTTTTTGACTTGAGTATCCCCAGATTAGGAATCTTAATACAGATTGAGAATGTCTGCAAGTTCAAATGAAACCATTAATCCAGTACAATTTTATTAATATATTTTTTGACAAGCTAAAATAAATTATTGTCATTTTTATAATAAAAATTCACTATCAGTATGTATACAGCCAAACAGCAGCTTCTGGAATTAGGTGACCCATTCCTTTCCATCGCCAGATTTCAAAATTTTGAAACCCAACATTAGTTTCAACATATATAATTGAATGTATTGACTACAATTTCAAAAGATCGAATCTTTATGATTATTAGAGGGCCAATTCCAAGTGAAAGACATCAACAAGTAAGACAAGAAAATATGGGGTAAAAAGGTGAAATTTTTGGAAGCAGAATATGGGGTGAGAAAAGAACAAATAAGTATTTTTATTTTTTTTTTCCTTTCTTTTTATGGGGTTTTCTTTTTATTTGATTTAAAGCTGGTGCATGTTTGTGAAAAAGCCCTTTTCATGTGCTTAAATTTAGGAAAAAAGTGAATTCTAAATATCCACAGCATGATATTTATGTAAGAAGATTTTGTAGATCTAAGAGTGGTAATGTCGAATGTGTTCATGCAGTCTTTGAAAGTCTTCCCTTCTGACGACCTTTTCCCACTGAACCCCACTTTCTTTCATCGCCAATCTGCCCTATCTCCCACCCAACCACAATTCCACAAAGAAATTGATTGCCTTCAGACAAGATCCACTTACAGAGAAAGAAGCCCCTCGTTTTTAATTCTCATTGCAGCCATGAGAATGAAGCTGTGATTTTACGACCAGGAGCCGAAAACTATTGTCCGAATTTCGAATTTTTTCTCATTTTGAGTAACGCTTCTAAAATGGAGAAAATCTGTCGGCGGGATCACCTATGCACTCTCCTTCTCCTCCTCGTCTTCGTATGTTCTTACTGCTTACGATCTGCTCGAGGGAATGCCGAGCTTAGAGCATTGATGGAGATCAAGTCTTCTTTAGACCCGGAGAAGAAGTACTTATCGTCGTGGACGGAGAACGGCGACCCTTGCGGCGGGTCATTCGTCGGAGTGGCCTGCAACGAGCACCGGAAAGTGGCTAATATCTCTCTGCAGGGTAAAGGGCTCACCGGGAAAGTGTCGCCGGCGGTGGCGGGGCTGAAGTGCTTGTCGGGTCTTTACTTGCACTACAATTCTCTCACCGGTGATATCCCCAAAGAGATTGCTAATCTGACCGAGCTGACTGAGCTGTATCTCAATGTTAACAACTTAAGTGGGACTATACCTCCTGAAATTGGAAACATGGCTAGCCTCCAAGGTTTGTTAAGCTTCGATGAAATTAAAAATAAATAATTGCAATTTTGATTGATGAAGATAAGCGTATTTGCAGTGATGGAGCTATGCTGCAACAACTTGACAGGGATGATCCCGACAGAAATGGGGTTGTTGAGAAAACTGAGTTTTCTTTCGTTGGAAAGGAACAGACTGAGTGGAAGAATTCCTGCAAGTTTAGGAGGTTTAGGGATGCTGAAAAGGTTGTTTTTGAGTTTCAATCAGCTCTCTGGTCCAATTCCTGTTGGATTGTCTAATCTTTCTTCATTGGAGATTCTCCAGCTGCAAAACAATACCCTTTCTGGTGTTGTTCCCCCTGGTGAGTTCTGATTTTGATTTTGATTTATATTCACTTTTAAAAAATGTTTCTTGAATTCTTGAAAACTGTGGAAATGTAGCTTTAAGGAGGATGGAAGAGAGGTTTCGTTTTGAGAATAATCCTGGTTTATGTGGCGCTGGATTTCCTTCCTTGAGAGCATGTACTCAATGGGACAATCTTAATATCAATCAGATCGATCCATCTTCCAACAGGACAGTTTCGAACATACCTCAATCAGCCAATTTTCCATTATCCTGCAATGGATCTCATTGCTCGAAATCATCATCAAAGGTTCCGCAGGCAGCCATTGTTGCAGGGGTGATCACACTTACAATCTCACTAATGGTGGTGGTATTTATCTGCATTGTTCGTTATCGCCGCGGCAAACAGAAAGTCGGGAATAGATCAGATGCTTCGGATGATCGGAGTGTTGACTGGCAAGCAAAAGACTTCAAGAGAAGTCCCTCTCCTCTCGTGGCTCTAGAATACTCGAGTGGTTGGGATTCTGCGAGTGCTGCTCAAGATTGCAATGGCGGGTGCCATGATTTTGTGCAGGGGTCTAAGTTCAATCTAGAAGAAGTGGAATCAACCACACAGCATTTTTCGGAGGTGAATTTGCTCGGTAAGAGCAAGTTCTCGGCCGTCTACAAGGGGATTCTTAAAGACGGATCGATCGTGGCAATCAAGAGCATCAACAAGACTAGCTGCAAAACAGATGAGGCTGAATTCATGAAAGGATTGAGCTTATTGAATTCTCTCAAGCACGAGAATCTCGTCAAGTTGAAAGGCTTCTGTTGCTCAAATGCTCGGGGCGAATGCTTCCTAGTCTACGAATTCGCCTCAAACGGTAACTTATCCGAGTATCTTGATGTCCACGACGATAACGGCAATGTTCTCCTAGATTGGCCAACTAGAGTCTCAATCATCCATGGAATAGCAAAAGGTATCACAAATTCTTCGTTCAAGTTTCAAGACTCGTTTCTTCATGAATTATTGCATTGAATCGACATACATACGAATGGTTTTGCTTGTTGTAAAGGGCATTGTCTATCTGTTTCAGACAAGGCAATTAAATGTAGTTTCTTGACCAGGCTATAAACTACACAGGCCGTTGCAATAAATGTGTGGTCAATGATCCGACAATTGTTGGTCCACAATTGCGAGCATTGAAGTGCACATTTTGTTGATTCCATAACATAGGATAAGTATTACATATCTACTGTTCAAGAATATCTTTCAACAATGTCTTAAATGAGGTGTTCTTTCTGAAACAGGTGTAGAATATCTGCACAGCAGTGAGCCCAGCAAGCCCTCCATCATACACCAGAACATATCAGTGGAAAAGGTTGTCCTGGATCGACAATTCCGGCCACAGATTCTTGATTCCGGTCTCCTCAAGCTCGTTGCCGATGATGTTGTTTACTCGGCCCTGAAAGTCAGCGCTGCATTGGGCTACATGGCTCCCGAATACATCACCACAGGCCGGTTCACCGAGAAGAGCGACGTGTATGCATTTGGAGTTATTATCCTCCAAGTGCTCTCCGGCAAGAGACTGCTCTCGAGTTCCATGCGCGCCGCAGCAGAATCCGGAAAAATGGAAGAACTTGTCGACTCAAAACTCCACGGCAAGTTCCGGGAAAGTGAGGCTGCCCGACTGACAAAAATTGCTCTGAACTGCACGCATGAAAGCCCCCTCAACAGGCCGAGCATTGCCTCGATTGTTAAGGAGCTGGATGAGCAAAGTGAGTGATGTTTAGCAGCATATGTGATAGTTTCTGGGAATAGATAGGTTTAGTGTACCTGTTTCAGCACTTTTAACATATCAATAATTGCTTACTTCTACCAAAGATTCTTCTTCTCATTGATGTTTAACTTATATTTAATGTAACAGTGTAGACAGAAACACATAAATATAGATCCCTATTACCATTTCTTGGCATATGCTTTAAGCATATCCAAGAATGTACTAAACTCAAAGGGATGAAATTATCTAAATAGGAAACAAGGTTTGGATAGTAAATGGCTTCTTAGAAATCCCTAAATTCTTATGGTCTCGAGACTAGGCAGCGGCGCTCTGCTGTTGGTGATCGAGGGCCCAATGCGACGGCCACCATTTAGGTCTTATGGTCTCTACTTTGACATGTTCGTGACCATTTATGGTCAATGAGGTTGTCCCTTTGAATGATTCCTCCAGGCGAAGCAGTCCCAGGCCGCATGATCCAACTGCAGTCGTCACTGTCCCGACTTTCTTTTGTGATGCCGTGCTGACCACCTCGGAACCAGGAGGTATTTCTTGCTCTAGATCTAAATTGAATAAATGCAGCAGTTAATGGTGCTGCCTGATCATTGAAGAACAAAAGATTAATTGGGAGGAGCTAGTTACCTTTTCCACTGTCACTCAGAAATCTTAGAGGAATCAAACGCTTTCGGATAACTCCCCGGTGATGTGTACGAGCAACGAGTTCTTGTCCGACATAACATCCTTTATCAAAGCTTATCGCATTTAGACCAGCTAGGTTGTATTCTAGTGGTATTGCCTCGCCTACAAAAGAATCATGAAGAGTTTATATAAGTAGCTTAGAATCCAAACGTGAAGAGGAACGCTGTAGAATCGACAAAGCACACAAAATTTGTAATCGTAGAAAAATATCTACCCTTTGGAATTTCAATGGGACCTTCAGCAACACCCTTCTCTATTCTCCAGAGAACAAAATTTCCTTCATCGGTTTCTTTATCCGACTCAACAAGAGGTGCTGCGTGGAAAAGTTAACACACACCAGATCACCACAAGGCGGATCCAGGAATCAATCAGGAAAACTTAAAATCATATGCAAGAAATTAAACATATTAAACCAAGTCAAATGTTGAAGCAGCTGAAGCACAAATACAGTGTTTTGTTGAACTTACGAGTTGTATTGGATGGAAATATGCCTCGATATCCAAGACAAGCCAATCTTGGATCCTTTTGCCATTGCCAACCATAAGCATTTCCCTCTGAAGCTGATGCACCAGCTCTATCCACAGTACCACCCCAACCCACAGAATCAGCTTCTGGATCCTCTGATATTGAAGACTTCCCTTCAAGGTTTTTGCCAAATCGTTGCCAGCAAGAGAAATCTTCTGCTACATTCTCAATATCAACTTTAGACCTTAAACGGTATCTGTAAAATAACATTGTTTCGCAAAACTTAAAAGTAGTAAAGATAACCCAACACAGAAATAAGAACACACTGACTAAAATATTATTAGCATTAATATTACTCAAAGCTAAATAGCCACGCAACAATTTAAGAGGTGAACAGAAGAGAAATCTACTTTCAGTTAGACAATAGGTTTTGTACACGGGTATCCACTCTTTCAATAGACACATATCAAACATTCCAACCTTCTGACAATCGAAAGACAAATATAAATAATTCAAATCTTTTACACGCTCTTGTTCAAAATTGCACCTTTTTACATAGAGTATGGTATTAAGCATATTCGAAGAACTATTACTTAGACAGTTAACTCATCTATTTAACAAAACCCGAAGAATTAATTTGAGCAAAGAGGCAAGAAGGGTGTTGATCTTTAACTCACACGCCAGAAGTTCCTATAGTTGCATAACAGTAGATGTGTCTCAGCAACTAGTTCACTTAACAATTCAACTACCCCTCATAAACATTCCTCACTGGACAATCCTGCAATATCACTACCCCGTGCGATCTTTTCTGCACAGGAAATCTACTATAGGATGGTAAGTGTTTAAAGATTTTTCCATAAGAAAATTTTGCTACTGAGAATGGCATCCACCACTTGCAGTTTCATATTCCACAACTAACTAATTTGAACAGTACATCTACCTAAAATCACAATACTTTACATGCTGAACAATACGGTTGGTTACCATACAGCAGTAGAAATAGACAGAAAAAAAAAAAAAAAAAAAAAAAAAAAAAGGATTCTCAAATCCTAACCTTTTTAATGTCGCCAAGATTTCATCCAGGATGGACCGATCGACATCGGCGTAAATCTCCAGCTCGCCGGAGGAAGGTCCGGGCCCAGACCCGGTCCGGTCGAGCTTTTCATCGGAACGGGGAGGCTTGTAGAGAAAGAAATCGCAAAGAAACCTTCCTTGCGGAGTCAGCATAGCGGAGTAAACAGGAGGAGTCTGAAGTGCAGACAAGTTGGGGGTAACGCCATTCCCGGCAGTGGATTCTGGTTGGTCCAAACTCCGCACGTCGTTGGTCAGCAGACCCTGGAGAAATTTGATGGTTTCGGGACCCTTAAAGCGGATCACGGATCGCGACTTGAGAAGCGAGGCCACCGGGCCAGCTGAATCGAGCGACGACTGCGTAGAGAAGAATCTGCGGCAATTGCAGGAATTGCATCTTAGGAACTGGACGAAAACGCTGGGGCGATGCATTTTCGAGGGAGCTTGCGAGAGGGGAATGAGAGCTGCCGAAGTCTTGAGGCGGTGGTCAGGTGCATGGTTTCGACTTTGAGAAAAAGGGGAAGGAGACACGTGTGGCGACGCAGTGGCACCGCGCTGACGCCATGGCTGCAAGGTATTCGATGAAATGCTTTTAGCCTTTTACCGTCAGCAGAGCTGCAGGCAGAAGACGACGTCGTAATGCTCTCTATACTATAATAAGTATTTCATGGGCCTTATTTTGAAAATTGGGCTTTCTCTGTAATATGGGCAGTGAAAGAGTGCTTTGATTGGGCCCAGTTAGAAATTGGACAAGTAAATTTAAATTAATTGTGCTTTAACAATTGTTTAAATCCAATGTACTTCTATCTTAATTAATAAATTAAGTAAAGGTAAAATTTAATAACGGAATTCGTTATATAAAAATAAAAATAATATATGTCAATATAAAAATATGATAATTCTTCATCCTTTTCATCTCTACCCTTGTTTGACTATCAAAGGTCAACTCTTCTTACAAGCAATAAACTAGTCCCTGTCGTAAATATCTATATAAGTATGCATTTGTACTAAACTAACACTTATCTCTTCATCATTCAATAAAATAATGATAATAGTGATCTTTTGCATTCAAGACATGGTCAGAAGCTGTTCATCAATTTATAATTTAGTCAATACATTTTCCCACAATAAATTAATGCAAAATAAAATTCTGGGATGGCCACGACGGGCATGGAAGAGTGGAGCCATTACTGTCTGGTGCTGAGATCCTGGATCTTCCATAGCCTATTATCTCAACTCTTGACAAAAACGTCATGTGACGTGGCTCTTTAGTAGCCAATAGATGCAGTTGGCTTTAAAAGAACGGACGGCCAGGATCTCCTTGTTAAAGAAACCATAGAGTCACTCTCGCAGGCAATATTATGTCGGGTCGGAGTATAATTTTAAGGATAAGTACTAACGTTGTAGAATTGAAATTAAATAAAAAAAAGGATTTATTAAATTAATATTAGTATTAATTTTGTCTTAGAGTAGGATATACAAATATGGTTTTAAATAGGAATTGGATGGTTTTGAAAACCAATTATGTTTTCATTTGTATGATTTGACTTTTGCCCTACTTCCTCTAGAAACATGTAATTTTTTTTTATATATTATAAAACGCACTAAATTTGAGTTTTAAGCATTTTCTATAGATACAAACGTGAATATATATCTATCTTATATTATTAATTCTTTTTAAATGTTAAATTTTCAAAACCACACATATGAATTTACTGAATAAGGAAATTACAGCATGGAATGAACTGTTGTCCAACTCTTACCTTATAAAAATCTTCTTCTTTCCTTTGACAATTTTTATAATAGAGAAATTGTTGTCGAGTTATCAACGTTAGCTGCAGCAGAGCATAGCATATCAATGGAAAAAAACAAATCTTTGCATCAATCCAACCGCCATGTTGGATTTTGGTGGCAGTAATTGTCAACGGTTTTGACAGAGATGGTTTTGTCCAACTTGTCTTTGCGTCGCCGTTTAAAACCCGTTTCGAAGACAACTAAAGTGCCATCCCATCATTTTCCCACTTTCCTCCTGAAGATAGAGAAAAACGAAAACCTCAACTTGAACACCAAGAAACACAACAACAAATACAACTTGGGAGGGACAATTCATCTATACATACATACAAGATTATGAAGCTGGTTTGGTCTCCAGAAATTGCCTTGAAGGCTTACACAGACACCGTGATATCAGTAAGTTCGTTTTTTGTTTTGATGATCACTGATCAGATCAGAGCTTCTTCTCCAGGAGAAATAAATATATATATTTGAACTTCTGTGTGTATTACTATATAGTGTGGAGACATGGAAGGATCCAGTGTAGCAGAGTTCATTTCAGCCATGGCGGCAGGGTGGAACGCCCGGCTGGTGGTGGAAACATGGACACGTGGCGGTGCCATCGCCTCCAGCATTGGGCTCGCCATTGCCACGCGCCACTCAGGGGGGAGGCACGTCTGCGTAGTCCCTGATGAGGACTCAAGGTCAGCCTATATCGAGGCCATGAGAAATTCCGGCCAGGCGGCAGATGTGGTGGTGGGCCGGCCGGAGGAGGCGGTGGAAGGGCTCGAAGGGATTGACTTCCTGCTCGTGGACTGCTCGAGGAACAACTTTGCAAGCATACTCAGGGTAGCAAAGTTGGGACACAGAGGAGCTGTTCTGATCTGCAAGAATGCCAGCTCTGGCGCCACTGTCGGTTTCCGGTGGCGGAACGTGCTCGACCAGGGCTTGAGGATCGTACGGTCGGAGTTCCTGCCGGTGGGGAAGGGGCTGGACATGGCTTATATTGGTGCCAAAGGGGGTGGCTCCGGTAAGAAGGGTCAGAGTAGGTGGATCAAAACTGTCGATAGCCATACAGGAGAAGAATTTGTCATCAGGAAGTAATTGGAGTTCGATTGTTTTAAGGTTTAGGGCTGGCTGTACATAAGTTTTAAGGATGGATTAATAATAGATAGTTTTGCAACGAGGAAACTATAGTTGCATATATCCATATAAAAAGACAAATGGGATTATGAAACTGGTGGTCTCTCTTGCCACACATTAATTGAGAATAAAGTTTGTAAAGTTATTACCATTCATATCATATGATTTGTGAACTCAATAATGAGATTCTTTCTTGGACAATAAATAGCAAATATGTGTGTCTAAGGGACTATAGTTTGAGAAAACTGCTGATCGACAATGCTGAGGAGTTGTGTTCTTATTCAGGCGCAGATTCGTAGACCGTCGCAACTTCTTCCATCGCTTACTTTTGTCGCTCTGCTTTCTTCTTTTCCAGTTGTTTTTGCTTGCCGAGGGCCGACCTGTGTGGTGAGAATCGAATGGTTAGAGTCTGTCATGCTGTGATTAAGGCAAGGGAAGAATAATGTTTTGAGTTCTTACAACATGGCGATCTTCTTGAGCGTCGCTTCTGAAGGAGGTGTTGGAACATAAGAAGCAGAATCTATGATTGCCTGCCAAATTCATTGCAAATTTAGCACGTCCGGGAAAAAATGCATCACGGCAAAATTTGTCCTTGCTAAGAGATAAATACCTGCAGTTTCTTTTTCTGGTATGAGAATACTTGTAATTTTGCCACAGCATCCTCAGTGTTACTCCTAAATCAAATTAGGGTGTGAGCACTGCTCGAAGATCGTAGCAAACAAATGTAAATTACAATACCAAATTGATGTGTGTTACTTTTGGGCTCTTGACTTTGCTGATGTTATCACTATCTCCCCGTCTTTATTGATTCGGTTCTTTTCCTATCACCAACATCAGAAGTTAGTGTATTGTGAGAACTACACAAATACTACCAAGAACTTCACCAATGCCGAAGAATTAGCTAAGAAAGAATAATAAGAAGAATGGATGATGTATCGCTTGTACATTCAAGCACAAGGAGAACGGTCAGCTGCCAAGAACATGGCAGTCGGCAAAATACTACTTCAACCCCAAATTATATGTCAAAGGAAAATTAGAGGAGCAGCATCTCACCATTTGTAAAATCCTATCCCTCACCCTTTCGTTTAGCCAATTTGCATTTTTTACATTAAACCGCATTTCAACCTTGGAGCTTACTGAGAAAATAAATTCAAAGCATCATTCATACCCAAAATATAAGATTTAAAAAAATAAAAAAAAAAGTTATGAATACAATAGAAATATGGTATCACAAACTTTTGTTAGCATTCGGAGGTCCTCCTTGCCCGATGTTCCCATAGCTTATGGTAACATGATCTGTATGTGGAGAGAAAAAATAAAAGAAAAATGTTGAGAGTAACTCCTATAATATATTCCTTCTTTGCATAAGTTAAATATGCTTAGTACCCTCTTCATTCCAAAGAGGTATAAGTCAATGAAATCAGCTATATATCATGGGAAACTAAGAAAAAAAGCTTTTAACAAATGGGTCGGGCAAAAACGAACACAACACTAGAACCATTATCATCAATTATATTTCACAAGCAGGTCTCTTCTCTAACTAGCTACCCCAACCTCTGCTAAATAATAAGCAAAAACAAAGATTTGTTTATCTGAGCAGAAAAATTAGATTGAAAACACATTTCTAGAGTATTTCACAACCACCTAGGTTGTTTTTCCGTAATTATAATGGCACAAGGAATTTGTGAATTTCAGCTATAAAAGGAAGGATCAATTAGGATACATAGGATTCAAAATATCATATCATGTGTAATAATATTCAGAAATCTGATTACTTGAACAAGGCTTAAATATGACTAAGTTTTCTAACATCATGCACAACATTTCAGAAACTATTACGATTAGAGATTAGATACAAAGTATTTACTGATTTGAAATAATGAGCATTCCACTTTTCAGAAATTTATTAAAGTGGATGGAACATAAAAGAAATCAATCGCCTAACACGGTCCTAAGTAGTCATACCTATAAATGCAAAATATAAACCAACAAAAATGTGATAAATATCATAGACATAACAATGCATAAAAGTCTGATATTTTTTCAACTTAGCTATGCAGTAAACACCCCCAAAGATGTTGGGTGAGCAATCCTTACAAAACCGTATTGTGCTATAATTTGCCATCATAGTCAAGTCAGTTACTTGTATACTCTAATAAACCCTTCTTTCGGCAAGATCAAATGATTAGAACACAGTGCATGGCAATTGGTAGAGGACAGGAGGATATTGAGCCAAAAACTAATTCATACACTGCAGGTGTAATTCATGGTCCTAGTCCTAGATATCCCTAATAGTGAATCAGGAGCTGAGAAATATGATTAACATGTTGTTGCGAAATCACTTTAGCATGTACTCATGATTCTTATGGAGACTACTCTGAATCACTTTAGATTTTAAAACCACAACAATCAGATCAATTTTTCCAGTTCAACAGTCAAATCATGGAGACTGCTCCCAACCTTTTGAAGGAACAATATAAATCAAGGCACCAAAATTCAGTTCCTATGGAATTTCCAAGTTAAAATCATCAACAAATTGATCGCAAGGACAAACCAATAATCACAACAACAAAATCTGCTAATTGCGAAAGACAACAAATTAATCACTTCGTCGCTTCAGATCAAGAACCTCGTAGAAACATCAATCAGACAATTTGACAATGTAAAAATATATTCGAACAAAGTGAAGAACTTTACCCAGAGTGATTTTAGGGATAGGTTCTACTCCTCCGCCGGATTTATACCGCTCCACGGCTTGGTACAGAAGCCGCTGAACCTCAGCCATTCGTGCCAGCGACTTCTTCCCGTCGCCGCCGGATTTCGTCGAGGCGCATCGTGAAGCGCCGTAGCCTGCCGGCATCCACCACTTGGCCCCACCCAATCCAGCGCTAGAGCGGAGCAAATGGAAAGAGGACCGCGCGGGGCAGATAATTGACCGAGTAGCATTACTCATCGCTGCAATCAGTTACACCGTTAAACCCTAATGGGGTTCTTTATTCGATTCCGAATGCTTCAATTTTTCCCGGGGCAGTTCTCTTTACGCCGAGTCGATTTAACCCTCATTCCTTAATCCTAAATAAAAACGCCTCGTAGCTTAAAAATGATATCTTTTTCCAGTTTATATATTCTCTGGGTGTGAAAACCCCTATTTTATCCCACAAGAATAGGATTTTATTTTATTTTTTACTTAGTATAGGAAACTTACTAACACACATTTCTTGGAATGAATCATGCACAGACTAATGTTAAAAACACACACACATACATTTCTTGGAATGCTTTACTTCTAAGCCTTGGCCTTGTCTTGTGTTTCTTTGTTGGGGAATGATGTGAAATTGTGAATATTGTATAAATTAATAATTAATTTTGCAAGAACAATCCTTTGTCCAAACACAACAATGTTAAGCCAATCTCAGGATTTTTTCCAAACCACAATAAATAGATATTCATATTCCTAGTCCTTGAAATCATCCTTGTCATCAGCTGGAATTGGCCGGTTCCTCCAGAACACTGCAAGTCCACTTCCTCCCAACTGTTGTATTGATGTATGCCACAAGTACCAGAACAAAATACATTAGAATCTGACTCAATGAATTTGAAAGAAATATGCCAGGTAAAACAAGAAGTTGAATTTTGTTGCCGGGCAGCTGAGCTGAAAGACTTACAGCCATGCAGACGACACTCACGGCAGAAGGCACGGCAACAAGAGGATTAGTGAAGTGCTTCTGAGCTAGAAGAAATCCAAGTGCAGAGCTCTGTCGATTCAGACATAGAGAGAATAAATTGACTCTTGTAATGTCAATGAAGTTCATAAGTAGTTGTGGATTCAGCCTATGTTACATATGATACTCACCTGCATTCCACATTCTATTGAAATGGTCCTCGAAGTCGATTCACCAAATGACAGTTTTGATATCCAATAACCAAGAAAAAATGCGGCAGCGTGTAACAGAGCCACTGGCAATATCAATTGCGCGCCCTGAGTTTTCAGCACCTCCGAAACTTGCCCAATCTAGAGGTAGAAACAACATTTCTTTGTTAAGCACGCGTGCGCAGTTTAGTTGTGATTTGGTAACTTCTACTCACCGGACTAGCACATAGAAGGGTCGTCAGAATGACTCCAATTAAAGGTGTGATGCTAACTATTTTTGAGGTGAACTTTGGAAAGAACTCATTTGATAGAACTGAGAAACAGCAAAAGAGATTGAAAGTTAGTCATTGTTTTGAGCAACAAAAATATTATTTATATAGTCTCATCCTCACCTCCAATAATTGTCGGCACTAGCACAACTTGAAATGTGCTGATAGCTAAGCCCTGTAAGAACAAGAAAATATAAGCAGGCTGAGAAAACAATTCCAAATCCAAAAGAACCGTATATCTCAAGATCAACAAAAGGAGAAAATAAACAACTACAGTCCCATAATTGTTTCATTCACTGGAAAGAGAGCTTTTTTAAAGTATAGAATTAGCAAAGAACATAGAAACTCACAGCAGCATCAACCGGCACAATCTGACCTGCTAGAAGCTTTGTCAGAAGGGGAGTCATTACAATGGCACCAATGGTAGAACACCTGTAATGCCAAACACAAATAGCCATTTAGTTCAACATTATAATTCTGAGATGTAGTCGCCTGCAAAGCATCCAACTTTTCAATGATATTCAGGGTTAAGTGTGACCAAAAATTGCTATATGAATTTTTATGGTAGTATCAAATGGATGTCATTCAAACCCACAAATTCAACCAGGTAGATAATCTAAACAGGTAATAATTTTGACATATATGCTAACGGTAAAGAGAAACACATCACCCCCTTCAACCAGCAACAGGAGATTTGTAAAAGCCGAGTGCAATTAAAATACCGTTGGTTTTTTCTCCATCACCTTATCATCTATGAAAAAGCATACTTACAATCTAAGATATTATTTAAGTTATATCAATTCAAGAGTCGTTTTGAAATGCTGAATATTGAATGCAATGCTGCAATTAAAGAAACCAGAATGTAGCTCACGTTGTCATAAGAACGGAGAGTGCAACATTGCCCTTTGAAATGTATGTAGCAACATTCGATGCTTGGCCTCCAGGACAGCATGAAACCAAAATAAGTCCAGTTGCCAGAGGAGCGGACAATTTTAGTGTCTGTAAAACAAATGCATACATACATCCGTACAGATTTTAGTAGTTTGGTGGAATCATGAAAAACACAGTCAAACAATATCAACAACTTGGTAAAATGGGATTCAAAGCACATCTTAGTGTTGAAAGCTAGCAGCCGACATGGTTGGAAGATATACTAGTACATACTCCATTTTCTAGTTAGAACTCAGAGCTATCAGCAATTACGAGCAAAAATGAATTTTACTAGTGATACGTGACATACCATTGCAATGAAAAATCCCAACATTGGTTTGATGAGGTACTGAGCTAGAAATCCAACGCCCACCTATCGAAGTACAAAATAATGGACTCATGTCCTTGCCCAGAAATCTCGAGAATTATATGTAGTTTGCAGATGAGTTACTACTCACAGTCCACGGATTGCGCAAACATCTTCTGAAATCATCAAATGTCAATGTCAATCCCATCGAGAGCATGAGAAAACCTAAACCAACAGTAAATAGGTCCGTCTCTAACCAAGTCACCTGTAGGAGATTTAAAACGGGACTAAATATATATGATTATTTTCAACAACTATTAATGAAAAATCCTTACCATGGCAGGCTTGTAAATACCAATAATTGTTCCTAAAATGACCTGAAAAGATTAAACAAATACAGAACGTGATAGCTTTCCTCAGAGTGTCATTCTTCATGAGATACAGCAAATAAGTACCAGAATGAAACCATCCTGCTGCAACAAAATGGCCCAGACATACCCATACTGGAAAAAGAGTTGTCAATGTTTCGACTATTCTCTCATATTGACTCGATTGACTGGGAGTATTGCTAGAAAAATCTCCAGATGTGGCAGCCTTGCAATAAACTCTAGAACTCCTAAAATATTTACAAAAAGATAGAACTTATTTGTTTAGTGAAATTGAAATGATAATCGAGAAAAATTTAAATTAAGCTCAGGAGATCAGTCAGTAGAAATATTCCAAACCACATTGTTGGCATCTTATCCCAAAACAAAGACACTGAATAATGTTGTTGATCAATCCTGATGTCTTCATTCGGTAACCAGATAGCTAAAAAATTGGAAACATAAACGGAAAATGTACCTAAACAAACTACATATTTGGTTGGCTCTTCTTGCATTGTCCTCGTCAACTTTGAGTTTGTGCGGATATTTCAGATCTGAACATCTCAATGACCCCGTTATTTTCAAGCCCCGGCATTCCTTTACGAGCATCAGACTGGATGCTAATGCTTTCAGGTGCTGTCCCCTTCTTGATTCCTTCCATTTCACAGCCTTTCTAGCCAATGCAACTGATGAAATAGAACTTCTAGATGAATGAATTCCATTTGGATCTGTAACTAAGAGGCATCTTGAACAACTGCAACACAAAACCAACTTCATAAACTCGGCTTTCTATGGATAATCGACGATCAAGTGCAATTTCCTTTAGCAAGCTTTACCTGGATTGTACAGAAAAACTTGGAAATGACACCATGGCACAATAATCTGCCCCTCTTCCAACTAGAATCCAATTTATGAAGCGCCTGTGAAGCAGAATCAATCTCAGGCTTCAGATTCAATTTTATAACTGATTGACAAGACATTGGAACTATAAACTATAGCTCAATAGCACAAAATGATGTAACTAATATCGGACAAGTTACCGAATTTGAAAAAGCTCCCACCTCTTAAAATTAAATGAATATTCAATTTGAACTGATGAAGGAGGCTAAACATCACCCCTCGCTCGAACAACCTTATTCTGTACGACTGCGTACAATACTTATAGAGCTAATCGAATTACATTCTCATCGCAAAAACAACAGTCCCTCCATTACATAATACACCGAAACACACCAAAAACATAAAACTCATACCCGAAAAAATCTTTCGAATTATGCAAGCATAATTATTCTATAATTATCAATGACCATTCAGCTGAGAAGATCAACTTACTGAAATGGCACCACCACCACAGCCGCGCTATCCCTCCAACGATGAATCAACCAATCAATCAAAAGCCTCAGAGATTTTTGGAAGGCATAAAAAAGTAGTGATTCCGCCAGGTCAAGCCACCCCGAAATGACAAGTTTACCCTTTCTGTACCTACGTTTTCCCTACCCTACCTACCCGCAATTCTGCACACACAGCTATCTTCTTCTCTCCCCTCCGCTGTCGCCTCACCATTAACGACGCTTCAAGCTTCAACTCCCTAACGACATTGTTACGGTTTACAGCTCCCCAACTTGGTCGCAATCTCCGCTCAAACCTGAAACATTGAATCCGCCATCGCTGGGAAAAATTGCGGGCTCACATGGCGAAGAAATCTCGCATTATTGTTGTGTGATTAATTTTCTTTCCGTCATCAACAGCAAAGGGTATAATGGGTTAATGAGAAAAACAGAATCTGGTAGAAGCAATTTTGGGTGTGACATTATTGAGAGAGGTTAGGGACATGCGGGAGAGCAGGGGTGTCAGAAGTCAGAAGAAGCGTGCTTACAGTGTTACTAACGATTTTTGTGTAAGAATAAAGATAAGGCCATCTCTAACCATTGGCCATCCTATTCCAGAAATTACTCACCACACACATACGCCTGAATACACGCTAAACAATATATTAACTAAGGAATCCGAATCTTATTTGCAACATTAATTTGTAAAATAATCTATTTATAATATATATATATATATAAATATTATATATAAATTTTTTTAAAAAAAATAAAAATCATACATATTCCATTATATAAAAACAAATTAAGAATAAACTTAATTGAACTAACACGAACAAGAACTCAAACAATATAATTGCTTAAAGATTTATACAAACAAACTCGAATACTTAAAGGAACTAATACAAACCTTGTTAATTAAACTCAAGTAGCAAACAAACATACTTAAAATTCTATATAACACATGAATTATAATGGTTTTCTCAAATAATATCAATTCAAAAATTTATAAAATATAAATTTTAAATATAACGCATACTTTTATTTCACATAATATACAATATAACGTTATACTTTGGGTGGTGTGCTCTGGGTAAACTTCAGACGAATCTAATAATTTGCAAATTAGACACGACAAGATAAATCATACTGAGCAAATCAATTTGAAGGCGTCGGAGTTCGAACCAATGATCTCTCAATTCCACACCACCAAGTCATCTCTTTCCCAAAAAAAAAAAATAATAATTATTATTATGTTTAAATAATAGAAAATGGAAACTTCTCTTTTCTTTAACCTGATATTTATTTTGGGAAAATAAACTCTCCGGTGTAAAGATCAACAGTTTGAAGGCTTAGACACTAGAGTATATATTTATTCCCAAAATTAAATTATATTTAAAATTTTATGTTAATACATATTAATATCAAATTAAACAAAAATGCTCAAAATTTAAAATAACAAATACGAAAATATTGATTATGTTCTCCCAACACTATTTATCTTTTGCGATTCCAAAAAATAATATTCATAAAGAATAAAAAATTATAAGTAAAAAAATTTTTTAAAAAAATTGAAATATTCATAAAAAAAAATTGAATATTCAAAGAATAATATATTTTATACTTTTAATTCAATTTTATACTGCACACAGAAAATATTCACCTAAAAATACTGCCTCAAGTTAAAATATTATACTTATGTTTAAATATATATATATATATATATTTCTTTTTACTAATTTAAACCTTTTAAAAAACTTCAAACATTTCTAAACATGACCATAATTTTGAGATTATTGCTCATCACTCCACGTGGGAAAAAGAAAAAAAAAAAAAAGGTAAAGATGGTAAAAGTGAAATTTTGTTTTGCTACACCATAACTTTAACCAGAGTTTGTTAATCAAAGTGTCATAAATCAAATCAAATAAAATAAAACAACAATCAAGATTACGATCCCACACACGATCCGCAAAATATTTTTAATTAATTAATTAATTAATTAATTATAAGCGGAAAGAAACAACAATATAAGACGTCATGCCTACGATATACATACTATTTATAAATAAAGCAACCTAAATATTCGTGACTATTTAATTTGTCCATTTCTTACATTCGTTACATGCATACTATCCTTATCCATATGCCCATTTTGCCCTTGCATCTTATTTAATCAAATTATCGACTCATTCGAGTTGGTGTATGCAATTAATATCATACTCAAATCGAGGTACAGTATAACCATTTATTATTATTATTAAAAAATATCGAGGCTAGTTTTATATTTTTTATTTAATAATTAAAAATAATAATTTATCAATTTTGATGAACACAGCCAGTTATGTTTAGTAATTGAAGAATTTGTAGGAGCTCCATGGACCACAAAAACGGCAGATCCTCACGGTGCAATACTGTGGGCGGTATAGATCCATCTGGAATGGAGGTCCCAGGAGTTACCAGCATTTCGAACACCTGCGATGACCAGCCCGTACTTTTTTTATTTACGTGCCCCTAAATGAGCGTTAAAAAAAAAAATTAATTTCAATTTTTTCTTAGTAGTGACAATTGAATATTAAACTAGTGCATTAATCTCCACCAAAGTCTAATTTAAATATTTTAATCCCGATGAATCAACCACAGGAGACAACATTAATCGACTGTTACATATAATATTAAGTTACAACCTGTGTCAATCATTAACAAATTTATTTATTTTTAGTTCAACTCATTGAAGAAACTCCGCCGACTCTCATATTAATCTCGTGTAAACCACGCACCAATAAGAATTCAGATGAAGAAAAGACGGCGCGTTCAGCTGCGCGTGATCTCTGACTCCGTTGCATTAATTGATTGTTCTGCTGATTTTATCATCTTCTTCTATTCTATATATTGAATGAAGTCTTCACAGAGCGAAAACTGCTAATATTGGGCAAGTGTAGAGAAAAGAATTAAAGAAATGAAGAAGATCCTCAAGAAGACGAGACGAAGAACATGGGAAGGGTAGAGATGGTTGGCTATGCTACGTGGAGATTTAAAAAAGAATCAAATCTTTCGTGTTATTAATTGCTGTCTGTAGCTGGTGAAGTTGTGTGATTTGTTCTGGGTTTCTTCAATTAATTTGGATAAGTAATCCATGGCCGCTTCTTCGTCTTCATCTATGAACGGCAACGCCTCTCTCTCTCCTCATCATCCTCCCCATTTCACTCCTGTAAGCATCTTACTTTATACAGTCATCTGTATATATATACATATTTGTGTGAGAGTGCGTTGTGTGTTCAAACTTTTTGGTTAAACAGGAAAAAGGAGCTGACTTTTGAATCCTTTTTGCCTTTTGATGTGCAGATTGAGGAAGGCAATGAAGAAGAGGAGTTTTCGCAAGAAAGGAACAGTTCAAAAGCGACTCCAGCGAGTGAAAATTGCAAGCAGCACGAAACGACGCCGTCGCATTTAGATAAAACGAGCAGCAGAGGGTCTTCAAGAAGGCGGCCGCCGGAGAATGACGTGGCCACGGCCGGCGTGCTTTGCAGCAAGTGCCGGCCGAGCAACCGGGAGAAAATCTCAGCCGTTCCTTCGGGAAACAACAGGCCTCACCGGCCGTCGATTTCCAGCCCGAATGGGATGCTCAAATCTATCCTGGCTTCTTTAGCGATTAGGAAGAGCCCCCGGACATCGTCGGAGGGCGCCGCCGTGTCAACGGAGGAGCATTGGAAGACGGCGGCGGCGGAGCTCTCGAACAAGCTAATTCAGGCTACCAGAAAGAGGGACGAGGCGATTCTCGAAGCTTCCAAATTGAAATACTCCATGGCTGAGCTTGAGAAGAAGCTCAACAAATTAGAAATCTATTGCCATAGATTGAAATCCGAGCTCGAAATCTACAGCGGCGGCAATGATAATCTGCATCATAAAGAGCAGCAGCCGATTGGATCCCCTCGTCGAGTGAATTATCACGGCATCGACATCGGCGATCAAGACAAGGTTATTGAAAATTTCTTGGACCAGGTATCTGAAGCAAGATTAACTGTCCGGACACTGAGCCGGGCTTTAGCTCAACATCTAAGGCAAATGGGGCCAAAAGTTTTCGATCGAATCGCATCCCTATTGCAGCCATTCGACATCAAGATTTCGAATTCAAGAAACTCTAGAGTCATGCTTTTATATCTGTACATGGAGGCCTTATTGAACATGGCATTGTTCGAGGACTTCGAATCCATAGGGTTCCAAAAGAGTGCCGCCAATCCAGTCCTTAATCCGATCGATAATTGCGAGGCTAATTTCGCCATGTTCCGGCGGTTGCAGGGGCTGACATGGGAGGCAGTCTTGAACAAGGGGACAAAGCATTTTAGTGAAGATTTCAGCAGGTTTTGTGACAGGAAAATGAGTGAGATTGTGGGCATGTTGGGATGGAACAGGGCGTGGTCGGAGCCGCTATTACAAGCCTTCTTCGGAGCTTCTAAGGCTGTGTGGCTTGTGCACCTTTTGGCTAATTCAGTGCACCCAAGTCTCCCGATTTTTAGAGTCGACAAAGGGGCTGGATTCGACCATGTTTACATGGAGGATGTGGGGGGCGGCGACAAGGCCAAGAAGCTCGTTGCTAGCGCGGTTCGGATCATGGTGGCGCCGGGGTTCTACGTGTACGATAATGTGATAAAATGCAAGGTTGTTTGCAGGTATTGCAGCAGCAGCAATGGTGGCGGCAACGGTAGCATCATCTTGTCCCCTTAGTAAGAAAAGAATGAGAAGGGATGGTTGTCATGATTAATTATTCGTTACAACAATTTTTTTGATGTGGGCATCCATGTATGTTTTGAATTGGAGTGTGGTTCGTGTAGTCAATTTGGTGTAGTCTGTGCAGTCTGCAGTAGCCAAAGATTAAGATTAAGACAAATTTGTGGAGGAATATAATGATGACAAGTTGCATGGATGGTCGATTATCGTCCTGTCCTGCCTGCTGTCGTCGATGGACGAACTGTTTCTGTTTCTGTTTGCATGCCATTTCCTTGGCGATATTATTCAGCTGCAGAGGGGACCATCTTGATTATACCGTTCAATTGGGACACCTCGTTTCTCCATCGCCGGCGGTCGGAAAACCTATTTTAAGTGACAGACTCATCAAATTGAAAAATATGTGAACCGGAGAACGTCACCGGCTATTATACTTCACCAACTTGGTCTGGTCACCTACGACAATATTTTTGTGACCTCTAATTAGCAATGTTGTCGTCTTTGTCAATTTCTCACAATTTTTTTAATATTTAGTTTATTTTTTAATATTAAATCAAACAATCATTTTTTATTTTATATATTCCCTCCATTTCAAAACAACAATACATTTGAGATGGATACAAAAATTAAAGAATGATAGCATTCATATTTTATGTAATTATTGTGAAAAAAGTAATAATTATTTTGTAAAATGATGAATGAGATAATTATATGCATTAATACTTATTAATATCGTATCAATCAATTATTCAAATTGAATTTTTTATTATTCAAAATTAAATCCACAAACAAACAGGCCGCCAGTGTTTGACGAGGTGTTTTTAACACAAATATTTTAAAATTTACTAAGTCAAATCAATAGGTGATTAACCATTCAACACATATTATATAATTTTACATAGCTTATAGTAAAGATATTTATACAACACATTATAAAATAAAATTGCATAACAAATACTTTTATCGGACACTGTTGAATTATGTGTTATGTAGAAATATGCATATTGTCTGTATTAATTATATGTATCGAACTAAAATAAATCATTACAATATTGATTTGATATGCACCATAACCAATATTCCCTCCGTCCCACGTACCGTATCTGCTGCACTATACACACGGTATTTTAGGAAGGTGTAATCAGTAAATAATTAAGAATATATTAGTGAAAATAATTATCTTCGGACAGCAATGTGGACATGGCACATGGGAGGTGGGACGGTGAGATTATTATTTATTAATCAAGACTATATTAAGTGTGTTTTTAGTTGATTTCTTTTAATACTAAAATCAAACAAAAAAACTTTACAAATCATTTAAAAGAACCACGGTGTCACGAGAAGTTAATGATTATTTTATTTTTCTGATTTACTTTCTTTATTGGGGTTCTGACCATTTAACTATTTTATTTGGGCCCATTAGGCCCAATATAATGCTATTAGGCTGGGCTGGTCCAAATTTATTTTATCATGGTATGGTGTAAAGTGAAATGGCATTAATGATTAGTAATAATGTTGATGCCAGAATATAGTGGAAAATATGGATCAATGAAATCATTTGTAATTTGTGTCCTATTATTATTGTTATTATTAGCTATATATCCTGTTCGATCCAACACCAACCAGTCGATTATATTATTTTATTAATTTATTACTATTATCTTAAATTGATAAAAACAAATCGTCAAAGGCCCTCATTTCCACTATAGAAATACTGCTTCTTCTTTTCCTCTTAATATGTACTTTCATTCACATAAAATAAAGATGATGTTTGGTGCATTTTATATATATAGTACATATCGCATTTAATTTAATAATAAATGCTCACTCCATAACATTTTGCATAAAATTTTTAGGGATTTCTAAATACTTTTTCCACACATGGCCTAAGGGTTAACAAACCCTATTCCAAATATAAGCATTCAGATTTCTTTTTCAAGAAAATTATTATCAAAGGTGGCATGTTGGATGTGACAATTATATTAGAGATGTTTGGAAATGACAAAAATATCCTGCACAGTAGCATAGTAGAGTGATTAAAATTTAATTAACTAGAAGAGAAGAGGGTATTGGAATTGGAACATATGAAAGATTCTTGCAAAAAAGTTAATTTGTCTTGTTACATTAATCATTGCCTTTTATTTCCCTCACTGCTGTGTCTGTGAGTGTCCTATTCCTATACAGGTTAAATTGTACAATTGCCCAATTTAATTTTTAATCTCTAACTTTTTCTGATTTTTAATTTGAAGTAGGTGAGAAGTCAGTGTTACTACTAACAATAATAATAATAATAATATTAATTATTACTATTATTTTTTAAAATTTTCCCCTTGTAATGTCACTTACAATAATAATAATAATTAATAAATACTTGCCGACAACTATTTCTGTCTTTCCACTAATGTGGTGATTAGATTAAAGCCAAAGGTAGCATAGTAATAACAATAATTATAATAATAACAATAATCTGTATTCTGCTTTATTTAAATTATTTTATTTTATTTTTGTGTGTGTTGTATGGCCTCTCACTCTCTCTCAATCTCACCAGAAAGTTAACCCACTAATAATTGAATTTTCCATTTTCAACTTTCCCTATTTGTGATAGTGGGTGGATCATCAACTCTGTGATCATATCATCACTGACACTGCTTGTGGGACTATTGTAATAACATCATCATTATTATTATTAACATTATTATTTGTTTCAAAGGTACCTAAATGGAAGGGAAATGAAGATCATCATTTCAAATTTAATTCAAATTTTCCAGTGCAGAAAAATTATTATTGTGCTAAAAATAGTTCATTTTTCCATTACTAGAATAATGTAGTGATTGGCTTTGAGTTCGAACAAAACACAAAACAGTAATACTAGTACTAATTATCCCATTATCTTTATCTTCTTCTTCTTCTTCTTCTTCTTTCTTACAGTCCAGCCCAAGGCCATGATTGTCCTGACATTCACGAACCATCAATGGAGAAGGATGAGATTAGGGTAGAACGACCTAAGCACTGCCATGGAAGTTACTAAGGTGAAACTGGCACATTTCCATGCCTTCAGTTGGTTAGTTCATCCTCGTTATCAGTCACTTTCGGACACCTTTTGATCCTGCGTTGTCTCCGGGGAGACAACAGCTTCCCTTCTTCAAGCATCGTCGTAATCGCCGGCCGGATCGACGCAGACAGATTTCGAGCTTTATCTGCATTTAAGAATTCGAATTTGCATAGAGACAAAGGAAGAAGATGAGTCTTACTGTAAAGAAAATACTATGTCAAAGTGAACATCGTCAAAGACGAGAAAATGCATCCATTGATGATGAATTAAATTGCAATATAAGTAATTTGTCTGTAACTTGCAAATTCATATATCAGCAAGAACATATGGAGAAACTTTCCCCTCATTTGAATCTTGTTCTTTCCCAAATTCCTACAAATCAATAAGACAGCTATGACATGCTCTTTTTGTCCAATCTCCTCCACACAGACTGGATACATACATACATACATACACATATATATATATAGATAGATATAGATATAGATATTTGATATATAATCTTACAAACAAGCAGATATTCATATTCTCCAAGAACATTGATTCTAAAGAATTGAAGGGCAATAAACAGCAAGAAAAGGATAAACCTACAATTAGTGGAAAACCTTACACAGACGATGTATCGACGAAAACTTCATTAAGCACATCATCCTCGCCGTTCTCCAGAGCGAAAAGCTCGATATCCTTATCTTCATCATAGCCAGACGACGACGATGACTCTCGCTTCTCCATCTTCAAATGAGCTGAAATAAAGATCAACTTTTGAGCCCTCTCCATTCCCACCCTCGAATGGCAATGCGCGCTCGCCCATTTCAGAAGAGACCAATTGCATTTGAAGCCCCGCGACGTTGCGTGTAGGAAGATCAGCCTAACCGCGACCTTCCCCAGCGATTTGAACTCACTCAGGTGTGTTTCCCACACAAGCCTGCTGCTCTGAGGATTGGCGATCTTCATCTTCCCCGTGTTCGGATCCCTCTGCCTTAACTGCACCGCCTGCGCATACACAGGGTCGAGCCCTTCGGTTCTCCACTTCATCAGCTCCATAAGAGCAATGTGAGCCTCTTCTCTCATGACAAGGCGGGTTATGAGCTTGTCCACGTCCTTTTCTTGCTCGGGAGTCAGGAATTTGAATGGCGGCAAGTACTTCCCGCTCGCGTCGCGCATAAGATAAAGTGGGTCGAGTATAAATGCAGCCGACCAGGATGGATGGTAATTCTTCTTGAACCTTCTGTCGATTACTTTCTCGACGTGGCCTTCGACGACGTGGAACTTAGAGCACCATTCTTTGACCTTCTGCCTGAGTTCTTCCCAAAGGGGCAGGCATTGCCCGATTCTCGGCTTCTCTGTCTCAATCTCTTGTGCCATTGATCTTATGAGCTTAACCAGAGAGTGCACGGCTTCTAACTCATTCCAAAACTGAGGATTCCTCATCATTTCTTCAATTTCTCGGGCGGTGGGGTCCTCCATTAATGAAACTTTGTAGGATTCATCTGAGAGTACCAACTGAAGAGCTCGGGCGGAGCTGAGTATGTCCTCTACAACGGAGTAGATGGCTCCAAAATCGGATCTTTTGTAACCGTGCAAGGGCAGTCTAAGCAAAGCGGCGCGGCCGTATTCCTGAAGTTGGTACCTGTGAAAACTATGGCGTATTTGAGACTTGTTGTTAACAAAATTGGCCAATTTTAAGCAATTCTCACTCACATTCTTGAACAAGGGAAGATCCTTCCCGAAATCCTTAATCAGGCTCTGGAAACCTTGGTACTGACAGCAAATGTTAACCATCCAATGGTGCTGATTCTCTAAATCCCTCAATGCCTTGGCCTTATACTTGTCTGAAACTATCCCCACACACTGATGAACATTGCTCCCACAAATCTCTGTAATGGTGTCCAGAAAGATTTCCTCGGTGTATTTGGAAGGGACAAAACTGCTGGTGAACACAGTCCTCCTAAACACACTTGTTCCGTTTGGCAGATTCACTGCCAAATGCACAAAATTGTCGTCACCACCGACATTACTATCCCTATCCCTATCTCTCGACTTCCACCCCTCCGCCGCGACCTGGAAGAACATGGCGTCGCGAATTTTGGCTTCCGACTCGGCCTTGGCCTCCTCGTACTTAGAATCTAACCTGGAACCCACGAGCTCTCGCCTGGAAATCCCAGGAAGTCCTACCTGGTTGAGAAATGCCTTGAATTTTGGGTGGTCGAGGCTCGAGAATGAAACTGATCCGCAGCATTCGTAGACCCAATCGGAGAGCAAATCGAGGGCTGAATCGACCTGAGCTTTGTTCAGAGATGGCCCCTGAGCAGATGTTTTTGGGCTCTTGAGCCTTTTCACGCTGTTTTCCAGCTTCGCCAGAGCTCCCAAATCTTCTTTTCCGCCTGATAAAACCATCTGTTGTTGACCGGGGAAGCCGCCGACGGCCACCGGGCTGGCTACGGCGGTCGCAGTCGGAGCGCTGATTGAGACTGCCGGCGGGAACGCTAAATCCACTGTGAATCTCGAAGGGTCGACAATAGCCAACGGCGGAACAAATTGATGCGCCGGGAGCGACGCGGTTGTAATGCCGCCGGAATTGTTAGCACTCGCCGCCGCGCCGCGGCGTTTCCGTTGACTGTGGGGCGGCCGGGAAGAGGAAGGGGAAATTCCGGCAGTCTGCGGCAAGCTCGCCACGGAAAGAGGCGGCGGCGGCGGCGCCGACGAAATCGGCTTTGGCGCGGAAGCGAAATTCGGGCAAGTCCCTCGCTTGAGATGCTCCGACGCCGTCCGCGACGGATTCGACGCCGAGAAGACGGCGTCGCAGAGGGAGCAGCGCAGCTTCACCGCCTTGGGCAGGCCGTTGTCGGAATTGTGGACGAGGATCGGCTCGAGGTGCGTCCAGTACCACGCGCCCTTCCCCTTTATCGCCTTGGTCCGTACCATCACCAACCCTTCGAACCTCTTGTGGACCACCTTCGCCGCCTGCTCTTCCGACGACACCGACGACTCCACCGCCGCTGCTCCCGCAGCGCTCGTCGCCGCCATTGTCCCCGACACTTGCGAACTTTCACGCCGGCCCACTGTACACCCAATCAATGCGTTCGTGTGTATATAATTATCTCTCTCTCCCTCTCCCTCTCCCTCTCTCTCTCTCTCTATATATATATATTCCAAAATTGAGCTATAATTTTATGTTGGGCGCCGTGCCGTGTCAAGGCAATTGAATACTTTGAAGACAGACATCTCGCCGGACACCGGCCGCCGCGCTAGACTCTCGCCCATGGCAGATACCCGCCGCCGGCGAATGCTTTACAGAAACCGATTACAGAAACAGACATAGAACTGGGTTCAGTATAACTAACCCGCCACAGTCGTCTTTCAAGAGAGAGAGAAAGCAGAGAGAGAGAAACAAATGAAAGAGGAGAATAAGGTATGGTGTAGTTGAAAAAGGGTTGAAGGTCGAACTTGTACAGTTTAGTGTCCGTGGACAACACGCGCCGCCTGCTCTAGTCTCCCCTCCACTGTTGATCCGTGGAAATTAATGAAGTCTTTTTTTTTTTTTTGCTTTTTTTTTTTACACTTCTGAATCCCAATTATTCTATCGCTTTTTCTCCTACCCAATCACATCACTCCATATATATATATTCAAATTAAAGTTTTTTTTTTTTTTTTTTAATCCTACTATTAATTTTCGTAATTTTGCAAATTTCTATCTAATCAAATCTTAACACACACCAATAATTATGGTGTCCCAATTTCATACATCTTATTCTACGTACAATTCACACTTATATATAACGCATTTAATTTATCAAATAATCTTTTTTTTTTCTCCTATTGAGATTGATCCAATTTAGCTAAATATTTATTTATTTTACCAAGATAAATGGTAACGGTAGAAATAAAAAAAGAGCATATTATATAAATGGACTAATAATTATGTACCCCAAAATACTTTTCTATTATGATCCCACTTCTCAATAAAAGTGTTTATTTTTAAATTAATATATAGAAACAAATATAACGAGACTATAGTATACATAGAAAAATGGTACAATGCACTGAACCCATCAATCCACTTATTGTTAATTAATCTGCCTTCAATTTTTTATTATTATTATTATTTTTTTTAAAAAAAATAACACATTATTGAATTAAAAACATGACAAGTGAAACTAATAAAGCATACATTTCATTAAAATTAAAATAACCATCCAATTTCAATCATGGTTAGTATTCCACAATGACCCATGCCATATACATATATATATATATATTTATTTAATCGAAAATCAGATATTCCACGTGTGCAGAAATTATTAGTGCACCATCTTAAATTGACCCATGTATGTATAATAGAAATATTTGACTAAAATTCAATAAAATAATATATATATCTCTATAATATCATGTCATAAAAAGAACCCAACTTTGCACCAATTTTGAATACAAACTTTTATATATATAAGATATAAATTTTATTTCAACGAGTGGTTATCACGCGCCAAAGCCATTTTGGAATTTTCTCCTTTACTGTTAGGGTCATAACAGTCTTTTTGTTTCCTACCCATTCTTTTTCTACCGTAGCCTTTTTTGATTTTTTTTTTTTTTTTTAAATTTTCCTATCTTTTGGTGTATTCTCCAAATTTTTAATTAATAAATGTATAAATTTATTTTATGGGAAAAATATACATGCACATATTTATTTATTTATTTATTAGTATAGGGCATTCTATAAAAGGGCAACCTAGGATTCTAATGAATTGCACTTGGCTGACCAGACAGGCCAAGAAATGGTTACATATACATTTATACAAATATATATGTATTTCTAGGGAGTCTTTCAATATTTGAAGGGTAGTTTCGACATTTCACAGGGTGAGATGATACGTACATATGGAAAAAAATAATTGTGAAGAAACATCTCATCTACATGTGTCTCATTTTTTCCAATACATCATTTAATGTTAATAAATTCCCCCAACAAGCAACATTATGGTTTCACATAATTATCAACTTCTTGTGAAATTTTTTTAATAAAAAAATTACTACCTAATTGTAGAATATTGAGTCTTGTCCGAACAAATTTGAATATCTGTCTATATATTTTTTTTATAACTTTTCTTGAAATATATAAAATCCCACAATTAAAATCAAATAATATTAAGAACCCTTTTATCCAATATAAAGTCAGAATAAAATGGCATTTCCAGATATTTTTAAAAGGTCGAATGGGATAGTATTTTCCAAGATATGATTTTTATTTTTATGGGATTCTGATTCAGTGAAAAATATTTTTTTTCAAATAATAATAATAAGAAAGAACACAAAGCATACGTTGACCATTGGTGATGAGGCATTGACATTTTTTTTTTTATTATTATTATTATTATGTTTTTTTCTTCATATGATTTTTATTTACTTGTTTGATATTATTGAATTTCCTATTCTAATAGATCCAATTAATTTCAATAATATTCCTTGCCACATACATAACAATTATGAGCTGCCTTGTTTGGTACAGATTATAATCAAAACCCAATTAAATTATAAATGCAAGTTGTCGAATACTCAGACTACCTATATCAAGTACATAACTAAACTCCACAGTAATAAATAAATAAATAAATAAATATGTCACATTAATAATTTAAATCATACTGCAAAGTTTACTTGTTACTAATTTATGCTCTATCCACATTCAATATAGCAAAATATTCTAATTAAATAAATGAGAGCTGTTTTTATTGAAATTTTATTTTATAGGGATTATGCCAAAGTGGTCAATGCCAATGACCAGACCATCTTCTACACTTAATTCGTTGCTATTTCAGTCAAATTTGGCGATGTAAGTTGAAAGCAATTAATTAATACTAATATAATTCGGGTAGTAAAACTATAAAAATTGGGTATCCACTCATTCTATTTTTTTCAAAATTTTGAATTCATAATTCTTAGATTATGGTATCTGGTTTTAATTTAAAAAATTATTATTCTCCATAGCATATTTGTCTGTATTGCACGTTATATTTTATTAATTTTAAAGATTTAGACAAAATTTATTCATCATATCTTTAAGATTTAGGAAAATGTGTGTATACATATATATATACACATTAATTTCGACTTGCTATTCTATATTTGTTTTACCCCTCGAACATTTTGTTTAAATAATTATGTAGGTTGAGGTGATAATAGAAAAGGTGGGATGGGTGAGGTGGGGATCTATAGCTAGGTTACAATTTTGCTTCATATTTAGATCAAATAATTCCCCTAAAAATGTTCTTAAATAGCAGCCTATAAAGTCTACACCAAAAAATAAATGGGGAATTCCCAAATGTAACATCCTCTCCTTTTCTCACTTTTGTTTCTTTATTACTACATAATAGTAATATTCAAGAAAAGAGAGACATACAAATACATATACACATGCAAGAATCCTACATGGGAGTTAGTTGAAAATACAGAGCGAAAGTGAGGTTGTGTATGTCAATTCAGATACTTTACAAATGATGGACACTTTTTAGTTGGTGCATTATTTAATTAATGAATATCGTAACTTGTAAGAAACATGGAATTAATATGTATAAATTAATAAAACAGGGAGGAGGTGGAGGCATGTTTAAAACCTGCAACCATAGAAGTGAATATATATATATATATATATAACATACATACCAAAAATTCAGACTTAAGTTTCACTCACTCATCATTCAATGGATTGCTGCTGCAAGAATGTAAATATGTCTGCGGATGAAGATTGTGTTCAAAAGTCATGGAATATGCACACAAATGACAAATGTGATGTGATTGATGATTACACAGTGATGGGCCAAAACCAAACTAAACTGATTACTGATCAAACTCATTCTTAATTTCGAAAACAGCACAATGCAACACATGAAAATCATACCATTCCATTTGAAGTCTTCCTCAAGACTGCAGCTTAGTATAAGATCGAGATTTCGAAAATAACCCTTCAGTCACATGCACCACAACAAAGGCAAGCTTTTGTACCTCAAATGGTTGATGATGGGGATATAGTATGGAGTTGGATCCCAAGATTTGTCTGTTGTTGGAAAGAGAAAGGATTGGAGCGAGGGGGAATCATCCAGAGACAATTCTGGTTGTTATGAAATCAGTCGAGCTTATTATCCCGTGCAGTTAGGCCTGGCGAGTCCCCGTTCTGCTCGATGTTGGCCTTTAGCCCTTCTTGAAACTGTACCAGAATGGAAAGATAAATTTGTTAAGAGGAAAAACACACAAGGTGTGGGTAGGACTTGTTGGGTAGTTTGAACCTATCACACATATTGAATGATGTTGTCTTCAAATGCCTAGATATCTCAAGACTTGCATATTTCCAACATGACAAATTTTCTCAAATTAGGTATTCTAGTTGATCTTTTTGAATGTGGGATTCTTGGATCCTGGGTAAATATGAAAGTAAGATGTAATATAGCTTGAGTGAAAGAAGAGTCATTACCTGCCGAAGAACTTTCTTCTGATAACGATATCCCTGCAAGATGTTCAAGGAGGGTAAAAATGCAGTATTTGAAGTCAAAATATACCTACCTTCAAATGGAACAGATAAAACATTAAAGCAATCACCTTATCAGTGCCATAAATGTAGTCGCAGTAGGTGAAAACTGATGCAAAATTACTCTGGCTTTGTTTACCAACATAATGATGATAATCATGGTAATCCGGACCACCATAGAAAGGAACATACTTTGTCAGAGACCAAGGAAGGTCATACCTGCAGGAATCACCCGTTACAACATACTATATTGGAAATAACAGTACATGCTTAAATAGTGAACATAGAAAGGCCATCAGCAAACCTGGATAAATAATATAGCCTATTTTCAGCAGTTACTTTCAGGTAAGTTACTCATGCCACAAAAGTTAGAAAGCCATGTTTATTAGGGCTACTGTTTGATCTCCTTATTCCTTCCCCATAATCATGTACTTCAAAAAATCTTGAATGTGATAAATGAATATGAAAGGTTCTAGGTAACTAACTACTTATGGCCTTAAGCAAGACAAAGGTAAACCGAATAAATTGGCATTTCACAAAGATACTAGAGATCAGAAAAATTAATCTTCAGGTTAAAGGCACCTTGATAGTTTTTTTATGAGAAACAGTAACACTGGACTCTGGGTAGTAAACATATATTCATTGGTACAAGTTCTGTACAAAATTTAGCAGTGTAATAAGTGAGTTAAGAATCTTCTCACAGTGTAATAAGTTCGGTACAAGTGTAATAAGTGAGTTAAGAATCTTCTCAGTGTCATGCATACTGCAGAAAGTGTTTACATCTTCCAAGCCTTTAACTGAACTAGAAATCAGTGACTTTATTTTATAAAACCTTATTTCCCATTAAATTTTGTGATCACAAACTGCTTAACACCAAAACGATATCCAATCAAATAGTTCCAGAAGCTAAAAATTTGGTATCTAAATATACAATAAATACTCCAACAAGAAAACAAACACCCAAGATTTCCACCAAGCATATTTCCAATCTGGTGCAGACAGGGTTCAGGGATTTTCAAAATTACATTTTACCTGTCACACCATCCAAAAGGTAAAATGTATCCTCTAACAAGTTACACTGTCCACTAGAATTGCAGCTGTGTGTATTTACTTGCGTTTTGGTTACCATCTTCATACTATTCAATCTACAGTGCATTTTCATTTCCCCTCACCCAACACCTATTTTCACCTCAAGAAGTTCAAAAAGCAAATACCAAACCAACACCAAAACACAAGCAAACATACTACTTACTATGTGCTATAAAATACTAAATTATGTTTGTCTTTAGAAAGATAAATTAGACAAGCATGTGCTCATGTGAATGGTAAAAGAAAATCAGCAGCACACATGCGTAGTTTTTGACACAGCAAGTAAATAAATGCTTTCCCTAAAAAAGAAGAAATAAAATAACTGAAAATACAAAAAAGAAAGTATAAGAAAATAGAAAGAGGTGGAAAGGGAGGGAGGAAAGATGATCCTCTAGCCCTCCTCGAGCCAAAAAGTTAAATTGGTAATAATTAACTCAATCCCACAAATGCATTTACTTTCCAGCGAATCAGTTACATCCCAAAAGCAAATAAATAGTGAAAAAAGAAAGAATCACCTACAACTGGTAAACCATTATTAAGTCAAAATTACCAATGACATTCAGATTGATCAAAACTTGGAGGCTTATCATTAAAATGCATCAAATCAAACGCATGAACTGTCAAGCATGCAAAGTGCATTACCCACTGTGAGTCTCAATGGCCTCAATCTGCCTCAAAGCAATCCACAACCAGAATGTAATCATATGTCCCGGTGCTATAGCGGGTCCGAGAAAAGATGGAATCCCCAGGATCAAGATCTCAGCCCAGTGAGCATATGGCGCTGCAAACCCAATTGGCGCGGTGTACTCATGATGCACCTTGTGAATTTTCTCATAGCCCCACTCGCAGTGAAGAAACCTATGAATCCAATAGTTTGTGTAGTCCTCCACAATGAAATAGACCGCCAATTGCAAGACTATTTCCCACAGTGAGGGCAATGGCAGGCTTGTTCTTATCCTTATCATCTACATTCGCCACACACACAAAGAAACTCAATAAAAAACCAGAATATATATATATATATATATAGCCTATAACTCAGCTCTAACTAGTTCTTATCCAGCACCAAGGCCGTGAGGGAATGCGAATGATTGCAACTTTGATAAATCAACATATAAATAGACATAAAACATTACTAAATCAAACAGTATCCAATTACACATTACCGCAAAATTAAAATCACATCAATCCGAGAATCGAATCGAATAATAATACAAAAAAGAATCTACCTTAACAGACGGATAAGAAACGAGCTGAAGGGGTCCGACGACGAGGAAGAACATGCGCATGACGGATTTGTAGCATCGAATAGTATCGGAAAAGGACAGGGTGACCTTGGGCTGGATTTTGTAACGCCCGACAGACTTGCGGAAGAAGAACTCAAGAAAGAGGTAGTAGAAGGGGAAGAGCGAGAAAATGAGGAAGAGGAAAATGATGTTGTGGCAGTAGAGAAAGTAATCCGACTTGGTGGCGGAGTAATCGAACCACATCACCTCCGCCGCCGTCAGAGATCTACCGAGGGCGGCCTCCGCCTCTCCCACGGTGGCGTAAGGCAACATTGGAATCGTCCTTCAATGGCTCAGATGCAACCACAATCACAATCACAGTCACACTCACTGTAATCTCATAGAGAAGATACTCAGACTCATTCACAAATACAGTTCACAGATGCATTGGTGTTTGTTTTCTTGTGACATATATAAATAATACTAATAATACTTCAAAGCAGGTACTGTTGAGTGTTGACACAGCACACTGATATTTTTAATATTTTTTTATTTAATTCTTTTTATCAATAAATAATCAATCCAACTTTTAATTTAATTTCAGAGTTTTGATATACTAATAATATATTGTGTCAATAATATCAACTTTTATATTTTTCCATTATATATTTGTATACTATTGTTTATAACCATGCAATCCAAATGCATGCATGTTTCAATGAGCATAAATTATTTTCCTATCGGAATTTACAAATTTTTCTTATTTTGATTACTTTGTGTTTAAAATAGTGTATTTCTATGGGGCAAAAAATTGAAAAAAAAAAAAAAAAAAAAAAAAAGAAATACTCCATATAATTTTGGGATTTGCATTTTTAGGGATTTGCACATTTCTCTACTATATTGATATGTTTTTACATCAACTTTTTATATAAATTTTATTTGTTAATAAAAATTACGTACAAGTCACTTTTTATTTATTTTTCAAATCAAGTTGAATTTCTGCAAATATATATATATGTAGGGAGAAAACGAGAAAGATCTGACTGAGAAATAAGATATACTAAAAAGTAAGCATCATGATGGCATGGCGTGATATATACTAAAACTATTAAAAGATGAGTTACACTGCACCTTTCATTGACTGCACTGTGAAACACTATTATTATTATTATTATTATTATTGAAGTTTTTTTTTTTAAAAAAAATAATAATAATAAAAAATATGAAGAGTGTAATAAAATTTTTATTTCAACATGATAATTATTATTTGTTAAAAAACTAAATGATCGAACAATAAAATGATCATTACATGGTTATGAGTTCAAATTTCAAATTTTCAAAATTTTATCTGAGTTGCGAATTGCAAGCTCATGAAATATAAATTTATATATATATATATATATACCATGATAATGTAATCGATAGATAGCAAATCATGTGAATAAGTATAGCCTTTGAAAATTGGTAACAAGTTTAGATATGCATCAACAAAGCTATGCTTATCAAGATTTGATGAATACCAATCATCCCAAAAAATAAAATAAAATAAAATAAAATCCACAAATAATCATTGTAATTATAAAGTAGTTGAGGTAGATTTTTCTGGAGGCCCATTTACAATTACGCATGCATAGTAAATTGTCACATCTGTTCTTTCTTTTGCAGAAATTAATTTCAAAAAGTTTATTCAGCTACAATGACAATTTTATTGATATGGACGAATTCAATTTTCTTTTGAAATTTATTTAATATTAAATTTCTATTCAGAACATAAAATTTAATAATTACTTCACTTGCAAGTAGATAATGTAAAATGGGTCTAAAAAGGGAGAATGGATCATCGATTCGGACCTATCCAATCCAATTTGGGTCGTATTTATTTTTGGAATATTAGATATTAATAGTCTGCATAATCTGAATTAAATTATTCCATGACGTTTCAATTGTTCTCACTAATTTATACTCCACTTTTTATTTTGAGATAAATTGTGCCACTAAACAGATCGCAATTTTAAGCATTTAAATAAATTATAGAATAAATAAAGGCAATATATATATATATATATAGATAAGATTTATTAATATGCATTAGTATGGAAATATTTACAAAATTGAGATTCGTTTAATTATATACTTTTTCGGAATGGGAGAGATAGGTAGGTCAGGTCGCCCATAGGCGAGACGACGAGCAACGCCGGATCATTGTCTCCTCCTAGGTTTCTGCTCAGATCGATTTCCCGATTCGTTTCTTGCCAATTCGAGCACCAGGGCGGGCGTTACGCACCTGGCGCTCCTGGGGCGCATCTCCCTGTCGTTCCTCTCGATCATCTGCAAAAAGCTGAGCAATTTGAATCAGAAATAGAAAGAGCATGGGGGATGTGTTAGCATGGCTGCTCTTCTTCTTCATACTCATTGCTCTTCTCGTCATGATCGTTTTCCAGGTTATTGCTCTTTCAAACGATGCTGATGAAAGTTAATTAATGTTGTAATTTCTAGGGCTTCGATTTGGGATATTTGGTTAAGGAGTATTTTCTCCACTGAATTTAGGGAGTCGCTGCGGTGAACTTCTTTGTTACTTTTAGAAGAAAAAAATTGTCTCTTTTGATTTACTTAAAACTCTTCTTCATCTAGTTACTTTTTTTATTTTCCTTTGGGATGCTTGATTCTTGCTATGTTTTTATTCACCTATAAGAAATTAGTATCTTGTCACTATTTTAGCTTGTTTGGTATTATATCAAAACAAAAACGAGCTTTGATTCGATGAAAACAGTATTGTGACAAATTCTCATGCTTTTTAAATGTATATTATGAGAATTCCCCAAATGGATTGAATCTAACAATGAGTGAGATAATTATGGCACTTTCTCTAGTTGATTGGTTGACCGTCCCAATGTACATACTTTGAGGGAGGAAGTAGTACTTTTTGAACTTTTTTGGCATTAACTGTGCTATGTACTTGGAAAAAAGGCTTCTTGGTGTTTGTATAAATTATGTGATTGGCTTTTATGATGATGCTTAAAAGGTCTGATATTCTTAAGTAGATCAGTGGTTTTCATGGTGGCTCACAGTGCCAATCAAATGTATGTCACTTAATCTAGTTTTATTGGCATATCACACTTCATGGTTGTTGGTGCTTTTCACTGAAGTTTTTAGTTGTCTTCACCTAACATAACAGCTCCGTGTTTGGATAATTTAACACTTGTTGCATGCTATGCAGCTCATGTGCTTGGCGGATCTAGAGTTTGATTACATTAATCCTTACGATTCTGCTTCGCGAATAAATAAAGTGGTTTTGCCTGAATTCATCACGCAAGGAATTCTATGCCTCCTGTTCCTTGTGACAGGGCATTGGGTTATGTCCCTTCTTTGTGTTCCATACCTGTACTACAATGTGAATCTGTAAGATCTCTTATACTATCCTTCGCATTTGAATTAATTTCCTTAATCACTTGGATGCTTACATACTCATAAATGGTGTTGGTTTCCCTGTTGTAACCAATTTATTGTCTTGTGGCTCTTATCTCACGGTGCTTACCGCCTGTGATATCTTCACAATCTCATGAATGATCATTTGGCATATATTGAGCTTAGATTAAATATTTTCATTTATACAATCGATTGTTATCCATGTTTATCTGTTCTTTCATTTATTGTAGTAAATTCATGATTCTATTCATATTCCTGGGGAGATATGATAGCTTCTTGAGTAAGTATGCGGTTTGAGATATGATGATAATAATAACCAAACAACAGCAATATATTGAGGAATGTGGAAATGGATGAACAAAGATCCTCTACTGGATATATACACACACATATAGGGATCTAGAATTATGTTAAATTAATAACAGTTGGACAGAAGATACACTTCACTAAATTTTCGATTCATACTATTTTTATGTCAATGTCGCTGATAGTTAAATATGATAGAACAAAAGAATTATGTACGGTGTATGGTTTCCAAAATGGAGATATTCATCCTTTTAAAACATGAGACAATGGTGTCAACTATCCTTGCATCTCCATGCTTTGTATGTATAGGTCTTCCACCACGTTTACAAAACAGGACACAGTTTTATTTTTTAACTCACTTTTAAAATGTATAGGACTAATTTATTACAGCGGAAGTATTTTTAAACCTATGTGAATTATCTTTCTTTGGATAATCTACATGCCTCCCTGACGATGTTTGGTCAAACATTGCTCTTTTATGATTATGCCTTAAAATTTTATGCATACTGTTTGTACTTTAATTTGGAAGATGGCTTTTAGCAATTTTGCAACATGGGGGTTCACTTCAAGTGTAATTTTGGAAAACTCAAACCATAATTATTGGCAATGCCATTTAGATGACTGGAGATTTAGAATGTCCTAATATTATCTAAGCTGCTACTTATTTATGGCAGGTACCTTCGAAGACAGCACTTTGTAGATGTAACTGAGATCTTCAACTTGCTCAACTGGGAAAAGAAGCAGAGACTCTTCAAACTTGGTTATATTATACTTCTACTCTTCATGTGCTTGTTCTGGTGAGTGAATCAACCTAATCTTCAATCATCAAAGCAAGCAACTTGGAATTTCTTAAGATAATCTCACCTTTTGACTAATTCCTATTCATAGGTTGATTTACAATGCACTCGAAGATGATGAAGAGCATCACTTTTAGTTTCAGTCAAGTACCATTCAAGTGCTGCCAGCTGCTGTCAACATTGCATTGGATGAATTGCTTCAATGGCTCTTGGAATTGCTCTTATTTCATTGTAATTTAACCTTTTGATAGTTTGTTAAGAAAGTAGGCTCCTTTGATCCGGTGGAACCTGTGAATTCTTGCACGGGGCCTATTTCATTCAGTTACATTTCTGTTGCATTTTTGCCACACTTCGCAGCGATGTTGTAACTTTATCACTTCAATTTCTATTGAATTTTGCCACACCATGCAGTGTTGATGTTGTTTAGATAAGCTAATGATTTATCAACAGGCTCTGCAGTCACAAGGAGCTTTATTTGTTCTTTCTTAATATTACAATGGCTTCAAAATAACAATATTAAGGCATTCCTCTGTTCAAACAATGGGGTAAAAAAGTGTTATTTGGGTAGAAAATTGCCAGAGTACATGTCACAAACAGGGCAATGTCAGAGCTTTAAGTTCCGCTGCACACTAAATGGTTTCAGCCAAATACCGAAAGCCATACAATGTGTAAAGGGGTTGTATGTACAAAATCAAGAAGGCTTCTCATATGTGTTCTGCTCCCTGAATTCTGCAATGGCACTCCTTATCATACCAGCCACATCCGAGCGAACAAAGAGATGAGTGTTGTCCAAGACATGTATAATGAACTTCTGAGATTGAGGTAGTGCAGCATTCATGTTGATGATGAACTGTGCCATGGGAATGTCACTGCACAAGAAAGATTAGCATGGTTTAGCATGGTTGAGATGCACATTTATGTGGATCATCAGGTGGGCGAATATCATGACAATTGGAAGATAAAACTACTACTTGGTTAAGAAAATCTACCAACAGCTATTTACCTATCTAAAGCCTTTTTATATTGGTTTCTACAATTAACCAATGCAACTAATCTGGCATAAAGTGTGTATATCTACCAATTTCGAAAGGAAATAAAGGGTATAAAACGTTGACTCAAATGATGCCTCACCATGAAATGTACAATCCTTTGATGGCGTTCACCATAGTAGATAAGCTCTTGACCTGCAAAATGAAAAGTAGGTTGTTACTGACATTGGCAAATTTCTGAGAACCAGTAGTAGAGCTACAATATCCTGCTGTGGTGGATGCAATAGATCTCACTATGTTAACAACTTTGGCAAACTATAACGACATTTATTTGTAGGAAAGGGTTGCACTTTGAAGTACTTGGTGCTTATTACAATCTCAGCAAACCAGAGAGCAAAAATGTAATTGGAGAGACTTGATATGGGCACAACACAAGTTAAAAGATAATCAATTCCAACAAAGCACCAAGAACAGTTTCAATGAGCATGAAATCAAAACAAAAATAAGTTTACAGAAACTAAAACCAGCACGAAGGGGTGTAAAAGATGAATTTTAAGCCAGGAATTCTTGTCATAGCAAAATGCAATATAAGGCACCACTGATTTTGTATAAACTACATAACCTGATCTGGTCGAAACAATAATACTGCATTTTCTAATCAATAAACTTGAGTCAATGTGATGATGCTCACCTTGGCTCTGAATAAGTATCAAATTATAAACAATTTTTCTTAAAAGATAAAAGAAATTCGTATATCGATTCAAGCAAATTGCCAGAGAAGCCCGCGATAACAAAATGAAATCTATCAGTCCACATTCAAATAAAATAAGTCCCTGGATACAGGAAGATAAAAATTTAAGTTACCACCCACCTCGTACCAATAGAATCCTAGTCTAATCGGCAAAACGATTTCAATCGCTTAAATTTCTAGGCTGCGCTGCTGAGAATGTAATCCACCAGTCGCTCGAGACTCACACCGCGCTGGATGCCAACAGCTAACAGATAAAGGGCAGGGCAGAGGATTCGATTCAACCTACTTTTAAAATTTCCCAAAACAAATTCACTGTGAGTAACAAAAACAGTGTCGCTGCCGAATTCAGATATCTTAACGGGTCGACCCGTACCCGCAACCATTGTGGGTCCGATCTGTGTAACCCATTTCACAGCTCTACAGCTACACTACCGAATTTGAAATCCATCCAATTAAGACAAGGAGAACCGACGAATGTTAATGGGCTTAGTTGAGCCCAATCTCAAAGCTAGGCCCATATTCTGGAACTTTTAGAAGAGGCCTAAAATAAAAAAATTCCTACCGAATACGTCATTTCACCTTCTCATAATACATAGCATCCTATATCATATCCTATATATAACTATACACGTCATTTCACACTTCAAATTTTTGGCTTCTATTTTTTGGAGTTTATAAATTATATTTTTATTTATAAGTTTTTTTTGGAGGAAAAAAGTATAGATAGTTTTTGTTTTGAAATTAGTGTTTAACAATTTATAATAATAGATAGTGAGTGATTTTAGATTTAATTTTAAAAACAAATTCTCATAGAAGAAGAAGATTACGGGAGATAAGTCTGCAGAAGAAGAAGAAGAGAAAAATTGAGAAAAAAATATGTGAAGAAGAATTTTGGGAAGAAAACAAGATGGAAGAAAGAAGTTGCGGAAAAGAAAAGAAGAAAGAACAGAAGAGAAAGAGAGAAAAACCACAGGGTATAACAATCTAATAAAGCTAGTGTTATTTAAAAGCGGGGAGAGTGTGCAGCCGTTTTACAAACCACGAATAGGTTTTTTTTGAAGTTTTAGGACTACGAGGGATTCAGCAAATTTGGATTTTTTTTGCTGTTTTGCCTTTTATCTATATCTTATAAGTTTGCTTTATATATTTTTTATTAATTACTATAATCTATTGTATTTTTTTTACTAACTTATTATTATATTTAAGTGACTTTATGAAAAATATTATTGATTTATTAGAAATAATATTTGATAAATTATGTAGATCATGTCATATAAAATAATAATTTTAAATTTATAAATAAATAAATAAATAAATAAAATTAACCTTTCACATTTTTTACTCAATTTTCCCCCTCTAGGTAAAATATTATAATTGTGTACAATAAATTTTTAAAAATATAATAAAAATTTACTTTAATTTTATAGCTTTTATTTTTAGTATCTACATTGTATAGATAATTTACTATGTATTTTTATAGTTAATATGATCCATTTTTCTTTTACAAATTTTTTTTGATAAATTATTAACAATAAAATTATAATTATAAAATAATTTATTTTTATGTATTTTTAATTAAAGATATATATTTATTTATTTCAAATATTTATAAAATTAAATAAAAATAATATAATAATTAAATTTAATTATAATAATTTAAACGCTAGTAGTTATATATATATTTTTTAATTTATTTTAAATATTCATAAAATCAAATAAAAATAATATAATAACTAAATTTAAATATAACCATCCGCCCATAGCACACGGTTTAAAAGCCATGCACACGTTTAAAAGCCAGTAGACTGATTAAGCAGCACAGCCACTCTCTTCTGAAAGTAGAAAAGGAATTTCACAACAGTAGCTCCAATGGCGGCGCTGCAACCATCTCTGTCGTCTACACGCGCAACTGAGCCGTCTGTAAATGCTACAAATAAACAACAACTACAAGTCTACAACTCACTCTACAACGCACGCTCTGCCATAATCAATCAACTCCCCTCATTTGTTCTGTTCTGCTCTACAACAAGCCATTTATCCAATTCGCTCGATCTACCCTGCTAGGCTCATGTTAATGTCCGTCGCCGGCTTCACCTTAGGTTTAGGAGGAGCAATGGCGCTATTGTCCGAGGTCATCGTTGGCCATCCATCGCCGCTGCGGAATCCAGATGAAGCACAATGTGCCTCGTCGTCCATCGCTTGGATTGGAATCGGGATGGAAGCCGCAGGTATCATTGTCACCGCCTCCGTGGTCTTGTGTTTCTTCATCCTCAACGGCTCCGGCTGCTGCTGCTGATTCCCCGACAGAAAACTTCCCACAACAATCTGCCGGAAAAATGAAAACACTGTTTGATTGAAAGACAGCAAAAGAAGATCGAAGAACACAGGGACGGCGCGCATACCTGCACGGGGGTGGCTGCAACTAGCAAGCCGGCAACGCCACCTCCTACAACGCGGCCATCGGCGCTAGCCAAAGAAACGCTCATGCCGCCGGATCTGTTTCGCATTCCTCCCGTCTCTGTAGGCGTGAATGATCCAGACAGCGACAGTATCTCAAACCGACCCTGATAGCAAAAGAAGCTCGATCATACAGTTTTTGAGTTTAATAAGGAAAGAGAACTCGAATAGAGCACCTCGTATGTCAATGTGCCGCCAGAAGAATCCGGCTGACGAATAGTTGCACTCGATACTATGCCATTGGCTGATAGAATGCATATTGCGCGAGGCCCTTGTTGAGAGAAAGATATAACCTTCTTCATCACATCCTAAAATCACAAAAATTTCGCCTATCAATACCTCAGAGAAATTGATCAAATGGCATTTGTTGTAGATCATACATTATACAACTGTCAAGGCAACTTCGACATCATAGCCAACAATGTATTTAGATCATACCAAGATAAATACATGTAGATCAAACAATAAATATGTGCCGGAGGAAGTAACTTGATTGGGATTAGCTAGAGCAGAAAAAGCAACATAAGAATGGAAGAAATACTGCCAAGCAATATACGAGAAAGCGTCGATATTCATAACTATTTACCTCTCCTGCATTAACAGTGATAATGTGTGGGGTAAAACTGGCACCTCCGGAAGTCGGAAACCAGTCACCTGCAAGAGCTAAAGAAAGAAAGAAATGTCATTTCTGATCGAGACACTCGTATACATCAGCTCAAACAAGAAAACCATTTAAAGAAATTGCAATTCTTTGGGGAAGTATTATACGGTATATGATTGTCATAAAAGCACCGGACCACAGAACAATGAATTAACAAATATTCCAATCATTGAGCCAGTCGTGCTCGCCTTTTGTCAAAACTCAAGATACTAGAGCAAATAATAAGCCGGTCTGTCTTCCATTTAACGGATCCCATCAACATCACAATGTAGCAACTCAAGTCAAACATCGATACAATTCACCTATCTTTAGGGTAAAGAGTTGCAATTGAAATCATTCCCAAGTCATAACTCACAAACATTAACCACAATCACCGTAATTTGGAACTGTCTCAACCATCATGAATCGACATTTCGGATTCTTGCCATGAGTCAACCAAAACATCGAAAGGATAACCTAAACTACACTACATTCAGTGACTTTAATCCATTCTAAAGCTAGAGATTAAGAAGGTCGAAAACAGGACATCTAGATTGCAACAAAGATCAAACACCCTTCAACACATACTCATATTTCACAATGAAAATGACCTAATTTCAAGATTCCCAACAGGTCCCATCATCACTAATGTCCATAAATTCCCAGAGACTAATTCTAAAATTCAGATATTTTGAGCACAGGTTTGTAAGAGCAAACAAATAAATAAAAAATTCACAAATCCCCATTGATCCCTTATACGATCTACAGCTCAACAAACACCAAAAACGAAAAATCGAACAGTTCAATACCTAGGCCACCACCAACAGTCTCCATTCTGGGCTTCGCCGTCAGGATCACCGGCCGGATTTTGCCCCGCTTCCCGGCAGCTGAGAAATCAATCACCGGCGGCGGCGGGGCGGAGGAGGATATCGGCCTCGGCGACAGGGCCTTACCCGCTGAGCCATCGGAGCCGTACTTTCTAGGCCTGCCCCTCTTCTTCTTCATCAAGGCAGCGCCGCCGCTTCCCACTCCAGCTGCCTGTGGCGGCGTAGATAGAGTCACGGCTAGGGATTCTGATCCGGCGAGCCGCGGCGGGTTCTCATTGGCTGTCCTGGAAGCGACATGGTAGTCCGAGGGAACATCGGATCCCACCACTGTCACTCCTCCACTCCCGCTCAAGGCATTAGTAACCTCCATCTTTAAAACTCCAACAAACAAGTACGGCTACCCCTTTCTTCAATAGCCCATTAATTTCTGGAAAAATCGAAATAAACCTCCCAAGATTTCTACAAAATTCTAAAATTAACACCCACCCAATCTGTAGAAAGAAAACCCATTTTGCAACAACTTCAATTTCATCACCGACACAAAGCTTTAATTTAATAACCCTCAACAAAGTTGTAAATATATACACATATATGTAAGAAAAAAGGAAAAACGCTGAGAAATCAAAGTGAAAGAGATTTATCAGAGCTCAGACAGTACAGCAAAAGCAGCCTGGGAAGGGAGAGAGGGAAAATAAAGAAAATTACTAAAAGATTAATCTGATTTTTGAGGAAATTTTGCGGATTTTTTTTTTTTTTTTTTTATTTGAGAGATTTACCTCATTCTTTCCTCCATTTTTTTATTTTATTTTGTTCTTTTGTTTTTTATTCGGTAGGTGACATAAAAATGAATTCTTTATTTTCTTGGAGTTAAAGCAAACTTAGGTTCCCCAGACTGTCTGGATTTATATTCAAAAAATAAAATTATATTTTAAACAGTTGTAAGAATACACTAGTATTAAATATTCACTATTAATTAATTGTTTGAAATAAATAATAATGTCTGCATTGCGATCCACTCAAAAATTTCAATCATATATAGCTTTGTTTACTTTATACCCTTTTATTTATTTGGTATTATATTTTTTTTTTAAAAAAAATCATATTAAATATATTTTTTATCCCATAAAATATAAAATTAAATATTATTTTTATTATTTTTAAAATTCTAAAAAAATCTGTATGAACAAAATAAACTTTAAAAATAAATTAGTTGCAATTGGAAGAGTAAAATAAACTTTGGCTGTCAAGACAACATGAAGGATTATTATTTGCTCACTTTCCCCTCTAATATAACTTTTTATAGTTGTTAATTTTTTTAAAGTAGTAATTTTTATTTTAATAATTATTTGATATATAATATTTTATGAATATATTTTTTAAAAAATGTAAATTAAATAATAAAATAATTAAAATAATTGTTAATCGAACAAAAACCAACTTTACAAGAAACCCTAACCTATATTTATCTCCAATAAAATTCAAAGCGCAACTATTGTGAAAAAGTTTAGATAATAAAGTTAGGTGGCTCATACAAATTGAATGATTTATTTTTATTTTTATTTTAAGTGTTTACTTGCCTTATAAATTTAAATTTAAATTTAAAATTAAAAAGTTTTTGTATAATAAACTTAAAAAAAAAATTATGTGGTCCACAATCAAAGAAATGCAACCCCATCACTATGCTGACACTTATGCCAATAATAAATTATTCTAATTTATTGAATTCAATAAATTATTTAATTAATGAGTTACTATCAAATAAATAAATAAATAACATTACACAATATAATATTATACAGTAGGTTTAGATAAGAACGATGCTGTTTTTTTATTTTAATTTTTTTATTTCATCATGTTATTTTAATTATTTTGAATTTATTAAATATTGTGAAGGTTAGTGCGTTGTTATTATTATTATTATTATTATTATTATATTTATATTTCGCTTATATATATATATATATATTTATCAAATTATATATGTATTGTAATGGACAAGTTGCAGTAATGTATTTATTCATTAATATACCTTGATTTAAAAAAAAAAAAACGATGCAATGAATTTAGTCAATAAATCAAATTGTATATACACGGAAAATAAATATTATTTCTGATCGAATTATTAAGTGTGAGAAAATATTAATTTATGGAAATACTCTTTTTATTCTTTATCAACGATTCTGTTTTAATAAAAGTTGTAATTTATTCCTTTTACGAAAAATCCCCCCTGCATATTTTTAGAAAATTCAAAATGATTTCAAAACTTTTTTTTTTTTTGTTTCTGCCACAAACTTTTAATAATATAATTTTTAAAAATTTTAATGGTAAATGCATTTGGTAAAAGATCAAATATAAAGATGATTGGGTCCAATGGGCTTATTAAGCCCATCTTTAGAAGTATTTCGGTATAATCGGATTGGGCCCTTTTTTCTCCTCTTTGATGTTTTTCTCCTCTTGAATATTCAAATCTTTGTTATAGATTTGAATACTTTCAAAATATATTTATAATGAAATATTTAAATATAAATATAAATAGAAAAATATAATGTTGCTCCCATAACTATTTACTATTTCTTGATCCACAATGATGAACCTACTTGGGCTCAAGGCCTACTATAAGTTATATATATTAAAATTGTTATATTTTATATTGAAAATAAATATTTAATTATTTATCAAGCTACTTGGGCTCTAGGCCCACTAGTGGAAGGGACCGTAATTTCCATCCTGCTTTTATAATGATTATATCTAAGCAAGGTATGTTTTTTGCTTGTACGGGCATCTATTTTAAAATTAAGAATGTATTTATAATGATTTTAATACAATTAAATATAATTGAATGCCTTGAACAAGAAAAAGTAAAATTATTTTAAATATATTCGTAACATCTAAAAATTTATTTTCATTAAACATATTTTAAGGGAAGATACCCTAAATTTTCTAACATTAAGATGCATTCAAATTTTATCTAAGCAGACAAACAAATTCCCCCACTCAAAAGAATAAGTAAAAGGTAATCTCACATATATACACATAAAAATGCACCTGCTACAAGGTAAGGTAAATGAAACATGATCAATAAATTTTCCAATTTTCCCATCTATATTTACCTGCTATTCTATTCAATTCAATCAAATATATATATATATACATACACGAATTGATGGGTGTGTCATACATCAAAGCATGATGATATACCTGTTCTTTTAAATCTAAATCTCCTTCTGTAAAATGCCTTTCACCAATTATATATGCCACCAAACAAAATGAACTTTTAAGAGTGTCGGTTCGATCGCTTTAAGATTTCTTGTCAGGAATAAGATTTGATCAATCCCAAATTGTATAGATTCCTTCTCAAGATGCTCCCAAGGGATAGCAGCATGGCCCCCCCGCCAGTGCCTGTCATGGCGGGGTCGTCCCGCTCAGCCTTTTTCCGATGGAACGACTGGAGTTCCTTAACTTTCAATTTACTCAAACCGATCTTCTGTCGAACTGATTCTATGATGTTTGCATCTGGAAGATTCCCGGATGCATCTGTCACGTGGAAGACGTTTAGAGCTGTGTCCCTTGTGGTAGATATCTCTGCCCTCGTAACGTTTAAGCCATTTTCTCGAATTGTTCGCATTACGTCGGCCAGGAGACCTTTTCTATCTGCTGTACAGAGCTCAAGGCTCACACCCTGACATCGATTAGATTAAAAGACGATGATGAATAAGAATATTAGAGCAGCCTAGGTTGTAAAGGATGTCAATTTACAACTCACCTGAGATGCCCTTCTTTTTATTGCGGATTGTAGACACAGAATCACACGATGCTTTTCGGCATCCGAGCTTATAGGTGTTCCATCCAAGTGTCTGAGGAAGAATTCCTGGTCCAAAACAGTTACTGGTTTAAGCAACTTTCACTAAGCAAAACCAAAGGGTTAAAATTGAAGATGAAGATGTAAGAACATACCAAGGATGCTTCGTTCTGTGCTGTATCTACAGTGGCATGGAAGACAACATATTGCATGTCTGTTAATGTGCAAACGACGTCGAAAAGGAGCTTATTACGATCTCTACACTGGATATTTACCACGGAATAGTCCTTCTCCAAGTAATTTTGAACCAAAACAACAGGGGAATCGCAAGTATTGATGTTCGGTTTTCTATCGTAATCCCTGTCTGCAAACATCATTTGGTGAAGCCTCCTCTCCATGTGCGTGACCCCCAAAGAAACCGAGGTTTTGGCACTCCGGATATCATTGTCCCCCTTTAGTACATTCCTCAGGGTTGCCTCTATAATGCCTAGTTTCTGTGAATCCTCTATTGGTGATCCTGAATCATCATCCTTAACATATATAAAGGCTGCGATTCGACCATTGTGAGTCCAAACCTTTGCATCAACAACATTGCAACGCAGGTTTGACAGCACTGCAAAAACCTCCGAAAGAAGGCCTACTCTATCAGTACCCGTTAGCTCCAAAGCTGTTAAGCCCTCTAAGCTTCTTGATCTCCCATAATGAACTGTCTCTAGAGACTGCAATGAAACTCACAGTTACCATAATGACTTTTTCTTTTTAACAGGAGAGTGTGCTAGAGACTATTCTTGTTAAATTTTACTGGGATTGGTGCTTAATAGTTACCTGCTCAATGTAGCCCATCACACTCTGATCAGTTACTTTGTTTCCATTTAAGTCAGTGACATGGAAAACTGTAGATTCACAAAATTCGACGGCAGAATTATTAATGGAAATTCAACTGCACGATACAACAGCTATCTTGACCAACAAGGATGGAACACATCAACTACTCACCGTCCATAAACCACCGGCCATCAGAACAAATGTAAGCTTTTTTAATGGACAGATTCAAATCTGTCAAAACTTGAACAGCTTCTAGAAGTATCCCATGTTTTCTTGCACTGTCGATCTGCAAATTAGACGTAAACTTAACCGATTAAAATCAAATTGCTCAGATTAAATTACTGGAACCTTGATCTCAACGCAAAGTAAAAAGATATTTAAGGAGGGGTTAAAATTACCGTGAGCCGCGTCGCGTTAGAGCAACCCGCGTTGTCGATCATGACCCTGCAAGAGGAGGACGAGAAACAGTCAAAGAGGGCGTTAAGGAACTAATCAAGCACTAAGAGCAGAGTTTTGAAGGAGTCATCTAAAGTCAATGCGACAACTGTCAGCTGGAAAATAAATGTCGACTGAGTCTTATGAACTTGGAATCAAAGAAATCGGCCGTGATCAAATTGTAAACAAAACACGATTAACGGCGGGAATTTGTGTGAAATTGCGCTGATCGAGAATACATTGATAACCGGATTCAGCAAATATTTTAGGATTATTAACCAAAAACCTAAATCAACCTCACAGTTCTGAAATACGAACAGCAAAAAGTCCATCCAAATTAAGAGCAAGATAGACGAATATACAACACGAAATACAAATCTTCAAAAACAATTTATTTGCCGTTCGGAATACAACTTCACCGGATTTCTCTGAAGTTTTCCCCTCAAAACTACCCCCAAACAAATATTCATAAACTCCGAAAGAAATTAACCAACTCGTGCAATTCTTTTCACGGAATCGAGCGTTCAGAGAAGCAAAATCCACAAATAACGTACACGACTCGAAGGAAGCTAACCTCGGCGTAGACATACGAATAAGAAGCTTTTCATATTCATCCAAATTCGTCGGCCATTCCATATTTTCCGAAACAAGAATCAGATCAGACGCAGCACCCCAGCAAATGATCTTATCAACCTTCTCTCTGTAGCTGAATCGGGATCAAAATCTCAGCCCTTCAGCTCTCTCCAGAAGCTCCGGGTTTCTATTTCCACAGAAATGACCAAACACGGCGTGATTTTCCCATTCAACGGCGAACGGCCGTATTTATATCATAAATTTCCCGGATATTTTTCTTCTTTCAAAATAAATAAATTCCAAATATACGGAGACTGTGACTGACCGTACGTTCTGCCCGGGGTGCCCGGATTTCGCAGGATTCATTCTTCCATCGTATTATTTCTGCCCTGAATATATTTTCAAAAATCCTTGTTTACTACAAGTCAACTACCCGTTTCTGACACGTGTTTTCCAGTGGGTGATGCCAGCTGGACACCACGTGTCGTTGGAATTATGCCTTGCGTGTACTCGACTCAATGGTGACTGGTCAGTGGCGCCCTTCCCACCTTTTTTTTTTGATATCGGTGTACGTGATTTCTGGCTTTCAGTAAATTTAATAAAAGCGCGTTTTACAAAAAGTGTGAAAAATAAATGCGACATACAAAAGCGTGCTTGGTTCAGTCCCTTGTGTGCTGACAATATTCACATGCAAATCTTCACAACCCACGCTCGCTGTCTCCGCCTATTCATTAGTTTGACCAGAGTCAGCGGCTGAACGCTCCTCCTTAAATCGGTCTGTTCTTACTTTACCTATAATTAAATTAGTTAATTTAATTAATATATTTGGAATTTTCTTTACGAGATAAAGCAGTTGGATTATGCAATAGTTTGCACTTACTTTCATGATACATACCAGATAGATAAGGATAAAGCATTTTTTTTTTTTAATAGGAAAAGGAATCGAGCAATTTATTAATCCATTCACACTTACACAAGGTCCATGATGTATGTAGTGGGCATTTAATATGATTTTTAATTTATGTTGTACGAAGCCATGATCCTTGCCTTGCATCAATACACCTCACAATTATGCCATGTCTCAGTACCAATTTGGACACCCAACGTGACAACAAAATAAATAACCAAACAAGTTGAAATTTAATCAAAAATAATTTTAGGTCGGCTTCTTTTTATCCAACTTTCATTACTTCAATTTTCATGCATCTGTGATCACTAATTGTAAACTTGGATTCTACGTTTGTATTCCTGAAAGAATAAAAATAAAAATATCAACGGGGCACGTGGACGACACATCATGACTTAGTCGTTACTCGTGTCTTTTTCGGATATATTTATGATTTATTTATACCACCGCCACATCCTTTTCCCTTTTCTACTATTCACACAGAACTGGCGCCAAATTTAAATGATTTGGGCCGATTATTTTCGACCATTAATAATTTGGACTAAGGCCCAATAAAATGCGTTGCGCCAGCCCATTTATGACAACGAGGAAATACTGTAACTGGCAGTGCCAATTGACCCTGCTTCGCATTTTTTCTTACAGACGGCCGTCCAGTAAGAACCTAACCATGGCGATGGCGGCGGCCGGTTCTTCTATACGTACATTCTTTCTTCCTCAAAATTTACGATCAGCATCTGGTAGTAATTCCGAGAGATTATTCGTTTTCCTTTGCTGCGGGAATTTGCCCCGATTTGCTTCAGGAAAAGTAGTCGGCAAATCATTGACGAAAAAGTAAGCTAGGCTAGGAATTAGGATCCTCAATTTCAGACACAAATGGCGATTGATGAATTCTAAAACTGTTTGATGCAAGTGCAGAGATTTTGTTGCTGTGAATGGTGTTCCGGAGAAAGCAGGAGATGCTGTGCCTTCCTTGTTCCACGCAGACAATTCATGGTACTTTCTTACATGGACAAACTCTTACAACGTTAGGGTTTTACAGTTACCGGTGCGCACAGGTTGTCTTTGATCGCGGCGGTGTTTGTAGCAGCACCTCTGATCCAGAAGCTGTTATCACTCACGAGTAAGCTCATCCAAATCCAATTATCAATTATGCAAAAGTGTAACTAACTCCGCCATTTTGGAAAAGCTGAATTAATCAACGGAATTTTGAGCAGAGGAGATTGACACGGCGGCGCGGGCGGTGGAGAAGATAGAGCGCACGGTGGAGGGAGCGGCGGAGGACGTGGAGAGAGCGAGGAGAGACATTAACAAAGCACTTGTAGATCTGACAAGTGGGCTGAACAAGGTTGTCCGAATCGTGCAAGTTTCGGTCAGAAAAACTGTGGAGTACGAGGAGAAGGTCGATGATCTGATCCATAAGGTACACAGCCATCAATCAATCAATGAAACTAGAATCTAATTTTGAAGATGAGGATAAATTGGTAATGCAGGTGGAGGAGCTGGAGGATCAGGTGGACGAGGTGATGTTCAATAAGAACAATAGTAGCGGGAACTAACTGTAGTATTTCTATTACAAAGACTCAAATTTTATTTACTCTTCCAGGAATTCTATGAAGACACACATCTCTTTCTTCACCACCCAATTTCAGATTATATATTGCAAGAATTATTATTATTATTATTATTATTGCGTGCATTAATTTAAGGGTAAATTATATATTATATAACTATGGTTGTGATTTTAGAAAAAAATTGCACAAAACATGATGTATTTTATTTATTATGTGAAATCGAATTGTGTTACTTTAAAGTTTGCAAAAAAACATTTTTTTTTAAAAATATCTTAAATAACTTTTTTAAATAAATAAATAATTGATCAATAATTTATGGTTTATAATTTTTGTAAAAATTAAATAACAATTTATCTCCAAAAAATTATAAAATAAAAGATTAATCAATTATTTATATAAAACTTACATTATGAAATTCATATTTACAATCAAATATTATTTTTGGACAAAAACGATGTTTAGTAAAAATTTTGCATTAATACAAAGGTTTTACACAACAAATAAAATATGAGATATTTTATGTATTTTTATTAAAATATAATGGGGGTATTACTCTCTTCTGTAGTATATTGAATGATATAAAATCAATGTTAGTTGTGTAATATATTGTAAATTGAAAAAGATAATTATAATATTAGGTATATAATAAAATTATTAAAAAAATAAATATTTTATTATATGACAGAACAAAATCGAAAAATTGAAAGATTATTAAGGTATGAATGAGGTATATAGTTACTCTTAATTTAAATATAGTGGCTTTGAAACTTTGGGTTTGAGGAATCTTTTGGATGGGTCGGGTCATGTCAGCCCAGTGGAGTCCAGTCCAGTATTTACATGTGACATCAATCGTCTAAACGAAATATAATTATTTACTCCTGATTAATTTTTAGTTTAATCCATATTGCAATAGAGATCCACAAAACATGGGGGATGATCAGGCACGTGTTGACTTCAGTGTTCATGCGGTCCCCACTTTTTTCTATAATTATATTCTTTTTTAATTATTAATAATATATTAATCGTTAGACTTAGGGGGGTGCATTAAATTTACATCTTGGGAAAATTTACACACGCCAAAAAATAAAAAAGAAGTAACCCACTGTCATTTAATCTTTTCTCATGATCAGCACATGTAGCATTGATCATTTCACAAACCAATTGATAATTAAATTATTACTGTTCATGTCTCAATGCACATCTTTTTGCATCTAATCAAGATTAAGACAGTTTAATTAATATGTATGCACCACACCCATCTGCAACTACTCTATTATTGTTCTTTAATTTAATTTAATTTAAATCCTTCTCTCTCTCTCTCTCTCTCTCTCTCTCTCTCTCTCTATATATATATATATATAGTTGATTAATTTATGTGTTGGATTGATGGATAACATGTTTGAAAAAAATAATGATATTCTTCCTTAATCGAGTTTGGCTGGAGTAAGTTTAAATTTATATAGTCGGTATTAATATAATATTTATTTTAATTAATGGGCCCAAGCTTAGCTAGCTAATGATCCTTTTCGACAATTGATTGAATACGCATATAATATATAAAATGTCATTTTAAATTATTTATCACAGTGATTGATTTGAATGTCGCCATATTAATTTAATTTGTTCAACCTCATTTTTCTGTTTTGTGTTTTTTAATCATCATCAATTGATTACTCATTAATTAGGATAATGTGAAACATCAAGTGGTCAATTGTCTTGTCCACTGGAAACGGCAATTATATGTTGGTGATGAATAATTGTAATAATTTGCCAATTATAAGCAAGTTTAACAATATTAGCATTATCTAAACATTTAATAATATAACTAACGTTGATAGACTCAAAATTATCAATATAGATATATATATATATATATATTAGATACACATAAAGATCGATTAGATTGCCCAAAGTGTAGGAAACCTTAACCAATTGGCGATCACGAATGATGCAGTTGGTTCAGTGCAAGAAATCAAGCTCCAACACTGACGACAAAATTACAAGATTAGTTGTATGATCAAACCTTGTGATACAATACATATATGTATATATATATATGTATATATGTACATAGGACAATTGCAGAAAGTTGAATTTGGAAAGAGGGGCCCTTGAGTTTACATATTCAATTTCTTTATTAATTAACCACAATCAGAGCTATTTGATGATGTGGGTTGGAATGCATTATATATATATATATATATTATCTATATCTCTATATAGATATATATAAAATAAGTTTGTAGAGAGAGAGAGAGAGAGAGAGAGAGAGAGAGAGGGGGAGATAGAGAGAGGGAGAGCTAGCTAGCCAAACCCTAATCGAACCCTTGATTTGAAAGAAGACGTGAAATCAGATAGAGAGAGAGAGAGGAGGGAGCTGGTGATTCTTTGAAGCAAAACCCTAATCGAAACCCTTGATTTGAAATTAAAGGTGAAATCAGTTCGATCTGCCTCATCAGCTTGATTTGCGGAGAAGACGACCAAATCTGTAGTTAAATCTACAGAGAATTATTGGTTTGGAAAGGTGTTCGTTGTTGTGCAGATGGGGAATCAATTCTAGGAGTTGAATCAGCTCCAAAGCACTCACTAATTAGCTTCAAAACGACGACGTAATACACACACTCTCAATTGGGTTTCGGGAAGAGATGGCGGATTCAAGAATCTGACAGGTACGTAGCGCCACGAAAACCACTTCTCCGATCCAGGTTTCCCTCTTTTGAAGACGATAAGAAATTTATAGTTTTTATTACATTGAATAACGCAGAGAAGAAATTAAAGGCATCGAATTTTGGCACGAACAAGGTAACTGGTGAAGAACAAGACAAAAGAGGAATTCTGTGAAAAAAGCCCTAATTTGAATAAGAAGAAGATGGACAGTCATTCGCTTCCACCGCCATTTAACACGAGGGACTTCAATCTGCAGCATCAATTCCACTCGGAAGACGAGCAGAGCGAAACCACCGGACTCAACATGGTCCCAAAGCTCAACCTGGACGACGGCAGCGGCCACCCCGATTCCGCCACAAAGGACGGCAGCGGAGCATCCGCCGACGGAGAAATGTCCGTCAACAGACGGCCGAGGGGCCGCCCTGCCGGTTCCAAGAACAAACCCAAGCCGCCGATCATCATCACGCGGGACAGCGCTAACGCCCTCCGTACTCACGTCATGGAGATCGCCGACGGCGGGGACATCATGGAGAGCGTCGCCAGCTTCGCCCGGAGCCGCCAGAGAGGCGTCTGCGTTATGAGCGGCAATGGAAATGTCACCAATGTAACACTACGCCAGCCAGCCTCCGCCGGCGCAGTCCTCACGTTGCACGGCCGGTTCGAGATCCTTTCCCTGGCGGGGTCCTTCCTCCCACCGCCGGCTCCGCCAGCTGCAACGGGCCTCACAATATACCTGGCCGGCGGTCAGGGCCAGGTGGTCGGCGGCAGCGTGGTAGGGCAGCTAATTGCCGCCGGACCCGTGATGATAATGGCGGCGTCGTTCAGCAACGCTGCGTATGAGAGATTGCCCCTGGAAGAGGACGACAATGGAATGCAAGTTCCGGGGAACTCACTCGATCCTTCCATGGTCGGCGGCGGGCAACCGCCGGTAATGGGAGACCCTTCCATGTTTCAAGGGATGCCCCCAAATTTGGTCAATTCCATCCAGATGCAAAACGACGCGTTTTGGGCCACCGGCAGGCCGCCATTCTAACTTCAATTTGGCTTCTGCAGGAATCCATGGCAGGTAACGAACCCCACCCCAACCCCTCTTCCATTTCTTTCTCTCTACTGCTGTCTTAATTAGTTTAATTTTCCATTAGTTGTTTTTGCTATTATGTATTTGCAAGATGATGATGATGATCAAGAACTCGCGCTTTTCTACAATTTCCCTGTTAAGTGAGACCATGTTTTGGGATTTTTATTTGTTAATTTGGATTGATCTCATGACTTCTTTTTTGCTGCTGATGCTGATTTTACTGATCTTCTTTATTCTGATATATATATATATATATATAGTCTTGTACAAATACAATCAAATCAAAGTTTTTCCAAAACCCACAACTCAAAATAACAAATCCAAAAAGGTAATGTTGATTTAAGTTATACTACTTGTTTAATAATGATAATAATAATTAATATGTATGTTTGTTTTGCAAACAAAACAAGTATTGTGTGCAACTCAAGTCAAATGCATATTTATTGCACCACTTGGTATTGTATGTCAGCAAACTGAAACCAAAGAGATGATTACTTGTGGGAGTGCGAAAATTGTAGTACATCTAATATGATTAGCAAGGGTCGTCGTCGTCGTCGTACACTCTTTGCTTACATTTATAAGTGCAGCTGCTGTTGGTCTTGAAATCTTGGACTAGCTAATTATTTTCCATGGTAATCAGTGAAATCACTGTAACTGCTGACTAACATGTGTACATGATAGATGGAAGAACCTGGGCTTCATTAAAGCCACTCAGATGGTTTGGTCTCATAACCAAATTATATATATATATATATGTATGCATAGACACACTGTTATGGGCATCTATATATATACATATATATATTTATATCTTCATTCATATATCTTCCCATACATACATTTTTATTTCTTGTATTAGAGTTATGTATGTCCAATGGATCAGAGACGCCTAGAGGTATTGGCATACACGTGCAGGGCTGTGAGAAGGGAGTTCTTTTTCGAGGCATAATACACATAAACAAATCAGAGGGACAGTGACTGTAAGTAAAGGCAGCCCAGATCAGATCAGATCAGATCAGATCAGCTGGGAGGGACAAAGTGCAGCATGCCTTGAGCGATTCTTCCGGGGGTTCTTGAAATTTGAGGTTTTCCTTACATCAAGAAAAATAAAGGACCACATACACATCTTACATATATCTACATACATACTACATGGCAATAGTTTGAGAGAGAGAGTGAGAGTGAGAGCTAGAGAGAGAGACAGAGAGAGAGAGAGATTCATTGAACTGAAAGTAAAACCCTTTAAAAATTTAATTTGATGCATGGTGATGGGGGTTGGGTTGGTTTGGTTCCTTTAAGTGAAGCAGTAGGAACAGCCAACCCATATGTTCTGTGGGTAAGGGTTTGACAAGTTGCTTGTTAAGCTTATCCATTCCATTCTTGGAACACACTTCCAATTCCAAACTTGTTTCTTTTTCCCTTTCTCTTTTCAAGAACCCTACCTCCTCACCATTATTAATTAATTTACACACATGTATATCCTTTAAATAATTTAATTTCCCTCTTTATATATAATAATACTTTGGGCTCTGCCAAAGTTTGATTGGGCTAATTTATTTTCACAACTTTGTTTGGGCTAATCCAATTGATAAATGGTTTATATTTTTATACAATAAATTGCACGGATCTTACTATTTGTCACGGGCTTCCTTATCACTTATTTTATTTGAAAATTATAGAAACAAATGCAACATGTTCAATAAATTCCCATTACTATAATTAATTCCAGCTGTTAATCATACATTGCATGACATTATTCAAACCCTCATCAATATCGGGTAGGTTTCATACTTAGGTTAACTACTTATACAACTTATGGTACAAATTAAAGAACGTGGCATTATTATAATAATGAAATTAAAAAATTAATCGGAAGATTTATAGAAGTTTTCTTAAAAAACATATCCATTTATTACTAGGTTTATATTTGGTTAGTTCTATTCTTTCTCTCCAACTGTCTTCAGTTCGACTTCGACCATTAAGAGTTGGAGGTTGCGACGCTGTCCGAATGTCACCATCCCATTCAATAAACTCTGCTGGAATTCGTTTTTGATAATTCAACAGCAGTCAATTTTCCAGATCAAATGTCGGGATCGAAAATCTAGGAACCTCATTTTCTTTTCTTGATTGGTTGAGAATTAGAAAATGGTGAAAATCCGATTGATTGAAGGGAGGAAAAGGGTGTGGGTCCGTATTTAAGCTTTCTTTCTTTGATTATTGTCCCCATGAAAAAGTAGATATTTTTATATTCTGATAGTGGTCGTCGTCGGCTTTTACAACGTCTCTTCCAAATTTCTATAATTCAATGGAGTTTTTTAAGTGATATCTCGTTGACCCTGTTGTTTGTATGGTCTAACACCCATATTTTTGTCATATTTTATGATCCACTAGATTTCTATTAAAAATTTCCCACTGTTCTTTGAGCTGCCAAACAAGAACGATCACCACAAGGAGTATGGAATTCGAAACCCCGCTTTAATGCCTCTAAAGGTTGAGTTGGTGGTGTCGTTCTCAGTGTTTAATTAGTGAGTTGAAGAAGTGCACATGACCTGTTCGATCGTTCGTCTCTGAGAAATTGAAGTACTGGGCAGGGCTTGGGTCGCTTCATCTCCTACAGAGGCGCCAACAGTTTGGGGAGAAAGTGAGAATCTTCAGATGGACGGAAAGAAAATGAAGCTGTTTGACTGGAACGAGGCAGTGAAATCATCGGACAAGTTGTTGGAGGATCAGCCTTTGCTTCCATTTGTAATTCCTGTGTTCCTGATTCTTTGGATCATAGAGAAGTGGTTTTTCTCCATGTCGAGTTGGGTTCTTCTTGTTTTCGCTGTGTTCGCTACAATTCAGGTGAATTTTCTTTCGGATACGGCTTTGAATTTGCAACTATGATCGTTTTCATTTGATGAATGCTACTATTGTGATTTCCTATCTGTTTTCTGTTTTTGGAAATTTGTGAAGTTATGTCTCCTAGCAATTAATGTGGGTGGAATCCAATTAATCAGCATTGGAATGGACAGATTCTTTGTCTGCTATTAGAGGAAAATTAGATCATCATGCAAAGGCTATATCACAGTGGGATGTAATAATAATTATGAATTCTATCTTTAATACAGGGTTGGACAAGAATTGGTTGTGTCTGATTTTTATCCCTAGAACAAACATATACCTCTCTTAGACAGCATGCTCATTAGGTATTCTCAAGTTGATAATCTGGGAAAAGCATTTTTATGGCATTTTACTCTGAGAACTTTTTTTTTTTTTTATCTTTTTTTTATGGAGAAGTTTGAAATTTTAATGTTGGAATTGTATATGTACGGTTGATTTTTTCTTTTTCTCCCTCAAGATTGCATGCGATGTGCCTAGAGAAAACAAGTTCGGGCTAATATTGTATCAGAATCTGACTAAATTATTTTCAGTCTGTGAGGCTATTGTTACTTCAAATTTGTTTGGCTTCTATTTACTCATTAGTTCATGGCATTTAATGAAGCATTTTAGTGACCTAATGTGCTCATATTCTGTCACAATTTAAACTATTTAAAAGATGAAGTTATATAGAATAATAAATTTATCAAAAACAGGTGTGTATACTGTATAGATATGTTTTTGAGGTGTTTTGGGAATAGGAAAAAGTTACATAGAAAATAGCTGTTAGATGAGATCTTTTGAACTGAAAATAGAATTTTGATTTAATATTTTAAATACAAAATAGGTTTTGAATATGATATTTGCTTTAGGGAAATTTTTTTGGTGAACAGTGTAAATAGAGTTGAAAACATAAGTAAACATTCGATGATAAGCTGTTAGTATCCAGGTGTATTACAGATTTGTTCCTGGTTGAGATAACTATCCAGGACTATATGTCCGTATTTTGTGCAATGATTTGTAATGTGCTTTTAACAGTATGCAAGTTATCAGAGAAGAAAAACCGTGGAAGACTTGAACAAGAAATGGATGCAAATGACTTTACAGGCCTCGGTAATTGTCCAGTACATCTTGGTTATTTGTGTGTGGCTATTTTGCTCTATATTTATATGTTTTTATGCACTTGTTGTAATACATTCTAGACTTCACTCTTTCTCTTATATATGCAGTTAACGACACCACTAGAGCAGTGTGAATGGCTGAACAAACTTTTGAGTGAAGTTTGGTTGAATTATATCAACCCAAAGCTTTCTTTACGGTTTGCATCAATTGTTGAGGTAACTGCTCTCTAGTACATATTAGTTGCATCGGCACCATTACCTTTTTCTCTTCTCCCAAATGTTCAGACTTCTTTATTCATTACTTGTTTGATTGTTTCTTCGTATATCTGTTTGTTCAAATGCTTCATTGTAAGAGCTGGATCACATGCATACTGTCCATAGACATGAGTATAAATCAATTTCTCGATAATTCAGAAATTTACTGTCCAATACAGGATCCAAAAAGGTATACCAAATAAAATTAGACCAATTTTACTGGAATCCCCTGATATTCTCAAGAAAAGTTACTGTAACAATTTTATATAAAGAGGAGAGAAACATAGCATGTTCTGGTACTATTGACCTTTGAATATGTACATGCATTTGGATGTAAAAAAAAGCTGACGTTGATCATTCTCTGCTCTTAATTGTACAGAGGCGCATGAAGCAACGGAAACCAAGGTTAATTGTAAGCTCTGATGCTCCATATTCATCATGTAAAGAAATTTATATTGAACTGCTAAGTACATGGCCAGATTGACTAATAATATGATGTTGTTTCAGGAGAAGGTTGAGCTTCAAGAATTCTCACTGGGTTCACATCCTCCTCTATTGGGGCAGCATGGCATTCGCTGGTTAACTGTAGGTAATCAGGTATGCATCGTGTTTTCTTATTATCTGTACTCTATCAGGATTTTAACCCGTAGGATAACCAAGTGAAAATGTAGTATAACACGTTCATATGACACAGAGGATCATGCGCTTGAGTTTTGATTGGGACACAGATGATCTAAACATCATGCTTTTTGCTAAGTTGGCTTCGCCATTAATGGGAACAGCTAGAATTGTTATCAACAGTGTCCACGTCAAGGGTGAGGTATGCATTTAAGTTTTCCTTACTTTCTGATTAGTTTTGGGATTCATATCATTTCAAATGTGAACTTAACACCACATTGAATTTTCTAGTATGTACATGTTCTCTTTCAGCTTATGAAGATCTAATTAGGAATCTTGACTGCCATTTATTCCTGTTTCTCAGTGGGCATGAAACTTCGTTCTCTCAAACATGGCAGCTTGTTTTCATTTTGTAGCTTCTTTTGAAACCAATATTAGAAGGGAAAGCCATAGCATACTCTTTTGTATCAACCCCTGAGGTGAGAATTGGTGTTGCTTTCGGAAGTGGTGGTAGCCAGTCTCTGCCTGCAACAGAGCTACCAGGTGTTTCTTCATGGCTGGTATGCTGACTATTCTTCTATTTCATAGTGATGGGGCATGCAAATATCATTACAAAAATAAAAAATAGAAAATTTAAGCTGTAGGTTGCAATGAAATGAGCAAAACTGTAACAGATTGTGTACATGGGGATTCTAGCTTTTTTCTGAAATGTTCAATATTCTTCAAAGCACCACAAATTCACTTTTAAAGGTCTCTGGTGTTAGTGTCATTGCCATCAATTAAGATATAAATCCCGGATTCTCTCTATCTGAATGATAGGTTAAAGTTGCCAATGAAACATTGAATAAGCGGATGGTTGAACCTCGACGCCAGTGTCTATCATTGCCAGCTGTAGACTTGCATAAGTATGCTGTAGGTGGCATATTGTATGTTACCGTGCTCTCTGCTAGGAAACTTTCTCGCAGTAACTCGAGAGGTAGTGGTTCGACGAAATACACAAATTCATCAACAGAAGGTAGTACAAAAGATTACAATGACACTGAGCTTAAGACATTCGTTGAGGTTGAACTTGAGGAGCTAACAAGAAGAACAGATGTGAGAGCAGGATCTAATCCTAATTGGGACACAACATTCAATTTGATCCTGCATGACGACACAGGAATTCTCAAATTCCATCTCTATGAATGTCCTCCTGGAAGCATGAAATATAACTATCTTACTTACTGTGAAGTTAAGGTAAGTGTTGTTTTACTTATGTCTCCATGGCTACTTATATTTTCTGTTTGTTAATAAAGTACCAAGTGCTGGTTATGTTTATACAATTAATATCTTATTACTTTGTAAATAACGCATGACAAATCTTGTGATGCAGATTAGATATGTTCTGGATGATTCAACCATATTCTGGGCCATTGGTCCTGACTCGACCGTGATTGCCAAGCATGCTGAGTCTTGTGGAAAAGAAATCATTATGACAGTTCCATTTGAGGGGGATAACTATGGAGAGGTACTTCTCATTGTCTATCCTCCATAGTTCTCATGTAGGTCTATTTAATTTGTGGCAGCACTCTCTCTTGGAGATGTTCAAGGAATGAGCTGCTGTCATTTGCTATTATTTCGAAGAATTTTCATTTCTATTACCAAATATTCAGAATAGGTATATTGATGACTGAAACCATGCAACTTAACTGAAGAATTGGCCAAAGATAAAAGCTTTACTCACGCATCAGGACATAGAACATTTTGCTAATGATTATCTTGGTAAAAAACCTTGCAGTTGACCGTAAAGCTTGAACTTAAAGAGTGGCAGTTTGCTGATGGATCACATAGTTCCAGTTCCAGGTCAAGTTCTGGTCGTTCGCTAAGTGGGTCATCGAATTACTTTTCCATTACTGGTAGGAAAATATGCATAACTGTAGTAGAGGGCAAGGAACTTCTTGTGACCGACAAAATGGGGAAGTCCGACCCTTATGTCAAGTTGCACTATGGGAAGGTACATTACATAACTCCTCCTTTGTTTCCTCTTGCTGGCAATAAGCCATTTGATGCATCCTCTGTTTTGCCTACTTAGCAAGGAATCTGATCATATAATGTGTTAATGAATCTCTTACATTTCATTAGATTTTCATTTGTGGGTATTTAAGGATTTCATGCTTATGCTGAATTTCAATGTGTATATTTCCCCCAGACTGTTCAAAGAACAAAGGCTGTTTCACATTCTCCCAATCCAACTTGGAATCAGAAGTTTGAGTTCGATGAAATAGGTGGGGAATATTTGAAGGTTAAGTGCTTTACTGAAGAAACATTTAGCGATGAGTTCATCGGGAGTGCACGGGTGAACTTGGAGGGACTTGTAGAAGGGTCTATAAGAGATGTGCGTATACCCCTTGAGAAAGTCAATTCTGGAGAGCTGCGGCTTCAGATTGAAGCTCATACAGTTTATAGTAATGGCAGTTCAAAGGTAATCACATATGCTTAGCCTAAAAGATTATAATCTTCTGGTTTTGTTGAAATAGCCATATGACAAGTAAATTCATTTTTCTTGTCATCTTCTTCAGGGCTCACAGGCAAGTTCAACCAATGGCTGGATTGAGCTTGTTCTTATAGAAGCAAGAGATCTTGTTGCTGCCGATCTACGCGGGACCAGCGATCCTTATGTAAGGGTACACTATGGGAACTTGAAGAGAAGTACTAAGGTTAGATAGTGTGCATATGCCAAATGTTGTATACCTTTAGTGTCTCTGTCCATTCGATGTAGTGTTTCTGTGTTTTATTATTACAGAACTCCATTTTCTTGACAGGTTATGTACAAAACATTGCATCCGAAATGGCATCAAACCTTTGAGTTTCCAGACGACGGCAGCCCCCTCACATTGCACTTGAAAGATCACAACACATTGCTGCCTACGTCCAGCATAGGAGACTGCGTGGTCGAATATCAGATGCTGCCTCCAAATCAAATGGCTGATAAATGGATACCGTTGCAAGGAGTGAAGAAGGGAGAGATTCACATCCAGGTTACAAGAAAAATCCCGGAGCTGGAGAAGAAACCGAGCACGGATTCTGAGTCTTCGCCATCTAAAGTTCGCCAGCGCGTCTCCAATCAGGTGATTGATCATACTCTGTTCAACAATTTTTCTTGGATTGAATACATTTGATGGCTCTAACAACTAGGAATTGTCTCCGGTTTCTACCACAGATGAAGGAGATGATCATCAAGCTTCGATCTCAGGTGAACAGCGACAATCTTGAGGAGTTTACAAAGTCACTGAGTGAGCTTGAGAGCCTCCAGGATACTCAAGAAGAGGTTATGGTCCAACTCGAGACAGAGCAAATGCTGCTGCTAGACAAAATAAACGAGCTCGGACAGGAAATCATTAACTCGTCGCCATCCTTGAAAAAAACCGCTACGATAAATTGAATCAACATTAGAACTCCCTAGCACTGGTGACATGTAGAATAAACTTGTGTGCCCTAGAATATGTATTATCTTATTACAATCTTGTTCCCTGCTGGTTTGTGTTTTGGTTGGGAGAAAGAAGAATGGAACTGTACAGTTACTTGTAGAATGCATTGTTAGTCAATACATTGTTTAATAAGTTGCCTTCCAATAAAAATAATGAATCCCTGATTCTCTGTTAGGCTAAAATGGCAAAATGCAGACATCATAGTTAACAGATGTTTCTAACAATGTAAACGATCATTATGTTCTTCATCTGATTAAGCACCATTCTTTTCTTTCCGTGCCCAAAGCAATACAAGGGCGAATCCCATCAGTGACATCATGACCGTCTGCAAATTGAACCCGAACATGTTTAGATTCTATTCGGCATGGTTTGTCGGGTTCTAGCAAGAAAATTTAGGACTCACAGAAATAGCCGGAGGAATGCTGACGAGTGGATCTTGGAAAAACCTGTTTGCAAGTGCAAGAGCCAAGAGACTGCTTTGCATACCTGCAATGAATAAATGAGCTCAGTTCGGAGCCACTGGCATTAGTAGTCGGAAGACTCTTTGATATGATAAAAGAAATTGAGATCACCTGTTTCATATGATAGAGTTCTTTGCAGAGCATCGACATCAGGTGAATTATGGAAGATGAAACCAGTGAGAAAATAACCAGCAACAAATGCTGATAAATGAAATGCAATCACCAGCAGGAGCACCGAAATCCCGGATGGGGACATTACAGATTCCACATTGATAGCGAGTGGAGCTCCAACACAAAGGGCTGTCACAAAAACTGAAAGGGGAGGCAGAAGTGGCCTAATTGCATTGCAAATTTTCGGGAAGAATCTGCAGCAGCAAGTCAGCAAAAGGTAAGAAACTTACGGCGCACTACAACCAACGTACAGCAGCAATGGTATAACTACAACACAGTCTAAGTTTACCTATTTAAAAGTAGACCGGTAGCAATAGGAGTGACCACAATTTGCAAAATATTGGAAACCATTCCTTTCACATCAACGGGTAGTTTTTTACCGATTAGCAACAGGGACAACAGCGGGGTGACAAAAACAGCAGTAGCAGTAGATATAGATGTCATGACAATGCTAAGGGGAGCCATTTGTGGATCTGTAAGAAAAGTGGCATAATTGGAAAGCTGTGCTCCACTCACACAAGATGTTAACATGATGCCTACAGCTGATACAAACAACCGCATTAGTCGACATTCAATTCCCACAAGATATTCGAAAAAATCAAAGAGAAAAAATTACCCAAGGAAGTTGGGAGACCAAGTAAGGTCATGGCCAATGTGCCAAAAAGATAACCAAGAAAGGGTTTCACAACAAATTGTCCAACATAACCGGCAAAAATGGCTCCTGGTTTTCTGAACGCTTCAAGAAAATCTTTTTCACTTGAATTAACTCCTACTGCAAACATCAGAAATCCTAATGCTGGTGCATAATACCTGAACATCACAACCTAATCATTATTAAGCATTGAAGGGGCAGAAAAGTTCAAGTAGTTTTTATGTGTGCTCAGCGTTTTGTAGCTCAACCATTAGTAGTCCCCGTATGCATATGTCATCACACTTTTGATATTCCATTTCACAACCTTTTTCAATGTAATTACGTCAACCCATGGTTCATGCAATAAGCAGTATCGAACCTGTTGGTGAACCAAGTGAATGAAGGTGGGTATATCAGAGCCAAAATTGTACTTGCTAGAACAACTTGAGGTAGAAAAGAGTTTGCTCCCTTCAAAATCGCCACGATGGAAGAAACAACCTAAACACCAAAGCCATCGAAACAAACACCTATTTCTTTATTTTTTATATTATATTAAAAATTAATTTTAAATTCAAAGACATGACATCAATACCTTATTTATATTGCAAATTCAAACTTTTTCCTATTCAAAATCCAAATCCAAAACCTAATCACCTAACCAAACACACCCTATTGTATCATAGTCTTAAACAAATATTAGCCTAACTATGCGTTGGGAAACCACAAAAAGGTAATTAACAAAAACAACTTTTATAGTCCCTCTTTTGCAGACACCACACCAATCAATCAAAACTGCTAGGCGATTCATACCTTAGGACAGTTTGATGCATGTTCAGAGGGCCATTCTGGTGATAAATTGTCCGAAGCCGCACACTTGCCGATCAGTAATAATCTAGAAATCCCGCCTACATACAGTTACAATTTTCAGGTCAAAATAACAGAACAACAATCTACACAAGAATAGGGTGCCTAGGATTAATTCCATTGTAATGCCAGCTTAGAGTTAAGTTACTGCAGTATATGCATAAAAGACTCACTCGATCGCCGGTGGTATTTAACGTTCGGCAAACGCAACCCTGCAATCGAAGTAAAATCTTTATCACCTATCCTTTTCAAAAGACGTAAATAAGTGATTGCAAGAAAGAAGAAAAAGGAACCTGAAACAGTGTCGCAATCTTCTGGGCAATAAAAACGGGGAACCTTGGTGTTGAGCCGTGGGCACTCCGTTTGTAGGTAAGATTTACGGCCATGGAAGTGGTTGGGAAGACGAAGATGCAGGATGTATCCCGTGGCGCTCATCCTCCTGGTTCGTATCTTGCAATTTTGCTAAAGGGAAAACCCAAATGGCTGGAGTTGTGGTGATTAGCTGTTATGGGTTTTTTTGGCATTTGGGTCATTTCAATCTTCCAGACATCTACTACTGTCGTGACGAACTCCACGAGGTGTACATTAATTAAGTCCAATGGGTTTGGTTAGATCTTCATCCAAAATTTCGATTTTGCACTTCAAGATTCCAATTTCAAGTATTCCTAGTTTTAATTGGCTTGGCAATTTGTTATTAAAATCTACAGGGTAGAGTAAACTACTGGTTTTGCCTGCCATGACTTTCAAGATCGTCGTCATCAACAACGACGTCGACACGTATACCTATGGCGGAACAATACGCGTACAATCAGTTTTTTACTTGTTCGGCTCACCGCCGGACAACGCATTCTCTCGATACCCCACCAGATTGTGCCGCCGGAGCTGCCTTTTCTCCCATTATATTTAAATGTGAGGTAGAAATCAAAATCTGGACGGCGACGGCGATATTTTCTCCAATCCGAAAGATCAGACCGTAAAATCCCTTCATCACGCATCAGGCTTGTTCGATTTTTAGCAGAGGTAGGAATAGGATGGACACGAATGCTGCCGGAGAGGATCATGTAGACGGAGAAGATTACCTGAAATTGGAGGAAGCGGATGGGGCCGAAGCGTCGATGTCCGGCGTCCGCTGGTGGTGGTGGGCGAAAATTCTGGCGGTCGTGTCGACAGTCGTCGTGTTGGCTGTGGTTTTCTTCATATGGATCGAACCCGTTCTAATGGACAAGGTCAATCTCGATCCTCGTGAAAATTCAATCCATCCATGGCTACCACTGAATTAATCAACATCTGCCTCTCGTATTTTTCCAGGAAATCATTCCCATAATAAATTGGGAGAGAAGAACTTTCAGCAAATCTGCACGCGCACTGATAGTGTTCTGTTCTCTGGTGATATTTCCCTCTGTTCTTCTTCCTTCGAAACCATCCATGTGGATAGCAGGGATGACCTTCGGATATGGACTTGGATTTCTGCTAATCCTTGCAGGAGTCGCCATCGGCGCCTCCATTCCATACTTCGTCGGATCACTTTTCCGGCGCAGAATCCATGTAAGTACTACAATCTTCGTTCTTCGACATCGCGACACATTTCTTCATAAAATCGAGACTTCTGTTGGCTGTAGGTGTGGCTAGAAAAGTATCCGAAGGAAGCTTTCCTAATCCGAGTCGGCGGCGCCGGAAACTGGTTGAGTCAGTTCCGTGCAGTAGCCCTAATTAGGGTTTCCAGTTTCCCTTACATTCTGTACAACTACTGCGCTGTGGCTACGGACGTCAAGTATGGTCCTTATTTGTTGGGGACACTCGTCGGAATGGTGCCGGACATACTCTTCGGGCTTTACACGTGAGGACTCGCGCCGGTCGCTCGTCTTCTTTTTTCCTTTCAGGTATGTATCGTCGATAGCTCAAATTAAATGAACACGGTTTTGTTGGAGTGCAGCGGCGGTCTCATCAAGACATTAGCTCAAGCTTCGTACAGCGGGCAGTCCCTGTCGCCGGTGCAAATTGCGGTGGACGTGGCGGTCTTCGGCGTCATCGTGGCGGCGACGGTTGTGATCGCCGTATACGGCAAGAGGCGTCTCGAGAATCTGCAGGCTCAAGAGCAACAAGAAGTAGCATTATTGTAAAATTTTCTAACACGCATTTAATTTAATTTAGTTTAATTATGTTATGTTAGATTATTAAAATTTGCAAAAATATAAAAAAATTATGTATATAAATGGACATTATATTAAATGAACTGTCACGATGCAAGTTGGGTGAACCGAGAATGTGTGGGCATGGCTGGTCACTGGTCGGGGGGCAGGGCAGGGCAGGGCTAGTTTTATAATTGTTCATTCATACCTCTATCTACCTATGTTGTGTATTATACAGAGGGAAGGAGTTGAAATGACCAGTTTATCCCTGAGACAATTTAATGCCTTTCACTTCCGACAATTTATTACTGGAGTGCTTGTTTACACGACACACTTTTATTTATTTGATATTATTTATTTTTTAAAAAATATTATATTTAAATATTTTCTTTTTACAAAATATTAAATTAAATATAATTTTTTTTAGTTTCAAATTCTCAAAATTTTAAAAACTTTTTAAAAATCTCTCTGTATACAAAGCTGGCTTTTCAAACACGTCCAAATATATGAAACTGTGACAGAGGGAGAATCTGAAACAAAGTTGTCAATCATAAATGTGATTGTTGCAGAAATGCTGCTGAAAATGAACCAACACAGACAGATAGATAGAGGTTAGATAGCTTTGAAATGTTCCCAACTATTCCTCCTTCAACGTCTCTGCACACGAACAATCACCATTATATAAATTATTATTATTAAATTTTTTCAGAAAAATAAAAATAAAAAATCAATTTTCAAATCATTACATAAATTCCGCTAATTTGGGTACGGGCAGCGCTTCCTTATTCGGATCCCCCCATATCCGCGTTTTTTACTACCCATTCAAACTTCGGATCCTCTACTGTGAAACGACGCGCGTGAATGTATATAGATATACACGTGTGTATGTATGTATGTATATACATATAAGTATAACCTCTTGCTCATATCCACGTTGTATTTTCATTCTCTCGTCATTCAAGAAGGCTCAACTGTCTGCTTCTGCGTGTGGCTGTGTGTGTGGGAAACTGTGCGGAGGAGGACAGGAAGGAAGGAATGAAGGAAGGAGAAGAAGAAATGGTGGACACTACCGCCGAGAACGATGAGGTGAAGTACATTTTCACGGCTTATGAGATTGATCTCGACTATGAGTTCGACGCACCTCGCTTCTTCGACTTTAGCCGAGAAGAGACGCCTCTTGAGGTCTGCCGAACTGAAGCTTGGTTCTCCTCCGCCGGAAGCCATCCTCCTTCTCGTAATACGCTCTATCTTATTGTTTCCCTGCTCAGAACGATGAGTGGAACTCTGAATAATGACGTGTTTTTATTGTACGCTCTCGTTTGCCTGCTTGTTTCTGTTGAATGCAGTTTCCGTGATGCATTCTTCTTAAGCTGTCATTTTTTCATTTTTATTTTTTATTTTTGTTGGCTATGTTTCGTGAAACTGCCGTCCAAGGCACAATTTTGGATCTTGAGGTACTCGGAGCGACATTGCACTGTAGCGAAGCTAGCGAGCCTTGTGTTTTATTGACCGCTGCTTCTTGTACCAACACGTGTTATTAGAATTAGAGTTTTTCAATTTTTGGTTTGTTCTTCACCTTGCCGTGGCTGAAGCTGCGCCTGTGCTCAAGTTGGTTGGGCAATGAAAATATCAAAATCTGTGTTTTATAATGTTCTGTTTAGTTGCCTGCCTTATTTTTTACACATTATCAATGGTTTGATAGTGCTTATTTATTCAGGTGAAACTGGCTACAAGAAATGGGGATTTTAAGAGTTATACAATCATTAAAAACTTGCACTGAATTATAGCTTAAGAAGACGTGCATTGAAATCAAGATGATTGTGGTAGTGAAGTCTGATTATTTTTGCTTCCCGCATTGTATGCAAGTAGAAACCAGTAAACAATTTTTTCTTTGTTATTTATAGGTAAACTGACAATGTGCATGCTCACTCTCATTTTATGGTATTCCACTCCTTTGGTTATCTTACTTACGTGTTTAACTTCACAAAGTGGGTGATATTCTCTTCTTTCAGCTTATGTGGCAAGGTTAGTTTGGAGAGAGAAAACTTTGATGGAAAGGACTTCAAGTCATATGAAGCCAACAGCAAGTTATTTGGCAAAACAAGTTCGTCCTTTGCATGCTGGATACTCGAGGTGATTATTTAGTCTTATTATTTATTGTATTTTTTCTTAATACAATGTATCAACAAATCATGACCTTAGGTAATCAGCCAATGTCAACATTTTAATAGTAAAATATCCTCGTCACTTCAAAATACTAGGTCAAATTCATCTGCTTTAGATAAAACATCCAAGTCGTCAACAAGCAGTGGTGTGATTGAGAATCAAGCTGCCAAAAGACAAAAGCTTGAGGGTGGTCTTCTGAGGAAGGTATATTACTGTTCTATTCATATACAAGTTTCTTTTTTATCACTTGTCTATTATTCTATATTCTCGTACCATTCTTCAGTGGGTCATATATTTTAGACGCACATCCTTGATAGCATTTGATGAGAATAATTCATGAATTTTGTAATGCCCCTGAATAGAGTTCCTTGAGCATGAAAGATAGATGATATATTCTTGAGGAGCGCAGATAGAATTTTGGTAATCAGAATGCACGGCTACTTTGTATGTACTAATTTGATTCTTGGTTTCATGGATGAAAAAAGATGCTATCTAGAAGGGAAAGCTACAACTTGTCACTTGATTGGCTGCCACAAATGTTGCTGGAGTTGCTTTAGTAGTCTTATGCTGTCTTTCACAATATATTGCATTGTTGATTATGAGTTTACACAGCTGTTTTTCCTATATGAGTGTTTATAAAGTTTGTTAATACGTGAAATAGGTTATGGGTGCGGTGCATCTGGATCAGGCTAATTTTGTGCATAAGGATCCCAAGCGGGTATGGCATTTACATATGGTAATAAGTACAAAGATGTTAGCATTCTTAAGCAATTTAGTCTGAATAAGGTAACTATGATGTTGGTCTCTTAGAGTTTTAAAACGAAAAAGACACTTGCAAATTTGCAATGTACATCTCCAATGAATTTTTTGTGCTTGCTTAAATTCTATTGCTATGGGTGATGGAACCATAAAAGACAGTCCCTTGATTTGTGACTATGGTACCTCTGATCTAAAATCTTTAAAATGGATTGACAGGATGAATTCCAGTATGAATATGCAACTCCCATCAGATCCAGGACCACTATTCCTAGAGATCCGAATCTTGAAACAGCACGCAGGGCCCAAAGAGCAATGTTTGTTCAATTACTATTGGAGCTTCTGTTCTTATATTGCTCTAGATTCATGTTGCTGTTGAAGAGTTACTCTGATGGACTTCTGACTGTCCCGCTTAATGGTTGAATATCAGGGAAAGGAGTTGTAAAGTTGAAAATGTGACTTCAACTGTCTATAGATTCAAAGCTCGTCCCTTAAACAGAAAGGTTAGTATCTATGTTTATGAATGATCTTGCATATTTTTTATTCATAGCACATAATTAAGATTTAACTACTCTGTTTTCAGATCCTTGAAACAACGCCATTGTTCCCAAAGAGAAGCACTCCTCAGGCTCCTGATTTTCAGGTGAGTGTGCTAGAATAGGTTTCCTTCCTAGGAACGTTTGACTGACATGGTTTTGTACTGATATGCATGTATATGTGTGTATATTGGGTGACTGGTGTTTCAGGAATTTCACTTGAAGACATCAGAGAGGGCTGCACAGCATAGCTCATCAGTTTTAAATTCCACCATTCCTTCCAATCATCCCGATAAGGTTGTAATTGGACATGATTCTAGTAAGGGTTATTAAAATGTTTATACGATCTGTGAAATCTTCGTGATACGTAAACCCGTCTGTTCATTTTCCATATGGAGAAATAGTGCCGAGTTAAATATAGAAATCCACTCATTGTTACTAATATTGCTTCTTTCTTTTTTTCTTTTGTTCTTTTTTTTAAAATCTTGGAGCAGGTACTAAACAAATATTCAACTGATTTAACAACAGAATGCGGAAGCATTGAGCCTGGAAGGTAGTTTTTTGAATGGTGGATTATGTTAATAATGCCATTTTTTTTTTATTTAAAATTAACTTCTTATCCATGCCCGACTGGAAAAATCTTTTAGTTTTTTGAGGTGATAAGACATTAGGTTCTTTCGTATTTGTTGTTCGGGGACATTTCCATTCATCTCATTCTTGTCTACATATGCCAATTTCGTTTTTTCCACCATTATGTTTGGTCTTTCAGTCTGTTGACTCTGTTCTATAAGAGTTTTATTACCACCATTTGACCATTCATGTCCTGTAACATGTTTGTATCTTATGTATAAGTTTCCATATTTTTCATACCCAGCATTATGAATATTGCTTCGAGGACAAATGGTGGTCAGTCATCTCACAGCTTCAAAGCTCGGGCCTTCAACAAGAAGGTACTCTTCTCAATATCATTTGTATGCTAAATACATTGTAAGGGTTATTACAATGTCTGCATGCACCAATTGTCTTCTCAATATGTTTCAAACTTAAAACACATGTTCAATTGCAGATCTTACCAAGCAAAAGGGGTGTAGGAGTTTTTAAAAATAGTAAGAAGGAAACCACAACCCCAATGGTAACGTGCATATAAATTTTTATTCTGGTTTAATTTTATATGAGATAGTTGATTCATTTGAAACAAGGCGCACTAACACTGTATCATCCCCTTTATTCACAGGAATTTAATTTCCAAACAGAGAAGAGGTTCAATACCATTCCCCCAGTTGAACTCTTCAACAAGGTAAACAACTATCATCGAATATTCAAGCTACTGTTTTGGTATTTACACCCTGATAAATGTTTCCAAAAGAAAGAAAAAACTACAAACTGTTGTCTGTGCTTTCTATACCATTGATGCCTATAATTAGTATCATCAAAGATAATGTTGTCTGTGACACTTCTCTCTTTCTCGCAAATAGCTCTCTCTGGAATCTGAAACACAACCAGCTGCTAATCCTGATATAAAAGAACAATAGTCCGCCCTGCACTGGAAAAAGGTTCCTCATTACTGTTTTAGTACACTTAAGAGTGTGTTTACTATGGAGGATTAGATGGGACTATTTAATCCCAATTTTTTCCATATAGTAAACACACCCTTAATATTTTTAAATAATTTTATTTGGTGTTTTCATATTTTGATAAAGTTTTTCAATACAGGGGCCTTGAAGACAACTAAAATGGTTGCTTCCCATGAGATAAGGAGGTGTGCATAATGCTTAATCCTTAACTTTAGCCGTTGCTGCAGGTCAAATAAATAAACCATGGATGGGAGATAAGTGCTTGCAGGGACGTGGATGAGTGTTAAACAATCTGTAGGCATTATTTAGGTGTTTTGATGAGTTCTTCAGGCCTCGGGACTACAGAAAAGGCGGCAGTTTCATACCAGAAAATGGTGAATTACATAGCACTTGCAACCAATATTCATAGCCTTTTTCCGATCAAATAAATAAATAAATAAACTCATAGTCTTTTTGCTTAGTTTGAAATAACAATGCAGCCATTTGTTTTTAACTCTCTGTCCTGACTTGGTCTTTGTAGGTCCCAACAGCTGTCTATGCCAATTGCCAAGAACCCACAACTCCACGCTTAACCTTCTCCCACATTGCCGCTAGAAGCCGGTTGCAACTTTAATTAAACTAATATTCCCATTCCCCAAAAGCCCATATGTGTATATATATATAGAAGATGAAATGTGACTGGAACCACCAAGAAAACCATTTTCATCAAAGAGGCAGTTTCCCAACAGAGGAAAGAAGAGCTGTAATAAACCTGCTTAATTCCTGCACTTCAAGAGTCATCGAGAAATATTATGGCCCAGCTGCTCAAGGCAACACTGATGGTGATGACAATGGTGGTTATTTCCACTCCAGCATTGTCAACAGATTACATTGTAGGTGATGGATCGGGCTGGAAACTAAACTTCAATTACACTGCCTGGGCTGAGGGGAAGGATTTCCATGTCGGAGACAGGCTGAGTAAAATACTCAATTTATTTCCTCTAAATGGAACACTTAAATCAGCACTTACACTGGTCTCTGAAGTTTCTTGGCACAAGTTATTCTTAACACTTCATTTTGTGCAGTTTTCCGGTACACAGAAGGATCTCACAATGTTTTCAGACTGACCACTGCTGATGACTTCCGGCAGTGTGCTGTGCCAAGCAATGTGACTTCTCTCAGCAGCGGAAATGATGTGATCGTCCTCGCCTCTCCAGGGAGGAAATGGTACATCTGTGGGTTTGCAGACCACTGCACCAGAGGGATGAAGCTTGCCATCACTGTAACTACCGCAGACTTGGCTCCGAGTCCATCTCCTGCCTCGCCCGGAGTTTCAGCAGCCTCTGGATTCTCCGGCAGCATGCAGGGTGCTTGGGTTCTTGCAGCTACTTCTCTTGCAGCATATAAAATGATTTGGGCCTAAAAAAAAGAGAGTACATCTGCATGCATGCAGTTTTGCCTCCTACTATTCACTTATTTTGTAATTTTTAATCTTTCGACAGTCTTTTGTACGATTGACTGTAAGAATTTATGAGTGTTGGTAAATTTTATTAAGGTTTTGTTCATCCACAGATCATTCATTCTACACATCCATATCAAAAGCTTAGAATCTAAAGTCTTGTTAGAGGGAAAGAATTATATAACAAGTGCTGAAGTACGATTATTATGATCATAATTTATTATCCATCACTCAGGCAACAATCAATTAATAACAGTTCAGAGCAGTGAAAAATGGAGCTTTCAATAAGAAAACCCAAAAGATTTTCAATGGCAAAAGGAGTACCTCATGGAAGGAGCTGGTGCTGGTTATTGAAGACTATGCTCGAACCGGTTCGCTTGCCGCTGGAGCCCGACCGCAGAGCAGTTCACCCGCCGTTGGAACCTGGCCAAAGCACTTAGCTACCATCGTCGAAACTTTTTTAACATACTGCGTATACATATTGCTTAGAAACCGATTGGTGCTTATGTTGAAGACGAGTAGGCCGAGGAACAGCAAGAGTAGAGAAGGAACAAGAGGCCAAAGGAAGTTGGCATCTCGTAGCAGCCCCGACTTGGGGCCGGTTGTGGTGATGTGCAGTATCACCAGAAAGTCCACCACTGTTAGAATCAAGGTGAGGGGGACGAAAAGCGGGAGCATGTTTTGTGTGATCACCACGTCCATGACCGAGGAAACCACCGGCTGCAGTGAAAGTAGAATGGTAGCTATTGAAACACAGAAGGTTTCGAGATTAATTACCATGACAGCAGTGAATTCCGTGCGAGATAGATCATAGAGAACTATATGTCCGGGCCTGTGCTCATGTGGGAACGCTGTCGTGTTGGTGTTTTCCGGCCAGTCTTGCCACAACCCGCCGGGGGGTGTTAGGACTACTTGAAATGTCACAGTCGCAACTATTGATGCCATTACTATGATGCCACCCCTGACCTCCTTGGAGTAGTAAAATCCAGTGTCTAGCCGCTCCATGGCGCCCGCTGCGACTGGACCTGTTGCAGGAGGATGGGAACTTGTTAAACGGGTAAGTGTTGGGTCGGATGCCCTGCAACCTCCGGCCCTGATGATCGCCTCTTGGAGATATGCGACATTGTTGTTGTTGGAGTTGGTTAGACCACAGGCGAAGATGATGTCCAACGCAGTTAGTCCATACAAGTTCTTTGCATTCACATCCAAGTCAGGCTGCTTCAACAAGAGCTCCACTGTCTGCGTATATCCGGAAATTAAAGAGACTGTAAGAACAGCAGGATTTCTTATCATATTGAAAAATGTATGTATGTTGTCTTGCCTGAAGTTGTCCTTGAGCAGTTGCTAAATGCAGAAGTGTGTTTCCTTCCCGATCGCCCTGGTTAAGCAGATCTTTGGCCGACGAGCCGAGCTTTTGAATCAGCAGATCAAGAGCCTCGTGTTGGTGGTGCTTCACAGCAACATGAAGAACACTGTCGCCGTTAACTCTGGCCTGTATTTCTGCCTCCTTAGAATAGTCCACAGCAAGAAGTACATCGATCACGTCAGTTTTACCAGCAGCCGTTGCTGCGTGTAGCGCAGTCCTCCCATCCTTGTCCATCTTCAGGCACAGATCGCGCTCCGCAGCAGTACCCTTCTCCCTTGCGATATCCAGCATGAGCTTGACAATCTCGGCATGGCCATTGGCTGAGGCCAGGTGGAATGGGGAGTAACCGGCTCCATTAAGTTGGGAAAGCTGGTGGACACTGACTGAGCCAAGCTTGATGTACTCTCTCACAAACTCGGCATGGCCAAACATGGATGCCAAGTGAAGAGGCGTTTCTGTTCCTGCCCCAGGCTGCAGCAGCTTCTGCAAGATTGCAGCATCTTCTCCAACTGAATCATGAACAGCTCTCAAGTCCCCCGAGCACGCAGCTTCCATCAATCTTCTTTCCATTTCTGTATATATAATGCTAAACAATGCACAATATCTTATACACACACATTTATATATAACAAGAGGGACTTCCCATTCACTCTCCATTTAAGCATATTTTACTCAAAGTATTGTTCAAAACCTATTTCACTTGCCTGTCAGGACAGTAGAATATTTAATGCAAGAAGTATTCGATATAAAAGATCAGTAATTTCTCAATCAACAGTATGTAGGCCAAGATTTCTTACTTTGCATATGTTCTCTCGTTTGGAAAAGAAAATTCTTTTCTTAAGTATCTATTTTAAATACAACCAGCTACCTTGGTCCTTAGCTTCTTGGCTTGTAGGCCAATATTTCTTACTAAGATTGAATATAGGGAATTATTTCACACTATACTGTCGCAGTCATTTCAGTCTAAAACTCATGCAACTTTTATGAAAGAAAATGATACAGCAGTAAATAACAAAACCATCTCACAATGGGACCTGCCGGACTGGACTGGATGTGACGAGTGGCTATGCAGGTGTATTGGCTGGGGGAATTAAACTTTGCTTGTCACAAAATCAGCATTGGTTGCCTCCCAGATGGTTGTGCCATCGCAAGTGCAGAGCTTTTTGTAGTTTTCTCCGACTCCTGCGCTTCTGGCCACCACTGCAGCTGCAATTCCTTCGTCTGACTTATCTTCAGTCCCATACACCACTATGGATCGTCCAATCAAGTCAGCAACTCTCAGCTTTTCCTTGACGCCGGAGAAGAAGGCCTCACCTTTTTCATCCACATCCAATGTTCCCAGGTCACCGAGTGGCTGACATTTTGAAATATTGAATAAGGGGAAAATTACAAATTGAAAGATATATATATATATATATATATGCACACGTCTTGTTTGAAGATCTAAAAGCAAAAAAGTCGAAAACACATTTAGCTAGATAATTCAGATACATGAAACCAGACCTCTTTTTCGCTCTTGTTTGGATTGAACACCTTTCCGGTGCTTGCTGCACCCTTCGTCAAATCACCAAACTCATTGATGGACCAACCATGTTTCCCGGGCGGCAACCCACTGAAGGTCGCTTCAATCCTGGCCAGTTCCATATTAACTTGAGCTAAGCGAACAACTCCAAATATAACAGGTCCCTTAAACTCAGAAACAGCAGCTGAGATTAGAAAATCTGTACAGCACAAACATCAAGTGTCACTCCACCATCACTTACAAATAATACAAAATAAATAATCATCTTTTCTACATGAACTTAATGAATTCCCATAGAAGAAGCAGAGTAAGCACAAACAATTATAGCATACCGTCAGGAATCCCCTGTCCAATCAATCTTGATTTTCGACCAGTCTGTTCCAGTGTTTCTGTCAAGATCTTAACAGGTGAAGTCCCAAGAACTCTCACAACTTGATTTGTCAAATCCACATCCACATTCTTGACACCTAAAAGTCAAGAATGAGATATAAGATTGGCCATTGATAAAAACAAGATCTCAAAGTGACAACACACAAGCAGAGGAATGTTTGCTTTAAAAGCTCACCATCAACAGTCTCCAATTTGTTCTTGACAGACTTAACACAGCCCTCGCATTTCATATCCACCATAAATTCAGTCTGTCCACACACCAGAGGTAAATTAAATTTACAAACATTCAGTTAGTTAGTTCATAAACATTCTCATGCAGAGTTCAGCTCACACAAAAGCACAACAATTACCCTTGACACTTATTTTACTTTAAATTTCGATATGATATCACAGACTGAACTAATTTGATAATGCATATGGACAATTAATCTATCCACCAAGATACACTCAGAAAACTTTATAATAATATTAAAAAGCAATCAAATCATACAGCAAAGCTTGACGATAACATTCCAGCACCCAATTCTATCATCAATGCAACTATCTAAGTTTTAAAAATTTAGGGGTCGAATGGAAAAAACCAATAAACCTCAATTTGTCAATCATAATCACACAGATACATAATTTAACCAAAAACAAAGTGAAATTACAGCGTACCAGCAGCTCCGGCAAGGCGCCGCCGTTCTGCAAACCAATACACGACAAGACAACACCAACAAATGAAATTAAATTAATATGGTAAAGCAGCGAAAAAACCTAAATCAATCTTAACATCTGGCAAAAAGGTAGTTATTGATTACCTGGTAGGTTCGAAGTGTGTTATCCATTTGAACAGCGCCTACCGATTGGTTCCCCAAACTCTTCACAAGACCCGGCTTCTCCGGTCTAAGATTCGAATCAGAAATAAAACTGAGAGACGCACCACACAGACTTTTGGACAACCTTTGAATATTAACAGAAGGGCGTGAAGCTGAAGAAGAAGGGCAGACGGAAGACACAGCGAAGGCCGCTGGAATCGCTACAGTGGCAGCAATGGCTGTAGTCTTCGTGGTGACCACTGACCTCCAAAATGCCATTTTTTACCCCTTTCGCTTTGATTTTATTTCCCCCGGGACAAGAATTTCATATTATGTTCAGAATCTCGACTATTCCACTCTGTGGTGTTGGAATTTTCTAGAAGGGCTGGTAGATAGTGTTCAATTTTCTGTCTCAATCTGACATTATTTATAGATAACATAATTTTTAATATGTACTTAGACTACTATTAGTATATCTATAGTTCAAGCTTTTACTTTGGATAAGTTACCTAATGATATAATTTTCTTATCTACGTTAATTTAATTGTATATAATTAGATTTGGGGTCTTTATTAATTAAGTTTCTTTCAATACTTGGAAATTTTAAGAATTGACATTAGAAATAATAATGCACTTAGCTAAGCTAAGATTGTGATGTTTGCTTGTATTTTGAATTTGACAAAACTTCAAGAAAAACATATGTATTAAAGAATTATTTTTAAAAGATAAAAAAATATTTATATTATAATTTAGGTGATGCATAAACAAAATTCAAAACATAAACAAACACAATTCGTCCGAATGACTCAAAAACTTATAAAAAGTATTAAGCTAATAAACTAAATTGATCACATCTTGCACCAAAGTCTATTATTACTATTTCAAATGAACAATAAAATAAAATTATGAAAAAAGACTCCAGCAAATCCAACATAAGAGACTTGTTAACCTTCAAATTGCAATTTACAATTGCACAAAATACCCAGTCACCAACTAACACACGTACTCAACAAATAAATTAATCTCCACTCACTTAATCCCTGAAGTTCAATCAATACCAGTTCAATATCTTACCTCATGAACACAATTTTTACCATTTCAATACAATGCACAGGACTATTATATATTTATATTACGACTTTAAACTGCACATGAAATTAAGCTACCATCACTGCACTAAAAACATGGAATTTAGAATTGTCCTAATTTTTGCATTCTTGGCCTTGCTGTTGATGCAAGGACAAGCAGGAGGAGGATCATTGGCACTTGCAGCAGATCAGGAAGATGATAATAATAATGGTGATGCTTATCTGGACACGTATATTGTCCACGTGGACATTCCCGACAACATCCTGTTTGGGAGCTCCGAGGATGACGTGGAAAGATGGTACCATTCATTTCTTGCCAAATGCTTGCCTGCTTCGGAATCGGATGCCAATGCCAAGTCTAGAATGGTCTACACCTACAAGAATGTCATCAGAGGATTTGCGGCGAGGCTGACGCCGGAGGAATTCTCCGCCATTAATGACCACGAGGAATTGATGCACGCCCGCCCACAGCGGATGCTGCCGCTGCACACAACCCACACGCCGGCGTTCCTCGGCCTGCAGCAGGGCGCCGGCCTGTGGAAGGATTCCAACCTTGGACAGGGCATAGTCATCGGGGTCATCGACACGGGCGTGTTCCCCGACCACCCCTCCTTCGCCGACCAAGGAATGCCGCCGCCGCCGCCGAAATGGAAGGGCGCCTGCCAGTTCAATTTCACGGCGTGCAACAACAAGCTCATCGGCGCCAGGTACTTCACCATCGGCGAAGGCACGCCGATGGACGGCGACGGCCATGGTACGCACACCGCAGGCACTGCAGCCGGGAACTTTGTTCCCGGCGCCTCCATCTTCGGCCAGGCCAATGGCACCGCCGCTGGAATCGCACCACGAGCCCATTTAGCTGTTTACAAAGTCTGCACCGATGGAAGGGACTGTTCGGAAAGCGACGTCCTTGCCGCCATGGACGCTGCCATAGACGACGGCGTCGACGTTCTTTCCATCTCCCTCGGCTGGAGTTCAGTCCCGTTTGCGTTTGACGCCGTTGCGCTTGGCGCTTTCAGCGCCGCACAGAAAGGCATATTCGTGAGCTGCTCTGCTATGAACCGCGGCCCGGCGCTGGCAACGCTGTCGAACGAGGCGCCGTGGATTCTGACAGTCGGAGCAAGCACCGTCGACCGGAAGTTTAAAGCCACAATTGGTCTGGGAAACAAATTGGAGATCGACGGCGAGTGCATCGTTCAACCCAACAACTTCGCGCAGTCACAACTGCCTCTCGTCTTCCCCGGCGACTCTTGTTCTTTGAAGGCTCTGACCGTAGCCAATGTTACAGGGAAAATCGCAGTCTGCGAGAAAGACGACTACACACTTCTGGCCACTCTCAGAGCCATTAAAGCAGTCAATGGTGCAGCACTTATTCTAATAGCTCCTGAGGAAGATGGAGTCACCAAATTGCTGCTGCACATTCTCGAACCCGCCATAGAAATCAGTCACGCCGACGGCTTGAAGCTCATATCCTACATAAATTCCACCGCCAATCCCACGGCGGCGCTGTCCTTTCAAGGGACTGTCATCGGGGACAGCCATGCTCCGATCGTGGCTTCTTTTTCTTCCAGAGGTCCAAGCCTGCAGAGCCCGGGGATTCTGAAACCCGACATCGTCGGCCCTGGATCGAACATTCTTGCTGCCTATCCAGTCTCCCTCGAAAACAACACCAACACCAAGCTCAGATTCGCTCTACTTTCCGGCACTTCCATGGCCTGCCCTCATCTCAGCGGCGTAGCCGCTCTGCTCAAAAGCGTGCACCCTGATTGGTCGCCGGCGGCCATTAAATCCGCAATCATGACCTCTGCTGATGTTGTGAACCTCGCCGGAAACCCCATCGAGGATCAGACACTAAAACCGGCTGACGTTTTTGCTGCCGGAGCAGGACATGTGAATCCAACCAGGGCTAGCGATCCAGGGCTTGTTTACGACATCGAACCACAAGACTACATCCCGTATCTGTGTGGACTGCAGTATACGGACAGGGAAGTCGCCATTATTACTCAACAGAAGGTGAACTGCTCGGAGGTGCAGGCTATACCTGAATCCCAGCTTAATTATCCTTCGTTCTCCATCATATTTGGACAGGAAGTTCAGACATACTCCAGGATGGCTACCAATGTTGGCCCAGCGACCTCGACTTACACTGTCAAGATTCTTGCACCTGTAGGAGTTAAAGTCAGTGTGATTCCTGAGAAACTTGAATTCACAGAGATGAACCAGAAGCTGCCATACCAAGTGACATTCACGAGACTTCCATTGAATGAAACCGTGGATTATACTCAAGGTTTTCTGGTGTGGACGATGGGGAAGTACGCTGTTCGGAGCCCCATTGTTGCAATAATGGATGACTGAATGGATCGGGTCAGGCCGGGCTTGAATTTCGATCATGTTTTGTCAGCTTACCTTTTGTTTCCATCACAAGAATAAATCCCTGTTTGGCAACTTCTGTTCACGTATGTACGTATGTTCTAAATAAATATTAGCCCTGAATCATTTGTACAGACACAAAGTGTTGTAAAATTGGATATCAACAGACTGCAGATATGGTAATTCCAGATAACGGAACAAACACAAGACTGCATCATTGTTACCTAAGAACAATCAATCTATCAATTTATCCTTCTTGTTATCATCATCATCCCCATCATTATCTTCAGCGATGATTCCAATTTATTTGATGCTGGCAAAACCTCTTTGTAACCTCCCCCACACCAAACACACACAGCTATATATATATATATGTGGATACATGCATTCTTGAGTTGTGAGCAACTAACCATGTCTAGATCATTCTCAAGCATGGCTCTGATCATAGGCACTTTCTGTGCCATTTGCCTCTTGTTTTCATATCCATCAATGGCTGAAGAGATAAGTAATGAAAGTGCAGAAAAGAGTAGCCTAGAGACATACATTGTTCATCTGAAAGTTCCAAATAATGCCCATGTTTTTGCTGACTCTGATGAGCTAAAGAGCTGGCACCACTCTTTCCTCCCGGAGAGCTCGGATCGACTGGTTCACTCGTATCGCAATGTCATGGCTGGCTTCGCTGCAAAGCTGACCCCTGAAGAAGTGAAAGAGATGGAGAAAAAGGACGGATTTGTTGCAGCCAGGCGACCGCGAATGCTGCCTCTGCACACAACTCATAGCCCTAATTTCTTGGGGCTGCACCTCAACTCCGGACTCTGGAACACCTCCAACTACGGCGAAGGCGTCATTATTGGTGTCCTCGACACCGGAATCGCGCCAGGTCACCTGTCATTCTTCGATGATCAAGCTATGCCGCCTCCACCTGCCAAGTGGAAGGGGACGTGCCAGTTCAGAGATGCGTGCAACAACAAGCTCATCGGTGCGAAGAATTTCGTCAGCGGACAGCCAGGTCCACCACTCGACGATGATGGCCATGGAACTCACACTGCCAGCACCGCTGCCGGAAACTTTGTTCTTGACGCCAGTGTATTTGGCTTGGACAATGGTGTAGCCGTCGGCATGGCACCCCGAGCTCATCTAGCTATTTACAAAGTATGTTCTGAAATCGATTGCGCCGAGTCCGACATTTTAGCAGCTATGGATGCTGCAATCGAAGATGGTGTTGATGTACTTTCCCTGTCCCTTGGCGGAGGCTCGGTTGCTTTCTTCGAAGACGCCATTGCTGTCGGCGCCTTCGCCGCCATTCAGAAGGGAATTTTTGTGAGCTGCTCAGCCGGCAATGGAGGGCCTGTCAGCTCCTCATTGTCCAACGAGGCGCCGTGGATTCTCACCGTCGGCGCAAGCACCATTGATAGGGATGTAGTAGCTTCAGCAGCATTAGGCAATTCAGAGACATACGAAGGGGAGTCACTTTTCCAGCCTGGTAACTTTTCGTCGGTGAAGTACCTCCCTCTGGTTTACGCCGGCGGCGCCGGCGGAAATGCGACCACCGCATTGTGCGGGCCCGGATCGCTCGACGGCATTGATGTCAAAGGGAAAGCTGTGCTGTGCCTGAGAGGAGGTGGGTTCGGACGCATCGAGAAGGGGCAGACTGTGAAGGACGCCGGCGGCGCAGCCATGATTCTGATGAACGACGAGATCGACGGCTACTCCACCATAGCCGATCCACATGTGCTTCCGGCGACTCACGTGAGTTACGCTGCCGGAGAAAATATCAGAGCCTACATAAACTCGACGACGAATCCAACGGCTGCCATCGTGTTCCACGGCACGAAGATAGGCGATCCGACGGCGCCGATGGTGGCGTCGTTCTCTTCCAGAGGACCTAATTTGGCAAGTCCGGGGATCCTCAAACCCGACATCATCGGCCCCGGCGTCAGCATCCTCGCAGCCTGGCCTGTGTCCGTCGACAACTTCACTAACGAGAAGGCGACCTTCAACGTGATTTCAGGGACATCAATGTCGTGCCCTCACCTCAGCGGCATTGCTGCACTGCTCAAAAGCGCGCACCCCGACTGGTCCCCCGCGGCGATCAAATCCGCCATCATGACCACCGCCACTCAGACGACGGTGAACGCTTCCGCCATAATGGATGAGCGACACCTTCCGGCCGACGTATTCGCCGTCGGATCAGGGCACGTGAATCCGGCGAAAGCAAGCGATCCGGGGCTGATTTACGATCTCGAGCCAGAAGACTACATTCCATACCTGTGCGGATTAGGATACACGGACAAGGAGATAGAAGTGATAGTGCAGCAGGAAGTTTCGTGCGCGAATGGGACGAGCATATCCGAGGCAGAGCTCAACTACCCGTCGTTCTCGTTTGAGCTGGGGGATTCTGTGAAAACGTACACGAGAACAGTGACAAATGTTGGTGAAGCAAAATCGAGGTACGATTCGGTGATCGACGTGCATTCGGTTCCGGGATTTGGTGTGAGTGTAGCGCCGGGGACTCTGGAATTCAGTCGAGTGGGGGAAAAGATAACATACGAGATCAGCTTCAACAGAGTCGGTGGTGCGCCGACGGCGAATGCGACTTTCGTCCAAGGCGCCCTCATATGGCGCTCCGCCAAGCGTGATGTTAGGGCTCCCATATCAGTGAAGATAGTTTGACCATAACTAAGATTGATTGATTGATTGAAGAAAGATTCAGACATGGTTTTTTTATTTCCATAGCCATTTCACATTTGCAACCAGAAATAAAATAATGTGACGATTCCTTCTCGCAAATGCTCATTTCCTCTTTTTATAGTATTAATTCATAAACAAAAAGAAAAAAAAAAAAGGAAAAAACACGAGTTAAAAATCATTTTGGGAGAGCATACTCAACAAAATGGGGTGATTATTCAGTAGAAGATGAGGTTAAACAGAAACAAACAAGGGCTTAAAAGGCAAGGCAGACTATTTTTATATATGTAGGAGGGAGGGAACTAATTGGCAGATGAATCCAACAAGCTAAGCAGAGAAGGAGATATACATGTTCTTATGTACAAAGTTCATTGCTTACCACAATGATCAAAGTAATGGGGACATATAGCGCAGGTGCTGCGGATCTAGTTATGTTATACAAGAATTAAGCGTCAAACTCCTCCAAGTTTCAGGGCTCAAAGGTGATAAGAGTTTGAAGAGTAATGAAACATTGCAGGTAATGATAGTACAGAACAAATTTGATCGAGACACCCTCCTGTTTATTTCCTTCATTCCAGTGACTGGCTGTAATTCCTTTTCTTTGAACTGCTGGCTGTGTGCCTGCTGAATATGGTAATCGAGTCATCATCTTCATTTACTTTGTAATGTGAGCATAGTAAACAACTGCATTCGTACTTACGAATCCTCAGAGCGTTCTTTACTTGATGATGACTTCTGCAAGCTGGATGACCTTCCAGAGGCCTGTAAAATAGGCATCAACATCAACTGGTTAGTTCATGCTCAGCTTAAATTTCTACTTAAGATTTTGATCGTGCTTCCAAAAACATTATCAGTGAGGTAAATCCTGATCTTCTTGACCGATAGATACGATAAGCTCCTGAAATTCACATAGAACCTAGGTGTCTGCAACTTCATCTTCTACACACTAAAGAACATTCACAAAATTGAGACACGCAGACAGGGTTTTTAACCAAAGTGTGTCTTTTGCTTCTTCCAGAATCCATTTATAGGCATGCGTTATACATAGCATATAAATTATTGGCTCTAGGGACATGTTACTTTAATCAATGGGATAAGCTATGTTATGCCATTTTCTAAATTGAATTAATTCATCCTATATCGCAAGAGCATCATGCAATCAAACCATATGATAGGATATGAATGTACCAGTTCATCCAATTACACACTTTAACCTCAACATTCCTGTGTAAGTCAACAACCATGATAAAACCCACGCAAGAACATTATTCAGACTATTGATATGGTCAAACCCACTGCTTTGGGTTGAACACATGTTTCCAGAAGACATGAAACAAGATCGTCATTGAACAAATCAATATTCCATCATATCTGAGACAAACTATACAGATCATAGATTCAAAAGTTGTCATTAAATTCGAAATATATTTAGGCACAAAGTGGCTTGGGAACTCCACTATGCCTTGCAGAATGATTCCTCTAGTATTATGACCTTTACCAACAAATATCGATGCTGTCCATAGATCATACTATTTAGTGTACTGCACTTCACCTGACTCTCTACAGTTCCATTGCATGCGATCAAAGTAGAAGTTTATGTAATATGCATCACCAGGCTTACAAATATTTTGATTAAGTTCTGTCTTCTAAAAGATGGAATAGAATAGCCGAGATCATAATGCCAAACCAATTTTTTTTACTGGTGATAAATATCAGAACTGTCATTGAGAAAGAACACTAATGATTACAAGAGTAACTGTAATAAGAAGTATAGATATACTAACAGAGTGAAGAAATCTTTTGCTTCCTTGAGCATGAGCTTCTAGATATTCTTCATATGTCTGCATCATAAAACATAAATTTCAATCATCAGACAGATCTCATCTCAAATCCTTAACCCTGGCAAGTCAACAATGCGCACTAAAGACAACTCAGAAATGCAGGTAAATTACGGCAGACATCAGCCAAGACCACAACATAATGTAGGAATTGTGTAGCATAAATAAACAAATTTATCACCAAAGGAATGGAAGACAGAAAGCAAAATGCATCATTTTCGTTGAGGCACTGTAAGTAGATCAAACAAGGAGAACAAAGTAGCCATGCAATAATTATAAAAATAACAACAACAAAACAAAAAGAAAGGTAGAGATACGATGAATTTTCTACTTGCAACATTAAACATGAAATGCAATCCACGGAAATATTAACTCATCAGAAGAGAAGAACAAATAATATTGTTGAAAAAATTGATAGAATATTAAATTCTGATCCAAAATACTTTCAATCTGAACTGAAAGGTCCAAAGACCATGCCATAAAACAGTACCCAATAAACACGATTATAAGCAATGAGCTCTAATGCAGCAACATGGTGACTAATAAAGCTGAACATGAGATATAGATACCATTTCGAGTATATCATCTTCAGTGAGAGTTCCAGTAACAGGGATTCTTGTCCCTGACAAGCCCCAACTATTAGTTTGAGAAGTAATGTCAATCCCGCTTGTCATGCTTCCATTAATTTGACAGTGTTTTGATTGTTTTACATTGATTGCCGCATGAACAAATGAGGAATTACTATACATTACACTGGCACTCTGGTGAGGCAACTGAAGTCTACTTTCCTCAGCTTGAAGTTGATATAATAAAGACGGATAAAGCAAGGGTGCCATTTGTATAGGAGGCCCATTAAAATCCTCATCTTTTATGCAAGGCTCTTCATAAGGTCTTCTTGCAGAAAAATTCTCCCCAGATATCTCATCCCTTCATTAAATAATATACATTATAATAATGAACAAATAAAAAGTAAAGGTAGCCAGTTATATACAGAATAGTAATGCCTTACATATTAAATTTTAAATTATGCCAGAATAACAATGAATTAAATAGATAATTAGCCAAAAACTACACCTTTTTAAGTAAACTTCCATATCACCTCCCTCATTAAGAAGTTCACAAAGAGCTTTACCAATATCCTCAGGCAGCTCCTGGAAAATAAATAACCTGGTCATACCTCCCTTCACTTAGTCCTTAATCCTAAGGCTCTTCAGAGCTGGAACATGTGATACCTGACAATCTCTGCTGATTTTGACAGGTTTGAAGCCATTCAATGGATTTTTCAGATGGAGAGTCTTCTGAAAAGGTAAGTCATGTAAACACAGCCATTTGACTTTAAAGGTGCGTCCCCAAGAATTATTTTTCCCACTGCCTTGACTCCAAATATTATCCCTCCTCCTACCTATGGAAGACATCATTTGGGCATACCCTTGGAAGAACCCACTCATGTTGACGCTAAATATAAGAATTACCTTGCCAGAGTTCTGCATAATCACTTAAATTACATTACTGTGCGATTGTTTCTAGCCACTTTTCAGTTGAAAATAACTCTAGCACTTCAAACAGTATGATATTCATATAAGCTCATGCTATGTATAGTACATATAGGTTCAAAATAAGCTGCTAAGAATCATATCACATGAACTGAAGAAATAAAAATAAATAGACAGCGTTACTTGAAAAGCTTCTGCAAGAATGGGCTCATTCATTGCCTGAGTTGCCCAAATGCCGTTCTTTACAGACAACTGTATATTTTCATGATTCAAGCTCTTGATAATAAAATATCTTGTATTATTCAATTTATCCTTCTTCATCTCACTTGATGTTTCCACCCGATCGTGGGAATGCATTTTCTCTTCTTTCCCTGAGCGGCACATTGTCTCATTTGATCTACCCTTTGGGATCACTGCAAAAGTATTCCATATATATCATTTAGAAAGATCATTTCATAAATCATAACTCAGTAACTGTGATTTGAGACTAAGTAAACAAGTAACTGCAACAGGAGCTACAAATCAGCACCACAACAATACTATAATTGTCTGATCTCACAAACATAGGCATCCTTAATCAGACTATAGTCATCTACATTGAACTGTCCACAAGCACTGTGTTTTTATATCTATTGTAGAAATATAACTTACTATTAAATAAATTGCTTCAGATAAGGCAGGCAGTAATCAAATTTAAAAATAAACAGTTCAAAGTGAAATTGTACTATTTTATGTGCATTAGAAAAAGTGGCAAAACAGCAGGAAAGAAACATCTTGGAGATCTTTATAGGATATGTATTCACTTTTTATAATGCCATGACAAGATATATCCCCAGTCTACCAGCCAACCTAACTCAACTCTACTTAGACCACAGTTTAGTTAAAAACTCAATATCAATGCCACCGTAAATGAATGCTTAGGCACCAAATATTATATGATTCCATAGACATTGAATGCAATATGATTTTTTTTTTTTACATGTAAGGCAAATTATAGTGCCAAACTATGTATGTTAGAAACAATTATGAAATACAAAAAATGTTGAATTATATTAGTTCGACAAAAATAACTTGATGGTGAGCAACCCATTACCATATTTTCAGAACACGGAATTCAACAAATCTACTGCTTCTCAATAATACTATTTGTTATAAATATTCCAATAACTAGACTTTCACTTGGGAAGGTATAACTGTACATAATCTAATGAGCAAATACCGAACAAGCACCCTAAAGCAGTTGATTAACTAGGATCCAGTTCACGTTGAAAGTATGAAACAGGTATTACAGGTATGAATGAGGAATTATGCAGGATCACATGGACCATTACATTCTTTGCCATCCAACTTACAGACAAGTACATAAACTCATGTGATGTGAACCTCCTCCCTAAGCTAAACCTACTTCAAACACTCGCACAGGGTATACCTTTGGTGAACTGGAAATCCCACTCTGATAGCTCTTTGCAATGATCCAATACATCTCAAACAAATATGTTACTTGAGATGAAGCAAGATTAGCTGTATAAGTTGATTAAGAGTTCCCTGGCCACTATGGGTTTTTAGCCTAATTAAATTTACAATCATTAATCGATGACCTATGAGTTTGTTAGGCATCAATCCCAGATCAGGAAAATTGACAAACTCAATATTAGAACATAGAACTTCACTGACAGCAGCAATTAGGACTTAAGAAGGTCCCAGAAACTCATAGCAATCATCTACCATAGAACAATTACAAGCTCGAGATTGTAAATATAGAGAAAAACAAGAACTCCACCTGAATCATGCAAGTTCATGTCCTTTTTTATTCAGTCACTGATGAATGCACTGAAAGCTTCCAAACTCTGAGGAAGCAGAACAGCCGAACCCTACTGAGACCTACAAAATCTATCAGAACAACATAAAGAAGAAGGAAAATATGGAATTCATTTACAGCACAAATCCCCTACCAAGAGTTGAGGTGGGGGGCAAAACAGCAAAAAAAGTTGTTTTGAGCAGAATTCAACCGGAAAACACTAAATGCCTCTTTAAAGCTAATATTATTGGTTCATTATGCAGATAAATAATTTATATTACCCATGAAATCTATGCTCAGCTAAAAAACTACGTCCAACAGGAAATATATATATATATATACATACAGTTAAAATACTCAATAATGGCAATACATTACTGTAAAAAATCGACAAGGGATATAATACAACAGTTGAAGGGCAGAAACCAACAGTATGTCAACTTGAGATTGAATCTCGGTTACAGCTTCACTGTCAACCAAGGCTGCCCCTTGTACTATTTTAATTTTGGCAAAGATAAGTCCTCTGTATTAAGACAACTACATTTCCGCCCCACAATTGCTCTTGAACTAAGTTTGAACATCCTTGACATATCAACAAATATCAAAAACTGGTCTATACTCCAAGCACTAATATATCCTAGAATGGCCAACATTAAGGAAACAAAAGAACAGAAGAAACATATTCATAAATACAGAAACTATGGGTTCACAAGAGCATGACCCCAAAAAAGATAATCTTTGGAGTTTTAATCAGACAATAATTAGGATGCTAAGTAATAAAAGCAACTACAAAGATCCTTATAGAGACAAGTTCTTTTATCCTTAGGCTATGTAGTCTGTACTTGAGCTCTAGCTCTAAGTAATACCATTAAAACCAATACCCACATAACCATCAAAGAACATCCAATTACATATGCTAAACCATATTACATGCATTAAGTAGACAATGTTAATTATTAGCATAAAAAAGCAAAGAAAATAAATAAATACATAACTCTAAATTTTGATGAACTAAACCTTAATTTAACCCTTGTCCAGAGAGGTTTTCTAAAATCTGCTTTCCATCTATACCTATGTGTTTTTGCCACTAATACTACTGGATTGAAATATGTGCTAGTTTTTGAGCCATGCCTTTCACTCATAAGGATTCAAAAGGTAAGAGTATCAATAGGAACTTACTGTCAGAAGGACTCCCCATTAAACTACAACCTGCTGGCCCTTTTTCTGGCCAGTTTCTCCCATACTTACTGTTTCTGCCTACCCCCATTATGTGTGAATGAAATATTGTTGGCTTCTTATGAACTTAACACCTAATTTTCTCTCATGCACTATTTCTGACTTTCTTCCCATACTTCAAAACAATTTAAAGAACCCACCAAGTTCGCAATGCCTTCACCTCAGATTTTCTACACATAAAACCCACTTTCCTAAATACACAATATCTACTAGAATCCAATTAAATGACATATGCAGCGAATATAAAAACCTCAGTTAATTCCCAACTTTAAAACCATCGCATATAGAGAAATTCGAAGTGAATAAAAAAAGGTATACCATGTTTCCACGGCCACGCTTCGACTAACAGAACCACATCTATTAATAACTTACAGAACAAACCGAAAACAAAGAGTATTCACAGTCACTGCACAGCCTCAACAAAAGAACAGAACAACAGACAGAAATTGGGTAAAAATTAAATGCGCAGAAACACATAGCTACAAGCAGAACTATCAACATCGTTCGTGCACAATCAGAAGGTTGACTCACGCCATTTTAGGCGGCGGAACGCGCGCGGTGTCTGAAATTGGTTAAAAAAGCATGCGCTGCGAAACCGACGGGGAGAGGGGGAGGAACTCGGAGAGATGATAGAGCCAATATGGCTTTGGAGAGGTTAGAGAAAGAATTCAGTCGTCTGCCGAATATTTTTTACCCTAAAATAAATAAATAAAAAAGATTTGTCCAAAATCATTTATAAAGCTTGGAAAGTACTATTCAAATGCCAAGATAATACCAATAATTACTACTGGTTTTATTGCTTTATTATATAAATTTATGAGTAATTTTTTTTAAAATCCTTGCATCACCTATTATAATTATTTCATTAAAAAATCAAAATCCTAGAAAACATTAACAACAAAAAAAACCTTATGATATGTTAATATTTTTTTATATATTATAATTTACAACACTATTGTAAATATGTTTTAATATTATATATTTTTCCTCTAAAATAAATGTATTTAGTGAGCTTTAATTTCGAAATTTACAAATAAATTATTTAGAATCCAAAAAATCAAGTTAGAAATCATATTTGAATTTTACTTTTATTTGGTTGAAAAGTTTAGTTCTAACAATCGTATGTGCTTACAAAAATAAAAATGACAAAATTCTATCAATTGAACCTAAAGATATGTTTAGTTCTGAAAATTGAGGTTAGAGAAATAAAAAATGATCTTATTTCTTTTATTTGATTGATTTAGATAATAAAAAATTGAGAAATAAATCATAATACAGTTAATTTAATATTGATCATTATATTTATTTTTATTTTTTAATACCATTTAATTTTTATAATTTTTTTAAATTATAGTATTATTTTAATTTTACAAAACATGTCATTTTATTTATTATTTAAGTATTTAATTTTTAATATATATTTTAAAAAAAAATAATTATGATTTAATAAATATAATTATAAATTATGAATAGTAAAATACGACTAAAATATATTATTATGTTTTTATAAAAATAATAAATTATGTACGAAAAATATAAAAGAGTTTGATAAATTAAATAAGTTAAAGATAAATATTCCTTGTGTTCAATTTATTGTCCAGTATATTTGTACGATTAGGTAATTGTATTTTTATGAATTAATAAATTTATCTTTAATTAGTAAAGGTTAAAAATAATAAATGAACGAAGATAAAAATATACAACTTAGAAGGGACTATAAAATAATGGTTTTAATCCTTCACGCATTCTGGAAACCGCCTTATCTTCATGTCTGCTTTTGGACATAACCCATCATCAATTTCCGATTGCCTGTTGGCACCTTAAACCTCAAATGCCACCATTTCCAAAACCCCTCCGCCCCAATGGCCTCCAAATTTGGACCCACTTTCGCAGGACTGAGAGTCTTCCCTACACGAGTTAGGAATCCATCATTATGCGTCTCTTCATCGCAGTCTTCTGTTTCCGGAGTTACTTTTGGTGCTAAGAGACTGTCGTTTCCGCGCGAGCTCTTGGTTATTTCACCTAAAGCTACACCCGATCAGTCAGGTAGGGTTTATCCGCTGCCTAAACAAACGGCGATCAGATCAAAATTGTTTCTAAAAAATGAGCATTGGTCGAGTTTGCATCGTGTCTGCTGCAGGTCAGGTCCGAGAAGACGAAATCGTTGATAGCAATGTCTTGCCCTATTGCAACATAGATAGGGATCAGAAGAAGTCTCTGGGGGAGATGGAGCAAGAGTTTCTTCAAGCACTCCAGGTAGAAGTTGGGAATTCTTACCAACAAATTGATTGCACCCTGATTCCTGGGTTGAGTTTATACAGGCCTTCTACTTCGAAGGGAAGTCTATCATGTCGAATGAAGAATTCGATAACCTGAAGGAAGAGCTCATGTGGGAGGGAAGCAGTGTTGTGATGCTAAGTAATCGAAGTAGTGTGTGTTTTAAAATGCTTTCTTGTTTGACGAGGCTCTTCATCTTTGTGTTTGTGATCTGATCTATGCAGGCCCTGATGAGCAGCGTTTTTTGGAAGCTTCCATGGCCTATGCATCTGGAAGCCCGATTATGACAGATGAAGAGTATGATGGACTTAAGCAAAAGCTTAAGGCAAGTTATCAAAAATATAATTGGCAAAGTTTCCAATACCTGAGAAATTGGAAAACAAAAGTTGTTTAATTAAAGTATGCGGTGGCGTGGCCTGGCATTTTTGCGATTATATTGTGTGAAATGTTTAAACAAGTGCCATTTTAGGGATGCCATGTTAAGTGATGCTATTTGCTTTCCCTGTGTATGTCCAGCTTACTTAAGTTTCGTGTTCTTTGGCTTCTTTTTTCTTCGTTTTCATGCCGTTCTTTAATTTGTATTAAAATGTTGAGCATATTTTATTGTAGATGGATGGCAGTGCAATTGTGGTTGAGGGCCCTCGCTGCAGTCTTCGAAGTAGAAAGGTTTGTGGTATTCGTCGTCTTCGACTGTACTACTAATACATGATACTGAAATCACATATGAATTCCAAATCAAAAGTTTGGGTTCACCATGTACACAAGTTCAATAAATTATACTCCTTTTTACTGAATTAATTGTTCGCGCTTAAATCATATATATATATACATATGTATGTCCATCCATTTCTAAAATTTCGTCTTCATTGACCTGCAGATTTACAGCGACCTCTCTGTCGACTATCTTAAGATGTTTCTTCTCAATGTCCCGGCTGCACTCATTGCATTAGTACTGTAAGTGGTGTTATGATTGTTGTATCAGGAGATCAAACTAAAGTGATGTATTCAGATTAACCAAAACAGCTCCATGTATGATCTTCAATTCGATGATGACACAACAAGTCTCAGCCTTTCATTTTGTTTTGCAGGTTCTTCTTTCTTGATGATTTGACTGGATTTAAAATCACCTATCTTTTAGAGGTAATGAAATACCCTTTGGGGAGCGATAGTTGGGGTTTTGCTTGTACATCCTTTTGCAGTAACTATGGAGTTTTGTCATTGCAGCTTCCGGAGCCGTTCAGTTTCATTTTCACATGGTTTGCAGCCTTGCCATTACTACTCTGGTTATCTTTCACAATTACAAACTTTTTCGTGAAAGATTTCTTGATACTAGTGGTAAGAGTTAAGACCATCCCAGAACACTTGCATCCAATCCAAACAATTAAACATGAACACTCATTTCTCCTTGCACTTGCATCCAATCTTTCAGGGACGCTGTCCTAACTGCGGCACAGAAAACAATTCATTCTTTGGTACCATATTGTCTGTACCCAGTGGGGGTTCTGTCAACACAGTAAAATGCTCCAGGTAAGTCGTCGCAGTTTGAGGCTCCAATGCTTTCCTGCTAGAATTCAATCCGCTTTCTGCTGTACTAAATGTTGTTGAAAATGTCGCATTTTTATACAGCTGTGGAACAGAGATGGTGTATGATTCTAAGGCTCGGTTAATTACACTTCCTGATGGCGGTGAAGGATAAGTTCAATCAGTTAGTTTGTAACCTCCGCCATTCCATCGAAAAAGAACATGCCTTGATCCAAATAATTCTGACCGTTCACCTTCTGAGTCATTCCTGTCCATGGAAGCTCAGAGATATCATCTGGAGCTACACGTAAGAAGATCGAAATAGTCTCTGCAAACAGCCTGAGGATCCATAGACGATACTAAAGCTATGCCTGTGGGCTGTCGCTGTATTGTACGTGCTATGTTGTGTTCTTTTGTAAGATTCAGGCAATGGTTCTTTGTTGTCCTGAAATGTTATGATTTCATTCATAATCCATATTTTATTGTCCAGATTAATCGAACATACGTTTTTGTGGGTTGATTTGCCTACCCTCGTAGTTTTCTAAGGTATAAAACAAAACACCAAGAACTTGCCCGCACGTTGTCATATACAACTCGTACGTGTCTGTGGCAAATACGTTTGACTGATGAGAAACATGCAATCCAATATGTTACTGAAGGCCACGATGACTATCACAAGTCCATGTCCTTCAAACTATATATATATATATATATATATGTAAACATCACACTGCAAATCCTACATAGATCGATCAGTATCACAATACATATTTTGCTTAGAAAGACAGGTACACCCATCTATGGCTTCTTTGCTTCATTCATGGCAGCTCTGTTTCCTCCTAGCACTAGCCATGGCCGCCGGCAACGTCGCCGCCGGTGGATATTCACGCCCGGCGGTAAAGGGTTTTCAACCCACCCCATGGACTCTTGCCTATGCCACTTTTTACGGCGACGAAACTGCTTCTGCTACTATGGGTAGGTCGTAGGCCATTATTTTACAATATCGGGTCGGGTCGGGTTTATACTGAATTGTGCGAATTTTTTTTTTATGGGTGACAGGCGGGGCTTGCGGATACGGGAACTTGTTCCAGACCGGGTATGGGACGGATACGGCTGCGCTGAGTTCGGTTCTGTTCAAAAACGGGTACGGGTGCGGGCAGTGCTTCCAGATCCGGTGCGCCAACTCGAAGTGGTGCTACAAAGGGTCGCCGGTCACGACGGTCACCGGAACTAACCTCTGCCCGCCGAATTGGTCGGAAGATTCCAACAACGGCGGGTGGTGCAACCCGCCGCGCACGCACTTCGACATGGCGAAGCCGGCCTTCATGAAGATCGCCGAATGGAAGGCCGGGATCGTTCCCGTCATGTTCCGGCGCGTGCCGTGCACGCGCAAGGGCGGCGTGCGGTTCAGCTTCCAGGGCAACGGCTACTGGCTGCTGGTGTACGTGATGAACGTCGGCGGCGGCGGCGACATCGCCAACATGTGGGTCAAGGGCGGCGGCGGCGCGTGGATCAGCATGAGCCACAACTGGGGAGCTTCTTACCAGGCCTTCGCCACGCTCGCCGGACAACCACTGTCCTTCAAGATAACCTCGTATACGTCCCATGAAACCATCGTCGCTAACAACGTGGCGCCGGCGAACTGGCAGGTGGGGTTGACTTACACTGCCAATGTCAACTTCCGTTGACCCTGATTCTCTCTTCTTTACTCAGGATCGATCGTCTCATATTCACAAGTATAATTATTGCATATCGTTTTTTTTTTTTTTTGGTTTTGAATTCTATATATAAATCTTGTGTCGCTGATTCAAAGAAGTGGCAATTTTACATGTCACGATTGAGGTGGGTTAACTGTACCAAGATTTAATGAATTAGGTTAATTAATCCATGATTATCGTTTTTTTAAGAATAAATAATTTTAATACATTTAAAAGTTGTAATAAGTGAAAACTCTCTATAAATGGATAAACTTGGAAATGAAAATAAAAAATGAGAAATCAGTGAGCAAGCCTTATTGGTAGCAATGTACTAATCTAACAATCATTTTTGGTGTAAGCCAGCCTTGGTTCCCCGAGTCCCACAAATTAATTACTCTCATATCAAGGACGTGCGACATTACTGCAAAATGATTTCACTCATGTGTCCACTTAATATTCTTAACCTTTAAACAAATTATTATTCATCCAATTTCATTCAAATTAGAGGATTGGCCAGAAATTTGAAATAAATAAAGATACACACTTTTTATATAATAATCACAGGTCCCCCTTACTGCAAGCAACATTGATGCAACCTATGCCAAAGCAAAGTGGGCTACATGTAATGAAAAAGATAAAATCCAAATATTATTATCATATTATCTATTTATTTATTTTTATAATACGAGAACTCGTAGCCGTAAAAATTATTATGCAAATTAGACTCTGCGTGACGAATCACACATAGATCTAAAAACTTCAAAATTTGAACCCATAACCTCACGATCAGTAGTTCACTCTCTACTTTCTTACAAATTAGTATATTATATGGAGTATATTATTTGTACTTGTCCGTTATAGTACTAGTACACATATTCGTTATAAGCACGCCATTATCCCTTTTTTCTGTTCCGCCCTAATTTATTTATCCCTTTTGACTTGCAACCAATCATTACCACTCCCACGCTCCCCGAATCATTAATCCCTCCAAAACAAAAAAAAAAAAAAAAAGACACCTTTAATCTGCCTGCATACATTACCTCTGCATTCCAAGCCAAGCATTCTAAACCCATCAATGCCAATATAAATATATAAATATATATATATATATATATATATTATAACACTACTACTTTTCTTAAATATTCTAGAAAAAAACAAAAACAAAATCAGAAATTGAAGCCTCAAGCAAATTTCTTGCATCCAATCTTGTTATGATCCTCATCAACACTTCATCAAAATTCATCCCTTTTCCTCTCATGTTCATGTTTCATCCCAAAAACACCTTCTGCACATCACTCTTTAAATGGCCCTTCTCTTCACCATCTCCTTCTTCATTCTCCTCCTCCTCCTCCTCGCACCTCCGCAACCCGCCGCTGCCGTCGTCGTCGAACCTCAGCCGATCAAGTCGGCGCGCCTCCTTGACCTCGTCATCAGAGACTACACTTTCCGATCATACAACAAGAACTTCAAAACAGGGAAGCTCCACAAAATCAATCTCCCCGCAAACCTCTCCGGCATCGACGTCCTCACCGCTAGGTTCCGCTGCGGCAGCCTCCGCCGTTACGGCGCCCGGATCAAAGAATTCCGGCTAGGCGTCGGCGTCTCCGTCCGCGCCTGCACCAAAAGAGTCATGTTGGTTCGACAAAACCTCGGATCGAATTGGTCTTCCTTATACTACGAAAACTACGAACTCTCGGGCTATCAGCTCATCTCCCCTGTTTTAGGCCTACTCGCATACAACGTCGGCGCTACAACCGCCGCCACCGTTCCCTCCGAGCTCGAAATCCAGGCCGGAAAAAAGCCAATTATCATTGACTTCGGCGGCACTGATCTGATCAACACGTCGTCGTCGTCGCCGGGGATCATTCCTTTGTGCGCGAACTTCGCGCTGGACGGGAAAGTCACGCTGTCAAACCAAGCGAGGCCTAACGTTTGTGTCGCGACGAGAGATGGACATTTCGGGCTAGTCGTGGAGTCACCGTTGATACCGTTGAGACGGAAGGTGAGCAAGTGGAAGATCGCGATTGGGAGCACGATCGGAGCTGCCATGGCGGCGGTTCTGTTGAGCTTGCTGGCGGTTGCGATGCTGGTGAATGCGAAGAAGAAGGCGAGGATGGAGGAGATGGAGAGGAGAGCTTATGAAGAGGAGGCTCTGCAGGTGTCCATGGTTGGACATGTCAGAGCTCTTACGGCGACCAGCACCAGAACTCTGCCTGCAATTGAGCACGATGAGTCTCCTATTTGATTCGATTTGATTTTATGATGATCATCAAGTTCTTTTTTTTTTTTTTTTTTTTTTTTTTTTTTTGGATTTTAGTGTAGATTGTTAGTTCATGTCTGAATCTTTTGCCTTTTTTGGGTTTGTTGTATGAATGTTGGAGCTTAGGAACATCAATGCACTGAAAGATTGACACTGAATCCGATTCATTTCAAGTGTAGGATTTTTGTGGAAATGCTGACGAATTAATCCATCTGTCCTTATATTGAGTAATTGATATCATTTTTAATTTTTATTTGTATCGCATGACAACATATATTTTTCTTCGTTTTTGGATAAAATTATTAAATCAAAATATATTTAATAAATATCAATTAATTTAATTAATTTCATTATATATAATAAATAATATAAAAATAATGATAATATATCAGATATTATTTTTTTTAAAAAAAAATATATTTTCTAGTAAAAGAACATCACTTAAATATTTTAATTTATATTTAAAATTTTATATTTTTTATAAAACTAATTCATATTAAATATAAACAAATAAATATATTTTTTATTTATTTATATTATAAAAAATTTACAAAATAATATACATATTATATATTTTTTTATTTCAATTATATTATTAAAATATTTAAATATATATTTTAATTTTTTAATTATATATATTTACTCTGTCCCATTAAAAAATTGTCAATTTTCATTTATGTTCGTTCAAAAAATTAATGTAATTATTTTCTAATTTAGTAATTGTAATACGTACCTATCTAACATAATAAATATTCTTCTATTTTACAATATATTATACAAATATCATTATTTATTTTTATATTACCATAGAGTGTTTTTATTTTTATTTTTATTTTTATTATTATTCAATATAATACTAATATTAAAAAGTTTATTAAAAAAAAAAACAAACACCATTATTTTCGTGGGATAAAGAAAATATTAAATTTATTTTAAAATTATTAATATTAATAATTAATTAAATATTATTATTTTAAATAAAATGGAAAGTAATTCTGTCGGCAGCTAGAAATCTCATCATCTTTCGTCTTTCATCAGGTGGCGGATCGAATTCATCAGTTTTTGGAATTTACTAAGGGTATGTATTTTTGCTCAAAATTTGATGAATTTACTATTTAAATTATGCATATATTTTTTTTTTCTTGCAAAATATTTTATTATATATTATTTTAATATTAACTTTAAATTAAATTCTTTTTTTTTTAATTCATTTAAAGAAACGTAGCCTAAATTTTACTCGCGTTTTCTATACACACCCACACATTTTGATCATGCTTATCCAAACCCTTCATATCTCTTCGACTTCCCTTCCATGGCGGCTGCTTCTGCTCCCCAAAATCAACTCAGCGACCGAGTCGCCATCGTCACCGGCGCTTCCCGCGGCATCGGCCGCGCCGTCGCCCTCCACCTGGCCTCCCTCGGCGCCAGAGTCGTCATCAACTACGCATCCAACGCCGCCCTAGCCGACTCCATCGCCGCCCAAATCAACAGCGCCGCTAAATCCGACAATGTCCGCGCCATTACCGTGCAGGCCGACGTGTCGAATCCCGACCAGGTCAAGTCACTCTTCGACGCGGCGGAGTCGGCCTTCGGCGCGCCGGCTCACATCCTCGTAAACTCCGCAGGCGTGCTCGATTCGAAGTTGCCCTCAATCGCCGACATGCCGCTCGAAGAATTCGATCGGACCTTCAGCATCAACGCGCGTGGGGCGTTCTTGTGCTGCCGAGAGGCCGCCAACAGATTGAAGCGCGGCGGCGGGGGAAGGATCGTATGCCTGACGACGTCGGTGGTGGCGTCGCTGAAGGTTGGGTATGGGGCGTACGCGCCGTCGAAAGCGGCGGTGGAGACGATGGTGAAGATCCTGGCGAAGGAGCTTAAAGGGACGGGGATTACTGCCAACGCGGTGGCGCCGGGACCGGTGGCGACGGAGATGTTCTTCGCCGGGAAGACGGAGGAGGCGATCAAGAAGGCGGTGGACGACTGCCCGCTTGGGCGGCTCGGGGAGACGGGGGACGTGGCGCCGCTGGTGGGCTTCTTGGCGACGGACGCCGGCGAGTGGGTCAATGGTCAGGTCATTCGGGTCAACGGCGGTTACGTCTAGACTAGTTTGACTACTCTAATATTGCTACCATAAGGATGATCTAATAATAATATAGTTACACAAGGGATGATCTAGTGTGACACGGGGAATGAATATTTTCTTTATTTCAATTCAAAATATCATTTTTATTATTTTGATTTGTCAAATTAAAAATAACATTATAACTAATGTATTTAACGGCGAGAGAAATCAATCGTTGAATTAATAATTATCGGATAATGTAATTAAATAGAGATAATTGAATGGTTCATCTGTATATATAAAACCAAATGTTCAATGTCTTGATGGTTGTGGTTGTGAGCCTATCATCTTGTATATAGTCATCTTAATTTGCTGATCGATCTTCAAGGTCTCTCACAGATCAAATACTGTCGGAACAAGCGACAATTGCAGCGGCAGCATCTCTTCCTCGAACTAGATTTATACCAAAACAAATACAAGTATATATATATATATATATATCAGTTTTTGTAAAGCCTTGTGGTATATATAAAAACTTATTGCACAAAAATCAAATAAACTTACCATTTTTGTCAATTCTGCATTTTCTACCTTTAGTTTCCTCTCCTGTGCAGGCAGACATAAGTCATCAATGTAATGACTTATATTTCAGATATACTTCTAAAATACACACACACACACACAGTTACCTGTTCCTTAAGCTCAGCAATTTTCTCACAAAATAATGCATTCTGGGATTTAATCAAACATCAATATCAGCAACGCATATATGTACACAAAATCATGACATATCTTATATAGTTCTAAGGTTGTAATAATAATGCAGTATGTGTGTGTGTACCTTCCTAGCTCTGATTCTGCATAAACTTTGTTCCAACTGTGATTCAAGTTTCTTTAAATCATAAATGGAGCAAGAATCTAAAGACTCTCCCAATAGTCTTCTGCAACAAGAATTGAATAAATTGGATACTTTAAGAACACCGTAATAAAATGGCGGCGCGCCGACACAGAATTCAATCCGCGGTGGTGGTTATAATTGGTTACCTTTTAGATTCTTCGAGGAGGTTAAATTTGTTATGCAATGCACCGATCTCGTTCTCCTTCTCAGGTTGCTGCAATAAATTAAATAATAATATACATCAAATATATATATATATATATCCATCTCTATATTAGTATTATTCTTCCAATCTATGTATATATAATTGTAAATAAAAGTATACTAACATTGGGTGTGTTATGGACTTATGGTAAGGTGTTATATAGGTCTATTTTCCATTTTAATTGTTTTCAAATTAAACAATAGTTAAATGTGTGATTCTATATATAAAATTTAATGTATTTTTAATGAGAATAACAAATTATATAATACAATTAAAAAACAATGAAATATAAAGAAGAAGAAAACAATTGTGGGTGCATAAAATTCAAATACACCCATTGCAATTTCTGACCTGTGCTTTATTTTCTTTGACAATATTATTATTGATGGTGAGATAATGTCTTTGATACCGATCTATCGTCTCATCAATCAAACTGCAACAAATTTATTCAACATTAATTCTTCAATTTGCACAATTAAAATATATATATATGCTTATACCATAATTCTATTTTTTTTAATAATATCTACATATACATATATATGCTGTAGAAAAAAAAAATTCAAATAAGAACCATATAACAGCTAGCAAATGGATATTTAAATTTAATTGGGAGTTGATTAGTACTTAAAATACCAAAATTTCTAATTTTTTACTATTTGGACTTTGTATTTCTTAAAAAAAATATATATATATATTTTTTTAAAAAACATCTCATCAAACATTATTTTAATACTAATCTCAAACCTTTTTTTTTTTTCGAAACTAATGAAAAGAAACTTACCTATATATGATCTATTATTATTATTATTGTATGACACAGTTGAGGTGATAGTAATAACAGTAAAATCCAGTTGCTTGTGAAGTATTTAACTTCATTGAATTTGTCAGAATCATATGATGTAATGATTTCTTCCATCCAAAGAAGATTTGTCTATATATGAAGATCAAGAATCATATACTATATGACACCATTTTGCTGTGTTTTTTTTTTTTTTTGTTTCTCTCTCTCTCTCTCTCTTTTGATAAATAAACCATAGCTGAAGCATGAAGTCATGGAAATCAAGAAATACTATAAAGAAGAAGAAGTGACGCTATAATCTCAATCTCAAGGCACATTTGATGGTGTTGTAATGATACATGATGTCCTTTCCTTTTATCAAGAGCTAATATATATACAGGCAGCCACTTATTAGGGATTTGTGAAATAAATATGGTTAATTCAAGAAAAATATTTCCATAAACCAATGAAAACATTGCATAATTAAATTTAAATTCAAAAAATAAAAATAAAAATCATGAGAAAGTAAGACCTGGAAGTTGAGAACTGATAGAGCCTTCCTTTGGGAGAGAAGATTATCAGTGCAACCTCTGCATCACAAAGAACTGACAGCTCAAATGCCTTCTTCAACAGCCCACTTCTCCTCTTCGAGAATGTCACCACTCTGCTGCTTTCATTCTCGATCCTCTTTATCTCTATCTTCCCCCTCACCATTATTACAATTGAGTTCCCCTCTCACTCTTAATTACAGTACTCTTACACTACTACCCCACTCTCTCTCTCTCTCTCTCTATATATAATCCCAAAATACTAAACCACAGAGAGAGCGCCACCAGATCTGCAAAAATTACAGGAGAAACAAGAAACCAGTTCGTTAAAGAATGAACACAATCAGAAACCCTAGATTCACATTTGCTCAATTTCTTTCTTTCTTTCTTTCTGACTTACTTTTTTTGGTGGCTCCAGCTTTCCATTTTGTGGGGTGAAATAAATCTGGGCTCTCTCTCAGTCTCAACCATTTTGTGGAATGAGAAGAGAATCAGACCAATTATCTATATATATGGCCTGCCATTTTCTTTCTTTCTTCTTTTGGTAAAATTATTTTTATTACCAGATAAGAAAGAGCCCCAGCTCCGATCCAAGTCTTTCTTCTGCACCTGCAACATGCGGAGGATTAAATAAAATTTAATTTTTAATTTAAATAATTGCCATTGTGTACGTCGAGGAATGTAAACCCTTGGCTGCCCTTTTATAGCCTCCTAGGGACCAATTCTTTAGAACGTTTTTTTTTAAAATAACTTTGGTGATTTTATAAAATTGAAATAGTGGAAGGCTCCCATCATTATCATATTAAATTTGTAGTATTTTGCTTTTAAATATTTTATCATACAAATTGTAATAATAATGGATGGATGGTTTTTTTCCGTTTTTAGAAAAATTGCTAGAAAAAGAAAATGGAGATAGAGCCATGTGATGCTTCTAGGTCGTATAATAAAATAAAAACTATTATTATTATTCAACTCTATGTCAACTTCCGTTCGTATCTGTTATTAAAACATTCCCACCCAATCAACTCTCGCCACGTAGCAGTGTCACATGGACCCTTTGTTCTCGGCATCCCATTCCTTTTGTCCCTTTCTCCATTTGGTTTTGTATTTTTATTAGTTTTTAATTTAAATACTAGTAAATATTTGAATGTATAAGGGAGATTAAATAATAAACATTTTAAAATTAAACTAAAAAAATATTTATCGTTTTGTTTTAATTAAAAAAAAATTATATAATGAAATAATTCTTGTTAAGCTTCAATTTATATTTATAAATATTGATTGTGAAGTTTGAATATTTATTATTTTCATTTGAACTTCCATGCATAATTCTTTTTCATCTTTTAAACTTATATTTTTTTGGATTATCATCCAAAAAAATCTTTTATTTTATTTAGTAAAAAATATATGATTTTTTTTTTTTTTTTGTATTTTACACTATAAAAGATAAAAATTAATAATTGTTATCTATTTTAATTAAAATTCGTACTCAAATATTTGAGTACAAATTTGAATGAGTATAATATATACTGTTTAGACAAAATAATATAAAATCTTTATGTGATTTTTGAAATTTGCTGAAATCTTTCGTAGTCATAAAATTTCATATTATCTATTTTGTGATTCTAAAAATGTTACATAAAAAATTCTCTCTTGTAGTACTTAACAACGATTGTAATTATGTACTCAAATACAATTGTTTTCCGGGTTGTTCTCCTGACTATACTTGCACACTGTAGCGCAATAATCGTAAAGTATGTTGTACTGTTCGGTCGTGCTCACCTCAACACGTGAAGTTCTAACGGTCGTACTCTCCTTTATCAACGGTCGCATTTTAGACGAGTGAATTATAGTCGCTGTTAAGTACTAACAGTAAGGGTTTTCATGCAATATTGTGAGAACTACGGGTATGTAATATGAAATTTTAGGACTAGAGGAAGTTTTCAGTAAATTTTAAAAATCAAAATGAGATTTTTTGCTATTTTGCCTACTATTTATATAAATATGTTATCTGAAAATTTTCATATTGGCTTCAGAGATTTGCTTCAGAATTTGAACTACCTTGGATACATTTTTTTTTTTTATCTTCGAAACTTGTATCGGAGACACATACGAAAAATAAAATTCGTTGTCTTTTCAGTAATCTCGAAAATTTCGATACTATTTAAAATAGTTTCAAAAATTTCGAGATCGAATCCGAAACTGCAAGCATTACTGCGCATGAATTAGTATTTCTAATTGTCTCAAAATTCCGAAGTAATTATTATTTTTTTATAAAAAAAATAATCCCTTGAAAATCAGGGCACCGAAGATCATTTTCGGCCAAAAATAAGTATACAAAATAAATGGAGAAAATATAAAATAAGTATATCATTGAAATCCGAATATATGTATATTCAATTAATAACATATACTCTATTCATATAACAATATATATACATATTTATATTTTAGGTTATTCTTACCATTTTTAAAAAATGGCAAAAAATTATTGGATGACAAACATAAGTTTAAAGAACGAATAAAAAATAATAGTTAGGGGATGAACTAATATTCTTTCAGTAAAAAAGAATATATATATATATTTTTGTATAATTTAATATAAATAATAGTAAAAGATTGAAAAATTCTCAAAAAAAACACATCCTACCTAATTATACATAACATATAATATACTCTATCCGTTCGTCCTCAAGGAAATTTATTTTTTGTATTATTATACTCACTGGAAATATCATATTTTATTTAATTCAATATACTATTATTTTTTATATTATTAATAAGTATTTTTCATGTTTAATAGTATAAAAAATACATTATCCAAAAATTACAAAACAAACAGCCAACGGCCCAACACACACTCGTTTAAACGAAGAATTTATTTTTGGAAATAACTTTATTTTCATTTAAAATAAATCAAGGAAGATTTTTATTGCCGTCTAAAACTGTTTTGCACGTAGTACAGTATTTATTTGCCGGCGAATTGGTCAACTTTAGGATATTAATTATATTAATTTCGAAAATCAGCTTCTCTTTTCTATTTCCCTACTATCATTTTGCTATGTCCACTCCACCCTCTCTGAATAGTGTGAATAGTCTGTCTTTTTTGTTTTGCGATTAACGATGCTCTCTGGAAACAACAATTCGACGGCGAAATTGGAAAAAAGCGAGATGGATGCTGCTCCTCCCCCTCCTCCACCTTCACAGTCCGCCTCTACGCCGGCTCCGGCGGAGACAGAGGATCGAGACAAGGAGATAGTGCACAGGACAAAAGCGATACAATTTTTAGGGCGAACGACGCCTATAATTCTCCAAAATGATAATGGCCCTTGCCCTCTCCTCGCTATCTGTAATTATTCTGGCTCTCTTTCTGTATTAGGCTTTCTAATTCCGTCTGTCGGTGTGCATATGTTGAGGATCTCTAATGCGACGTTTATGTTTGCCTGAACATTAGGATCAAATATATCATTCTTAGGAAGGATGAACAGACGGAACGGATTTTTTGTTCAATCTCATTTTTAGCTTGAATCTCACTTCTGGTTGTCATTTGGGAATATATGAATTCATGATAGGAAAATGTTTCTGGTTTTGATCTGAGTGTAATAGTATGGTGATTGCTCTAGTCTCTAGTGGCAAGTCTACAGCTAACACGCCATTGAGGAAACTGTTTGTACTGGACTACGAATTCATTTTATGGAGGATGCAATTAAGATGCTAGCTCGTGACGAAAAATCTCATAATCCAAATTTTTAGAGATGGTCTTGAATTAATATGCTGAAAGCTTTTTCTTCCTATGTGCTTATTGCCAAACTGCACAAGAGGTGATGTACTTTAATATAGTTTGTTTAGGATGTGACTTGTTGAAAAAATATAGTTTTGTAGGTTACATGTTTGCATCTTGAACCCTGTGTTGTCCATTGTTCTTATGTGCAATCCCATTATGGCAGTGGACTTTTTACATTTTGTCTTTTGGCTTCTTGTTACCATGTTCATTGTGTGTCCAAATTAACTCACAGTTGCATTTCTAATAGGTAATGTTCTTTCACTGAAGAACAGCTTGAATTTGAGTCCAGATATTCCGGAAGTTTCACAGGAGAAACTGCTGTCCCTTGTTGCTGAGCGGTTGATTGATTCAAACTCCAGTGTTGATGTAACTATCTTTTGTACTCTAGTCCCTTTTTTCTTTTAGTATTTTTTAGGTGTGATTTAACTGATAAACAACTCTTCTTTTAGTTGTTTATCAAATTTGGCTGGGTTTAAGCTTCAAGTTCATTTTCTGACCTTGTTAACTGGCGTACAGAACAAAGACACTGGATATGTCGAAAATCAGCAGCAGAATATTGCCGATGCCATTGACTTACTTCCTAGACTTTCTACTGGGATTGATGTGAATATAAAATTTAGAAGGTGGATTAGACTTTCTTCTTTACTCATTATATTTTCAGATGTACACTTTGTCTGGGGACTGTATATGGTGATTGATATATCAACAGTGCTTGTATTGAAAATTTTTCCAATATTTGTATTAAATGACAAAAACATATTTTTCTCAGTGTCTGAACGACCAGGGAATCTGCTGCCATTTGTAATTTTGACAGATGTGTATCTGATGTTTCAGAATTGATGATTTTGAGTTCACTCCAGAATGTGCAATATTTGATTTATTGGATATTCCACTCTATCATGGGTGGATTGTTGACCCTCAGGTATGCATTGCATCACTGCTGAAAGTGAGGATATTTAATACTTGACATTTTAACAGTTCTTTGTCCTCATTTGAGATTATAATTACTCAATTAAACTTCATTGGAGCTAATCGAAAATAGTATGATATAACTTGAGTATTTTTCATAGCATTCTGGAAATTGACTTTACAGCTTGTTGCTTCTAATTTATTTTGTTGGCTTCTATTATTTGAAAAGTGACATTTAGTTGGAGTAATAATAGCAAGCAGGGATGGAACAAAAACATGAAAATCATTGAAGCATCAAATGTCTTTAAATTAATTAAGTTTTTATAGTGTTATCTACTGCCTATATTCCAGCATTATCATCAATTCTGGAACACAACCAAATTTTCATGAAATGATATATATATATATATACACTAAAAAAGTAATAATGAAGGCTTATAATTATGAATTGATGATCCCCCGACGTAATAATGAAATTTGTGGTCTATCCTTAGCTCCATGTTTATCTATCCCATGTCTTTCTTAATGAAGATTTTTCCATTTTGGAACAAAAATTTGCATGAGATTTTATGCTAATTAATATAAACTGAACGAAGTTGCACACACCTTGTGAGAACACAAACCAGCTGGCGCCGCAATGCCCTGTTAAGTGACTGAGGTCATGACATGTGAAATCGCACATACTAATCCAAAAACTTTTTAGGATCCCTGGTAATTAAGGCTGTTAAATTGCTTTGGTTATTTTCGATTTTCTTTCTGAATTAAGAAAATTAATTATCAACTCCCGCTTGTACTGTGTTACTTGGTGAATAAAGGTTCTTTTTTGGCTAACGGGTTAAGATGAGATTTACAAGTTCACTTTCATATCTAGAATGTAGTTCTACGCGTTCATACCTGCTTAAAAAGGAAAATTTAGGAAAAATGACTGATCCCTCTTTTATGCCTTTAGAATGTAAATTAGGTAATCTCAAACAATGGTAGCCACTGGATTTTCATGCACATACCTTTTTGGATTAATTGTTCAATTAAAAAATTCTATATGTCACGAAGGCTTTTGCTGACTGAATCAAGGATCAGAAAGAATATATCATGAACAACATATCAGCTTTTAAAGTAAGCTCACATGTTGGTTGGCTTGAAGAGCGCGAATTTTGATCTCTTCGGAGAACTTCTGAGAAATTGTTATGGAGGCATGCTAGTGTCTATAGTAGGATCAACGGCTGATGTACAACTTCAAAAACCACTTTTCGATATATTTCCAGCCAATATTTTGAAGATTTCTGGAACTGAGTAAGAAATGATGAATATTAGACACTAGACACTGTATCAGGATTATGGTCGACTGTCTCTGTGATTCTTGGTCATAGAATGAATAATCTTTGCACCATAAATCCATGCGTATCTTCTCATGTGTGGTATGATGATATGGTCAAATATTATAGTCTAGTCAAGATATATTTCTCACATCTACTCACTCTTTTTTTGCTTTATTATCCTTACACGTGTCTGATTAATTTTTCCACGAAACATGCTTCAGGACTATGAGACTACAGATGCTATTGGCTCAAAATCATACAATACTCTTATGGGAGAGCTTGTTTCATTAGAAACTCAAAATGTGGAGGATGACCACAAAAAGAACACTGATGATGGTGATGATGATGATGTTGATTTTGTTGCTGCTACAACTGCAGCACTCGGAGTACCTTCTCCTAGTCTTTCAAGGGGTCAATCTTTTGATGAGTCTCCCCATAAGCCAAGAAAGGGGGATGTAGAAGAAGAAGCATTGCTCTTAAAAGTCTTGAAAATATCAGAGGCAGAAGGGACCAACCCAGTGTCAGATGGTGTTTCTGATGATATAAGTTTCCATGTAAGTCCTGTAAAGGAACCTGAATTGATAACACATATGAGAAATGTGGAAGATGATATTTCCAAAGGAACAACCAATACTCCATCCATTGCCCATGCAGATGTAAAATTTCCTGAAGCAGTTCCACAAGAAGTTAATTGCTCATTCTCGAAAATTGACCAGGAAAATAGCTCTCTCCATTCTTCCCACAAGGAATCTCTAAAGGTTGGTGATGCAGTTGTTTCAGATACTGGAACTAAGAATGGAAAAGTTCAGTCCTCATCAGTTGAAGATGAAGTTATATGTGATCAAGATAATTCTCAAGATAAACTAAGGGGTGATGAACTTGCTCAAAACGACTTGATTACAACCCTAGAACCAGATGAACCAAGAAATCAGCAAAATGGTGGCAAGGAAAAAGATACAACTGACTTGTTGGCTATTCCTTCAGGACCAGATTCTGCCAGTGGCCATACACATAATACAGAAGATCCTCAAGGCTTCCCTTCCAATGTTGATAACAATGAACCTATTTATGAAGGCGAAGAATGTATATTAGACTCAGGACATGTAATTTATGAAAATCGGGAGCCTGTATATGAAGGCGAAGTGGTTCTTGCAGAACAAGCAGATAAAAGTAATACGGAGGATGGTGGTCTTAATGGAAAGGAAATAATATCTGCAAAACAAGGTGAAAAGTGCTCCTGTAAAGTATCCATTTTTTCTATTTATTTTTGGGAAAAGATGTACTATTTCCTTATCTTAATTAACTTTTCTATGATGCTAATAAATGTAATTACTTCTTATTGATTCTTGTTAGGCGAAATAATCAGGAACTTTTTGAACATAAGTGCTAGTCAGCTTACTGTATATGGGTTCGTATGCTCTCTATTTTTCTTGTTTGTTTGAGAATACACTCTTGTCTGGATAAGGGTCTGACTATTAGTTGTCTAATGCAGGCTGTTTTGCTTACAAGATAGGGTGAAGGAGCGTGAACTTTGTGTCTTTTTCAGAAACAATCATTTTAACACTATGTTTAAGGTTAGTACATGGGATTCTGTAGTTATACTAATTATATATATAAAGTTTCTTCATGACTTAAGTTTTACATGTGACTCAGATAAAGTTGGACTAGAAAGTTATATGTTACCACAATCATCATATTATTTTAAATTTTGTAGTTATTATTTAAAGAAGTATCTATATATCTTACTAAATAAGGAGAAAACTATAATAAGAGCTCATTACTACTACTAGAAAAGCGGTTAGTTCTCATTTCCTTTTTGAGATCTCTGCATATAAGTCTTAATGCTTATTGTTGCAGTGCTTCCATGCTCTTTCTTTTCTTGTCTTTTTTTCCCCTTAAGCACGTGAAGCTAATATATGTCATTTTCAGTATGAAGGTGAGTTGTACATTTTGGTTACAGACCAGGGTTATATTAATCAGCCAGATCTGGTGTGGGAAAAGCTGAACGAGGTAAGAAGATCCGGAATCTTTTTATTTCTTGGTTTTTATGTGTGGGATTGTCTTGTCTCCTCGTTGCTGGTTTTAATTTGTTAATTTCACCTTATGAGTATGATCCGAAAGCATCTGAGTTTTCATTTTCTTTTATAGTTTGGCATGTAAGGAGTTTCTTATTATTAAAAGTTGATACAAGGAGATTTCTATAATTCAACAGCCCTGCTTTGTCATATGTAGGATTTTTAAGGGAATTATATGTTCGTATCCCTTAATTATCATTTATTTGATGTTTGATAATCATCATGGAAATAGATATTAAACCAATTTTTTAATAGCTTTGGTCTTATTGCGATAATGTTTGGAAAACAACATTTATCATTAACAATGAATCTTTCTTGAAGTCCGTGAGGATTTTGTTCTGTGCATTATATCTTATGATAATTTGAGTGTCCACCTTAGGTGAATGGCGACAGTGTATACATGACGGGCGATTTTAAGGAATTTAAGATGGATGACAATTCCAACAACACATGGAATGAACAGAATGCCATGGCAAGTACTGCATAATGTAGTTTTTCAACGTTTCAGACCTCCTGACATTTTGTAAAGACTTTAAGTCTTCTGAATTGAATTTCAAACTTTGATTTTCAGGACTATCTAGCCGGTGGCATTGATACTACTCAAGAAAATTCAACTTTCAAGTAATCCTCTATCTACTTTATTGATTGTATTCCACTCTTTGTTTGCTCTTTATAGATATTGGAATATTTCATAATTGGAATACCTTTACTTAATGTGTAAGCGCTGCTTTTTGTTTCCTTTTCATTATGTAAGGAATTTTAACTACACTGAAATATACATATCTAAATGCCTTACATGATAAGTAAACTGGTTTGGAATGAATGGACCCATTTTATTATTCTAAACTTATTTATAGCTTAACAGACCTGTTTGGACTTTGGTACAGTTCTATCAGATAAACTATTTAGCAAAAGTCTCCGCTATTTGGCATCATATTATTTCATTCCAACTTTGATTCCTCTGTTACAGCAACCTTATGGGGTAATTTAAAATGCTGTTTCTTGGCAGTTCTGATCTGCAGTTGGCAATGGCTCTTCAGCAACAGGAATATGAGCAGCAGCAGCAGCAGCAAAATCAGCGTAACTTGCAGCAACCAGCCGTGACTGATGGTTCAAAGATGGTCACCGGTCCAAGGGTAGGTTTACAAAACTCTTTGCATTGGTTTAATTCCATGCATATTCTTGCATTATCCAGGGGTACTGACATACCTAATCTTGCATATCACTCAAATTTTGTTAGCTGGGAAGCAATCAATTAAATATGATTTTCAACTCGGGTTTAGCGTCTCTGCACGCACTTGTGTTTAATCTTCTAAGAAAATCACAAATCTTGGCAGGTATCACACAATGGTGGGAGGAGTTCCTCCTCCTCCTCCTCATCTAAACAGCAGGAATCGCCGAAAGCAAAGGAGAGGTGCATTTTGATGTGATGACTACTTGCAGTTGCAGGTAGGTTTCAACATTCATCGAAGCAAGTTTTGCTGAGTGTTGTGGAACAACTAATTGCCTTTGATTGACTTCCATTCTGCTCACTTATCTCATGTCTGTAGAACACTATGATACTAACTGCACAGCACAGCATCTCACCTCACCTCACCTCACGTGTTGCTGTAAATAGGAAAAACGCGTGTTTTACCTGGCATTTATATATATATAAAAAGTTAGGCTACTACTTAAAAATCGCTTTTAGGTAGATAGCACTTTATCAGCAGTGGTAGTAGTCTAACAGTAACTATTTTCCTTTGTAAGCTCCTCTGCAGAAGATGATGCACATAATGTACGCTCAGTTTCAACTCCATTATAATCTCTCTCTCTCTCTCTCTCTCTCTCTATATATATATATATATATGTGGAAATTTATGCATGATTCTTAGTTTGTGTTTAATATATTATAAAGAATTTATACAATTTCGTGCTTGATTTGTGAGGAAGTCTTCCATTGTAGTCTTGTTAATGTAACGCGTATTGCAATTTATATACCACATTATTATTACTATTATTATCATTCTATAACATTTTTAAATTACAAAAATAAATAACAAAACAATAATATAGTAGTACTCCTACTTTAATATCACCGTGTGTGTTTTTGAATTTAATTTTAGGGGGGAGTGTCCGGGACGTAGTTGCTTAAATGTGGGCCTGAATGAGTGAGACAGCGTAAAAGCTTAGGCCCATAATTTCCTCAAGTCTTCGGTTCGGCCGGGTTTAAACGGGCTGGTTCAGCCAAATCCAACCCGGCCTATCTATCTATCTATCTATCTATTAATACTAGGTAGTAGTATTAAATACATGACTCTAGTGACATAGTGTAGGTATAATAATTACTTTTATTATTAATCAAGTGATATAGATATAGATAATAACAATATCATAAATGCACAATGAGGAGGCAGATGGGGGCATTGATGATGGACGATGCATTATTATTATTATTATTATTATTATTATTTATCTGCTGCCCCTCAGCTGTCTTGTCTCATCTGTCTGTCTGTCTGTCTGTCTCTCACTCTATGGGTGATTTTATTGCTCTTTCATCCCCACACCCACCCCCTGCCCTCATTCGTAGTCATTGTCTTGGTAGAGAGAGAGCATTCATACGTACAGTACAATACAATACAAATACACATTGTGTTGTGTGTGTGTGTGTGTCTCACTCACAGGATTTTCTAACCTGCGTAAGTATCTGACATGCTACAGAAAGTTTTGTTGTCTCTAATCCCTATGTGGGAGGATGGAATACCGATGCCATATATGCCAGTGCAGTACAGTACCCTTTCTCTTTTTATTTTCTTGGATGGTGACGTAACCCAGTTCTCAATTAATTCATCCATCTGTATGGGCCCCACAGTCACACTCACTCATGTCCCTCTCCAAACAAGAGACAATTTTTTTGCCCAACTGGTCCTCCTCCTCCTCCTCATATCATCCCTACTTCCCATCTTTCAAAAACTAAAATCAGTATGCTGTACATTCTTCTTTTTCACTTTCCATTTTTTCTTTCTTTGGTTACTCCATAATATTTCATCAGAGTAGATTCTTCTTCTTCTTCTTCTTCTTCCAATGTGTAATATGAAGTAGTAATAGTAATTTGGCCCCTCACTGTAATTGTACCTAGTGCTGTCGCTGTCGAAACTCTTCAGGCTAGCTTCTGCTTCTTCAGAAAGGGTTTGCTCTCAATTACCATTTCTACTGATCTGATCATGATGGGCGGTGGTGGAGGGCTGAGCGACATCGCCGGCGGCGATCAGAACCACCACCACCAGCTGAAGGCGGAGATCGCCAATCACCCGTTGTACGAGCAGGTGCTGTCAGCCCACGTGGCATGCCTACGTGTGGCCACGCCTATCGATCAACTCCCCATTATCGACGCCCAGCTCTCTCAGGCAAATAATCTCCTCCGCTCTTACGCCGCCCAAAATCACCATCTTCATCATAATCATAATCCCGCCCATAGCCATAGGCAAGAACTTGACAGCTTCTTGGTATGTACGATATGTATATAATTCTGTCTTTTCCAGTATTAATATATATATAAATTAATTACTTTAGTGAATGTTGCAGACCCAATACTTGTTGACGTTATGCTCGTTCAGAGATCAACTGCAGCAGCATGTCAGAGTTCACGCCGTCGACGCCGTTATGGCCTGCCGTGAAATCGAGCAAAACTTACAATCCCTTACCGGAGCATCGCTCGGTGAGAGCACCGGGGCAACCATGTCCGACGACGAGGAGGAGGAGGAAGAGGACCTGCAAATGGAATTCACCATGGATCATCATCAAAATCAATCTGATCATGAGCTGATGGGGTTGGGGTCGTTGATTCCCACAGAATCAGAGAGGTCTTTAATGGAAAGAGTGAGGCAGGAGCTCAAGCTCGAGCTCAAACAGGTAATCTAATCCAATCCAATCTCATTCATTTAATTGAATTCATGAATTGAATTTAAATGCAGGGATTCAAATCAAGAATTGAAGACGTGAGAGAGGAGATACTAAGAAAAAGAAGAGCCGGAAAATTGCCCGGTGACACCACCGCCGTCCTGAAGAAGTGGTGGCTCCACCACTCCAAGTGGCCTTATCCGACGGAAGACGACAAGGCTCGGCTCGTCGACGAGACGGGATTGCAGCTCAAGCAAATAAACAACTGGTTCATCAACCAGAGGAAGCGAAATTGGCACACCAATTCCAATTCCAACTCCAATTCCTCATCGTCTACCACAACTTCTCTCAAGTCCAAGCGCAGGAGATAAGATATGAATGTATGTATTGCATTGCATTGCAATTCAAATACTCACCAGAAATCAGCTGCTGCTAAAACCCTTTATTATTGAAGTATAGAAGAAGATGATGATGATGATGATGATACAGCCATTATCAAACCATGGTCTTTCTGAAACCCATATCAAATGAACAAACAAAATTTTACTTGTACTGAATGAAAATGAAGTTATTCGCCATGGCCTGTTGCCTCAGCTGCTGCCATTGGCGACGGCACCATTCTGAGCATAGAATCTGCGGTATTTGGAATCGACTTCGGTGAGATAGTATACGCCCGGTGCAAGGAGGCTGCAGTCCTTGCTTGTAACAAAGTCTTTGCTTCCATATCTGTGCTCCATTGTCTTCATCGTTTCAACGAATTTTTCTGGCGGGAACTGCACAACACATCGCTTATGGCAGTTAAACCAGGCCTGTTGAATCAAGATGTTTATGGAACTAAACAGGACTTACCTCGTGCCTCGAATTCAATTTCTCAGTAATTTTCATGGCGGATGCAATGTTCGACAGGCTGAAAGGATGCTGCCCTTGGGTGAGGCGGAGAGAAAACATGGTGGCTGTCAAACCACTCCCGTAGGAAAACAACACCACTCTTTTCCCGGACTGTAGGGAAAGAAAAACAATCGTTAGAATGTGCGAAAAAGCACAGAAAGAGTTTGTTAGTTTGTTCATTTTACCAGGTCGGTGTTCTTGTTGTGGAGGAGGGATGCAAATGCAGCATAGAGCGATGCAGTGTACATGTTCCCAACTTGTTTCGGGATGAGTGTGGACGGCTGCACCTTAGCGTCGTAGAATGGCTTCGCGACTTGTTGGGAAGCCTGTGGATTCACTAAAGTTCTAAGCAATCGAAGATTCATTGTGGCAGTTCATCAATAAGAGATAACGACTAACATATAGCTCAAACCTTCTCAAGATCACGACTTTGGTAGCTTTCGTCATGGCTCAGTGACGAAAATGGAGCCAGACTCTCTTTACCAGCTTCATCAATGTAGCTGAAAGTTGATAAAACTGGGAATTAAGCGGACAATTTTTCTTGACAAAATGGTGTTACGAAGAAAATCATAATTCACCTGGCTTTCTTCAAACTATCATTGTATACCAATCGGGCAAAGCTCTTCTGTACAAGCTGCATGTTACAAGTTCGAAGTTGGTTCAATTTATATTCAATTAGTAAACCAATGTAAAGGAGAGTGCTATTTGGCAGCAGAACTGAAGTTAGCTGAAACTTGTTTGGCATCGTTACCTTATTATATGGAGAATGGAATACAAAGTAATCAGCATCTGAAATTGAAAACGGCTTACCCTCGAGTTTTTCGTACCTAGCAAATGTGACAATATGTAACATGCAATACAAACTTATATAAGAGATGAGATATACGAAAGCTGGCTGACATTATTCCAGGAGCTTACTTGTTACAGAAGGTTTTGTAACAAGAATCGAGTGCCATGAGGTAGCAAGTCTGAGAGAGCTTGCCATCGACAACCTAGAGAACACCATTATTAGTATAGCAAATGATCGAAGGCATACAAATAAGTTGAAAATTAAAGGAGTATTACCGGATATTCGCTGGCAAGGTTGGGCTTGTAGAAATCGTATGCATGAGCCATGTGGCTCCCTCTGAGCTTACTTTCAAAAGCAATAGGAGCATTTGGTCCTATTAGCATAGCAATTGCTGCAGCTCCTCCGGTAGGCCTAGCCGGACCCTCAGCGTAGACCTGCCAAATTTAGCCAACAGTCAGAATTCCATAATGTATTTTACAGAGCCTAAGCCATATAATTTTTTGCCTGGTTTTCATTTTTATCAATTTCAGAAAAAACACAAACACAAGATTATAATATTATTCTGGTGATGTTCATACAGCGCTGTCTGTGCAGACAACAAGCCCATGTCGGCCGTCCCACGAACTACTTTCCACCCAGTTGACACAGTTGAATAGAGCAGCAGTGCCACCATAGCAAGCATTGGTCGAGTCAACACCTTCTATGTCGGTATTTCCATGCTTCTGCTCATTCACATGGAAAATTAACAGAATTGAGTAAATGTATAAACTTAAAAGCATATCCTGAATGAAATTTAAACAATATATATATATATATGACCATTACTATAGTAGATGTGGATCTTTGGGGCAAATACCTCGAAGATTGGCATCAGAAATGTCTTAATGGATTTGCTTTTATCAAGCACCGTCTCACTTCCAACTTCAAGTCGACCAATCTGACTTGGATCAACCTCATACTTATCTAGGAGGGAAACAACAGCTGTCATACTGAAATACAATGTGTTAGCAAGTGCCCGCCAAAATGAACACTTTAAAATAGGACACCGGTGAAATACATTAGTATTATTAATAAATGATAGATTCTATCGAAATATCTGAGACTAAAAGTCACAACTTTCATTCATGAAGAACCATGCATACCATATATTTCAGCAGTGCCCACAAATTGATTTGTTTTTCTCCCTGTGTCGTAGCTTTAACTTAAAGCATAAATGTAAACTTTCTTAAGGAACTTAGAAGTCAAAGCCTCAAGAGCCACATGTGCGCGCTAAGTGTAATTAATAACCAGCTAAAACGAAAAGATTCCTTTTCTGTATGAAGATCAAATCGGTGTAGAGATTAAGCTAAGATTTTTCAAGTCTACCTTGCAAAACTCAAAGGAAATGATTCCCTGTTTATAGAAACTAAATATAAATCAATTTTCATTAGATACTCTAAATTTTCATCCGGTGCAGTGTAATAAACATCATCATCATCAATCTTCGCTAGATGCAATCAATTCGCATCGACCAAAATACCTCATAGAAATGACATCTTCGACATCAGTGCAAAATGCCATGCAATCTTGACCGAGCCCAATCGTGTACTTCCCCTTGCTTGCTCCATCATGATCCTCCAGGACATCCTGCAATGGACACATTGAAACTCACCAGGACAAGAACACAAATCCGATCTAAGATGCACAAACTTTTTAAATCGTCAGGTTCTCAAAAACAATCACGATGAACAAACTACTAAACATAGCCATAAGCCAATCAGTTGTAACATCATCACTATCAAAGTGGACAAAAGAGAGCTAACATCCTACATCTCTCGAACAAGAATTACAGCCAAGCAACACATCGCAAGGAAAGGGACTTTACGCAAGGCAAAAAAAATAAAAATCCGAATAAAGAAGCTGCAAATAAACCATCAGATATAGGACCATGCTCACTTTCATTCCAATCAAGCACTCAAACAATCGAGTGGGTCCATTTTTCAGAAATCTAAAACCATGAAAATTACAACCGAAAAAGACATGGAAATTAAAAGGCCACGACCGTACATCCCCTCTCCAATTTCATCACTCCATTTCCGAGTCTCTATTTTCAAAAGGTTCAAAAGAAAAACAAAAAAAAATAAACCAGAAACAGAACAATCAAAACGAGGGAAGACATAAGAGCACGAAAACCGCATGTTAGAAGCTTCAAGACGCTTCGATTCGAATCACGTCAGAAGAGAAATATATAACAAACAATTCCAAAAATACAATACCATCCGTCGATTACCTGCTTGATGCAAGTCGGCGGAAAGTAAATCTCCATGGCGAGAATTCCCACATTCTTGGCCATCACTGTGACTGTGCAAGGAAAGGAAATACACAATTTTCCCTAAAATTCCCCGCGGGATTTCCTCGATTCTTGATCTTCAACGCAAGCAATAACAATCCAACAACACCAAGATATTCAAGAGGGGGAAACGTCTAAACGGAACAACGAAAACGAAACTGTATTTGGGGAAATCTGCTGTGTAGGCTGAACGTTGGCGCAATAAGACGCAGCTGCTATGGCGGCCACTATTTATACTTACAAATTTCCTCGATTTTATTAATAAACAATTAAAAGAGAAATTCTATTATATATATATATAAAAAAAATTACATAAATAAAATCTTTCGCTCGTAAGATTATTTATTTTTTGTGCGGATTAATTAATGTCTTTTAAATGAAATTAGATGTTAAATGATTTTAATTTTTTTCATTTTCAAAATATAGAAAGTTAAATAAATGATTTATAGTGAATGACTAAGCATTAAACGTGTCGTTAATAAATTTACATAGTATGATATTTGGCATGTATATTAATATTTTAATATATTTGTAATTCTGATTGTCTTTTGTAGGAATTGGGGGAATGATAATGAATGACTTATCTAATTTGAAATTTAAATCAAGGAACCAAAATTGTTACACTTACAGTGGTTAGACAAAATTATTTTAAAATTTAGATGCCTATTTTGGGGGTTTTGGTAGGACAATAATTCATCAACTGCCTCTAGTTTTGGTATCGTGTGTTCGGCTATATTTGGGATTTGTTTTACTATTTTGCCTTTTCTTAAAAATAAAATAAAACAAAATAAAATAATGATATACTCCCCCGTTTAATTGAAAGATTATCATTTTTCATGATTTAGTAATTGTACTACCTATTTAACGTAATAAATACCCTTTCGATTTATAATATATTACACAAATGTCATTACTTTTATATTACACTGTACTAATAGGGGTATTTTTATCTTTTTCATTACATTCTAATATAATACTAATATTAAAAAATATATGTATAAAAAGCAAACGTCACCCTTCCAACGGGACGGAGGGAGTATATTTATTTATTCATGATATGTGCAAAATGTTTATGACAAGTTATTAGCTCCGGCCGAGAGTTTATCATAGAAAAAAAATGTTGTTTAAATACTTGTTTCGTTTTCTAAAAGTGTTCTTAAAATCTTTTGTACAGTCATCACATATTTTTTTTTATAAAAAAATATATATTATTTTAATATTATTTTTACTTATATATTCTTAATTAATTATTTATTTATTATGTTCATACTAGATTCTCGTGTCTACAGTAAATGGTAGGTGAAACTGATGGAGTATAAAATTTGGTGAGTAATAATAACAATGATGTAAGAGTATATTTTTATTTGTGATTTAAAATCGAAATTAATACTAACATTCAATTCATACCCTTTTTAATAAAAATGTATTTTTTTAATGAAATATTATATCAAAATATTATTTAAATAAAAAACTTAAATTACACTATATTTCAAAATAATTTCAAACCACAAACAAACACAGATAAAAAAAAATAATGATGAATGAATATTTAAAGAATATATATTTTTTTAATAAGTTTATTTATATAGACAACCTAAAATAATAAAATAGATACATATTTACAAAATGGAAGAGTACTCTTTTTTTGAATTGGGTGGTCTAATAATTTATAATTGAAATATAATATATCTACTTAAAATTTAATTAAAAAGTTATACGTAAAGTAAAGTGTTTCGTAAAAAATATATGACACAAATAAATTAAATTATGTAGATAGACATGATTAGCATAATTTTAAGATCAAATTTGAAAGTATATAATAACACTATATATTGTGCATAATTGGATTAGTTATAAAGATTTACTATGTAACTTTATTATTGCATATGAATATATATACTATGTGTGTACAAATACCATATTCGTAAATTATGTTATCTAAAATTTAAAATACAAATAAAAAAATAAATATGTTAGCAAAAAATAATACATCATGACAATTAAAAATGAATAAACTATAATAATTGAATCAGAGATATTTTCTCTACATGAAATAGTTATGATTTAATAGTGTTTTACATTAATAACATATTATTTTCAAAAGATAAAATAATTTTATTTTGAATGAAAATTGCACCTCAAATTATTAAAGTTTAAATGAACTAAAATGAGGATGAAATCGAAATGTGCCGAAAAGTGAAAAGGAATTTTTCAAAAAGCTAACGACGAAAAGAACATGAGGGCTTGTTTGTTAATGTTTAAAAGAATGAAGAAGATTTTCTTTTATAGGCACACTACTCAAAAAAATATGAAAACCGACATGAATTAATGATCATAACTGATGTATTGTAAGACTCGAATTGAAGTCACGATTGTACTATATATTCAGACTTTCGAGTGCCGCTCCCAAATGTAGGTCATCTTAGTTGAATTAGATCAATAAAGTTTAATTTGTGTTATTGCATGATTTCCTTAATTTTTTTCTTTGTTTCCTAATTTCACAACAATAAGCCGCTATTGTCGCATTTTAATTTTCGTCCATAATTTTATGTCGTAATTAATGTAATCACGCAAATTGACATCTTAACTGATACACTCATGTATGATGAAGATTGCTTTTTGATCAATATCCGAGTTGGACTTTACTATTTAAACTTGTCTTGAAATTAATTAAAAAGGAAAAAAAAATAGATATAATATTTAAGCTTTCGAGTAAATTTGGCATCGCCAAACTATTCATTTATTAAGCTTCAAATCCTATTCATATTGTGTCTGTGTTCAGTTTGGTGGACGGCGCACATGTGATTTACTTGTATTTACGTGTTTCGACTACACTTTTATCATACGAAATTAATATTTAAATACATCATCAAATGGTGTGTTTAACTAATATGTGACAAATTTCCAACCATTAGTTAGTTAATTACATCATCATTAATTAACTAATTGGTCATCCTTTGTAATTGCTCAATTAACCAAATTGAATTAATTATTTCATTATGCACAATATATTTTTATTTTTGAAAAATTAGTTTTTATCAATTATCCAAATTCATTTATCCAACATAGTAAAAAATATTCAAAATAAAATAAATAAAAGGATTTAAAACAATTATGGCGGATATCATGCCTATAGAAATCAAGTCAAGTTTAACGGTAAAAATCTATTCACGAAATACTTTTTACTATTATTTTTAGAATTTTCAAAAAACAAATAAACACAATTATCCAACGTGCATATTTCCATCAATTCTATTACAAGACAATTTTATATGTTTTTCTTTTCTTAAGAAGATGCTAATAACAAAATAAAGTTGACCTAATCATTTTTTATTTCCGTAATTTTTGGTTTCCTTCATGTAGGATACTCTTAAGGATGATAATACCACATTTTGTCAATAAAAATTTGATCTTGTCCGTATCTTCTACTTTAAGTAGTCAATCTATACAACTGTAATCTAAATTAACACTTCAGGTTATTGAACGGTACATAGTTAAATTAAATACATATATTCAGAAAATGAAAATATTATTAGTAGTGATTATCTTGGAGATAGCATCAAAATTGGATCAATGTGCAATATTTGTCTTCAATTTGGGCCTTAGCATGGCAGCCCATCCAAACAAACGCGTCCATTATAAAAGCCCAAACAAACTACAAATTTAGAGGAGTGCTTATTAAATAATTCTTTTAAAAAAACAAGCTGGTATGTCAGTTATTCGATCCCGAGTATATTCTTGTCGCCAATTTAACTAATTATCTGTAATTTTCTTTACGGGTGTATTTGTTCAAGGGATTTTGCCAAAAATTTACTATCTATTCAAAAAAAATATTTCTCTAAAAATATTACATCAAACATCTATTTTTATTTTCTATATTATTATAAAAATTAATTTTACATTGTCAACACCTATTTATATTTAGATCAATCATACAATTATTTTAATTTAAAATTTTTACTATTTAATCACATTTCATAACTTAATCACCTGTTCTTCAAAAGACAAAAGTCGTCCACTCCAAAGTATGAGAGCTACAAAAAAACAAAAGCAAAAATTATTTTTTCACATTCAATATCATAATTATCAATCTCATAAAAAAAAAAAATTATTAATTTTGTCTCATTCAAATTTTTTATTAATTTTAATTTCAAAATAATTGATTAAGACTGAACATGAATACAACCGTCCAATTTTATTAACTATTTTAAAACTAAAATTGATAAATTTTTATTTAAATAAAATCAAAATTAATAAAAAGATTTAAATAAGTTGATAATTAAGAAATCACCATCGTCGTCGTCATTTCATTTCCCAAAATCAGACCTCTACAGTGGACTGATCAATGGCAGTGTAACGCCACCGCTCTTTCTCCATAAAATCGGCGTCCAAAAACTTGGCAACGAATCTCCAAACTTTATACACATCCTCAAAATTATTCATCATTCCAACCCAAATCGAAGCCGCCCACAGCCCCCCTTTCTTCTTCCTCCTCATTTTCTTCTTCTTCTTCTTCTTCTCCGACTTCAACCACACGTTCTCCAAGAACCCTATTGTCAGGGAAACGTTGTTCCGCCCGGCTAGCTTCTGCACCAAATTCGGGTCGACCCGTTCCCCTTTCCAGTCGTGCACGTTGAAGGCGATGGCGGGGCCTCTGTCGAGCATAATTCTGGGACCCAGGATGGTCACCAGGGCCTGCCCCTTCCCAGAATGTGGGTGCTGTAGACTGAGCAGTGCGTTCACCAGCCAGTTCACCAGGCACCTAACCCTAACGCTGATCAGAATCAGGCCCAGCCTGTCCGCGTGGTCCAGGCCCCGGAATTCGATTTCCTTGCTGCCCATTTCTACTATCTCAGACGTTAGCAATGGCAGGGGCAGGGACTTGGGGTCATTATTAGTGGTGAGTGCAGGGGTAATGCTTACGATTCCCATGGTGGTGGAGGATGGATTGAGAAGTGGGACAGTGGATTTTTTTATGAACAGGGAGCAGAATCCAGATGGGTTTTGTCCGAAGATTTTGAAGAATGAGCAGATGAGGAAATCGGGCTGGAAAAGGGAGAGGCCTAGGGTTTCCATGTCCTTGGCTCCTAAAGCACAGGCATCAAGCAGAACATGCCAACCGTTTTCCCTGGCCAGGTTCATCCACTGGTAGGAGTATCTTGATCCAGACATTCTGGATTGGAGTGGGAAGACAAACAGGCCCCTGTTTTTGGGCTTGCTCTTTTTGACAATGACTTTTCTTAGTTTTCCAGAATTGACTCTCAGGTTAGGCCATGAGAACACAGCTGATTGAGCTCTGGCTCCTCGTTTCTTGGAGCTTTCGATCATGGCTTGCACGGCTTCGTTCTCGTAGTCGTACATGGTGAGAAGCTCTTGATTGGAGTGGAAAGGGTAAGCATCTGCCAGGAGCTTGAATGCTGTTGATTGGTTGGCTGTGAACACTAACCAGTAATCCTCTTCAAACACATTCATGTATCTCATGATTCGTTTTCGCACCAGCCTTTGGAATTCTGATTCTTGGCAGCTTCTATTGATCAGGTAAGAATTCAAGTTCTCTGAGCTGTATGAGATGTCGAAGAAGGGGGCGGCGTCTGCAGCACTTGATGATGATGAGGCAGTTTCGGAATATGGCACCGAGCCGTAAAGTTGGGAGTATGAAAACAGCCCGTGGCCGGTATAGTCGAGACAGACATGGTTTGCCAGATGACTATACTCCAAGGCTCGAATATGGTCTGCAAGGACGGTGTTTGAGTAGCTCGGGATTGCATTGTTCAGGCTGGTGAACATCTCTTGCAATGACGGGAGGGATTCATGGTTGGTGAAATAGGTATTTGGTTGGATGGAGGAGAGTATGGCTGAATTAAAGTCTTGGCGAGGATCGGTCCCGGAGTTGGGAGGGGAGCTATGGGGCAGAGGCTTTACCCAGCAAGAGCTGAGGCAGGATTTGGATGCCTCTTTGATGCAATTTGGTTGCATGATTTGCTTTCAGTTTCTCCTACACTCATAATGCTTGGTAAGCCTTATTCAACTTGACATTCTCTTGTTCCATACAATCATCTGCTGCATACCTAACCCTGTTTATACCCTTGCAGACACAGCAGGTTATTTTTATGTGATGGACCAGGCAGTTTGTCTGATGGTGAACTTAGGTTGACTCAGTCATTCACCAAAATGTCAGGATCTTTGGCTTATACCTTTAACCCTCTTGAATTTTCCTTCCATGAGACATTTCTACTCAACCATTAATGTGTTCCCAGTCAAACATGAACTTGTGATGATGTGAGTGTAGCTACAAGCCTACAAGTATAAGGGATAAAAGAGGATGTGCATATGATTGCATATTAGTGGCTCAAGATCAAAGAGGTAATGGACAAGCAGAAAAGGGCAAAGGCGAGAACCTCCAGAGCGGCGGGCACCATCATGGGTAGCCAACCTTTCATCAACATGCCTAGCTCCAAAGTTAAGTGTATAGTTAAGAAAACTAGTTGAGGCAAGTAGTTTTCAATTGAGTGTTTTTTACCTTTGCCCCCATAAAAAGCAAATAATGGGCATCTACTGTTTTTTTTTTCTCAAGAATACCAAGAATGTGTAAGACAATAAGATTATATGTGGCATTTACTGTAATTTGCAAATTAGGCACAGTAAGACTTTGCCTCAGGGAAAGGCTATTGAACAGACAGCATTGTGATGCTACGACTACACATCCAACCAACCAACCAATTAAATGTCATGGTGCAAAAGGCATCCATTTTCAAACTGCCACGAAGATTATCTAAGCTTGAAATAACAAGGAAAATGACACCTATGGTTCACAGTTCACACTCGGAAAGAATGGTGTGGACTTGTGAGAAGACTAGAAGGGACAACCGTGGCATATATATTATGTAAAAACTTTTGAATTGGAGTTGTGTCCCTACTACTTCTGTAGTACGAAATAGGAAGTTTATCAAGATTGTTGGTTTAAGGACCATTGGGACAACTGTACCTGAGTGCCTGTGTCTTATATGCAAAGTATTCTACATGGAAACAGAACCCTAATAGGCTAATACTTCTGTAGGACGAAATAGGAAGGTTATCAGGATTGTTTGTTGAAGAACCATTGAGACATCTGTACCTGACTGCCTGTGTGTTATATGCAAAGTATTCTACATGGAAACAGAGATAGGAAAGGCAAGATAAGAACCCTAAAAAAAGATAGGAAAACCGAAAAAATATATAGATGTTGAGAGTGGGATTCGAACCCACGCCCTTTCGGACCAGAACCTTAATCTGGCGCCTTAGACCAACTCGGCCATCTCAACTTTTGTTATTAATCATTGTTTTATTTAATAAAATCTATTTAACGAGGTCTAAGTCGGGTATGTTGTCTGGAAAGGGGAAGAAGATGATAGATAGGAGTTATTACAGATTTCACATGCTTCTCTTATATTGCTATATGGTATTTATCCTAACAAGTGCATGAAACTCTCCACTCGTTTTCTGGATGAATATATGAGGACATGGCATGGCATATTGGCATGTATAACTAAATCTATTTAGATGTGATTCTGAGACAAATCTTGACAATTAAGAGAAGAGTATTCTTGATTATAAAGTTTGTTCCATGCCTTCTAGTTTCGCAGTAATATGCACTTAAGCCCTAGTGGTCATAAGCATCAAAATTTCAGATAAAAAGAACGTAAGAATCCATGTATGTCAAAAAGCCAGAAAAGAAGAGGTGTCTGAAGGCTCACATACCCTTAACGTCGAGCATCAGATCATCCGCGTTCAGTATTACTCGGTTCTGAGACTTGGCCACACTTTCCGCAATTTCCTTTGAAGCTTCAATCTTCCTTAAAGAGATGAATGATTGGTTATTACCAATTGCTTTTCCTATCAGCACAGCACTTTGAGCTTCCCCCTACAGTCGCAACAGAAGGTTGGAAAAATTAGGTAAGAGGGTTTGCAAAAACATAATGGAATTTGACTTGGAAAACCTCAAACCTTAGCTTTGATAATAGCACTCTTCTTCTCTTGCTCAGCTTTCTCCACAATATACATGGCCCTCTCGACTTCCTGTGCAGCAATCTGCTTCGCTTCAATAGCTGCATTAAATTCCGTACCAAAGGAAATATCTGTGATGGAGACATCATCTACTTCAATGTAGAAGGATGAAGCCTTTTCCGCTAACAGGGTGCAAATGTCCTTACTAACAGTCTGCACTAGCAATAACCATTAAGCATCAATTCCAAGTTGAGGACTTCTACTTCCATAAATATATATTCTTACCAGTAGTAACTCAGGAAAAAAAGTAGGGATACACATATATTAGCTTGCAAATGTTTTAATGTCACCTCTCTCTGTGTCACTAGTTGGCTTGCATTGTACTTTGCTACAGTACCCCGAAGAGTTTCTTGAACAATAGAGGGGAAGACTACTTCATCGTACTTTTCCCCAAGACGGCGGTAGAGTGATGCTAAGTAAGTTAAGTCAGGACGTGCAAGAACTCGAAGACTGATTTCAACCTGCTTGGCATAATGGGAAGGTCCAAACATAACCATATGATCATTGTTATACTACTGCAAAATGATCAAAACATGAACAAGTCTTTTCTAACTTCTTAGCTCATTTGAAATCATGGAGACTGTAATATAATTAAGTGGAACAAAAACTCAAAAGTGACATTTTCTTTTGTCACTCATCTAAAAGCAATTTAAGAAATTTTGATTTTTTCCCGAGGTTGGTGTGTAGAATTATGCAAACATGGGAAAAGGGAAAATTGTAACAATGAGACAGATTACCATTTGTAGATCCTGAGTTCCTGCCGTGCCCTTAAAAAGATGAGGGCGTGCACGGACGTCGAAGGTAATAGGCCATTCAAGATAGGGAAAGGTAAAATGCGTTCCTTCTGCATAAACCTGCAGAAATCTATGTTCTGTAACATATGAATGAGAATTTAACTACTGAAAATGCCAATTTAAATCGGGTACCATTACGACACATTTTTATTTCATGGCAATGTGAAATAACTATTGCACTACATAGTAGTAACAACTGGTTCAGGAAAAGAGTTTCACCTCAAAAGCAAATTATAGGACGGTGGTGTATGGCTTTCTGCTCCAACCAATACACTCCTTGCTTATAAGATAATGGGTAATTAACATAGAGTTTTTAATGACATTCTGGTACATCAACTATTACTTGCAAAACAAATGCATGCTTTGAAGATTGATTAAAATCAAGCAAACTTTTATATTTATCAGACATTCTGAATTTGTGTTATATACATTCATGACAGTAGAAGAATGAAACCTTGAAAGTTCTACAAGTATGAAGCAGGGAAAAGAAATACACACACATGACAATCCACGCCAGCTTAGTAAACTAAAGTTCTGTAAGTATGTAATGGGAAGGGATCATATACACACAAGACAACGCATGTTGACATACAAGCACATTTCTGTAATGGAAAAGTCTAACAGGTCTTAGGGATATAATAACATAAAAACAAGTACAGAGAAAATGAGAAGTATAAATGTTTTACTTTCTGCTTTGTCCCAGTGATGCGATTGAATTTCAGGGCTCTATGGCCTTCATCGACATTGAAGTAAGTTTTCCTAATAGTTTGAACTACAGCAACAGCAATAGTGGCAATCTTGATCACGTCCCATTTTGGAAACAACCTCCCCTTGACTTTTTCAGCATCTGAGGACAGAAACTTATTGTTATTAGCCTATACCTTATTTGGCTTCAGAGGCAGAAGAAAATTATAATCTCATAAGATATCAATAACTAGTGTCAAACAAAATATCATGCATCCTTCTCTTTTTCACAATAGAGAAAGCAAGTGATAATGTTTTGCACCAGCAGAATAGATAATTAAGTACATAATCTAGTGCTAGATAAATAGTCATATAATCTCATTTCCAATTTAATCCAACATACTCAGCCACTGTTTGGTGTCCTTCAAGCCGATAGACTTGAAACGACATAGTATAACAGTAATATAGCCAATTTATGATTAACAGAGACCCTAGTTAAAAACACAGAATGTAGAGAAACGGTTCTAGAAGCAAATGTTCTCAACTTTTGTACATGAAAAGGTTCCACACATGGACTACAGAAGATACAGGAATTAGCACCATCAAGTTCAATATTTATTTTACACAATCATCAGTTTATCAGCATATCATCCATAAAACAAATCCACATAAATAATCATTTTATACCAATACCGTACATCAATCTATAATATAAAGGAACTACATCCTGTACGCTCCAAATTACGAAAAATCACAGCAAAAGAAGCGAACATCGCACGCGATAGATGTAAATGTTGGTAGGTGTAAGCACAAACATGTAGCTTAACAGAAAATTAAAGTTACCTAGAACCATGCTGCTGGAAGAAGAGAAATGAAGTACTAAGAGCTTCTGAAGATTCGAAGTCCCGCGCAATGACTGCGAGAAATGGCATCACACTGAACACGATGAGTATTTATAACAGAAAAACTGCAACTAAGCTCTGCTCCGGTGTTAACGGACTACTGAACCGAGAAACACGTAATACGAGCTTAGTCCTTAATTTCTGTAAAATTGCGTTTTCACCCCTTAATTAACTTTGAAGTCCAGTAATTCCCAAATTTGAATATATGTAACTGAATAATATAGATAGACTCATTGTATTGTTGAATTAATATATATATATATATATATATTACATTACATGTATGCATTTGATTCCAAGGGGCAGCACGCACATACATTATGCATATTAATTGCCTAAAAGCTTTCAACAAAAAGTAGTTGATATTCAATTATTTATATATTCATATCTTCACTTTCTAAAGCTTTTCTGACGCCTCTCCTGCAATATCTTCACTCCCATGTACCTTCCGAGCATCATTACGGTGGCCTGAGGATTAGTTCCGGGGGAGTGTTTAAAGGTGGAGCCGTCGATGACTCGGAGCGCGTCGACGCCGATGACTCTGTACTGAGAGTCGACCACTTTCTCGATCTGGCAACCGCCGTGGTAATGCCAGATTGTCATCACCGTGTCCTTGCAGAACTGCTCCAGCGAAGTCGACACATTCTCGTGCTTCGGCCGCAGGTTCACCGGAGCGTTGGCGGTTATCTGGAGGAGCACCGGAACCGGTAGGTAGTCGTATCGGAAGGTCGAGAAAGCCTTCGACTCGATTACCTTCTCGATCACTTCCATTCCTTCGACGCATCTCCGGAGGTCCTCTGGATCCTCGAAGTAATTGAACGTCACCGACGGATTTTCCGATGGATCCTTTGATTTCAGGCGCAGCTCGCCGGTGGAGACTGGCCCCAAGGTTTTCTCCAGGATGAATCCTCCACTTAACGCCGCCGGCTCCGCCGATTCTAGGATGTGTTTGCTTGCCTCGGTGGAAAATTTGGAGAAATCACCAACTGGAAGTCCGGCGGAGAAGAGTTCTCCGCTGGCGGCTTCGATGAAGCTTCCGTAGCGCGTAACTCCGACTACCTGAATCAACGAAACCTCCACCGGAGACGGCGACGGAACGAAGACGGCGTTCATTGGGTTGTCTGACATGCCCTGGCCCACAAACGGCTGATCCAAAACCACTGTTATGTTTTGGGCCTTGAGTTGGCCCATTGGGCCGATTCCACTTAACATAAGCAGTGTTGGGCTTCCGAGAGCCCCGGCTGATATAATTATCTCAGTTTTCGGCCCATGTTTTAAATACGCTTTGTGCCTTTTTCCTAATGCGTCTGTGAACACCACTCCGTACGCTAATGGCTTCTTTTTACCTGCTTCATTAAAAAAAAATATATATATATATAGAAGTAAATTTTAATAAAATTGAAATTTAAAATGTTCAAAAAAAAAAAAAAAAAAAAGAAAAACCTTTTCGTCGGAAGAGTATTTTTTGGACAGAGGCGTGCAATAGAACTTTAAGCTTCTTTTGATTGGCGTATTTCAGGAGATCCGCCGCCGTGTGCCGCCGCATGTCGCCGTCGAAAATGGTGCCGCCGACCTTAGTCCCCTGCAAATGATCGTACGTGAAGCCATTAAAAGGGTGAACGCCGACCTCCAACAGCCCATCCTTCACCGCCGACTGCCACTCCTTCATCGGCGGCTGGAACGCCACCATCCTCTCCACCCACCGGTAAGACTCGTTCACCAGCCCGCCGTCCCACCCGGCGGCGCCGACGTAGTGCGGCGGCGCGCGCGAGTAGAATCCGGCGTTGAGGCAGCTCCCGCCGCCGAGCACGCGCGCGCGTGCGCTGATGACGCCGTCCTCGGAGACGAACTGCTGCGCCGGCGACGACGGCGAGAGGTCGGCCAGCGCCTTCCCGAAGGCGGCGAGGTCGGTGATGTTGGCGTTGCCGTACGGTGAGCCGCCGCGCTCGAGGAGGAGGACGGAGGCCTTCTCTGAGAGGGTCGCCGCTAATGGGCAGCCGGCGGTGCCGCCGCCGACGATGATGTAGTCGTAGTGAGAGCGCGGCGGCGCTGACGTAGCGTCAAACATGAAGCTGCTGTAATTCGGATCTAAACAACAAAAGATTTATAATGTAATATAATCCTTAAAAAAATCACAACTTAATAAAATCAAATTACATTATAACAATGGAATTTAAATTACCTTTCAGGCGATCATCGTCAGATAATGAAGAGACAAATTGATCAAGGAAAATCAGAATGCCAACTACAACACCAAGTAATCTCCAAAAACCACCCACCATTGTTGTATCAATGAAATTGGGATCATCCAAGGGCAGTGATATGTAAACACTCCTGCACATATATATATATATATAGATATATGTGTATGTATGTTTGACAGCCAGGTGGAAGCATACACCATGAGACAAATGCCTTGCATGCATGAACACATCATCGTGTAATAAATACAATAAAATAAAGGCATCTTACTATCTGCCTGCGATCTAACTCACACCACTTAGAATTAAAAACCAGTCTTGGCTGGATCTGCGTTTCTGTTATGTATTTATGATTTCCATCGGCAGGAAGGAGGAGGAGGAGGAATTGGGCTGGGCCCAGAGGTTTTCTAGAAGCCCCATTCATACATAGCCCACACAAATTTATCAAGGAACAATGTATGTATGGAATTATAGAATTTAAATAGTAACAAATGATATTTGATTTAATATTTATAAATAAAAAAAATATTTAATGGAATATTTTACTATGGATAAATAATAATAATAAAATTTCTAAAACTATATATATATATAAATAAAATACGTCGAAATTGCAATATAATACTATAAAATATTTCTAGTATCAATACGTACACCTTATGTTGTAGTGATTAGGCCCATTGGGCCTTTGGACCAAAGGCCCACAACGATATTTATCAAGTGCTAGTTTTTCTTGTTTTTTTTACAACAATAATTTTGTATTCTATATTTTACACTGTCTTCAATCTTAGTCAACTTCACAATCTTGATTATATTTAATAATAAAGTATGTATATATATATTGCCCAACTCGTGCACTTTCCCGAATACATGCATCATGAATATATCTAGAAAAACGTCCACGTCATCAGTACACGGCATACAGCTGGCATGGCATGTCTCCCAATGACAACTTACAATATTTTTCTAGATAAACAATCATTAATTTAATTTTTAGTGGAATATGATTGGTCGACAGGAATCACACCAAAGTGGGGCGACGCAGCAGAACCGAACACGTCCAGCCACTAAATGTAGTCCACGTGGCACCAATCAGGCTTCATTGGATACACGGTATACTCCGGTTTATTTTTTGGCGACAATAATGAAACCATTTGCATGTTTAGCTTACAAAGAAATACTACCGTTTCATATACCGTGCCTCCTACACTGTAAATATTATATTTTAAAAGAAATATAATTAATAAATAATTAAAAATATATTAGTGAAAATAATTATCATATAATAAAAATAATTATACATTAAAATTAAGATAATTAATTAATTTAATTAAAATAAAAAAAAAAATTTAAAAATTTAAAATGAGATTAAAGTGTGTGACTGACAGAAACAGCGCGATATGGTAGGTGGACGGAGAGAGTAATAATAAATTCAGAATTACAAAATAAAATGATACATATGCTAAATATTGTATTTTTATTTTTTTTTGGAAATTAAAATCTTGCATTTACCAAATACAAATATAAAAACTAAAGTAGCACGAATCACACCCGGCGCACGACTTAATGATTTCAAAAATAAATTAGAAGTATAATGATTAAATAGTGTAATGCGTTATTGAATAATTAAGGAAAGGTCGTTGAAATTACAATCTTGTCCTTCGGAGGACAGTTTGAAAATACATTGAAGAAATCTCTTGGCAACTGTACGGTGGAGTTTGAAAATTGAAAAGAACAGCTGTTTCGGTTGTGGCTTCGGGATTTAAGCAACGGACCGCGTACTCGCTCGTCTCGTCGTCTTCAGCTTCTCTCCAGGTAACTAACTAATCGTCGCTTTTATGCGTAAATATCCGTGGCGTTGAAAAATGCAGGCTTAATTTTTGTTCCAAATCAGCGATTTTCAAATTTTGAGGTGGAAATGGACTTTTTTGTGATGGATTGATTTCTTCCGGAATTGAAGTACTGGATTTGTTCTTAATGAGAAAGCGATGGATTGTCTGGAAATTATTACCAACAATTAAAAGAAAAATGGTTTTTTAATGCGTTGTTTGGGGGCTCTACGTTTTTGTTTGATGAGAGGAAACATAGTTTGGCCTTTCTGTTTTCTGTCTTTTAGGTATATTCTCGAAGTACGTTGTCTAGATGGGTTGGTCTTAGGTTTTATACAAATTTAAAAACTTGCAAACATTTTAGTTTCTACAATCAAACCCTGAGAAGGAAGAGGGGAAGTTCAAAATTATTGAAGTGTTTTTCAGTGCAAGTTTACAGAGCTGTGGAATCTGAGATTTTGTTTTTCTTGTGTAATTAGGGCAAAAGATTGCCCCTTTAGTTTGCTGGGAGGGGCAGTAATTATCAAGAAGAGTTTAGTGATGAACTTGTTTCTCCAAGCTGGATAATATTTACCATCGTCATCGATTTGATCTTGTCCGGAGGTATTGGTGCAGTGATATGGAAATGATCTATGGGGATGAAGTGTGCAGAGCTTTGATACATACATGTATCTGTTTCAAGTCTTCAGACTTAAACAGCACAATCCTGGATTCAACTCAGACTGCTAATTTTAAAGAGAGGTATGTTCTTGGCGATCAGCTCGGTTGGGGAAGATTCGGCATCATTAGGGAGTGCTCGGATAAGCTGACCGGAGAGGTTTTGGCTTGCAAATCGATCTCCAAAGAGAGATTAGTTACAGAGGAGGACGTGCGAAGTGTGAAGCGCGAGATTGAGATACTGACGAAGCTATCGGGGCATGAAAACGTCGTGGATCTTAAGGCAGTGTACGAGGATGAAGATTACGTGCATCTTTTAATGGAGCTTTGCGCCGGCGGGGAGCTTTTTCATTGGATAGAGAAGCGCGGGAGATTGTCCGAGCAGGAGGCACATATTATCTTCAAACAGCTGATGGAGGTCATAATGTATTGTCATGATAAAGGCATTGTGCATAGAGATTTGAAGCCCGAGAACATACTCCTTGTGTCGAAGGCTTCGATTTCGCCTATCAAGCTGGCTGACTTCGGTCTTGCGACTCATGTCGAACCGGGTAAGGTTTATTTATATTTGGAGCTCATGTCGGGAAATGTTCGAATCCTAAGTACCCGTAATAACGAACTTGCAAAATGGATCTTGGTTGCTCAAGATCTTTGGACTCTACGAAACTGAGTGTTGTTCTTTGTTAACAGGACAGATGCTAAAGGGGACTGTGGGAAGTCCATTTTACATTGCTCCTGAAGTTTTGGCCGGAAACTACGATCAGGCGGCGGATGTTTGGAGCGCCGGAGTCATACTATATATCATGCTCAGCGGAATTCCTCCGTTCTGGGGGAAGACCAAATCGGCGATTTTTGATGCAGTTCGCGCGGCGAATCTGTGCTTCCACTCTGATCTTTGGAGTTGCATTTCAGAATCAGCCAAGGACTTGATTGCAGGAATGCTGTCTTTTGACCGTTCGAAACGACTAACGGCTACTCAAGTCTTGGGTAAGAACACGGGATATTCTCTGTAATGAATGCTTCAGAATTGTGTAGCGATAATCTTGGATCGTACTTTGCAGCTCATCCGTGGACGAGGGATACGGAACATAGTAGTCAAGAACCGTGCAGGCAGTACGATCTCCGGCATCCACAGCTGGATTTGATGGATGGCTGTTCCTTCTCTAACCTGATTGCTGCTCGAGGAGAGGACTTGAGTTTTCACGATGGATCGCCTCTTGCTGTGAATAGCAACCGAGAAAGTTCTCCTGTTTTCTCATGTACATCTTCGTTTTCATCTGCTGTAGCAAAGAGCGCGCCTTCCTCGGTGCCGGAATTCTCGTCTCCAATCCCTTCAATTCTAAGCTTCACATTTTTTAGCCCCATCCTATCACTTGAATCAAGTGGCAAATCCTTGAGTTTCGAGACCAAAATGTTGTCCATTGATGATGATGGAGGTATTCTTCTGTGCTCTGAAATGCCCCTTTGCAGAACTCATAGTTATGTATCCAATCTAGTTTCTCTACACATACAAGTACGTATTTTGATTCTTGATCGATGGGGGTTTCACTTCCATATGCAGATCCAGGTATAAGAAAGCTCATACTTACCCCCGAGCCTGGTCGCCCCATCGAGCACAAGTCGGATGACAGGGCAGAAGTTCATTCAAAAGCATCAGCAAGCGTTTCAAATGCCACGATGAGCTTGCAGAGCAAGAGGAACCTCACAATAGGGGTTGGCGAGCTCGACCATTTGGATGTCATAGCTACGGCTGCATCAGTTAGCCGTTGGGCATCCCTAACGCAGATTTCGAGCACAACCTCGCTGAGATCCTCCCTTGTCTGCTAAAGGATCAAAGTGAGAAGAATCCTTCTTTAAACATAAAAGAAAAATTAACCTTATTGTGTCACCACATAGAATGGCTGCCATTGTTTGAGTAACATAGGAAATGTTTGTGTACTAAAAAGGACCTGGACAGATTTATAATCTTGAAGAAGCGACCAAGCCTTGTCAATATAACTTTAATTCCCATCTAAATACATTCTTGATTTTTCCTGAATAACTTTCTTACTTCCTTTTTGTATACTCTTATAATGTAGCAATTAACCCGATATTAATTGACTGAGTACACTCCAACTATCAGCAATACTTAACACGACTAACCCATCTGAAAATAATAGAGACAGGTTATCGATCAAAGCTTACCATATAGTATTCCTTAAACATTGCAGAAGCTAATAGAGACTGATGACGGCACAGCAGTTTCCCCTATTGGAATAGGACACATCCTCTCATGACATCACCAGCTGAAAGCACATTTTTAAAACAAGATGAATAAGTTACTTTTGAACAAAATGTGCATATTTAGAACCAGCAAGCTCCAAAAGTGAGGAAGCAAATTATGTTCTCAAGCGATATTTTGCTCGCCATAAAAATACAGGGGCATCATGTGGATTTGATATCTGGGATTCCCACTTTTCATTTTTTAAGTTATGGTTCCTAGCATCTTAATATTTGGGAAGAAGTTGTTCCAGCGGAAGGAAAATCCCAAGGATGCATCCATGGAGCTCTTGGTCCAGGTGGACCAGATGTACAACAAAATGATTTACGGTGTATGCAGATGAATATCAGGCCGCAGGTGCATATTCCTGAATGATAGCAGCAAGTTTATCCCTGTCTTCTTCAGTCTTGGTTCTTATCAAGAATGTCCGAGCAACAACTGCATTACTGTCATCGCCATCACCCTTCAAAAACAATGTGAAACTGACTATCAGCAAGCATTTCAGATGGCCATAAAACAATGACCATTTCATTTGACCATCATAGTGATTGAGACATAACAATATGCAAGTGGCCTGATCCTAATAATAAAATCATCTGCCATATTAGCATGATTGCAGTTGGCATATTTCATAGGAGCTTTCAAGATGAGGACAAATTTTGAACAAGAGAGTTACTCAATAAAACTAATTATCCTATACAAGACATTTATATTTTGGAACAAAACTAAAACTCATCTTTCAATGGGACCAGCCAAAATCAAATGAAACCGGAGTTAGTCACTCAATACAATCAAGTTTGGATTCATCTGCCATAAGAGAATCCTAGTTATGAGACAACCCCAAATATATATATATGTATCTTTTTCAAATTTAAGATGCAGACAGATGCTACTCTGAGCCATCTTATGTTTTGTTTCAAGAACTTAGCAAAATCATCCTTCTTCTCTGTTTTTTGGTACTCCTAAATCAGATTTTCAGATACCATGGTTATGAAATATAAATTCAGAAATTGAAGAAGTAAATGTAACTTCAGAAACACACAATCACAAGATGGAGAAACAAAAATGAAATGATAGGTATCAAAAAAGCTGCAAAGCATTACCGAAGTATGAAATATTGCTACTACTGAATTCTTTTGCAAGTTTGTTTTGATGCCTGGATATAACAAAGCATTGAGGATCACTTTTCCCACCTGCAACAATTGAGGATAGGAAGGGAAATATATTATGAAATTGATATTGCAATATCAAGACAATATCAAGTAGATGATTATCAAGATATATAAGTATTTGGGAAAAAAAAAAAAGTTCCAAAGCAGAAAGAAAGTAACAACTATATTATAAGTAGAACAAAAAGACTCGTATTATCAGGAAATGAGATGTATAAATCTGCAGTAAATATTATACATTTTTAGTTTTTATTTTACAGTTGAATGTGTATCAAGTCAATAAATAGGTTCACATTAAACAACTTTGTATAAAGAGAGATAAACGACTCAAGATGTCAGAATAACAACATATATAAAATGAAAATTAGACCCAAAAAAAAAAGGTGACTATTTTCGGTTATAGAACCATTAGCAATAACATATAATAATACAGGTATCTCAAGAAAAAAACCCACATCATTGCGTATGATGATCGTCGGTTTAGATTCATTGGTTCCCTTGCTAACACCTTCCTTGCATTTGATACTAAGTTGACCCATGCCTTTATCTTTCCAAGCATCTTTGTCAGCAGGATCATTTGGCTGAAGACAAGGTAACAATGAACAAAATATTAAACAAAAAATACTTAAAAGGTAATAGAAATAGTTAATCAAATTCATCAATGATCAAACGTATCAATGACATACATACAGCAACCATCTTATAATCAATCATTACATTGTTGGAAATCAGGCATGTTAGCATCACATGACATATAAAGTGAAATTTCACAAGAGTAAGAAACTTCACAAGTGCAATTTTAATGAACAGTGAATGAAAGTCAACTAAGCATAAAAAGATTCCCATTGACTTAAACCACAACCAACATTATGGTTTCTAAAAGATTTTGGGTAATAGAAAAATATGAAAAACAATTGTGTATGAGTGTGTAAGAGAAGATTGGCATTTTTAAAATTGAATGTTTGGTGCAGAAGGATCTTGAAGAGCTGGAAACAAGACAAAGAACCCATAAAGTATCAAATTAATGAATAATCCTATGACCTATGCTTTAGCAAAGAAGTCAACCTATATTGTATGGATGGATTGAAAAGGCATGATTAATATCAAATTAGATGCATGCTCACCTTCACATAAAGTTTGCATTTAACCTCATGTACAGTAAGAATTCCTTTCTCTTCACTCTTTTTCACAGATGGGCTGCTTGGTTGTTCAATATCATCTTCTGCTTTCCAATACATTAACAAATAAAATGAATTACATTTTTGAAGAGATCACAATCAGAAAATCACGGATCATACACATCAACTGATGCATTATCAAGCATATTGGCATCATCAAGCCCTGGGTTTTTCTTAAAAAAATATAAAATAAAATGCATCAGGAAAAGTGACATAGGTGAGAGCATATTTTTATGTAGAATACAGGAGATTTCCATAGAATATATGCACACTATAAATGTATACATGTATATGATGCATGAAGTGATTGGAATTTTCCAGTAACAGAAACTGAAATGAATGCTTGCATGAAATATCCTGGACAAAAATGGAAATAATTCTTGGGCAAAGGATACAGAAATGGAATGATTATGATTATATAAAAGTTTTCGATGATTTATCAAGAACGGGTTACGTTATATCCCATTACAGGTTAGACTCCAGACGATACAAGTGTATCAATAAGACCAAATAAAGTATATTCCACCCACTTACCCCCTTCTGTCTCATTCGAAGCACCTAGATTTGTCACAGCTGAATTGGTACCGAAAGGTGCAGATGCCTGGCTTACTGAAAGAAAAGGAATAATTAGGATGAATTATATCCTGCATCAAACTTCCATGTCGAAAGATAGTCCACAGAAACAATCTGAAGAAGTAAATCCACTAATAGAGGATTGACAGAGAAGACTTTTATAGATAAACAAAAATCTTACTGAATCCCGTAGAGAAACAAGAAAAAGAGATAATCAAATGAAATGATACAAACTGAGATTAGAAACAATGCATCACAGTGCATCAGAAAGAATAAATCAGTAAATTCTTCAAATATAGCATTAAGTTCTGCTGAGCTCTTCAATTATATTTTTAACTTCCAATTGAGAGATATGTTAGGATTGTTTGTTTTTTTTTTCCCATTTTTAAGTGTAAACCAAAAATTAAGTCATGCATTTGGTAATCAAATTTGGAGAAAAAGATTTTTTATCAAAAGAATTAGACTCGGAATGCCATTTGTTGAGCTATTCTAAATTATAACAACAAAAAAGAAGAGGTCATTTAAACTTGGTCGTCTGCAGCTACATGTTTGTAGAGAATGTCCATTTACATCAAATAAGTGATATACATGAAGGAAAGTTGAGCACATAGAAAAGAGTAATTTTATTACAAAAATACCTCCAAATGTGAAAGGGGAACTATTATTAGAAAAAATTCCAGGACTCCATGATGTTCCAAAGCTTGTAGCTGTAGCAGCAGAAAATGCAGGTTTCTCGAAAAACAATTTGTCTTTGTTTTTCTCAAGTCCAAACGATGGTTTCATTAAACCATCATTAGAAGGAAGCTCGCCTAAACTTTCTCCTTTTGCAGCATTTGCTTTCAACCAGTTGACCACATCACTAAATTTCTCCTGCAATATTCAGCCAACCAAACAAATATTAAAAACTATCTATATCCACAATCAATCATCAACAGAAGAGTTGCTTACAACCAACCATGATGCTTTTAGCATGATTTAAGTAATCCTGCACTCCATCTTCCCATAGCTCATCCGGATGGTTTTGTAATTGGGTTTGTACCCAGCTGTCCAGTTAAGAGTTCTTAATGTTACACAATGAACAATTGCACATGATTAAATACTTACAGAAATAGGAACAATGTCAGAATGAATTTTTATTTTGAAATAACTCCAGATTTACTGAACCTCTGGCAAGTCTACAACTGAACATCAAAGAATTAAACCAAGCAAACCTAAGAAATTACATTCCATACCTCAAGAGAGCCAGAATAAAAGAATAGAAAGATACAACGAAATATGGCATTTGCGTGCTTTTAACTTTTGCCATTGACGTAATGCAGCAATCAGCAGCATTGCAAAAATAATTCAATTATGAACAGGGTGAAGCCAAGGGACAACAATACCGAAAAAATTTGATCAATAGAGAAAAACCAGGTACAAAAACATTGATCCCCATGCAAAAGCTCCACACATTTGTACTTACGTCACAAACTAGACCACATAATCCAATGAAAACAATCAAGTACTTCACGCTCTTAGGTTTATAGCTTACGCCAGCACAAATTAAGAACCAAATAAACCAACATCCAAGACTAACACGCGTCAATAGCATGCGAAGGCACCACAGAAGTTAGATGAAAGGCATAAGAACCTTGCAAACTGAGTATTGAGAGCTCTAACGTGCCGCCCTGATGATTGTGCCCTCTTCATGTCCAAAGACGGCTGCGCAACCGACGGTTCTGCCTTTTCCGCACTAAACAAAGATCCACCCGTTACTCTCTTGCTCTGCATCTGAACCATAAAAAAAATCAAACTACACATTAACACGCAGCTCAAAAGATAAAGAAAACATCAATTGAGTAAGAATAAAATGCAGAAACCACACTTACGAAGGAGTCGTTGGAACTGAAAACAGGAGCAGAGTCGGAGGTTGCCATACGCTTCGTCCCTCTCATGATTGCTAATGTTTATCTAACTTCACCGCTGCTTCCGATCGTCCTCAGTCTGAATTTCTAGGCTTAGGGTTTCCGGATGGCCGACGATGAAGGCGAACAATTTATTTTCTTTTCTATTTATTTTATTCGAATTAAATTTTATTTCCACCGCAATCCTCTGCGCAGCACAACTCTTTAAAATCGAAAACTACCCGTTTGATTACGCGACTGAAGCGAAACGACGTCGTTGGAAGAGAATATTCTACACGTGCCGCCCACGTGCTTACCGCTGCAAGCCGTTATATTATGTACCCACTTTGGGAGCTGGGCTTTATAAGAGTCATAGCCCAGTAACAGGTGGACTTTTCTCGCTAAGGACTTGTTTGGATGTGTCATTTTCAAAATATGAAGAAATCAATTACATGGATTAGACACTGCCCTGCCTACATCTTATTCCAATTCCTTGAGTGAGCCATTGCAGAAATTCAAAAAGAACATACAAATGAATTCTATATATTCATTCTAGCCAAAGCTTTTTTCGATTTAGACTAAAGGGTTCTTCTCTTCATCTTCTTCCCGGTCTCCATTTTGCTTCATTATGTGTTCTTCTGTCCGTCGAAACCTCATCGGTGTAGGCGTGCTGCTGCTCGTGCTCGGGTTCCCTGCAACTGCTCGAGCCGGTGGTTTACTATCGAGCACGAGCTTTAAAATGATTCCCATGGCTATGAGCAGCAGTCCCGACCCGTGTTGCTCTGTTAGCGGCTTCGTAAAAATTATATACGACAGCAGCAAAGTCACCGCCTTTCTCGCTGTCGTCACCTGCAAATAAATTCACATGAAACTTAGACTCGGCCTTTTTTATCCCACCGAATTTTGTAGCAGAGTAGAAATTTCAGTACCATGGCAGTCGTGGCTGCACCGAACAGGGCAATAAGTGACAAAACAGAGACTTGGCCGACGAATGTAGCCATTGCTTCAAAGACCAGCACGCCGTAGACATAAGGATGCTGCAGTTTTGTAAACAAGATATATAACAATTCCACGATTTCGAATAAGTGGTACCATATACATAATTACAGATTTTGTTGCATTATCATAACAAGTCCAAATTCAATGCAAAACTTTATGACATTTGGTGTGTAATCTAAGATAAGTACCATGTGAGGTCGTCGCGATATACAGCACAGAGAACAGGATGTTTCTTGCTATGTAGACAACTCATGATACGGCGAAGGACCGGTAATTTGTCTTATTTTTTTCAGCAAGAATTTAGGGGGTGCCCATAAAATATATGTCTTCCAACTTACACTAACTAAAGCTTTTTTCCATATGCTCACATGAGGGACCAATCCCAAGAATTTATTTTTAAATAAAAGTAGGCGAAAGCGAACAAAATACTCACCTCGGCGCAAGAATTCCAAGCGGTGAATAACTCCCCCGTCAAGATCATGGGCAACAACAGCATTGGCAAACCAACCACAGTCGAACAAAACAGCATCTCCGTCTAAACGAATCAAATCCACATCAACATCATCGCCCTAAATTACTAAACAAGGAAATGAACATTAATTCAGTACCGTACCTGAGTTGTCTCCGGATTCGTAGTAAAGATCGCTTCTTGAAAGTTGCCGACAAAAGAATCCATGAAGAGGGCTCCCACAATCATCACAATCCCGACGACACTAAAATTCGGAGAAGAATTGGCATCTGCCAAGGTGAAAAGAATCAAGCCCACAACCAAGAGCAATGCAGATATGTACTCGTGCAAAGGGTATTTTCTCCTCAAACCAGGGATGAACGCGCCCATCACCATAACCGGCAGAACCTGGATTCCAAACAATTGAATTCAAGAAATGATCACTTGCAATAAAACTAAACCACTAAACAGAAAAAAAAAAATGGCTATGTTTCAAGAAACTGTATACCTTGGTGGACTTAAACATGATCTGCGCCGGATAATTCAGATAAGCCAATGATCCCTTGGTTAGTCCGTGGGAACCCATAAGGACCGCCGAGAGCCTGCCGTAAGTCTTCCAAGGGTTCACCATTTGTTTGATGGTGAAGCCCTGTAAATAGATTAAGGCCAGGTAAACAAAGCCTTGTACAAAGGTAAAATACCAGCCATAGCTGCAAGACATGTGAAATTTTCTTGAAGTCAACAAGATTTGAGCTGGAAATAGCTTTCCTTTTTTATTCAAACAATCAAGAACATGACGAAGCTAACTCAAATTGGTGGGGACGTGGGGTATGGACATACCTGAAATTAAGCCGATTATATACATACTCCTGTGGAGAAAAATTAATAAATTTCACAATTAGTCAACTCTGGAAATTCATTATTCACATTTACAAGAATTCAGAGGGCATGAGCAAGATCTCCCACCTAATTCAGAAATCTCACTATCAATGACACAGTAAACAATCAAGGAAAAATAAATTGCAAGATTTGGTAAACCAAAGTATGCAATCAAGAAAATTAGAGCTTTGCAGAAACAGGAAACATATGGAATCGAAATTCAGAAGACCATAAATTTCAAGATTGGCTAATATGAAACTTCCTTTCGCAGAGGCCAAAATGTAACTGTCTACATATGTATATGTGTGTATCTATGTATTAAATAACAAACAAGAAATGAATGATTTCGTTTGAATGAAAGCAAAAGTGAAAGCAGGACAAGAAAATCCAGAAATAAATAAATAAAATACCTCACAAATTCCATTGACAAGATAGCCAAAGAAGAACCCAGAAGAACAAATCAAGAACTGCTGCCAAGTGGGTCTATCAGTCAGAGATATTCCCAGGAGAGACCTGGCTTGATCTTCCTTCTTCATCCCTGAAATTCTTCGTCTCCCAAAAACAAAAAAACTGAAAACCCAAAACTAGTCCCCAAAAACAAGAACACAAAAAAAAAAAACTAGACCCAAAAAAAGAACAAACGTCTCCCCTTTAGCAGTGCATGGTTTCGCTTTACCACCAGATGAAATGGAAAGGGCTGAAAGAGGAAGAAATCCTTTTTATATGTCGGAAAACAAAAGGGCTTTTTTTTTGTGAGCAAGAAAAGTATCAAAACATGACCGGCAGCCTCCCCTCTGTACAAGATTGTTTTCCAATAAAATCCCACAGCCACGAAGATACATACATATATATACGTCTCTCTCTCTCTCTCTCTCTCTCTCTCTCTCTCTCTCTCTCAGTGCGTGTCGCTCTCTGATGAAAGTCACTGTGTGATTGATTAATGCAGGGGACAGAGGAAAGGAATGAGAATTGAAGGGGAAAATTGGGAGTTTGGGTTTGGCAGAATGCGCACACCCCAAACACTAATCTTAGAGTTTAAGTCAAATGCGAGATGATGGTGGTGTACGAATGAGAATACGATTACAATTATTTTTTAGATAAATAATAGTAATGGTATTTTTCAAATAAATAAATGTGCAATTAATAGGTGCCATTACCACAAATCTGCACTTCTGCAGGCCAAATTCTTCCTCTTAAATTGAAGATTCAATATATAATTGACAATTAGGCAGCTACCTTTTAAAAAACTATATTAGTGATTGAGACTGGGGGAATTTTCTATATTATTTGGACTGATTAAGGGTAAGTAAGCCCTAGTTTTCCAAATTTTAGAAATTTATTTCCAACAGATTGAATTAGTTTTTGAAGGATAATAATAATAATAATAATAATAATAATTCCAATATGAACAAGGTTAGCGTGTTGGAAGGAGTCGTTTGCCAACACTAAAAAAGTGATAGGGAAAATATTACTTCCAACTAATTAATTGCAGTACTTTTATATTGGATCATATGGCAAACAAATACAATGGCCCAATTGTAGAGTTTTTATTTTTAATTTTTAGAAGTTTTTTAGGTGGTCTCTTTAAATAAAACAGAAGAGATCGGGCATCAATACTGAACAGTTAAAAATTTATCAGCTTAATTTTTATTATTAAATTATATAATTAATATAATTATATGTAACTAGTTGTTAAACATTAGCATCGGGTTAAATATTTTTATTCAGCACCGGATCCAGACGTGATCCAGACTTTAAATAAAATTCACAATAGAGATGTTAATAGAAATCAAATTTTCGACTCCAAAATAACAGTGTCTTATATTTTCTTTTCAATTTTTAATATTTTGTACACCATCTTGCAACAAAATATAGGGTCTGTTTGTTATGATGAGTTTGAAAAAAAAAATAGTTTGAATTTAGTATGAAAATAATATTTATTAAATATTTTGTAAGAAAAAAAAAATTTCAGGAAATACAAAATCCAAATAGTAAAATTCGGATAAAATCAGCTAAAGAAACATACCCTACGTGTTATGTTGCATAGCAATTTTTTTTTTTTTTCTTTTTAAAACATAAGAATCCGCTACAGGAATTGCCCACCGGCTAAAACAAGATACCATCGCAAATTCAACCCCTCACGCGCGACTGAAAAAAGAAAACATTACAGTATACGTGGTAAAAAGTACTTATTTTTCGCCGAAAAATGATGAGTCGTCAGTCATCTATACGTATATAAATAAAAGTATCATAAATTAATAATCAGAAACTCCAAAGTTGCACTTCGGCGTCGCTTTCTTCATCATCCCAACTGAACTTCCAACCTACACACGGCGGCGGCGACAGCAGCGCCGCCTCCGCCAGTGCCCCAACACCAAAATCTCCGTACAAACTTCCATCGTACATTTCCTGCGATTCCGAATTCTCTGCCTCCGCCGCCTCTCGACCCTCACAAGCTTCCTCCCCAGCTCCCGGACCAAACGCCTTCGCCGCCTCCACCGCCGCCTTCCGGAGGTCCTTGGCCTCCGTGGAGGCCGGGACCGGCAGCCGCCACATTGAGTCCGCGAAATTCAAGCAGGCCATCTGCCCCCTGAGCGCCAACGCCGCCACGTCGTGCGCACGCGCCGCCATCTCCGGGGTAGGGTAGGTCCCCAGCCAGACCCTCTTCTGCTTGGTGGGCTCCCGGAGCTCGCACACCCACTTGTTGGCGTCCCTCCGCCGCACGCCGCGGTACACCGGGTGGCGAGTCTCCTTGAACTTCTTCCTCCCCGCGCGTTTCTTCGGCCGACTTTCAGCCAACATCACCTGCTCCTCCGCCGCCGCGACACCGCCGGACGTTCCCGGAAAATCGAAATTTGAAAGTGCGTTGTAATCCATAGATATGTATAATTGATCAGCCAATTCCAGTAGTCTTGGATGGTCCAATGCCGGCGGGATCCATGATCGGCGACGGTTATATATATATATATATAATAATTTGGGAGGACTGTGGGGATCGATCCACGGCGGTTTAGAGAGAGAGAGTGTGAATGCGAAGTCTACAACTATGCGCACACGGAATGGCTGAAAGAGCCGATGAGCAATGGGCCCATGTCATAACAAAACGTGCTGTCTTTTCTGACGTGGCAATGTTTGACCCGTTTGACTGGATTTTATGGGAACAGATAAGACCCTCAAAAAGAACATATTATTATTATTTTGATCGAATGTTCTTACCCCCTCCTATAACAGTACTTTTTCCATTTTTATTTGTTTTATGACAATTGATAATAATAAAATTTATTAAATTAAAATATAATTAATAAATATAAATTAATTTAATTAACTATATAACATATAAAATAATATTTATTAAAAAAAATTATTACTACTTTCCTATGAACTAAATATTTTTATGTATATTATAAAACTTCATATCTTTTATAAAATTAATATATGAAATTATAAATAAATAAAATTATTTCTAAAATATTTAAATTTGTTCTAATCTTTTAACTATATATTAAATTTATTTTAAACTACTAATATTATTAATTATAAAAAATATTATAATAAAATAATATTCTAAGTCGAAATCTTCAAAGTCTCGACTTTAATTTAAATAATACTCGTTCTATCTCAACTATCATGTCAAAAAGAATATAATATTAATAATAAAAAATATATAATAAAAATAATTTTAAATTAAAATTAAAATTACTAATTAATCTAATTAAAATTTTAAAATAATAAATATATAATTCTTTTCCAAATAAAACTGAAAGAGTAAGTAAATTATTGTATAAGAAATAATATATGTGTATATATTTAATGCTGTACAAATATTGGAATTGAAACATAAACAAATTTATAAGTAAACATAAATACGGTGATAGAATATATATATATATATAAAACATAGCCACACTCTTTTGAAAAGAAAATGTCAATTTAAAAATGTATTTTGCATATTATTTATATGTAAATGTAAATATATTATATTAAAAATATTACATTAATATTTATTTAATTAAGGGTATAATATTTTATTTTGTACTACTCTCAATCAAAGATAATTCAAACCTGTTTATAGCCTCTTCCTCTAGTCATGTTTGGTACGGACATCAATTTGCTAGATCACGGCCCATTGTAAAATTGGGCCGGCCCAATATATAACTAAAATGATAATCAAGAGATATTCCCTTTTAAGGACAATTGTGAATATCTATTATTGGGAAGAATTATAATTAAAATTGCTTTTGGAAAAGCCAAATGGGTGAACAAATATGAAACATTCGTCCAATGTAATTATGGCCCACAACATGTATTGTAATAAAAAAAATGTAACGCATTATTTCCATATTTAATTACCACTTGATCAATTTGCCTAGGCTTAAATGGTTCTCCTTCAAAATTAATTTTTATTAAAAAATAGAATGTGAAAAACTAAACTGTAAAAAGTAGAAATTAAAATAAAGTAAACAGGGCAGGGCAGGGCCATGGAATGAATTGGTGAGGTACCTAGTGACATCAACTAAACCTTAAAATTGCATTCACTATTGAAAGAGTCGTCTGTTAATTGCAAGAAAAACGAAATTGATACAAATGTCGAGATTTGATGAATTAAGACCTAAATTGGGACATAATAATTGAAGTTGAAACTAATTGGGGGACATATTTTTAGTGGGCCATTAATGCTTCTCGTGACGACACTTGTTGATAATATGTAAAATTTTATAATCACAAAAGTTAAGGTTGTACAATCATTGGATATCCATATGTCTTAATTATGTATATATTTTCTCCCACTCCCAAAATACTCCCAATTAAGTTAGGTTTAATTTAATCCAAGAATCATATACACTACATCATCTATTTAGTGATTTGGTATATACATTAGTCCATAGTTGGTCAAGAATATAACCAAATTATTCCTATTCCCAAAAAGGCAAGACACATTATTATATGTGTAGCCAAGATGGTGTCATTTTCTTATGGGCTTCCACAAAAGGAATATTAGAAATAAAAAAAAATAAAAAAATAAAACTAAAATAAATAAAGGGCTATGGTCCATTATGTGGGCAGTTACTATTTTATTCAAATTATGTATACGATACCAACCACTGTTTCAATATTATTGTATTAATCATTTTCGTCCACAAATAAGGTATATATTTTCAAAAACATAAATACAATAATACAGTCCTCATCAGTAATTTCAAAAGTAAAAATATTTAACAAAATATATTCTCATACTTAATCTAAACTCAAATATTGTCACCCTGAACGTTGTACAATGTTTTTATTTTATTACCTAATAATTAATATATTCAAACATAAGGATACAATCATCTTATATTAACTGTTACACATTCCCCCCCTCCCCCCCCCCCCCCCCCCTTTTTTTCCCTTAATCTTCAAGAAATTTTATGGTTATTTTTGTTGTGACAACATTTTTCATGAATATTTACAGAATTTTGGATGTAATATTATGTGAGAAAGAATGATATAACTTAAATTTGGTTTTTTTTTTAAAAAAATAATAATAATAAATAAATAAATAAGAGGCAACTTTCATATATATATATATATATTCATTTTTCTATATGTATATGTCTAGAGAGAGAGAGAGAGAGAGGACAGAGACAGTCCACCAAGAAGAAGAAGATGGATGTAGGTGTGTTTTTTTGTTTCAAGTGTAGAGAAAGAATTAAGGATTAATTTTGTGTGTGTCGGCCATATGAATGTGTGCTCAAATAGTCAAACGTTCTAACTGCTCTTCATCATACAAACATATCTAATAACAAAATTTCGGCTCCAACTTTAACTAGCCATATTTTTGCAAAAGTACTTTACACAATAAAATATATTATTTGGTGTGTTCATTTAATAACAAAATTTACACATATTTCTTTGATTTTATAAAATATATGTTGAGGTGCAAATCCAAGTCCCACGTTGGAAGTTGTGAAGAAAATTACACACTCTTTATAAGTCTCAAGTTAACTTCACTACTATCAGACCTTTTGGAGAATATTCAAAAACAAATTCACGGGTGACACAAATTACAAACCACATAACCAAATCCAAGCCAAAAAACACCCTTTTATGTATTTATAATTATCTATTGATTTTTCAAAGATTTAATATTTATCTTTATTTAAAATATTTTATAATCAACATATTTTTATTCAAAATATTATTAATGTAAACATGTATTTTTCATATAATTTTTTATTATCTTCAAAATCCATTATATAAGCTTTCTTCTTCTGGCTGTTCTTCCTCACCTTCCATTTATGCATGAGACAACCACTATTCAATATATTCTTGCATTACTGCTCCAACCAAACAATATATATATATATATTGAAAATAAATTAATATGTAATATGTGAATTATCGTTATGTAGCATTTGTGTATGAAATATTATGATGTGTTTTATTCTCACAGTTTTATTAAATACTAATTAGTCTTAATTAAATAAATGTTTTAGGACTAATCAATGTGCCTTCATTTCAACCTTACATATAGACACACTAAATTTTTAGTCTATTAGATTTTTTCTTTTACACTATTTTCCTAAACTGTTTAATTAATAGATAATTTTGATATAAATTAATTAAAAACGTGATACCCATCACTATAGTTACTACACTGAAATAGGCGAAGTGGAGCAAACGTGGTTGCATAGTTGGTAAATACGATTTCATTAAACCTAAACATCGAGACCTAATTTGAAATTTATAGATATGTAATAAAAGGTGAAAATTAATTAATTAAAAAGGTCGAAAAATGTAAAAATAAAATATAAATAAATAAATAAAATGCGGAGTTGATGATAATGAGTAGTAATTATTAGTGTATATGGTTTTAGTTTATTGCTTCATATAAAAGCAACTCCGAGAACGATTCGGTTTGACTAGAAAATTTCGGACACGACTTTTTCTTATCATTAATATCAATTCAACCTTTTTGTCCCCTCCCTTCTCCTTCCCTATTCTAATTTCTTCTTCAAACCCTTAGCTTCTCCATTGTTCTGTAAGTTTCACCAAGATTCAATATTCATCCAAAATTAGATGCAGCTGGTGAAAGAAGATGATGAAAGATCTAATTTCATGCAGCATCGATATTTATTCCTTTATTGTGAATTTTAATGCAATCGATCAAGTGGAAGAAATTTTCTGATCAGAAACCCTAGCTATGGAATCGTACCAAAATTAGGACAATGCCCTGATGATCGATAGAATTGAAAAACAATTTCTTTGATGTAATACGTTTTTTTGGAGCACTGAAATGAATTTGTAATGTCTGATCTAGCAAAAGAATATGTTGGGATGAAATTAAATTAAAATTTCTCACTCTATCTCTCTTTCTCTCTCTGCCAATTCTTAAATGATAATAAATTTGAATTGAAGGCACTGATATTTCAAAAGTAGCTCCATAGGTTTTCGGGATCGGAATTTTCCGGCGAGTTCCCCGACGGCGTCGCCGCCATTCTCGGTGGGCTGACGAGCATTCCCTCCGCCATATCCATCAGCAAATTGGGCATATCAAACAATGCCTCCACGTCGATGAACTCATGGCTGCTTCCGGTCAAAGCTTCTGCGCCGGCCGGAGATTCGGGCTTTTCCGGTAATTGAACAGCGGCGCCGGCCTCATCGCTACCGTCGGGCTTCATCGACGCCGCCGCGGTGGCGGCCGCTTTGCGGATGTCCGTGGGCGACGGAGAAGCCGGCACTGCATAGTTGTTAATCCGATCGGGGAAATTTAGAGTGGCGTCGCTGCCTTTGAGGGCCAGCGCCGCCACGTCGTAGGCGGCGGCGGCCATCTCCGGCGAGGTGTAGGTGCCGAGCCAAATTCGTGTGGTCTTCTTCGGCTCGCGGATCTCCGACACCCATTTCCCGCTGCGGCTCCTTATCCCACGGTAAACGGGGTGCTTTCCGCCGCCACCAGGGCGGCTCGACGATGACGACGACGAGACAGCCGATGACGTGGCACTCACGGCGGCTCCGGCGGCGGCGGTTGTCTTGACCTTCTTCGGCGACGGCAATGTTTCCGTGCTAATACTTGGCTGCAAGTGCGACGGCTGATCCGTCAGTTGGTGCACATGAATTGTATGTTTCAAAGACGGCCTCGGAATGGGCGGCGGCGGCGGCGGTGCCGGAGGAGGCCGCGGCTGCGGATTTGTTGGGTGCGGCGGCGGTTGTGGTGGAGAGGGGTTTAGGGTTGAGTGAGATTGAGAAGGTGGAGAATTGGTATTCTGACTCATGTTAGAATGGGTTAGAGAGTCGGCCATGGATATTTATAATATATATCTTACATGACATGATCATATACATTATTAATACATATTATATATATATATATATAAGGTAATTAAAATTAAACGGGGAAAGCCGTGGGGAAATCGTGGGTAAAATTGGAATTGAAGCTGTACTTGTAGTAATGTATGAAAAAAGGTAGCAAAACCAAACACGTTATATATGTAGTTAAGGTCTTCACTGGAATTCGAACAACTGAAAACCGCAGGAGCTGAGGTGAAGGTCCACTTTATTATTACATACACGTTTATTTATTTTATTTATACATAGAGAAGCAGCAGCAATTAAGCAAATTTATGTAAGAAAAAAAAAAGAAGCATTAAATGGGTTTGTAGAGAGAGTTTAATTGGAGTTAGTTCCAGCTAGTGATTGTACTAGTACACTACAACCTAGCTAGCTAATGCAATACATATATATATATATATATATGATTTTATGTGCAGTGGGAGTGGGTCATTTTCTGAGAACATAACATTTATTGAAAATTGACACTACATGCATATCTCATATATATATCTATTTCTATCATCTCATTCCATATATTGAAATTGCCTACTTGTTTGTTCTTCAATTAATGCACGTAGCCATGTATGCGCCGTGTACACGTCATATTTATTTTATTTATTTATTTATTTATTTTTGTGTGAGCAAGTAGCTGGCTCGCTCCACTGAGAAGAGGTATTGAATATTGATCACAGTGATTTTGCAGTCAGCCAGCCACTCTATACTAATTCGCTCTTTTTTTCTTTTCTTTTTTTTCCTTATTAAACTGTCTGAATTATCATTATTTTTATTATTATTATTATTTTTAATCACATGAGAATTGTGTTGCAAGTGACTCGAAAGATTTATCAACGCGGAACCAGTCTCATCATAAGTTCAACCTTTACACCACCGGAGCTAACAGTAATAGGATTTTATTTTTAATTAATTAATATATCTGTCAATGCAACTCATCTAAACTGAAGTCAAGATATATATCGTCCAATCATTTATGTTATTTTGCTCACCAATATCCTCAATTAATTAATTTTTCTAATTTTGTTTGAAATTCCCAACAACATTTGAACGTGGGTTGAATGAACTTCAACATATCAAGTCCAACATTGTTTGCCTAATTCCCCCTCTCTCTCTCTCTCTCTCTCTCTCTCTCTCTCTCTATATATATATATATATATGTATGTATAGATACCTAATTAACTAGGGTTTAGGGTTTAATTATTTTCATGGATTCTCTAATTAAAGCATAGCTCCAAATTAATTAATCAAATCACTCAAAACTATAAGTGTTATTACACATATCATAATTAAAAGTACATATATATATATATATATATAGGATACCAAATCCACCAATAAAAATGTAGCAAAAAAAGTAAACCCTATAAGAATGTTGCAAGTATATCAATTAGAAATGAGATAATAAAATAGAGGAGGATGATCTCTGTAAATGATCTTTAATGATACACAGAGATCAACTCGCACATGTGGAAACAGTAACCATTTAATATAATAAATTTAAATATAAAAACATATATATAATAAATTATTATTATTATTATTACTTAAGTATATATTTCTTGGCTAGTGGTGGAAGATCATATTGAAATTTATTAATTGAATGGATCATATATAACCAGCAAGGTATGCTTTTGTTTAAAGACATATCTATTCATTTGGTTTCCTCTACTTGGAATTTAATTACATTACCATTTGAATTTAACCTAAATATATATATATATATATATATGTACGCAAGTGATCTATGTATAGAATTTGTTTTCCTGCTTATAAATAGAAACATTGTCCTTATTATATACTACATCAGTTCCAATACAATAAACTTGTTTACCATTTTTGTTCGTTTCAAAACAATAGTTTTATTTTCATAAATGATCATATCACCGTAAAACTACCTCTACTTTTTTTCATTTTTATTACACAATTGCCACTATTTTTTTACACTAATACACTCATAAGGGCAAAAAAGTATTTTACCCATACTTTTTACCAACTACCAATATAATATCAATATTTCTTAAATTTCATGTCCAATCCAATTAACACTATATTTATCTGACGGAGGGAGTATTTATTTATATATATTCTTCCTTCATCCGCCAAATTTATTCTCACTTTCCTTTTTAGTCCGTCCGCTAAATTTATCACATTACTACTTTTGACAAAGTCAATAAATCAACATTTAATTATTACCCTTCATTCAACACTTATTTACAACAAATACCACTAACTTTATTACCTTCTCTCTTCATTTATTTTCATTTCTAACTAAATTTTCAAAAATATCCCTAACTACATATCACTTTTTCAATAAAATATTCATTTTTCTTAAACCCCGCGCCAGACCCAAATGGGCTATTTTAAGTGGACAGAGAGAATATATATTTTTTCATAACATGGGAATTCATGGCTTGAGTAAACCGTAGATCCGATAAAACAAGTTATATTGGCAAATCATATCTGACAAGTAAAACTTGGAAACGTAAAGGACCGGTTAGCAAGTAGAAAGGCAAGGGTAGAAAGCAGAAAATGAAGTCCTAGATAGAGAAATCAAAAGTGACCCTAGTTTACGGTCAGATGAATGAACCGCCGGGAGCTCGTATGAGAGTTGGTTTGACTGCCCTAATTATGGCGGAATATTTTCTGAGATGTTAATGAACAAGACGTACTACTATATATCGACAATATCTTCCGTTTCGTCCAAGCAGGATCCGAAGTATCGGTCTTATTGGATAAAACTTGAAAATATTGAAGTTTGAATCTATTATCTCACCGTATGAGAAAATGATATTTTGGGCTTCCAAGCCCAATTGATAGTGTTCTTGTGGCTGTAGTAAGCTTGTACCTCAAATTTCACCTCTACTTAGCCCAAAATGGAGTCTTGTATTATTATTATTATTAAAATTTGTAACGTTTAAAATAATCTTGTCTGGAATAATTTGTTTTGAAAGATAGGCAGCTCCTATGGCGAAACCAACTCCAACCCATTTTCTGTACATTGTTTTCAATTGATATTTCTTTCATTGTAAAAAAATAAATAAAATGCCAAAATTGTTAATAAAGTCGTCAAATAAATTTTTTATATTATTGTTATAGGCCTTGGTTTTCTATAATTAAATAAGAATGATTCATTGCCCATTTCACAAAGAACAACAATCTTAACTGCTCATAAAGTCATAATACTGTTAGCTATTAATGGCATTGCCAACATTACCATATCTCTTTCTTGGAATGCTCAAACCCAATATTATTAATTTCTTCATTTCAAACTATATATATTCTCAAGATATTTTTGTAACTAAAAAAATAAAAATAAAAATTGATAGATGATCTTGGAACAACACCAATTAATTCGTAAAGATGTGAAAGAATGATTCAAACCCTATTCATTGTTCAGTCAAACAAGGTTAATTACTTTCGATAATCAATGAGAAAAAAGAAAAAGAAAAAGAAAAGACCACCTCCTTTTACATTAAATTAAAATTAAATATCATATTTACATGCTAAAAACTGTTACATAAAACACCAAAAAACCATTCAAGATTCTTACTTACATCTATATATACATCATATATATATATATATATGTAGTAAGAATCCATGCATCATCCCATTTTCAAGATTCATATTACATACTCAAAAAAACGGAATTGCTAGCTACAATGTTCATCCCTTTACTGTCGAAACCTCAAACATGGCAAGAAAATGATGAAACCACCAAGAAATCCACCCTGTTCTTAGCCTTGAATGAGCTCAACTCCATAGCCAACATCGGCCTCCCCATGATCCTCACCGGCCTCGTCCTCTACGCCCGATCGATGATCTCCATGTTATTCCTAGGCCGCCTCGGCAATGACCTCACCCTCGCCGGAGGCACTCTGGCCCTCGGATTCGCCAACATCACCGGATACTCCATCCTCTCCGGCTTCGCCATGGGAATGGAGCCGATATGCGGCCAAGCTTTTGGCGCACAAAGATTCAAACTTGTCGGCGTAACCTTACAAAGGACCATCCTCTTGTTGCTTCTGGCGTCGATCCCGATTGCATTTCTATGGATGAGCATGAAGGGGATCTTGATCCTCTGTGGCCACGATCGCGGGATAGCGACCGAGGCCGAGTGGTACATCCTTTTCTCGATTCCCGATCTCATATCGCAGTCGTTTCTTCATCCTTTGAGGATATACCTCAGGGCTCAATCGGTGACGCTGCCGTTGACGTGCTGCGCGAGCTTGGCCGTGCTTCTACACATCCCTATAAACTACTATCTCGTCGTGGCCCTCAATCTTGGGATCAAAGGGGTTGCGTTGGCCGGGGTGTGGACTAACGCGAACCTCGTCGCGTTCTTGATCGCATACATTGTGTCGTCGGGAATTTACGAGAAAACGTGGGGCGGATTGTCGTACGAGTGCTTCCAAGGATGGGGGCCTCTCATGCGGCTCGCGATTCCGAGCTGCATTAGCGTTTGCTTGGAGTGGTGGTGGTACGAGATCATGATCTTGTTATGTGGGGTGTTGATAAATCCTCGCGCGACAATTGCTTCGATGGGGATCTTGATCCAAACAACGTCACTCATCTACATTTTCCCGTCGTCTTTGAGCTTCGGAGTGTCGACGAGGGTCGGGAATGAGTTGGGCGCCAATAGGCCTAATCGAGCAAAAGTGTCGGCCGTAGTTGGATTGTGCATCAGCTTTGTGATGGGATTTTCGGCGCTTTTGTTTGCATTGAGTGTGAGGAACAAATGGGGTGGTTTGTTCACTAAGGATGAAGAGATCATGGCATTAACGTCGTCGGTATTGCCGGTGATCGGGCTGTGCGAGCTCGGGAACTGCCCGCAGACGACGGGATGCGGGGTTTTGAGGGGATCAGCAAGGCCTAAGATGGGGGCTAATATAAACTTGGGGTGCTTTTATATTGTGGGGATGCCTGTGGCAGTTATGGTGAGTTTGTACTTAGGGTATGATTTTAAGGGGCTGTGGATGGGATTATTGGCTGCTGAGGGGTGTTGTGCAGTGGCAATGTTGTTTGTGTTGGTTAGGACAGATTGGGAATTTGAGGCTTTGAAGGCAAAGGACTTGACAAGTTTTACTACTAGTGAACAACAAGATCAAGATCAAGATCAATATCAAGATGATTCTTTTGAGTACATAGGGATGGATCATCATCATTTATTGCCCTGATTTTTATATATGTATATTTTTTTAATTTTATGTATTTTTTGGTGTAAAGGGATGGTGGGTAATTAAGGGATTTTTGGGAAGAAATACTTTATAGTAATTGACATGGATTTAGGGTTGTGGTAAGGTCACAATGCAAAGATATTTTGTCGGTCGTGTGTTGATGTTGTTTGGTTGTTGATTGTTGCCTTACAATACAGGGAACTTTTATTTTAACACATTAAGCAAAGTCCCATGTCAAAACTTGAAAGTTTGTAATTTTCTTTTTTCTTTTTTCTTTTTTTTTTTTTTTTCAAAAAAGAAGGAATATACTATGTTTGGAAATATTAATTAAATATGAGAGGGGCGACAGAGGCAAATGGATGGGAAGTTAAAAGAGTTATGTAACTATGCATGTATGTGTGTTTGAAATTCCAAGTGGGGAATGGAATGGGATGGGCTCTGTGCAACAATACCTGCATGTATCTGAACAAATTTTTGTACCTGAATTTGGACTTTTCTTACTTCACATTCTCAAGAAAATGAATCCAGAGCATGGAATGGAATTATTATTATTATTATAAGATTGTTGAAGGGTACATTCAAGTGGGTTTCTATAGGGACATGGTTCCCTAGCTCCATAGCATTTAATTATAGAAATTATTAATAATATATTGGGGGGATGCACATGGCAAGATTTCCAGTTTTGTGACTTGAAATGATGAAGGAATATATGCCATTACCAAATCTTCACTATAAGTTACTATTATTATAGTTAGCAACTCTATAAAAGGTGTAATTACTTACACAAAACACAATAATCCACCCACTACACATCATTAGTTCTCACAGTACAATGACAGTGGATTTAATTTCAAAACCACAGCATAGCAAATCCAAGAATCCAAGAAAAGCATTGATACAACAAAATAGGAAATAAATTAAGCACTCTCCAAAATTTAAGATTGAAGCAACAACTAATGATGATACAGCCATAAGCTTAAACCAAGTGTCCAAGAATATCTGCCACGCTGGTTTTTATCAACATAAAGAGAAAAAAATACTCAAAGAATTGGTTGGATCATCAATAATAATACAAATCCCTATGAAATACCTGACATCGATCACACTGGAGGCTCTCCTCATATGGCATTCATTTATTGTGGTACTCCCTCCCCACCACAATGAGCAACGACATTTCACACACTGTCTCCAAATAAAATTACAACTTCTAGAACCCTAGGATAGTCTTGGACAAGAATCTAACAAAACTTTTGCAATGGATATTACCTCCAAGAATTTGGCTGGTCCAACATCCATGAAGCCAACATATAGATAGATGAATGCAAACTTCGATGACTTCTGACTTTTCTTCTATATACTGCCTAAGAGAAGAGGACGAGAGTTCAAATAGTACAGCCCTATATGGTAAATAATCTGAGGCCGGGGGTTGCTGCAGCTCCACAACAATTGGAAAATGCAGTAAAGAAGACTTAAGACAGATGCAGGCTGAATGTACATCTCATAAACAGGCACTCGTAAGAGATGATCTGTGGGATATGGAAGAATCATTTGCTTCTTGCAGGAATTACAGCACTTGATACTTCAACAGCTTGTCTTTCACGGAGGGTTCCAAGGCAGACATGCATTGTTCCCATCCTCCATTGTTAAGCATCTGGCCGAAAATTCAAGTTATAAACGTGTGTGAACACATATATAATATAACATATGACAATAACACACAATTTTGATACAACAAGCAGGTCTTGTTCATCTAAGAAACCAACATGTTTTATCACACAATGACGGGAAGAATGGTGAAATCTTGCTGGCATTTTCTGTTTTTAAGTGTGTTTGGCCAAGCTGTGTTTACGACCAAAGCAATGCAGCGGGTGATGGATCCGGGCAACAGTATTCACCACAAAAAATCTTCAACTTAGTAGTTAATGCATATTCATATCCAAGAAAAATAGTCTATCAAGTAATTTACAGTGTTTGCATAAGATACCCAAATTTGTAAAATGCTTTCGAATCTTGTAGGATGAAAGATTAAGTGCTTATATACCTTAATTAAATTATTTTATAGGCATGTCATATGAAAAGCTTTAAAAGTTGAAAGATTAAGAAAATTCCAAAAAATTGCAAGTATTTTCTTCATAACCACTTGACTTAAACAGCTTATTTGTTTAATATAATAACCTATTTTATTAAACTTAATGAAATTATCATCTATTGGCTCCCACACAATTAATAAGCTGAGGCAAACACTCTTTTAATACACAAGGAACTACTTACTTGTTTATAGCCATGCACAACCTGGCAAACATCATCGTGTAGGTCCTTGCTTCTTATTTCCTGAAAATTATAAGAGAAAAACGAATGAGCACTTGGAACTTTTTTATTTGACAAGCTTGATATATTTATTTTACATAAGGTTTCTTTCTTCCCCTTGTGTTCATTTCATCAGATTGCATTTCGTATTTTGCAGAATGCTGGATATAAAATTTCATCACTTACATGCCAGCTTGCAATAGCCCTGCAAATAAATGCAAGAGACTTCAAACCTCCAGATGGGTTTGCTCTGACCTGAATGCAACAAATATCACCAAGTGAAATGACAATATAAAGGTTGTTGTGGTCTAAAAGCATAAAGCTGCTCAAAGTATGAGTAAATTTGTCTACCAGTGCACATAAGCCTCTGAAAGCATCTTCCTTCTCTATATCATCACGAATCCTGTCACAGGTTTACAGAATCTTAGCCGGTTGGACTACTAAGGTATAGATTCACGAAGAATTTTGTTATTCTCAAGAAGGATACCAATGCTCAGGTAGTATCTTAAGGTAGAAACACAATAGAGGCATGAAAGTTAATAAAAAGCTGAGACAATAATCTTCTCAGAAAGAACCAAAGTTGTGTATTCACTGGCGGTACTCCAATCTAATTCAACTGTGTTTCACACTTTGCTCAAACTGTGAGCAATAAATGCACTTCTATTCCAGCCTAAAATACCTTGATTACAAAATCAGACATTTTTGTAACTTACATGGACAGAGCCGCACACCAAGACTGCATAAAATGCTCCATGTGTGGTGAAACAACCTCCGGACAAACCCAAGCAAGTCTTCCCAGTGTAATTGCACTATTTTCTATGAGAGATTTGTTCAGTTCCTTCACATAGAAAGCACCATCATCATCATCATAATAACAAGTTCAGATGGACTTTTTCTTCAATGCGTTATACAGAATGAAATCATATGCATGAATCGGCATGATGCTAATACTGATCCTCCATTCATACACAGTACACATAAGGTCGCCAGCAATGAAGATAATTTTGGTACAAAACAACTCTACAAAGTCCTATATTTCAACAAAATTTCAGATGTCTCCTACCATGTTTCTTTCATTACATGAGATAAATTCTCTCAAACAGGATAAGCGATAAAATTGCAGAATTACTTAGATAAATTTATTATGGAATAAACCGTAAACAATAAAGTGCAATTAAAAAACATGACCAAGACACTATCATATTTCATTTTCCAAACTTGAATAATAAGGAATTTATGTCAATTATATGGGGAGTTGGATTCAAAGAAGATCCAGCTATCAAACATAAAGAACAGATCATCACCTCTGGATGTTGAAGTATTTGTACCAAGCACGAAACTACATTCAGTACAACAGGAGATATCTCCTTGTGAACCTGAAATCCAAAAAGCAAACCATAAATGTCGCGCTTTGCCAAAATACAGCCAAACAAAAAGATTATAAGGGGAGAATGGACAGCAGGTGGGTGTATGTCTGAAGCATAAAAAAATTAAACTAGTGCATGTGATGTCCACTCTGACAATTTCATAGCCACCTCCTCAGTAGCATTGTCGTTTACTATGCTAATTTATCATGCCCAAAACATGACAGAAAGAGCTTTCTATTAAATGAGACATAATTAATCCATTATAGACATGGATTGTACTAAGTTTATATGGAAGTAAAGCATTGCTGATACCAAGAATGATACAAGAAAGCTAGCATAATAATACAATCATCCAATAAAAAATGAAGGCCTTCCTTGAGGAAAAAGCATAAAATCATCTCATCTACTGACAAGAGAATAATCAACAAGTATACAGACAGAAAGCCACTGTGCCATTGTCCTTTGAGAGTCGGTCATAATGCTAAAAAGACTTAACCTTTATAGCTAGCTCGCCAATAGCCCAACAAGCATTGTTTGCAACAGACACAGCTTCCTTCAGCTTTGCAATGCTCTGTAAAATTTAGATTTGAGGAATGAAGTGCAAAGACCATAGTTCTGAGATTAAGACATAACCGTGGTGATTCACTTACCAATTGTTTGGAAGCAACATCCAGGAATTCTGGTAGACGGGAATGTAGGTGGACGGGACAAATCTAATAAGGAGAAGAAGCAAAAAAAAAAAAAGAATCACCCTGAAATTAGACCACACTGTAACAGAGCAAACATGCGATGCCTAATCAAGAAAAATAAAAGCTACCATACATTTCCTACTCAGAATGGAAGTAGCATCCTCAGACCCAAATTAAGTGGAATCAGAGTCAGCTCAGATAAAGTCAATTTCAACTTACTCTTGCAAGGTCCCCCAGCAGTGCAAAAGCACTTTGCCGAACATCATAGGCTTCATCCATACAACATTTTAGCAGCAAATCCTTCAAATTACTTTGTGAAACCTATTACAAAAGATAGTGCATGAACACCAACTCTCACTTTAAAAAACAGAGTGTGGATGAGAAAACAAAGGATGCAAAGGAAGTCGAAAATGCACTTATGAAACAAACAACTAGCACAAGAACAGTCCAGCGGAAGAACAAAGCATTCATGCTACATTTTGAAGAAAGACACTAAGGTATATGAAAGTACCAAACTCTCAATTCCAGGGCCAAGCCCCTCAGCAAGTCCAGAGAGAAGATCCAAGGAGCAAACAACAAACTCTCTATCATACTGTACCCCAGCCGCAGCAGGATCAACCTAGAATACAAAGCTTCTCATACTTAGGCAAGCTTTTCAAAATAGATGAATGTATGAATTGAATCTGAAAAAGAACTAAAGCAGTGATTGCATACAAATGTCCAACTTGATACAATACAGACAGCCTACAAGAAATTTGAGATTAAAAAAAAAAAAAAAAAAAAACCCTATAAAGATCAACTGTGTTTATCTCTCACTCTTAACAACTCTCTCCAAGCCAACATGATTAAAGAAAAAAATAATAATAAAAATGCTACAGATGTCTAAATGGCTTGAACATAGGTTGAATTGATCTCATGCAGCATAAAACACAATCTGATTATGCGGTGTATAGATGTTTATGTCAATAAAAAAAAAAAAAAAAAAAAACCTTAGCAATTTGCTGAGTCTGGATGATGTTTATGCACCTCTGAAATACTGGTGGAGCAAACTGTGAAAATCCAGTACCTAGTGCCTGCAAAAGACCATTGGGATACTGTCATCGCGCACATACACATATTGGAAATGATTTTTTGCTCAAAATACCACAGAATTCAAGATCAGTCATTGATGGTCACTGCAGCGAACATATTATTTCAGTACGAGCACAACTCTTCTCCACAAGCTACAAATTCAAATTTTCACACACAAAAGAAGAACAATAATAATCTGCAATTCTTAAAAAAGCAGCAGCCAAACACAATCACCTTTGTCATCTTTTGTCATTACACAAATTGTTACATAGACATGTAAATAAATAATGGAGTAAAACACTGGCTCTCTTAATTAGTTGTGATAAACCCAAGTTTTCAGCTTAAAAAAAGTACATATTAGGAATGTGCACCTGAGTATTTTATTTTGAAAGACAAATAAGACAAAGACTTGATTATAACATCAGCCTAGCAGTCTAATGCTTGAATTAAATCTTTAACAAATTCTCCTAAACAAAGTACTCTAGGTATCATAGGAAGCAATGGAATGTACAAGAAGTTCTAATAGCGAGAATTTTCACTTTTTGCAACAAAACAATAGCTAATTGACTAAACAGAGGATACTCATATGTAGAAATACCTGGGCAACAGATGTAAGACATTCTAGAAGTGGGAAAAGATCTTTATCAGAGTCTGAAAGTTGCTGCCACTTTGCAATCAGTGGGGGCATCAAGATCCCAAGACATTTAGGCTGCATTAATCAGGAAATATAATTATTTAATATCATGATTCTGACTTTCATCCTCACCATCAGAAACAAAAAAAAAAATGCAATGCTGAGCAAACAAAATCAAGAATGATGTCTTTACCTCATTCAGCTCGCCTCTAACAGCATCTGCTAATGTTCCAATTGCATCGTATACAATCCTGAGGTTCCGTCGCTGCACAAGACAAGCTGTTATTGCATGAAGAAAACTGGGGAGGAACTAGAAGGAAAAAAAAAAAACAAGTGGATTTGGCATGCAACCCAAGCATATAACATGTCAAAGATCAATTACAAGTAATATAAGAAACCTGATATTTCCCAAAGGCACACATCAAATGTTGCAAGATGATCTCTAGTCGTGGTCCCAAATCCTCTCCGGCCTCCTATAATTACAAAACATTTGCATCTCAGGGTGAATCAAGTTAGGTACATTAAGGAGGAAGATGATTAAAAATGACCTCTTCAAGTGTAGCAAAAGCAGAACATGCTGCCTCTTGCACCCGCTTATTATCATCCAATATCCTTCGAAGTAGCCCCATAAGAATTTTGTCAAATATATTTTGACCTTCTTGACGAGCAGAACCCTATGACACGCAGATAAATTGTAATCATTTATAAATGACCTCAGAATATTAGAAAATTAATAATTGAAGAGAATTGCTTTGAGAAAAACCATATCAGTGAAGAAAGCAATCAGGAATCTGAGAACTACTCTGCTTCAACATGTTGGCTTCTGAAAAATTGTGTACTTTTGTTCTTTTAACTATGTTTTTGCACTATCAAATTTCTTATCTCAAAAACATATCAAATTCAAAACTTAATTTCATATAAAATATTACATCAAAAAACCTGTTCTCAAACATCACATCCAACTTATTTACATTACATTAATATATATTTCCTAGTCTACTTTTTACTATTCGCAAACCAAACTAGAAGACTAAAAGACTTCCAAAATGTATCTAAACACACCCCATATTAAGTAATACCTTGAGAGAGACTTGGAATCACAGTTGGCGTCATTCATACAAAATTTTGAAATCAGGATACACAACTCAATCCTCATTAAGAGATTATGATCACAAGAATACTATCCGCATTCAGCATTCAATACTTTGGGAATTAAATTGATGAATCCGTATACAGCTATGGGCACCGTGGACCAGACAAAATCTCAATTTCAAGTGTCACATGAACTATCAAAATAAAAAACTAAGGAATAGATAGCAAATTCCATACAAACATGCAGAGCAACCATGGTTCTTTGAAACATTATGCTACACGGTTTCATAATGTTACCTGAACGATGTATCTGCTGAAACGTGAAAGGGTCCAACAAGAGATGCTCCGTATTAGAGGAAATTTATCATCTAACAGTGGAATAAGAAACTCAATAATCTGCCAAGAATAGAAGGATAAAATTTATCTCAAGTGAAGCAACATTAGGAAAACAAAGGCTATATTCTCTCATCATTGTAAGTCAAAGAAGACAAAGATCATGAAATAAACCTTATCTGGAACAAGGTTAATCATGACTATAAATAAGTCAGGGCACATTATTAGCATATAAAAATGTAATTTAGCTGAAAGGAAAGTCATTTGCAAGATATGAGTATAATGTGACAACTTGGAATCTCTATGAATTAAATCGAATTAACTACCTTATCTGGAAATAAACCTAAGTCGAAAATACAACTGGTAATAGTTTTCATCAGGCTATACTGCTCCTGCAGGCTGATAAAAAGGCTAACAGAGTATTTTAGAAAGAGTAAACTACGGTAATTCATCACACAATAATCTAACATCCTACTAAATTAACTGTTAAAGAATTGCAATGGCCTAAAATGGGATGAACTTTCCATTTCACTCTTTAATTATCTGAGACTTGGATTTGATGAACTTAGATATTGTATGCTCTTTGATGGCATGTGGAATATATCTCAATTTCTGGCTTCTCCAAAGGTTAGTAAGAAAACAAAAGAGGATAAAACGTATTTTCATAAGTTCTAATGTTTTTTTTACGTAAGTCATCATGGTTTTTCAACACCTAGGGTTTGTTCGTCTCCAGTTTGGAGTTTGGGAATAGAAACTTTTGGAATCAAAATATATTTTTGATTTGATGTAAATAGATTTTTACAAATAAAAAATAAAACAGATATTTGATTTGATTGTTTTAAGGGGAAAAAAGTGACGAATCGTACAAGACAAAAACAAGATCCCTGTGGTTTTGCAATAGATATAAGAAAATTACAATGTAGAACAAGCTATCAAAGACATGTGATACAGCAACAATGTCCAATTTGGAAATTTAATCACAAGTAAAGCTGGTGCAATCAGCTAAAGGAAAGGCCAAAACAAATATAAGGGTGAAGTGCTGCACTTAATCAAGTCGCACTTAATCATTATTTTAAAGAAATCTAAGGAAAGATAATGGTAAATTCAGGAAAAAAAAAAAGGGGGTTTGTTTGATTTTGGCCCCAAACCAAAATCAATACTATTCAACCTGTACGGTTTCCAATAAAAAAATAAAACCAAAATTCCAAACTCAAACCAAAACCAAGCAAACCCAAAGTATTCATTCTCCAGATGAGGCATAAAGCTCTTTACCAAAACAGTCATAATTTGTAAACAGTTGAAGGCACAAGCCTAGTAGAGTCAAAAGAAAAACATGATATAATGCCAATGACAGTTCACAAGAAAAAATTTTGGTGAAAAAACAAAGTTATAGTAGTATAAACTGGTATGAACTACATATGCACCCATGTGTGTTGAGCCTGCTTTACCACAATTTGATTAGCTAATCGAAGCCTAGATTTGACAAGAAAGCAATTCACTGATCAATCTTACTCATATGATACCTGAGACAAATGGGGATAGAGACCATTAATACAGCCCTCTCCAATGGCACCAAGTGCTAAAACTGCAGCCTCCCGATCTCTCCAAGCTTCATCACCAGGCATTCCCAACTTTGCCTACAAAGAGAATCAAACAAAAAAATTTTAACTTGACACCTTTTAAAAAGATAATTATACTGAATGACTAAATGCAATATCATATCTGTAGAGCTTCCCACCATGTCATGAAATAGGAGGAATGTCAATATTCTCAATGAGTACTGTTGTATGTATGGTGTTTAGGCATTTGACAAGCTATAAAAATCAATAAAAGGGTATACAGACCATTATGATTGTAATATATGCATTCAAATTAGTTAGTTTAGTAAACAAGTAAAGTTTGCAGCAGCCGTGTGACAGGCCATTAATAAAATCGAATTCAACAGATTATGCTGAGATAAAACCGACCATTTATGCTCACATTTTTCATGCAACTGCCATCAGTTTTAAATCAATGTAACTCAAATAACAAAAGAGAAGGATTGCATCATACAATATCCCATCAATACATAGAGCATACATCTTACATATGTAAAACCCTAATTTATCAACATACTGAAAATAGAAGTGTAGAAGACACTTTTCAAATGAAATTTAACCTGCACAATGGGCATCAAAGTAGGTAAAATTTCATCTCCAAACACATTGGAAATAATATCCAGAGCTGCAGCACTACACTTGCGCAGATTCCAGGCATTTACAATGTTGTCATCCTGCCATTACAAAATCCATGGAGCCGCATTAAAAATCTTGCAATGAGGGCATGAATAGAATCACAAAAGCTGAGGCAAAAGGCAAAAAAATACGGATCTAGTTGTATGGTTAAGCCAGAACAAAAATTCAAAGGGTATTGAATCCATCCTGATTGATTCCATGAGACTTTGGATACAATGTGCATACCTCCTCTTCATCTTCTGATCCATGAAAACGTGAAGAATGAAAACGAGGCTTTAGGTCCTGGATGATAAAATTGGTATAAGGAAAACAGTCATACAGAGTAAACCAATATAACAAAACCCAAAGTTAAGGCATGAAGAACCATAAAAGAACCTGATCTCGATCTGGAACTGATCCATCCTCCTGTAATAGTAAAAATATAACAAACAAAAACATTAATTCAGATAGAAAGGTTCAATTACAAACATAAGAAACTGAAAGACACAAACCTCAGCTTCCAGAACAGACTCATCATCATCAGCATACGCCATGTTTGACAGCAAAATCTGCAGGAAGTGGAAAATAATAAAATGCATCATAAATATAAGGGTAATTAGAGTGGATGAATATCTGGATGAAGTAAGAACGATACAGGAAGAAGTCGCGGCAAAAATTCTCTCAAATTCTCAGGTGGCAGTTCAGCTTCACAATAAGCAGACCTGTAAAAGAAATACCATCTCAAATTCTTGGGAATATTAATCAGTAAACACCGTCTCAAAAGCACAATAGTCCATCAAATGCTACTGTTGCAGCTTCAATTTGCAAGTAAACAAAACCATTAGCATCTAAAACGAAGGTTTTAACTGAGCAGACCATACATAAATTTCGTACAAAGTAAATAGGTAGTCATAAAGTCACCCCTAAAATGAAAGGAAGTGAATATCACAGTTCCAAATGATATTAGGATTTTTTCAATCAACTAAGAACGGTAAACTACTGAATGACACTGAAAAAGAGTCATGGGAAGCAAGTCACAAATGAACAGTGTCCAAAAAATCAGTTTTAAGCAAGACAATAAGACATGTATAGAAAAAGTCATAATGCAACCAAATTTCCGGATATTAATGATATTACCGTAAGGAAATATCCGATCTCAAGACAAAGAGATAAAAAATTAAAAAATAAAAAGAGCTCAAACTAGATTACTCAGTACCACATTCTTGACTAAGCCCAGTGTATTATTTGACAAGGAAAATGTTCTAAGAGACTAAAGATACAAGGCATTATATTTCATACTAAATAAGGAGATTCCTTTTAAATGCCAATTTGGCCTTCAGCACCCATGTATAGATATGATAACCAAGAATTGTCTATCTAATTTGGTGATTTCTTTGATTTCATGACCACTTAAGTTAGTTTATAATCCCATTTTTCAGTTATATCTATGCAGTTTTAAACTGTATTTTTAATTTCATATTTAATCAGATGACATGGATTTAGGCGGATACTCTGAAATTCTGTAGCTATTTGGGCTGAAATGTTTATTCAGGCCAAAACTCCAGCAAGAATGCATATAAGACAGTATTTGAGAAATTTTGAGCCAGAGTACGAATTTAAGGGAGTTTCCAACACAAGTCCAGATACCACCCCAAATGTTGCCAAGAATTAAAGGCACAACTATACAAAAAATTCAATCATTATTCCAGATAAAAAGTCAAACCAGTAAGATATGCAAATATTCAACCTATCAAGCAAACATTTTACCAAAATTCACATGCTTCAAGGGCCACTTCTTCATCAGGGTCCTTGTTGACTAGCAACATATATTCGATTACATTCCTTAAATGTGGCTGCAATATTGCATCAAAATAGTATCAGGGACAGCAACGGACAATGGATTAATTGCTAAATATAGGCAGAAATAGTAAAACAAAATCTAACACGCAATAAGTATCTTATAAAAAAAAATTGGAGAATAGGATTTTATTTTTTAGAAAGCGCTACAAGTAAAGAGAGAGCTCAGTGGACTCATATGATATTACAACCAAGCAGATAACTCGATGTTTCCTTTTGCACTATGTTTGGCAAAATAATCCACAACATCATTAGCACCACGAGGGATATATTGTAAAATGATGAGGGAACTTTTCAAATCAAGAGGTGGCGTTCGTTTATGTTGAAATTTAGCTTCCAAGGAATCAAAGTATCTTAGAACATACATGTGACCGTAAACTAAAGAGAAAAATGGCAGTCCATCGATGATCCACCACACAATAAGTATCAAAAATTACAGGTTGCCTAAGACTATAGGACACTATAACAATAAAAATAAATAAAAATAGAGGTCTATAGATGACAAGAAATTACCCACCACCAAGACAGCAGAACGGATTTCAATTAGCTGAACAAATGCAGAACATACCTGTTCACATGGGGAAAAATTAGTTGGTGTAGCTTTATCATTATGCGTGTGTGCATTTTTGTTTCTTTATCGAAAAAAATAATATTAATAATAATAATTAAAAAAATGCATGTGTGCATGTTATTAAATTGACAGACAGTTGCACAATACAACTTATCCTTACCAACTTCCGAACCTCTGGTGCAGGGTCATTCGCAAGGACAAATAAGCCTTGCAAATATTTATCCATGGACATTTGCAGAACCTGGAAGTTTATCAAATTAAGTAAATAAACTCCGGTGCATCTGCAAAACTTGCTCAAAGCAGATACAGGACTCACGCATACATACATACCATGGGCATTAGCATGATGAACTGATTCACTGAACCCAAGGAAAGCTTTCTTAATGTAGCGTGTGGCGAGTTGAAAAGCTGTGTTTACATGGGGAGAAAAAAAAATTAATCACTGAGAATTAATCAGACGACTTTAGGTTAAAATGCTTTCCTCAGTTGTTAATGGACAGAAGCAAAGATTTGGGGTGGCATTTGGCAAAGAGCTAAAGCATGAGAACCTGGAGAAATCTTGGAATAAAAGCATTAATAGGCCGTTCAGATAATCCAGAAATTTCGTTATCAAGTACTTGCGGCGCATCTTCACAAATCTACATCCAAAAACATGATTAACTTATTAGACTGTACAAAGTACAAGCTCTTCATTCATCTGTATATAGTCACTACACATGGAACAAATGCCTACATATGGAAAAACATAGCCAGAAGTCTAGCTTTAAAGCCTAAAGGTATGAATTTGCTCATCATATAATAGAGATTAGAAACAGCCTCGGTACAATAGAACATCAATACAGTGTGCCTAACATATAGTGTATATATATATATGCATGAAACAATGGTAATAATAGCATTTTCAAATAAACCTAAATAGCCCATGGTGAGTAGTGTGGAGCATTAGTCAACTAAAAGACCCACAATAAATGGAAAACCAAAAGGTGTTTTGCATGTAGTTCTTTGTATAACCCAGAAAGGTGAGAAATCCGTACCTTAGACAAAGCATCCATTGCACCTTCCACATGATTTATATCACTACTATCTAAGCACTTCACCAATGCATTGAGCAATTCCGGCCATCCTGCAACTCCCCCAATTTGAACAAAAGTACTTATAATGGTTCCAGCTGTGGACCTAATGTGTCTATCAGCAGCCCCAATGCATGGTAACAATTCTGCCTTTATATATTGCTGGTTTGCTGGTGGCATAGTTTGAAAGGAACTCCTAAGGTTATTTTTCAAAAGTAAGCCTGCTGCTTGTCTAACCTCCACTGATTTCCCCTGTTACATAACATTCACTAAACCTGTCACTTCCTAAATGAAAAACATTCCAAACAAAAGTATCGCTTGAATCAGAAGCTTGAATATATTTTTACTTCAAAGTTCTTGTCATAACACATAAATAACTAAGATTGTGCCATCTTGGCTACTGAACAGTTGCATAATGTCTTCATAGTGCAGTCAAATTTAAAATAACAGTGTGGATTTCAATATGTTCCCTCATGCCAACTACTTTTGTCTCTTTATTAACAAAATTTACCGCCACTATTCCCTAACGTCTTTCCAAAGTAACTAAAGGTTTATATACTCTTTTATACTTAGCATTAACTTGTCAGTAAAACTATCTGCATATTCCTTAACTTACAACTAATTCGGACAAATGGAAGAAGATTACAGAAAACAGCGAGGTCATTACCCATATTTAATCAGCATTCACGCAATTTAAAGATTCGACGAGACCCGGTGATTGATATCAGCTTCGTAAACAGCCAGACTTAACGAAATTTGGTGAACCCCCTTAAACCCTAAAAGGACTATACTTTGGAAAAAAAGTAAAACCCTTCCGCACGCATTAAAATCACATGAACCAACCCCATAAAACATTGATCCAAAAAAGCACATAGGTCAACAAAGAAACCTACGTCATATCAAAAATCCAAACTATGATGTCCGCTAGATTAAAATAAGCAACCATCAAGGATCGGGAAACAAAAGAAACCTCAGCCCGCGCAAAAATGAAAACAAGGTAATTGTTGAAATCAGGGAACTGAGAAAAGTGCTGGAGCTTCTGCCAAATCATCGACTTATCATCGGAGGTGGGAGCCATCTGCTGCTCCACAAGCCCACATATCTCCCGCAGACCCTCCTCCTGAGGATTCCAAGACGTAGCTTCCCCGCCGCCGGCAGCCGACGCCATTCTTCTCTTCAATCAACCAAAATTCTTAAACCACCCGATGATGATCAGATTCAGCAACGCCTTCTGAAATTCGAGAGGACGATTCAGATACGGCGGGAACAGAACAGAAGCAGAGCCGACGGCGAAACTGGAAGGGGGGCTCTGTTCCGAAGTGAAGCGACTAAAAATTGAACAGAGAACAGATTTGGGGTTTCTTGATTTGAGGTGGAGTTATTTAGTGCGCAAAGGTGCAGAATAAACAAGTGTGGATCAGCCAATCACCCTCGTTTTCTAGGGCTGAGCTAGATTATTAGCCCAAATTTTTTAATTAAAATAAAAAATAATAATATTTGAATAGTAAAGTGTAATAGATAAGAAATTTAAATAAAATATTATAAAAAATATATTTAATAAATAAACAATAAAATTATTAGTATGATAAACATATATTAAGGGTTTGTTTTGTTGCGTTTTAAATTGATTTAAAGTTATGTGTGAATTTAAATTTTTATTTAAATATTATTTTCATATAATATTTTAAAAATAAATGCGAAATAAGCTCTATATATTTTAGAATTAATTTATAATATTTACTTGTATTTTTTTATACATAAAAGATGTATAAATTTTTATTTTTTACTTTGCCAAAAAAAGTACATCTCGACTAATATTTGTATAAATATATTTCTTAGTGTTCGGCTGTTGATGTTGTAAAATAATTGATTGTATAGAGTAACATCTCAAGATTAATTTTAAATTTTCTTTTTTTTTATAGAAAATATAATCATATATTTTAACTATATTTAAATTTTTATAATTAATAGTTATTTTTAATCTTAATTATATTATTTATTTATCTTAATTTTAAACTATAATTAATTTTATAATACAATAATTATACTTTACATGAATTATAGTGTTTAGAGTAAATAGGACATAGGACAGAAGAGTATAACTTTATAATAATATTTTTCTTTGAAGTTACATGTATAATACATATATCGTATTATTGTTTTTATTAATATTTTTTTCTAAATATAAATTATAGGTTGAATTAAAAGAAAATAATAATACCAATACTCTACTCTCGATGTATTTGTAGATTTGAATTTCATTATACTAATAAAATCAGATTAAGTTATATTTTTTTTTATCTCAAATATTTCAATATAGTTGGATCGATTTAATTGCGGATAAAGTTCCAATAATTTATATATAATTTAAATGGATTATATATATATATTATAATTAGCTTATTCATTTGTTTAATTTAGAGTGTTTTACTTTAAAATTTTTGAACATATATTTCTTGCAATCGAAAATATAATAAAAATATATGCTTATTTCTTACAAAATATTAATAATAAATTCCGATCTAATTATCATAAGGAAATAAACATCTGACCAAATCTACGTTTACAAGTCCAACTTCCCACCACTATATCATTAATTACATGTATAAAGAAATATGTATGTAATATTAAATACTCTTCCGTCAACTCATAAAATATACAATTACTTTTGGCGCGGTGTTTAAGAAATAATAGCATTTTAATTATAATATATAGTATTTGTGAAAAAAAAATAAAGTATTTAAATGAAATGTTTACTTTGTAATTGGACGTCCCAAAATAGAAATATGTATACTTTTTAAGTGAACGGAGGAAGTATAATATTTTATATTGAGCGTTGATTTTTTATAAAATAATAAAATACAAATATATATATATATTAGAATTCATGATGAGAAAAAAATATATTGGAAGTACAAATCCTATATATTTTATTTTTTTTATAAAATATAAAATTATATTATCAATAGTAATATCCATGTCTCATAGAAAAAATTATTCAAATTAAAATTTTATGCAATCACATTTATAAAAGGAATACGTGATTTATTAAATCAAAGTCGGACTTTATCGCAATCCTTCTGTCACAAAGCATAATTAAAGCAAATAAATAAATAAAATGAAAACGACTTGTGTCCTAGAAAGTCAAAAAATTGCATTATTTATTTATTTATTAATTAATCATTTTATGACCGTCATTGTTGGTGAGTAATTAGAAGAGGGAATCTCCTATCAAATGTGCTTTTTTATATTAGGAAAGTAAAATAATTTGGGCGTGATACGATAGCACACGCAATTTAGGTAAAATATAATTAATAAATAATTAAAAAATATATTAATAAAAATAATTATAAATTAAAATTAAAATAATTAAATATTTTAATTTAAATTAAAAAAATTATAAAATATAAAGTTTAAAATGCAGTTAAAATATATAATTATATTTAAAAAAAAATAACAAATTATGTGAGACAAAAAAAATAAAAAATAACTATGCCGCCTACTTTCCATAAATTAAAACATAAATTATACTTGCCTTAAATATGTTTCCTATCTCAACTAAATTTGGAAACACTGTCTATTTGTTTGATTTTGATTATATATATATATATATTTAATTATTACTTATTGACAATATTTTTATTGATAATAATATTATTTAAAATTATCTTTAAATTTTAAACGCTGGTTTCCTATATAATTCCTCAATGCTAAATAATAAGAATCAAGGGTGTATTTCTTTAATTTTTTGATTTAAGAAATTTTAGTTTTAATTTAATATTAAAATAATATTTAATATAATATTAAAATATTTTATATAAAATATAAAATTGAAATAGTAAAATCTAAATAAAAACGTATCCGAATTCTGTTTGTTTGGCATTTCAAACCAGTTTTTAAAACAGGCAGTTACCAAACAAAAAAAAAAAACAAACAAACATTCATTTCACAGTACATTACATTAAAATATTAATCAAATTAAAATTTAAATAAAAAACTTCAAACTTACATCTCTACTATTTTGTTGTTAACTACCATTTATTTCTTCCCCGGACGCATTCACCTTCCTCCCTGTTCTTGCTGCTGCCGCCGGACAGGACCAATCGCCGCCGCCGGCTGCCGGGAATTCCTTATCTTGAGAACATCAAGTGTTTCGATGTAATTCTGAACTCTCTTCACCTGCGGTGGTCCGATTTCCGACAAAACCGGAAAACTTCAAAATCAACATGTAAACATAAGTGTAAGAACATAGATGTACGTACCTGCATTCTCCTCTGCAATTTGACGTCTCCCTGGGCATCGATTCCATCCAAATTGATGAGCTGAGTCATAAGCAATTCGATCAAGTTCAACAAATCTGTCTCCACAACTTTCCTGCCCTTACCGACGATCTCCATTTCAGCAGACGCAACCTGAACGAACCAGATCGAAACGACAACCGTTCGTTCAGACAAAAAACCAGTGCACTGTCGCCATCAAATCAACATCAATGGATCACCTGCTTCGCCAGATTGTCTACTTCGAATCGGACGGCTGCGATGGCTTTCGCCGCCTTGTCGGTACTCTCGAGGCGGCGCAGTGCATCCTCGACCATCACGACCTTTGATCCGTCTCTCACCTCGCAGACATCGAGGAACTCGTTCGAATCCCTCTCCTTCTCCCTGAAAGAAACCTTCTGATCCTGCTCCTTCACTCCAGTTCGCTCCGCTACGATTCTCTTCAGTTCCCCTGCAAAAATACAGCATCGTCAAAACAATTTTCCGACAGAAACAGCGGCGGTACGAATTTTTTATTTAAAAATTATTTATTACCGAAACTGGCTTGGGAACTGACGGTTACTTCATGAGAGGATGATCCGTGCCTGACTCTGACTCTGATTTTAGGCACCGGAATCGAATTTAAATTGGCGTCGGAGTTTCTCTTCTGGACCAGCATTCCGCCTGGCCTCACCTCCCAACACCCGCCGGCGAACCTGGACTTGGTCGTCCTTAACATCTGGTCAATACTCTGTGATTGAGGGAAGTACGGTAAAATGGGTAGTGCTTGTCCGGTAAGCTAAGAACAAATGAACAATGCCTCTGTCTGAAGGAAGAAACAATCAAACAAACCAGGTTTCTGTCCCACTATCATATACTCCACTGCTATATATATATATATATATATATGTCAGGCCAAGCCAATAAATCTGGGCATATGCTCTTTTTGTATGTATATGTGTGTATTTCAGTAAAATTTAAAATTATGTGCTAATAGCAATGGATTTTTTATGTCATGAAGATTGATGGAAAAAGAAGAATGCTTTTAATGAAAAGATGAGTGTTTTTTGAAAACCAGGAATATTCTACTCTACTATGTTTCACTTTTTATTATTATTATTAGGATGATGATGATGATCTGTTGTTGGTGGCGTTGGTGTTTGTGGCATCCATTTTCTTTGGGAATAAATGCTTAATAATTAAGTCCAACGTGCAATAATTTTTCATTCCATAAATTGCATTAATTAATTACTATGAATCTGCTTTTGGAATGTTTTGGATTATTATTAATTTTAAAATATATTCTTATAATAGGAAAAAATAAAATAAAATTATAATGCCATATATCAACGCACTATTATTATGTTACAAAATATGACATGTCAAACCATTACTTATATATATATATGTGCGTGTGTGTGTAATAACATGTTATGTACTACTACTAGTGCATACTGTTTCTCTGGTCTCTATTTCATTAAATATTGTTGTGATTAACTAAGTCTAATTCGGTGTTGAATTTTGAAGTGGTTTTGTTGTTATCAAGCTGTCGGTCCCTAGAAATGATTGGGTGTAAGCCAATGAGAAGGGAACCAATTTCTTGAAGCAAAATCAGATGATGTAGTGATGTTTGGTGGGTGGATTGGATTGGATATATGCAAAGAACACAATTCTTTTATTAGAAGTATGTGCATCATCATCATCTCATGATCATTAGAAACAGCTTTAATTAATTGTAATTGATGGGTCAATTGGATACAAACTAACAGGCTGTTCCATTATGCATTCCACATTCCACAATACAAATACATATAACATCCACATATGAGAGTAGAGTTATGTATTGTGTTAATAGTGAGTAAGTTGAGTTTTTGGTGTTTCAGTCCTGATGAATAGATAGATAACTAGAGGCTGTTTTGACTACACTACCCCTCCGCCCGCCCTCCTTTCAATGAATTTATATAATATATATATATATATATATATATCACCCTTCAATTCAATTCAATTCCATTCAAACATACGAATGCATGCACAAGAAAGAAAGAAAGCCAGGCATGGTTCAACCAAGCCTTACCCCCCTATGATCCAAATATCATCATTGTTGTCATCAAACTGCATTAACCGAGGGTGGGGTGGGGTGGGGTGGGGAATGAGGAAATAACCTCAACCTAAACTAACTAACCTGGCCGCTGGCTCGTCAAGTCCAATCATCAAACCAGTAGTCATCACACCCCACCCATCCATATATCTCCCATTGCTGCTGCTGCTGCTGCTGCTGCTGGGGATATATGAGGAGGAGCAGACAGACTGATCATTGATGGCACACACCATAAACCAACAGCTTTGCTCGCAAACAAGGAACAAAATAACACAGGAACTTCACTTGCAAGTTTAATTCCAGATATATACCAACTGTCTATGCAAGTGGACATGGATCCATGTATGATAATAATAGTCATAATCATATAATGTAGAAAGGTAATACTACTAATAAATGAAACCATAAACCAACTGCTTTGCCCTCTCAAGACTCTATCTTGGCAATACCATCATATTTCCAAAAACCAGCAAACAAATTGATATCTCAAGTCATAGAAATAACACAAAAGTTTCAACTTGATTCTGATTGATTGCATACCAAATGAGGGAGGAGGGTATGTTATGGTATGGTTAAATCAGCTCCAGGTACAAGGCTTCTTGCTTGCTCGTCAGCCCCAAGTCGCTCAGACTTGAGTTGCTCTCTTCATCGCCAAATGCACGCCGAGGATAAGGCCTCACCTGAGTAAATGAAATGTCCAAACAGTCGGACATAAAAAATTCTCAGTATATACATACATTTCTTGCAAGATCTGTCATTTAAGTGAGCGGGAAGAAAAATAATAATTTTGGTAGACAGTGTGAATGAATTACCAATCTGTAGCTTCCAGGCTTAACACCTTTCCCAACATCAATGAAGTCAAAAAGGTGCTGTAGACCAATCCCGAAAATCAAGTTAGTTCACAGGAAAATGAAAAACAAGGGAATCAACACATCACAGGCTCAACTAAAAGGACTTATATATGTTGCCCATTATCATCCAACATTACAAATTTATCATATTCTGCCCTCATGGATGATGTAACATAAAGTGTGTCAATAATATATAAGGAACAATTTACTGAATTTGAAACATCTTCATAGAATTAAGCTAAAAAGCAACACTTGCATCTCCATTTGAACTTTAATGTATACGAGTCATTAATTGGTTCTTCTATTTTGATTATGATCTTGAATGAATTATGGAGTGTGTCCTTGATAAGTCTAACTGCATGTATTAGAACCCTATAGGCAAAGTATATCGGTGTCTTATGCACACTATTCAAACTCCAAACAGTTTCATGCTTCCCTAACTCAACCACATATTACCTGTAGCCTGTCAGACTTGTAAAATCGGCGACCTCTCCTACTTCCATCAGGCATTCGAACAAGGAGTGTAACAGCATTCTCATCATCTGGTCTTGGTTCCTGAGGAAGGGAAGCTTCCTTGGCAGCTATTTGTCTCTCAATTTCCTGGGCAACATCAAGAAACGTGTTATGTCTTTGAAATAATGTAAGTTGTACCATGTTACACTTGGGTGCATGCATAAACTTAATAGACAGCAATCAAGTCAAATATGTCTGTAAAATGCAATTTTCCTTATAGGTGCACGTTCAAAAGCAACTGTTCTATGTGGGTAATTTTGCAGAGACTAGACCAGACAACCAAAGGCCAAAAACCAAATTCAATCATATTACTACACCACAAGGTCCAGAAACTACATACTAAAATTTGTGTTTGGAATAATTCACCTCCTGGATCTTGCATTTATTAGTAGGAAAGAACCAATTATGGTAAGAATATTGAATCAGAAGCAACCTCATCCAAGCTCACTCAGGTGTGACAAGCAAACAAACACACTATTCATGTACATAAATCTCAGGAACAATTATAGGATACAGGCTTACTGTAACAACTACTAAGGACATATCATTTTGTATTGGTTCATGTATGATTATTGGTATTTATGCTTCTCTGCATGGTTGTGTTTGTGGATCTATGCTTTGGTTCTCTTACTTTTATTATTGAACACCTATCAATAGGGGAAGAACAAGAAGGTCTTGGTGGCACTCTGGGAGGTCAACAGAGAAAGTACAGAACATATGAAAAGAAGTACAAAAGCAAAAAATAAAGAAAATAGAAACAATAACATAATTATATCATTGATTACCATCATCTGAATAATGATGGCAATGTTATATAAATTTCATGTAAATTAGATAAGCAGAGGCATATTAATGCTAACATTTACAATTCTGTAATTCCATTTGGGAAAGTGCATTAAATAATACTTACGGTTTTGCCAGTACTAAAAAAGGCAGTAGATTGATAACATTTATAGGATTCTTGACAAATATAAGTTTTAGAACCAAAAGAAATCAGTTCAAGAACATGATCCAACTTATTAGGTGCTAATCAAACAAAAATTCAGGATTTTAATGGCCTTTCATAACTTCTTGCAGTGATCTATTAACTACATGACATGATTTCCCAAGATTCTCCATAAGTTATTAAAGATAAGTTGAACATAATATCAGAACTGAGTCACGCAATATTTGTATATGGTACTATGTAGTGTGAGGCAGGATAGACAAAAAGCATAAGAAATGTCAGCTCCCTAAGCCTATTCATCATCTGGAACCCCATCTACATTATATGAGAATAGCATCAAAAATATTAATCAAATAACAAAATAATCAAATATGTATATGCAATTCAAACACGTGAGAGATTAGGTTATGCACAAACTGTCGATAGAACCCATTAAAAACAAGCACCTGTTGTTCCTGCAACTGTCTTTGTTGCTCCTCCTCCTTGCGCCTCTCTTCAGCAAAAGCAGCTTCAGCTTCTTCCTTGGCCTTTAATTCTTTCTCTCTGTCAGCTTGTAATGCAGCAAGATACTCATCGTCCTGCAGTACATGACGTGTATTTACAATCAACAGTAACTTAAAAGTCTAGGCACCACTTGAGTTCATCAAGCAAACCTGTTGTTCTCGTATCAATCTCTGTGCAGTGACAGACGGGGATGGAGGACGAGGTAAGTTTCTGGAGTAAGGGCCCATGGATCTGCTTAAACCGCTCTCCATGGGCTGATGAGGTGCATAAGGAAAATGATATCCAGTTCCTTCAGGAATGCCACCAAACATCGCAGCCTCAAGCATTACAGCTTCATCATGTTCTTCAGATGAGATACCACCCCACTTCAAACAGATTGCAACACACATAAGAATCTTTGGTAAATATTTTCAATTTTGTGTACTTAGAAAAGGAGGGATACTTACAAGCACCAAGTAAATTACATAATTTAGCAGAATGTGTGTGTCAATAATAATGATACTAATAATAATAAGAATAACACTACCTCTTTCACATAAAAATGTGCTCAAACTTTTGGACACAGACTTTAATGCGGGTGTGTATTTTTTTGATACATATTGACTTTCATAGTAGAAAAAGTACAACAGATAATATGGATTTTTTTTACTAAAAAGAGAAATAGGAACAGTTTTAGATGACAGAAAGGCGAGCACATTTATCGATGACAGCAGGAGTACTAAATAAAATAATAATAATAATAATATAGGCTTTGTTCTGACATAATTTTCCATACAACGGATAAGAAAAAGTACTTCAAACTAAAACACTAAATGAACACACTCATAGTCACCTCATCTGAAGGGAAATTGCCTCCGGTATTCTGCGAATTATTATTGTTATAGATTTGACGAGGACTTGAAGGTGGACTGGCTTCTACTCCTCCATTATCCTCTGGGGAGTCTATTGAACTTGAGGCCACACGCCTTCTCCTGTGCCTAATCAGTTGTATGTCTTCTACATCTTCATCTTCATCTTGAATAGATGAACTTCCAAGTTCCAAATGAGATTGCCTGCAGAAACCATGAAGCAGAAAATAATTGCCTATAGATGGAAAAAAAATGCAATTGCCTACCACCCAATTATTTTATCATCTGCTTGTTATGTGAAGAATCACTTCTATAAAAGGACTAATTTCCAGATCCAGAGAACCCTAATGATTCCGGCTTGTAATAATTGATGTAAATTTGTGGACTAATGTTTTGGAGCTCAAACATAGAAAATTGATACTACAATGGATATATCAGATTTATCTGTTCCCCATAGGCTTCAATACTTCAGACAATAGCATGAAAATCTCATTCATTTTTTTTTTTCAAAAAACATCAACTAAGCGCAAGAAAAATCAGTTGTGTCATAAGGTCCAAATAACATAAAGAGATTGGTGGCAAAAAAGGTATCTACCTTCCATTTGAAATTTCTGTTTTCCCCATTTCCTCTGGTAAATCTGATTTCTTTGCGTCACCTCCTGAAGATCCAATTTCCCCTTCTACTTCCCTCAGTGCCTTTTCTTTCTCTGCAGTCTGGATTTACCTAATGTTAAGCCACTACTAATATGATTCAAAATAAAGCATGCAAAGGTAAGAGCAAACCTGCAATGAAAGGGAAACTGCCTGTGCAAGATCAGGATCTTCAAGGTGAGACTGCACACGCTGGGGAGGAGGAAATTCATGATCCTGCATCGGTACATAGCTCTTGAGAATAGTTGAAATAAACAACATCCAAGGATAATAGAGAGCCCTTAAAAGGTTGTACTACATACAATACTGCTATATTGTTGGGTTGACATTACAGCATCCTTCTTTGAAGCCTCAATGGCTGCTCGTATCATTTCTTCTTCTATGTCATTGCTGTAGTCATTGTCAGGGACATCTACGATGGTAGGAGCACTTGGACCAGATTGCACAGGGCTACCTTGATTCCCATGTCTATCATGTGTACTTGCTGGGTTTGGAGTATATGTAGTGTCATCATCATCGTCATCTAATGTGACAGCCCCGCGCACTTCTGGCCCATGATCATATGCAGTTTCACTAACATCTTCAATGACAGGAGCACGACCAGTATTATCAGATGCCCCACCGCTGTCTTTAACCTCAATAGGAATCTCCCTCACCTCTCTTGGGTGGGAAACAAAAGGAGAGCGAGATGAAATATTGGTACCAGGATCAAATATACTTCTGGTGAGGCTTGGATCTAATAGTGAGAATGGATTAATATCACTAGAAAAGGGCAGGCGGGAAGGAGGTGGTCTCCGCAAGCCAACTTGCATTGGATCATCAATGTCCATATCATCCCCCTGAGGGACAGTCAAGGATGCCTCTGGAACTCTGAACAAAGAAACAGGAATGTGGTATATGATGTGAGTTGCATCATTGATGATTACAAAAGAAAATCAGAGATTTACTCTATCCAAATAAGTAAAGATATACTAACATATTTCGATCTCCTTCACTGAAATGCGCATTAATAGCTTCATTGAGGTTGCCATGATATTGCTGCTCAACCAATAATACGACACAAAAGTTAACATAAAACCAAGAGAAGTGCAAATACAATTCAATGAAAGTACTTCAGATTACATGTTGTATTCCAAGAAACTTAAGAGGGGTATTTGTTTGTGTCTTGGGTGTATGTAATGTTTTAAATAGAAACTAATATTTTAAATAAAAAACGTGTCAGAATGTGATTTTAGTGGGGTGAGGGGGTGGGGAGGGGGGGTAGATTATTGTGTTGGAGGGTGCGAAGCCAAAAACAAGTTTGAAAAACACAAACTAGCACACCCAACTTTAGAAAGAAGGGGTGCACATTATCAATTCACCTTCATTAATTATTCAACCTAACCATACATCATTGCAGGTATCCCCAGTAAAAAAAGGAAAAAGAAAAGAGGAAAACCTTGAGAAAAACCATCATCGTTATTGATTCACTAAAGTCAGTTATGAAACCAAATTAGAACGAACAAAAGCGGTGTTGATGGAGAACAATATTTTGGCTAAACTTCGAAGACTGCCAACAACTCCCTAAGATATATGTAATGTAGAACATTTAAAGCCAAATAAAAATTTCTGATTTTTAGAACTTCGAAGCTGGCGCTACATCTTGATGCTCAAAAATCCATACCGAACATAAGTTCCACAGACATCATTCCCAATTTCGCACACACAACACCAAATTCAAGACACTAAAAGGTTCTCCAACTCCACTACATATACAAAAAAATATATATCATGAAAAAAAAAAAAAAACCCTAACTCCTCACAGGCTCAACTATTGCACGCCCTGCGCTCATCAAGTCCAAAAAAACACCAAAAATCCAAATGGAAACTCATTCTGAAATAAAACCGGACAATCCAATTCCCAGGAAACTGATCCGACCTAACGAACAGAAACGATTTACCACGACAATCACCATAAACATAGAAAATAAATAAATAAACTACCTCCAATTTCTGAATTGCTGTGGCTTCAGGAGCGCCGGTGATGCTCATGAAAGTATCGATAGCTTCTCGATCAGGCCTCGCCATCGCTTGCCGAACAATTTTAATTTACTAATTTCCCAAAATCAAAAGCAGTGCTGTGTCACGAAGGGAAAATCGGAATTGGTATATATAAGGAAGAGAGAGGACTGAGTTGTCCAATTAGCCCGAGTCAAGGGTAAATTCGTCAATTCAAGTTCCACAGCATTCCAGACTATCACGCCTTCTCCCGATCTGGGCTTTAGAATATCTCTTCGTCTTGGGGCGTAAGTTAGCCCTTTATTAATCAAGGAATATTTCCAAAATTACAAATAAAATAAATAAATATATATATTTTTTCGCCTGAACTTGTTCATATAAATTTATTATTTCTATTATTTTTTTGCAAGCTTTTATGTTAGATAATGTTCTTTTAAAAAAATTAAAAATTAAAAATTTGTTGCAGGTGGATTGTGCCCTAAAAATATGTTTTGAATCCATCTATTTTCATCTCTATCTATAAGAATATAATAAAATTTGAATATTTGATTGTGAATAAATATTTAAAATGATATTTAAAAAATATATTATTAATAAATAGTATCTAAAGTTTTCAAAATAGGTTAAATAAATAGTTGAAATATGGATTATGGCCCCAGGTCCCTTGAACTACTAATGTACCATTTGGGTCCAAAATTTTATTTTTTACACTATGTATTCATTTAAAAATGTATATTAATTTATTTTTTTTTTTTTATGAAAATATCTAATTAAATATTTAATTTTTTCAGTTGTTGCAAAATTTCACAAAAAAAAAAACAAAATCTAAACTGAATCATGACAGTTGAGATTACTCTCCATGATCCATGCTTAAGAGTTGCTGATGAATTGGTACCATCAAGAGATACTCAATTATGTTTTTGACAATTAAATTATATATACACTAATTTAATTTTCAGGTAAGTATTCATTAATCAAAGTGAAGATAGCAACAACAAATTATAATTTGTTTAGATCTATTTCAACAATATTAATTTCCAAATTGAAATGATTTTGGTTACATTTTGCATAATATTAGCATATCCAACAAACTCAAATAAAACAGCCTAATTTAATGAATCTGATCAAATCAGAATTTAAATTGATCAAATCTAATATAAACAATAAATTACTCCCTCCTCCCATTCAAATAAGCCCATTTATTAAAATAATGTAAAAAAAATAAAAAATAGTTGCAGTTGTTTAGAAATTTAGTTAGAAATTAAATAAAAATAAAATAAAATTAATGATATTTATTGTAAATAAACGTTTTTAAAAAATAATAACTTTGATTTCATTCTGAGCTCCATATATGTTGAATTTAGGTTTTATTTGTATTTAAACAAAGGTTTGGGTTTTTATATGAGCTTGACGTATTATAAGTAAACATAGGTTTCATATTATACAGTTTACAATGAAATACTATTTTCTTAATAAACCAATGAATAAACTTTTTTAGTTGTATAATTTAAATGTCCAGTATTTATCGAAAAAGTGATTTGATTGATGATAACAATTTTCCACCTTAACAATAGGAAGAAAAAAAAATCAAATTCAATAGAGATAACTGAACTGAAGACAAATTACTCACAATACTTTGTTAATATCATAAATAATATCTTTTGAATTACGAGTCCAATACATTTTATTTAGCAAAAAAACAAAAAACAAAAAAAAAACAGACATTTCTTCTTGCTCATTATAAGACAACAATCACTTATTCATAAACTTTTTGCTCAACTATTTTTTTAATCAATAAGTTTCAAATTCAAAACACAGTCAAATTCCAGAACACAGACAAACGCATCTTACCTAATTAACTATGTTATTTAATTTATGATATATATAATATAGATATAATTTCATAGAAAATAAAATTTTATATATTAAAAATAAATAGATAAATAAATAATCTTTATTTTATTAATACAAATTAATTTTATAAAAACATATAATTTTAAATATATATTTATAGAGCCATCTGATAAAATTAATAATCGAATACATTTATTGAATAATTTGTTTTCATAGAACAGTACTTCCTGACAGTCATCATCAACATACTAAATATTTTTTAAAATTTTCTTTTCCAGCCATAAATATTTACGGCTAAAAGCGTGTTAACGTGGCAGCACTTACGTTCAGCGTTTTAATTTCAGCGAAGGAAAAAACGTGCTTGGCTGTAAATTGGTCAACCCTAATTATTATTTAAAAAAAAAAAATTAATTACTTGAGCGAGTAACAAAACACTTATTCTGGGAGTTTACGCCTAAGTAAATTAAATAAACATAATTGGTAACCTGAGGTGAAACATAAAATTTACTAAAGGAATATAAAAATCATTTAATTATACTGAGATAACATAAACAAATACAGCAGTCAAGGCTAACGTGTTTGACCGAGTTTAATGTCTCCAGGTTAATGGGACTCAACAGTTGGATTAGCGAATATAATCAAATTCAAAATTTATATGTGAAGAATAATAAGGACATCAATTTAAACTCAGGATGTTCTGTGCTATACTTAGGTGGGTGGGTGGCATGCACATATAGGGTTCCTATTCAAAAGATTTTAAAATAATAATGAAATGGGATGATCACAAAGTTGAATCATAGAATTGGTACTTCAGAACAAAATTAATAAATTCTAATTTGAATTTCCACCAGAGAAATAAATTTGAATCCATAGTAACAGAAGGAGAGTTTTCTAACCTGTTGCAGTAATACACGATTCCAAGATGCAGCAGGCAAAGGCAGCCATGACACCTCCTGGCAAGGTCTCTGCACCACATAGTCTGAACAGGTTTTTATTCCAGAGATGACTAAAAGTACTCTCTCTCTCTCTCTCTCTCTCTATATATATATATATATATCATTCAACATTACTTGTTAAAATATACCTGGTGAGCACTGCAGGGGATTCTATATTGTAATCAAGAATTGATTGAGCTGTCATTATTCTGCATTCCATTGTGGAGACACTTCTAATCCTCATCAGGCAGTTGGTTTAATGACAAACACCGCCCAAAAGCCATGATGTTAAAACAGTTTACATATATGTATGTAGAGAGGTAAGGTTCAAATTCTCATGTATTATTTTAACTTTTAAGACTCCAAACTGCACACGGGTGTTGAGGGAATTCATACAGAGACAACCAGACAAAGTTTATAGATCAATGTGCTGACAATACTCAAGGCCAGCCGGCCATTCATTAGTGCCTAAAAATTGATCCAAGAATGAATCTTGATCCACGATTGGGGTGAAAAGATGAAAATCTGCAGTTAACTTATAAGAAAGCAAGAATTTCTAATAGTACCTGACCTGGTAACGGCCAAATTACAGTTAGTCATCGAAAGATGGTTTGAGCCCGTGCCTCTATAATGGAAAAATAAGTTCAATTGTTATGCCTCTATCATAACATGCATATAGCTTGTTAAAAAAGGATTTTAAAATGAAGATTTTCATTGAACTGCAGATTTAGTAGGTATGTAGAAATCTAGAAAAGCAACCATTCTTAAAAAACTGTGCTTATGCATATAAGATTCAGAATTGGATTCTGAGATAATGTACAGCTCAAGAAGATCTAGGATGAGATCCATTCCCCAATTTTAGAAAAAGATATCTAGATAATAATTGAGGGAGTAACGGTGCAAGGAATGAGGAACTGCTATTATGGTGTTCTTGATAGCGAAGTAGTTGCATAGAAACAAGGACATGGAAATAAGATGACGCCATGACAGCATCCTCCAGATTCTCAGTAATGTAATCAGTTAGAAAAGCACATTGTTAAATCAAGTCAAAACGGGGCCCATTTTTGGCTTATATGAGAACTAGTTTGTCTCCTAATCATATAGAATGCTCATAACAAATACTTATTGCAACTGCCTATTGGTGGGTTTAAGTTTCACAGCTCACAGATACATGAAGGGGAGAAAGCATCCTGTGGCCTTCATTAATCATGCTCAATTTCTACAAATATTTTATTAAGTGTTGACGAAGGATCAAGGGGGGCACAGGAGACAGAATTATTCAATTGGTTATTTGCACCTTTTGTGTACAACTAACTTAACAAAAAATTGTCAACTAAAGTAGTTGCAGATTCTTGCCTGTCTATCTATATAAGCAGTTGTCTGCGAGGGTATCAGACCAGCAGCTTCTATGCAGCACTGTCTCCTCTTTCCTCTTGAGTTTCTCATTTCCTACAAAAACCTGCAAAAAAAGGTTATTAAACAATTTTGTCTTCAGGAAATACTCTGTACATTTTTCCTTTGAGAAATTTCAACAATGTACTCACCACTTTTCTACATTGGAACTTTACTGCTGGTAGCCATTTTCAACTGGATTTACAAATGGAAGAATCCAAGGTGCAATGGGGTCCTCCCACCAGGTTCAATGGGATGGCCACTTGTTGGAGAGACACTTCAGTTCTTTGCTCCCAACACTTCTTCCGACATTCCTCCGTTCGTAAAGGAGAGAATGCAAAGGTAATCTCACAGGCAATCCTTCTGTCAAATAACCATTTTCATCTTTCTAATCACACACACACACACATGTATATAATTTGCCTATCTGCGAACTTCTCAGATATGGATCGATATTCAAGACTAGTTTGGTGGGACGGCCTGTTATTGTATCAACAGATGCAGATCTTAATTATTACATCTTCCAGCAAGAGGGAAAGCTGTTCCAGAGCTGGTATCCTGAGACCTTCACTGAAATATTTGGCAGGCAGAATGTGGGTTCTCAGCATGGTTTAATGTACAAGTACCTTAAGAATATGGTGCTGAATCTCTTTGGCCCTGAAAGCCTTAAAAAGATGCTTCCAGAGGTTGAGAAAGCATCGATGAAAAGCCTGGAAAGATGGTCTCACCAGAATGTGATTGATATGAAGGAAGCAACTGCACAGATGATATTTGACCTGACTGCAAAAAAGCTAATCAGCTATGATGCAAAAACATCAACTGGAAATCTAAGGGAGAATTTTGTTGCTTTCATAAATGGTTTGATCTCCTTTCCTTTGAACATTCCAGGAACAGCCTACCACAAATGCTTACAGGTATTTTGTCTATATTTGGTAATATTTCCATATAAATGACAAAACCACCATAACATGAAGCAATCTCACTACTATCTTTGACCTGCAGGGTAGAAAGAAGGCAATGAATATGCTGAAAACCATGCTACAAGAAAGGCGGAAAAGCCCAAGGAAAATCCAGAGTGATTTCTTTGATTATGTCTTGGAAGAACTTCAGCGTGAAGATACAGTTCTCACAGAGCCAATAGCTCTTGACTTAATGTTCGTATTGCTCTTTGCAAGCTTTGAGACAACCTCATTAGCAATCACTTTAGCAGTTAAGTTTCTGCTAGATCATCCACTGGTTTTGAAAGAACTTATGGTAAGTAAGCAAATATGAGTACTCTCTATGAATCAACTAAGATTGACCCTTGGTGTTGTATTCAACCTAACATGTTTACATTTGCTCCAGGAAGAGCACAACACAATTATTCAAAGGAGGGAAAGTTCAGAGTCTGGATTGACATGGAATGAATACAAATCAATGAAATTCACATTTCAGGTGAGCTATAAACATCTATATCTTCTAAGGATTTTGGCGAGTGTTTTGCAACAATGAAGTTCACTAGTAAGATTATTATGCAGGTTATCAATGAAACAGTCAGATTGGCCAATATAGTACCAGGGATTTTCAGAAAAACACTGCAAGAAACCAAATTCAAAGGTGTGGTTTCAAACCTCAAATCTTATCAAGTTTCTTTTGCTACTGTTTCACTAAACTAAGATGATTTTATACCTTACAATGCAGGGTACACAATTCCTGCTGGTTGGGCTGTCATGGTATGTCCTCCAGCTGTGCACCTAAACAGCACCAAATATAAAGATCCCCTCGACTTCAATCCATGGAGATGGGAGGTAAGTTTTCCATACACGATGTGTATGTGTGTGTGTGTGTGTGTGTGTGTGTGTGTGAAAATACTCCAATGACTTAATTGAAATACGGATGCATACTGAAGGGAATAAATACACACGGTGCATCAAGAAACTTCATGGCCTTTGGAGGAGGCATGAGGTTTTGTGTTGGAACAGATTTCACAAAGTTGCAAATGGCTGTATTTCTTCATTGCCTCGTAACAAAGTACAAGTAAGAATATAAAACATACCACCATTTCTTGTGCATGATTGAAGGCGCATATTTATATTTAGCCTCCTTTGCCTCTAAATTCCAGGTGGGTATCATTCAAGGGAGGGAACATTCTTCGAACACCTGGTCTGCAATTTCCAAATGGATTCCACGTTCAAATAACTAAAAAAGACCCATAAGAGAAGGAGCCTGACTAAAGATCATGGACAGCTACGCCATTGGATGGGTGAAAGCAGGGACTTTCAAGAATCAACTAGGTAAAAGATACACAAAAAGGGACATGTAAATGAATGGTCCGTCATATAGGGGAGCGATTGATGCAGGGAAACTAGTCGGGGATTCAAGAAACATTTTGGTTCATTACGTTTACACAACATATACGGTACAGACAATGACAGGTCAAGGAAATCCACAGAAAGAAACATTCATTCAGAATATCCTCTGTGAATATGTAAAGTTTAATTGTTACCTTTTTTACACTGTTTCACTTTTTTGCTTTTCCTACAGAATATGATGCACTAGCGAAATGTATCAATGACTATACTGTTTTGATTGGACCACATTATTTTTTCGAATCAAATCACAAAAAATTAATGGATCGAACATGTGAAAACAAAATGAGCCGAACCCAAAAAGCATTTGGGTTCAGTCCATTTAGCATTTAAATGGAAATGACGAAGCCGCCAGTCCCAGTTGCTTGATGTAACAGAGAAACCCTAACCCTACGATCGTTATATAATATGTGCGTACGGCATATAAACCTAACCCTAGAACACAGTTCAATAGTGCGTGCGTGTGTGCGTAGTGTGACCGTCTCCATATCGGTTTCCATGTCGATTTCTATATTCCTATAATTCTGATTCTGATTCTAAAGCTGGAAGGACGGGCGGCTGTGATTAAAAAGAGAGAGGGTAGAGTTGCGGAGATAGATGAAAGATTGTGAAGGTTTCGATGTTGCAGCCCCCTCTGTGAGACACAGAGGGCTGGCTTTTGGCACACAATAGACTTTCATCTTCAATTTCATCTATCAGTTATTCGCCACTATGAATTACCTTTTCCCAATCTACACTTGATATGAGCCTCTCTCCTTCCTTCCTTCCTTTGTTCGTTGTTCGTGTTCATCATTTTGCTTAAATTTATCTTTTGAAGCAGCTCCGGTGCCAGTAGGCTGATCCGTGGGCTTATCGGAATTCGAGAGAAAGGTAGCGGCTAATTTAGGAATGGTCCTGCATTGTTTTGCAATTTAACCCCTAATTTTCGATACAATTCTAAACTGGACCCATTTATTATAGATTGAACCCAAGTACTATCAACCCATATAATTTCGGTCACACAACCAATTAACCCATAAATATTTGATTTAATATTTTAATATTTGATTTAATATTTTATACAAAAAAATATATATAATATAATATTTTTTAAAAAATGAATAATGACCCATGAACAAAAATTTGTTATACAAATTATAGTTATAAAGTTATATATATAGAGAGAGAGAGAGAGAGAGAGAAAAAAAGCAAAAATTATTTTCAGGGTGGAGAAAAAATAAAATAAAAATGAAAGATCTCGTTGAGTTCTTTGGACATTGGAGCAACGTGAATGTTACAAGTACAATTTATTTATTAATTTAAACTAATCTGCTAAACAGCCTGCTGCTGCTGCTGCTGCTGCTGCTGCTGTTGCTGCTTAAGTAGTGATGGCCTTTGCTCGATCATTTCATACTGCAGAGTAAAGTTTTCCTGCAAAGATACAACAGAATTAGCAACCACAAAATTTGTTGTTTAGTTGTTCCAGGACAAGCAAGACCATGAGCAACACAAACCTTTCTTGCTGTCTGCCAGGTATTGGGATCAAAACAGAAGTAGCAACCGCGTTCGTAAGTGCTCGTCTTGATCAGAGGTTCCATAGCTGTTGCCCTGGTTAGCCACACGCGGTGCTCTCGGTGATAGAGCCATCCCCTGTTGCAGCTGCAAACGGAAGAATGTACAACAAGTTGGGTGAGATCATAGCAGGCAAACTCCATGGATAAACACACAGCGACCATATGTTATCAATTGAACACTTTTGATCAGCACAAAACACTGTGTTGCTGAAATAAGAAAAGATATGGCAACTTACAGTTCATTTGCTGCAAAGAGCTGTTCCTCGCTTTTCGGCATGCTATAGGGTAGACATAATAATAGCAAAGATTAGAATTGTCGTATTGCAGGACCCAACTGAAACCTTAGTTCAGTTACCTGTAAAAGATGTAAAACAATGTCTCTGGCCGGAATCTTGTATAGGAGCCTTGCTGCACCGATAAATGAGTTACAAACGGTACGAGTGTGATTCAAGTGCTATCCTACCCTGCATAACTAAATCATAGAAAAAAACTACCTTCAGTGGAGGGCTTGTTTTAGTATAATAACACTCGGGAACATTGTACTCTGGCTCTCCTCTGACAGGATCCTCGGACCAGGGAGATGCAAACTTATTGTGGATAGGCTCGGACGAGTTTAAACTCAGACCAAGAGTTGTCAGGTCAATTCCAAGTGAGAGAGAAGTCAAAGCTGGATTCACCATTTTTACAATGTTTGCTAAACTGAGCATACCGTATTGATCAGGTAAGGCTTGGGATCCCTGAGAGGATCTAATCTCTTTATCTCTGAACGGATTGACAAAACGAGACTGAGGTTGCAAGAATTGCTGGTACTGCTGAGAAAATCCCAAGCAATGGGAAGCCACAAAATAATTATTACAGCAGATCAATGACTTACATTTTGAAAATAATGAAAATTATCAACATGCTTACCTCAGAACCATAGATATCTTGGTTGCCTGATGTTAGATAGGAAACCCCACTTCCACTTATTGATGAAGAACGATGTTGTGGCGGATGATGAGATGAATAGGCGGTTCCAAAATTAAAACTAGAAGACCTTCCCATCTAGAAAATTACTAGGCAGTAAGTAGACAGGTGTTTACAAAGTCCCAAGTAAACCATATTCGAGTACCATAACTTACAGGTATTTGAGGTAATTGCTGAGATTGCATTAAATTAGTCATACTGTCATGGATTGGCTCTTTTGGGTGTGCGTTGTGAGTATATTCTGCCGTACCGCCAACATTAAGACCACCTGTATTTTATAAAGGCGTATACAACAATTACAGTATCCTGATAAAACAATATTTATAAATCCGAGTGACATTATCTGAAAGCACAATGGTTCTTGTAAATTCTCAGTTTATACTGGCTCTTGACTAAACATTAAATAAAGATTGCTAAGAATGAAACTGATATTGCTGTTTATTCCAGAAATCCAATATCAAGCATAGTCACACACTATATGCTACTGTTGGATAATCTCTTAACTCTCTAGCGACATTGTTGCATCGAGATAGATACATTCTAACACCTTTCTTCATAGCATAGCTAATTTAGAATAAACTTCATTCTGCTTTTCCCCCTTATTTAGATTTAGTTTACCTGTGGAACAAAGAAGCCTTAACAGCTATGCATCTTAAAACTTTTATGTCTTTGGAAAATCAGCCGCTATATTCACACATTAACATGATATCCACACAAATGCTACAACTTTAATAAAGTTCCAAGAACCCCCCAACCAAAAGAAGATCAATCAGATGGAATATAAGCAAAACAAAAGTAGAACACCTTGACTAAGAAAGTATAAACTGTTGTTTCAGACAATTGACATACAAAATAGAATGTACAGGTTACCATAAGAAGATATGGAGCTGTCTGTGATAGCAGAAAGGCACAGAATAATCTATTTGGAAATCATTGATCGAATTAGTAATCTTTTGCCAAAAGCATTATTCAGGAGACCCCCAAATCATGTAGATTTACAATGGACCATATAGAGATTAAATCAATCTGCAGTGCACATGATATGTCTCTAAAATAAGCACCTTTGTATCCTGGTAAAGCAGGGAAATCCTCATTCTGAATGCTAAATTCCTGGTTCTGTTGGGTGAAACCAATGTTATGCTTTTGCAGCAAACCTTCATATTAACAATGGTGAGACTACAAAAAAATAACAGGCAATAGCAATTTGATGCGACCATTAGTTGCATTACCTATCTGACCATGAGAACCTCCAGCAGAAGTAGGGCGTCCTGATAGCTGAGGAAAATCGTTTATATCAAAATTAGCACTGTCATGGATATTCACATCATTTAGTAATGCCATATAACTAATATTATTATTCCCAGCTTGAAACTGATTTTGAGACACTGGCACACCAGCACCAGAATAAGAATTGCCAAGCATGGACATGACCTGTGGACCTGAGAATTTAACCCATCATAAAAAAACAGCAACAAAAGTAGCATGCCACATTACTTTTTCATGATTCCAAGTTAGCACATTCCGGATGAATATTCTGTGACCCCACCACATTACTTTCCTTGGTTCCAAGTTCACAAGTTCTAATGAATAATCTTCGGTATGGTACAGATTAACATTAATACATCTGATACCAGCATATAAAGATAAGCACCCACAAGCAGCCAGTATACATAAATTTTGGCTGGGCTTTTATTTCAAAATTTTAGCAACTATCTGGTTTGTGTAAGATGATGTTTTGAGCAGCCCCAACTACTCTCTTCATGAAAACCAAGTATAAGCACGCATCTAGAAACTTCGGTGTGCAAGGAAGAATATTGGTAATAAAATCATACCACTAAAATTCAGCCGAGATGCAAGGCCAGGAATATATCCCGCCCCACCAGAGCTTGGACCTCTAGAACTATTGCCCCCACCCCCCAAACCACCTATAGCATTTGAAATTATTCCTCCGCTTATATTTGGAAGCACACCTGGCCCTAAGAGTACAAATTACGCAATCAGAGGTTATGTATGCATATATGTAATTTACATTATAATATAGATAACACCCTACCCACAGTATTTGCACCTCCTGAACGAGTATGTGAACTTCCAAGAGATAACTACATGGGAAGTAGAAATTGTACAAATTATTAACATGAAATAATTTAATGTATATGCAAGAAATTAACATGAAAGATTGATGTAGTCAACCAAAAAGCTCGACAGAATGTTATACCTGAGATAATGCATTAGGAAGACTGTTTACTGCATATCGCCCATTAGACACACTTCCTGGAGTTTGTTGGACACCACTTGGAGGAACACCAAGATTCATCGAATTTCTTGACGCCAAAGATCCAGGTATGTTTGTCATGTTATAGTTACCAAGCATGCTATGGAGCCCTTGAATGTTTCATAGTTAATGAGTAGAATGCGTATTATTTTATTTTTATACATCTCCTGTAATAATTCTTAACCCAACACTTGTTATATACCTACCAGACTGATTTAAAACAGCACCAGAGGAACCCGACTGAACAGAAAATGAAGTTGCAAAAACTCTTCCAGGGTTATCTGGAAGGTTTGAATTTGATCCATTCAATCCTGGCTGCATCAGAGTTATAGTGCACATTTAACATCAAGACATATTCAAAATTATTGAACTTGCAACCATGTGCAATTGGCTTGACACTGTATCCCTACATGTTGTGAGGAATAAAGGACAAAGATGGATTTCTACTTCATTAATCCAATATGTACAGTAGCAATGTGACACACATAAAGGAACTAAGCAGGTGAAAGAAGGAAGAAACTTACACTGAGAATCCCCGACATTTTTTATTCCTCAAAAGAAAAGGGGGCAAAGGTCATTCGTCTTCCAGGGAGAACTCTTAACTTCGTTACCAATTTATCAGTAAAATTTTTATGAGAACCTAATAAAATCAGGGATCAAGATATTAGAGTCTGCAACTGGAAAATTGATCTCATGAAACAATTCACATATTTTCAAAGTTGACTTTAGTTGAATAACAATTAGCAACTTTAACGAAAGACTGCACAGATAATAAAAGGAAACCATTAAGATCAACATGTGGGAAAATTTGGCCACTAAGTTATAGGTCCTTCATATGTATAGGATTTTCTTGGAATATCGATGAAATTATTATAAACCTCGAAGAGGTGCAGAGAGTATACATTATAGTGAACAAAATTAAATTCAACACCCATCCACAGCTGGGCATTCTCAATACTTCTTGGTTCATGTATCAAAATAACTATCAATATCCTTCCATCTGATGAACAAAGTCGATAGAAATATTTGGTTCTTCAAGCTACACTTGGGTTTTCCAATGAAGCATAATAACATATTCAAACACACTTGGCTTTGATATTATTAGATCAAATCCCAGCAATATTTGTTATTCTAACCCTAGGGTTCTAATGCCAAATTGATTGCTAGGCATACAAGAGGACTTCGTCCAATAGTTAGCCACAGTAAGTTCACAATTTTGTTCTCCAATGCCAAAAAAATTTGGAAACGTAAATGCAGGTGATAGGCAACCTCTTCACCTAATTACTTCCCTCATCAATCTCCGACATGAACTAGAAGAAGAAAGAAATGAAAATGATCAAAATCACAATCTAAAGTAAAAATGGAAAGCCATTGAACTCAATTTCTTCCGTACACAATCCTCAAATCGGAACCAGTCCGAGAAACGCAATCAAACGCAACAATTAAATTCCTCACAAGACAAGATCGAAACGCCAAGTCCAAAATTCCCACATACATTCAAATTTCAATAATAATAAAACGATAACAGATTCAATTCTATGAACAGATAGAGCGATCCAGTACCTTCAGAAGATACCGACCAGTTAGAGCTGACCTGCGATGATAATCAATCTACGCACAAAAAAAAAAAATAAATAAAACGATCCTCCTCGAAAAAATAGCGATTCAATTGTCAACCTCTTTATCAATCATCATCACCAACAACTCTGTACAATCGCAGTATCACTGTCCCTGAAAAAAACCAACCCAAACCATTCTCTACCTTTTACATATATTCGGGCCTTTATCGTAGTCTCCCCTAGCCCAGAACTGCAGCACACCCCACCCACCCTATCAGGCCCACATCATAAACAAAAAAAAAAAAACAGAACATTTTGGTTTTCCAATACAGGCCAAGGGGAAGAGTATATTCTTGTGGCAATTGCCATGTTGACTTCCATAAGCAGATCAATGAAGGTCTTAAGCTCCTTGCTGGGGTTGGCCAATGGCCATTCACTACTTAATTGTTTAATTGTTTCTTCTTAATCTTCTCTATCTGGAAGGGAAGGGAACACATGCGGGTCAATAATGAAACACAAAAAATTGTACCGCAAGCATCTGCTTCATTGGTGGAATCATTTAACCATAAACAAATAAGGGTGGCTGTAGCTTGAATATGAGACCGTACCATCATCGTTAATCTATTATTTATAATAATAATTATTATATATTCTCAAGTTTATAAAATACATTGTATCAAGATTTGGGTCTTCCAAGGTTGATTTAAAATCCCTTTCATATTTTATTACATTTTGTGTCAAGCTTTGCATCTTAGTCCTATTATTGTTCTTTAAAATTTTATATTCAAAAAATTTTAAATTATATTATTAAATGAGATAAATTATATTGAATTATATTGTAAACATGGTGAATATTTATATATCCATCAAGAAAATAATTAATCCACCAAACTTAGATAATATGGAATGAATGGTTTTGATCATGTTTTGTTTTTTTATTTTTTTAAATTTTAATATTAATTTCTTTTTAAATTCTGTATATTTTTTTATTGTAACTATGTAGAGTGAGTAGCATTGTTTCATGTTAAGATCACAAAAAAAAAAACTATATGATTTTTATTTTACAAAACTTATATATATTTTACTCACTCATAAAAAATTAATAAATTAATTAATAATATTATTTTTTTTTTATATTACAAATACAAAATTTCATACTTCTATCCAAACACACAAAATTAACAAACTCATTATTTTATATTAAATTATTATTATTTTTATAAATAAATAAAATATGTATAGTATCAGTATATAGTGTGAATGTATAATATTTTTATTTTTATTTTTTGAAATATTAATCATTTATAGATATGATCCATACATAGTAAATTTATAATCAAATTTAGGCTGAATTTTCAAGTTTAATGGTGTATTTGAAGTTTTGAATTAGGGTTGGCTTCTAGATTCCGTTATTATTATTATTATTAAAAATATATAATTACAAATGTATGTATATATATTCAAAATATCATATAGATGTATATTTAAATGATATTACAAACTTATCTAATAGTAAAACATTCTACATTTTCAAGTCCAAATAGTAACTCTAAAAGTCACATTTTAACTTTGATATTTGGAATTCAATTTAGGGTTTGTTTTATTTATTTATTTCAAATACAAATAAGCATAATTAATTCATGGTTCTTCATAAATCAAGCTTAAAGAAAATTTTCAATTTCAAATCAACGCTAATCAAACTCGGGGTGCAAAACACGTGTTTTACAAAAAAAAATAAAAAATTAATATATTACATATATTTATTATTTTTATATTACTTACACAATTATTTATATCTCAGGTAAAAAGTAAAAATATTCATTCCAACTATTTTACGAAACAAATGATAATAAGAGATTTGAACACATTCAAGTAAAAATTTCAAAATCATTTTATATTTCTACACATATTTTAATTTGTTTGGGGTTTAGATTTTGAGTTTGAGATTTGAACAGTAAAATTTTTGAATTTGAATAGTTGTATGATATGATATAAATAGGTGTTGATGTAATATTTTGAATGTAAAATTGATTTTTACTATCATATATATATATATAAATAGGTTTTCATTTGATATTTTTCGAGATTTTTATTTTTTATTTTTGATAAATAGAAGATTTTGAAGAATGTCCTCCAAACAAACACACCCTCAATACAACATGTGATATTTTTATTTATCGACTGTACTTATTGTTTCTTTACAATATGTTATTAACATCATCCTGATTTTTTTCATTCATCATTAACATCGCCTTTTGCATTAAATGATCGAACATTTATTTATTATTTTAAATTATTATTATTATTATTATAGATATATTGACTTCAACCAACTTGTTTCATTTTCAACACAAGTGTGAATCGCATTTAAAAAATCTAAGACATAATTATTTAGATGTATATATTTTTGAAAAGTTGTTTCAAAAAATTATATATAGAACATTTATTTTCTCTTATAAAATATTATATAAAATATTTTATTTATTTATTTATTTTACTATTTTAAAAAATCTTCAAAAATTTTTGGAACTCTTGTCTAAACAAAGCCTAAATTAGTTCATGTCGCAACAAGAAAAATACCCAAATTCAAATTTCAAAATGATTCATTAATTATGTAAGTAAACATATATTTCATCCGTCCCAATATAATAGTTCTGTTTATCATTTTTATCCGTTCCAAAACAATAGTCTTTGTTTTCATAAATAATCATATCACTGTAAAATTACTCTTATTCTTTTATTATTATTATATAATTGCTACTACTTTTTATACTAATACACCCACAATGTAAAAAAAAAAAAAAAAAAAAACTTTAACCCACACTTTTTACCCACTATTAATATAATATCTATATTTCTTAAAACACCATATTCATAAATATATATATATATATATATATATTAAACATAATTGTGACCACATAGATAGATGCAAACGCGGTGCATTACTCCAATGTCAACTTGCCATTATATATGACTTTATTTATTTATTTCTATAAGTGACTCATCAAATATGACCTTGCGACACTTAATGTATGCGCGGTTATTTGTATCTTCATGTTTATTTTCACACTATATAATTATCAAATCCAATGTTTATGTTAATTCATAACATTATATTCAAAATCGATTATTCATTTAAATCATTATGTTAATTCTTTTTAATTTAAAATAAATTCAAGATTTTCCAAAACTAAGTAATGTGCCCAAGACATTGGGTGTGTTTGGATGTGGCTGTCTAGATTCCTATTATTCATTTTTTTTTCTCTAAAAAATATCATTTTAAGAAAAATTATACCAACAACAAATTTTACATCAAAAATATTATATAAAAAACTTGTTTATACTACATAAAATATATCACTTCAAATTGTTGTTAGATGTTCAATTGTATTACTTGGAATGAGATTTATTTGGTTAATATTTGGTTATTATTATTATTATTAATGTGTAAAAGTAACAACCATACCTTAATAATAGTTATTCAATGTAAATATTCTTTTAGCAAAAAATATATAATTAACATTAATTTATTTAGAAAAAAAATGATTTTTTTTTTTTTTTGTAAATATGTCCTACATAATTAAAAAAGTTTAAAAAATATATTGAATGAAAAACATTAAAAGCAATATTATCTAATTTCGATTAACCAAACAGATATTTGGTAGACAAGAGTCACGATGCTATATATCTATGGAGCTTCAGTTCTAATAATGTTTCAAAAAATGACACACACACATTAATTGCTATAAAAAAAATAATAATAAAATTATATATATATTTATATATGCAATAAAAATAGTCAGTATTAATAAAAAGGGAATGTCTCTATATATCTCTCTGGCCTGTTTAAAATCTTAATATGAGATTTTTTGGTATTATAGTTACGTTACATCTCATTTATTGCCTCATCCCTCAAGAAATATGTATTTATAGAAAATCCTCACTATTGGGTGTCAATCACGTGCTGAAATCCCATCACCAACGGCTAAGCAATTCGGGATTAATATTTTTTTCCAGTCATACGTGACGTGACGACTTTCAATACACGAACTTTATTAATTATTTTTAAAATAATCATTGATAGAAGCGAAACGTAAATACACAGCTATATATATATATATATATATATTTATCAATTATTATTTTATTCCACTGTAAATCATAATGCAATAAAAACCAATGAAAATTCGTTCCCACAACGCAAATCCATATATCGATTTTTTAAATATGACCTAATTTTTAGTAATATCTTTCCGCATTGGTTTGGGTTTTGAATTTTTGATTTTCAACACACATATATATATATATAATTATTTATTTATTTAAAATTTGTGTGAATTTTAAGGAATTGTCAGATCACATATATGCTCGTTACTGAAAATGCCTTATTGCCAATTTCTATTTCTGCTACATATAATTTCAAATATTTTTATTTTATTTTTATTTGTTCCAATTTATTATATTATTATAATATTATTGTTGGTCAGAAGAGAGCTGTAAGCTAAATACGATCCGAGGTTGAAACGAAAGGGCGCATAAATTAAGACAGGTCCAGTTCAGTTTCCCAAATCCCGAGAGACCGGGTCAGGGCGGCCCGATCCGACCCGACCGCAAACTCCCAAAAGTTCACCTCCTCCGCTATAGGTCAGCCTCCGGAGGAAGGCGGCAACCGCCACGTGGTTGACGGCCTTTTGCCCCACGATACGCCTTGGCTCATTAAATAATCGGGAAATCGATTTTAACAAACCTTTAAAAAAAAATTTTGTGTTCCCCAAATCTGAATTTAGAGAAAAAAAAATTGGTCGAATTCCAGCTACAAAAGGGCTCTGCCCATTTGCAAAAACCCCCCCTTCTACCCGACCCCCAACCCATATGCCCATTTCGCACCATCGCCATCACCACCATCTCCGCCATGGCCGGAGTCGACGAGCGGCAGGAGAGCTTCTACCGCCTCCTTATGGATCGATTCCAGGGCCTGGAAGCGAGCCACCAGAAGCTCCAGGAGCAATTCCAGGTTCTGATGGAAGAGAGGGCCATCATTCATCACAACCGTAATGCTAATATTAGGAATCGGGGTTTGACGGCGGATACCGGCGATTTAGGGCGGCTGCCGGGGTGGGCCTCCATTCCGGGGGCCTACTTCGTCGAGAGTCCGTACAGGCGTGTGCTGGAGCAGATGGGTCATGCACTTTACGTCTACAGAATCATCCCCGGAGAGATTACTTATTGGTAATTTGTTAAACCTAATTTTAACCTCTTTTCTTCCTCACTGTTTTATTTGATGATTTGATTTTGCAAATTGAATTGGTTTGACCTGAGATTGATAAAGCTCTGATAATTAGATGATACCAATTGATGGTGGAATTCAATTAAATGCCTGTTTATGGTTATTGGAAATTGCTGTGATTTTGCCATTTTCAGTTTGCTGTGGAGACTGGTGATCTTTTTACTGTTCTATTCATGTATCAGTCTTTGCTATTCCATTTCTGGAAATATCAGTTTTGACTCCCAACATTTCTGGCCATTGATATCTTACTTCTTTTTGTATTTAATTTTTTTCTAAAAAAAAATAAAATTAAAGGGGTGGGGTGAGGTAAAAGGGATGACTTTTGAGGGATTTGACTTAGAGGTGTTGGAAATCGAGAGCCACAAAAGATGGATTATTATTAATAGGTCTAATTTTGGAAATAATTGAAGGGAAGAGTAATTTCTGTGATCTCTAATGGAGCCACGTTTCTTCAGGTAGATAATAACTATCATTGATGGCGATCCCTTATATATTGTTTTGACTTTTAATTTAGCAATTTCCCTGTTATAGAAAACCCTTTTGACATTTTGGTTTTTTGCATTGACATGCAAGAGCTTGAAGTTGTGTTGTTGTGTTCCTCGTGTTTCACATTTGGATTATTTCCAATTTTGGATTTCTTGCATTCCCAACTTATGTAATAATCAAGATTGAGTTATAATCATCATCTGCAAGTTGTGAACATTAATAAAAAAAAAACAGATCCTTTGTTGAACTTATGCATTCCGACAACATTTCCCTTTGGAAGTTAAGTTCATAAAAATCGAGCATTTGGCGACAAGAATGCTACCGGAACTCTTTGCTAGTTTTGGCCTGATTGTATATATGTGTATCATGAATGAAATTTATTACGTTACAGGAACCGTGCAGCTGAGAAACTATACGGATACAAAGCGAACGATATATTAGGACGAAGAATTTCCGAACTTCATCTTGAGGTAGAAAACAGTCTGTCGACTCAAGAAATTGTTGACAAGCTATACACCAGGCGCGCCTGGGCCGGCCAGCTCCCTCTGAGGAAGAGATCCGGGCAAATTTTCATGGGAATGGTGACCAAAAGTGCGCTGTATGAGGACGGAGAGCTTGCTGCAATCGTCACTGTATCGAGCGATGCAGCCATATTCAATCACACTAAATCTGGACCTACTAATCAAATCAGCGACCACTACGATGGCCGTAAACATGTGAAGAAAATTTACTGGCAACCACAGCCGCGCATCTCGGCTGTGCCACAAATCGCAAACTCTGTCTCCAATATGGTACTCGATCATTTTTTTTTGGATAATTGTGTTTATTGCCTTCTGTGAATTAGCTCATCTTCTGATCGATCAGGCTTCAAAGGTTCTGCCGCGGAAACAAGGGGAAGCTGCCCCTAGAGCGACACCCGAGTATGACGACACTGATGTAGATAGCTACGACATGATCAATAGACCGCCGAGGGCTCCTGTAAATATTATTTTGAAAGATTTAGATTAAGCCTAACTGCAATTAAATTGAATTTTTAAAACCGTAAACACTGCAGATGGGAAAGCCTCATATCGGCGTTTCCATGGGACCAGCGAGCAGACCGGAAGTGGTGAGCTCGGAGAAGGAATTTATTCAACCTTCAAGAAGTGTATGATGATACTTTCCTATTTACTTCAGTTTCAAGCTTAGGCTGTGATCGATTGTGTATTTGTTACGATGTGTGTCGTGCTCGATATTTGTAGGGAGTAAAGCCCGTTTCTAACGTGCATTTGGGAGGGGCGAGAAGCTTGGAGAGAGAAGTGGATGAGTACCTTCTGCAAAATGGTTCTGACCATAATTTCAGGAGGAAGGAGAAGGAAGCGGCTTACGAAGCGAGTCATCGCAAAGATCCATTGAAAAGTACGTGTGATGTTTCTACATCTTGATCCTAATCAGGATTCTATGTGATGTTTTCACAAGATCTTGTGTGATCGTAAGCGGATTTTTCAGGTGCGTATCAAGGGCAATTCGACGGGCATAGATCTCCCGACAGGTTGCAAAGAACAAACTCATCCCAGCATGACAAGAAAGTGATTCGGCAAGAAGATGCGCCTGCCCGACAATCTGGTTCGATTAAGACTCCAAGTTCAGGGGAGAGTGTGGGCAGTGGAGAAAGCTCGTTGAGTAGAAACGAAAATGATCCGCACAAGGTTGTGAATAGTGAGATTCGATGGGAAGATCTGCAGGTGAAGGAGGAAATCGGGCAAGGTAACGTTGAAGAAACGCCAACTCATGTGCTAAACTTTGTTTTCGATTGTTTTTGTATATCTTGTTTATCCTGATGTGCTGATTTTACAGGTTCATACGCCGTTGTCTATCGTGGAGTGTGGAACGGATCGGTATGGGGATATGTTTCGGTACAAAAAATGTCTAATTTTAAAGAATTGAGAAGATGACGAATGTTCCTTTTACGTTTTGTTTCTCAGGATGTTGCTGTTAAGGTTTATTTCGGTAATCAATACTCCGAGGAGACTTTGCTCGACTATAAAAAGGAGGTAAAATCGACTCTTTGATAAAAACACAACGATTGCTCGATATGATTGTTGATTTGAAACTTAAAACCAAAACTATGGATCAGATCGATATTATGAGAAGACTGAGACATCCGAATGTGTTGCTGTTCATGGGAGCCGTCTGCACCGAAGAAAAGCTCGCCATGGTTACCGAGTACCTAATCAGGTATTTACTTGTTGCGAAAATTCGTTATCGAATTGGTTGATGATACACGATTCAAACGTTGCATCGGATGCGATCAGGGGGAGTCTCTTCAAAACGCTTCATAAGAACAACCAATCATTGGACATCAGGCGGCGTATTAGGATGGCGATCGATGTGGTATGTTCTTGTCGAAAGTTTATACTTTTCCTTTCACGTCGTTCTAATTTTTGGAAGCTGACTGTCGTTTCTCATCAAATACAGGCCAGAGGCATGAACTATTTACATCACAGAAATCCTCCCATAGTTCACAGAGACCTCAAATCTTCGAACCTCCTAGTAGATAAAAGCTGGACTGTCAAGGTACGACAAACTAAATAATTCGCCAAACCATGTTTCCAATTTCATTAAATTATGATTACCAAAAGGCCCTTTTTTAAATCTGCTTTCAGGTCGGAGATTTTGGCTTATCGAAGCTAAAGCACGCGACTTTCTTGACGGCGAAATCCGGGAGAGGCACAGTTGAGACCTAAACACTAACTATTTCCGATTGAATTTGTTTCGATTAAACCCCGTGATCCTTCTTGTTTAACTTTTTCATTTGTAATCTTTCGAAACACTGCAGCCTCAATGGATGGCGCCTGAAGTTCTTCGAAACGAACCCTCGACAGAAAAGTAATCCTCCGGTGCTCTTTTCGACAAAATCTTTACGCTGAATTTCTCTAGCTAAACATCGAATTTCCTTTCCAACAGGTCGGACATATTCAGCTTCGGCGTCATCCTATGGGAGCTTATGACCGAATGTGTCCCATGGAGCAACCTCAATCCCTTACAGGTAACTTTTACTTCTAAAGAATAGTGTAAAATCCTCGTCGAATGCTAATTTGGGCGTGTTTGTAAAAGGTTGTTGGAGTCGTCGGATTCATGGATCGCAGGCTGGACATTCCCGACAACATAGACCCTCAAGTTTCTTCCATCATCTCCGACTGCTGGAAAAGGTAAAGATCTGAATTAGCTGTTCTAACATCTCCGTATGTAAGAGATCGAACATGTTATTGATCTATCGAAATATACTTGCGTTAATGCAGCAACCCTGAGGATCGTCCTTCGTTCGAAGTCATCATCAACAGGATGACGGCGATCATTCAGAAAATGTCGGAAGCCAACGGCCCGGCCCGGCCAGCCGCCGCGCCGTGACGGTCTGGTCGCCGTCGTTTCGACGGCTAACGTTAACCTCAGTCAGGTGTCTCTACTTGGCCTTTGTCGAAATAGAAGTAGTGATTTTTACACTCCATGGAAGCTTTTCATTTTTATCTTCTTTTTCTTACCCTATCCTTTTATAATGTCTCGACTCTTCTTCTTCTTCTTCTTCTTCTATTGTATCTGTTTTGCTTTCATTCTACTGTAAAAAAGGGATTCTGAAAAACTTACTTACACAGCTTAATTTCGTAGGACTTAGGCATGCGCAAATGAAATTTGGTGGGAATAATATATAAATAATTAAAACACTTTTGCATCAGTTCAGTTCTATACAAATTAATTTGATGTTTTCCATTGTGGCTTTTGAAAGTTGAAATGTTATTATTGGGCTTTTTACTTTGGCCCACTAAGATCTAATTGGGCCGGCCGTACTTACCCATCAGTATATTTACTAGAATTAAAAGCCACTTAAAAAATTATATGGGAATAAAAGAAATGTTACCATTTTTGTGGTGAAATATGTTGTATATATAAGAAAATGTTTTCATAATAAAGTGAAACTAAAATAAAAATTTGAAAGATATTATAAAGCCCAAAATCTAATCAATGGCCCACTAAGTATGATTCTTTAATTGGGTTTGGTACGACTGGGCCTACTTGCCAGAGTGTGACCTTCGCCACCAAAATTGACTTATGGGCTTTGCTCGACAGTGAGGCCCCATTATGCAAAATTAACCATTTTTTGAGTTTATGATTTTAATTTATTTATATATACGTACGGAAATTATAAACCCTTTCAATTCATATGAAGAAATAATTGGCACATGCGATCAACAACTGGCAAGATTTAATGAGGGCTTGGTTTTACAATAGATATATATATATATATAATTAATTTGGTAAATTTCTTGTTAGGATGACATAAGTAATTTATTTAGCATTAATTGAATTGAATTGAATTGAATTAAAATCGGTTTGGTTGTCAGCAAGTGGTGCATAATTTGCATTTATTTGTTTTATTGTCGTGTTCAAATCATCCAAACAGCACAAATAAATTAGTACAGAAATATGTACAAAGTGTAGAAAAAAAGGGTAAGAAAAATTGCATGTATTGAAAATTTGATTTGGTCAAGTTTTTGGAACTGCAAAGACATTCTTTAGATATACAGAAATTGTGCCCGCATTTGATTAAATGTTGGAATGTAATGTTTTGTCATAAATAAGGATGGAAATGTGAAACTTTTTTTTTATTATTAAGAAAAGATCACAAAATCGTGTTTGAAAATGAGAGGTTTGTAATAAATCCGGGAAAAATATAGCAAAGTCGCATTTTTCAATTATTTAGAATAAATAAATAGGAAGAAGTGCAGCAGTAACAGGAGCTATAAATGGCGACAAGAAAAGAGGTGAGAGATGGTGCTATGGAAAAGAATGAAATGAATGCAGAGCTTATTCCGAATTTGGTGCCAGAAAGCAAACCTCATTTGCTCTGAATCTCAATCTCGATTGATTCTTCTGTAATCGGCAATGGGGAAGGCTTCCAGATGGTTCCGGAGCCTGCTCGGGATGAAGGCAACCGACGATTTGAGCCGGAAGCAGGCGTTCAGGAAGAAGTGGAGTTTTGTTCCGTCGAGGAAGGGGAAGGATCTTCCGCCGGAGTATGGTGATGAGTCTAGCAAGCACGCCGTAGCTGTGGCTACAGCTACCGCTGCTGCAGCGGAGGCTGCAGTCGCCGCGGCTCAGGCTGCCGCGGCCGTCGTCAGGCTCACGAGCAGCGGGAGGAACATTTCCGTCGACGGCGACGGAGAAGCGGTGGCGCGTTACCGCAGCCGCGAGGAGCAGGCGGCGGTTACGATTCAGTCACATTTTCGTGCGTATCTGGTCAGTTTGAAACTGCGTAACAACTTTCACAATTTTTTATTTGAATTCAGTTGCCTTAACATCATCCATGTTTATCCTTCGTCCAATCAAATCTCCGTGGCGCTGAAAATCACGTTAATCGCTACAATCACTGAAATTCTCGCATACCTCTTCCGAAATAATCAATTATCACATAATTTCCTGTTTCATGGTTAATCCAAGCTTCCGATCTCCCAAACACTACCTCAAACCCCCACAGCTGGCCATAACGCGTTATATTTCTTCCTTAATTGCCCTTCAAGCTTCCCCACAGTTTCTCCCCAATTTCCCCTCCGTGTGAGTGCTTATGGTTCTTCCAATAAATGCAGGTGTATCTGTTTGGTGCTACTCTGCAGAGACGATTACTTTGCTGTGCTTTTATTCGTGACGTATTCTGTGCACTGCTCATATTAAAGTATCTATGCTTTTAATGTATTTATGCATATATTAATTCCTCCGCGTAGCCGTAGGTGGTCCTCAAATAAGGCTATTTTCTAGGTATGACAAAAGGGGTGGGCTCAGAGGTTATTTCGAAAGCAAATATCTGAACATAGTAATTGTCATTTAGTGATGGTTAGGTTCTAACATAGTAACATGCGAATTGTTTATGAAATGCTAACGTTATTTTCTTGAGATTGGACTCCAAATTGTCGATGATGTTGAATGATGGGAACATAGAGACTTAATGGGCTTTGTCTACAATGGGGGTAGGGTTGTTTTCAGTATGTAGACAGCCTTTATACGTGTAATGTCAAAGTTCTACACTCTGCTACTGCCATTTCACTTTGGCATTACACCATTTGCTGTTAGTCTAATTTCTTGTTGCTTTGAGAGGATTCATGGCTTTGGTATCTTACAGTAATAGCTCGGTTTGGACTGTGTTCGTTCTACCTTAGATAGAAATGGGGGGTTTCTAGGCCATGATGGGCTTCTGGAAATGGGGGGTTACATGCTCTACTGAAAGCAGACAAGGACAGGCCTAATGGTGTAATCTTGAAGATTTTTTTTATCTACATTTTTGGATAGCAGTTGGATTGAGTTGGGTAGCTTTTTTATTCGTGGCTTTAGATGAAAATGGTTTATTGGGGTTACTTTTTCTTCACTTTTGTAGTACTGGGCTGATGAGACGTCTCTGTCTTCTATAATGGCAGACTTTTGCCATGGGAGCACTTTTTAATGCCTTTGAGGCGCCAACAAAGTTTCAAAAAAATTTCATGGCTGTCTTTGTCCCCATTTCTGGGCATATGGCTCTATTGTGCCCTCATTTGGTGGTCATCTTGACATCTACCATGTCCCATGAGCCTTCATGATTGCTTTAGCTGTCTTGAATTTAGGGAGGTCAATTGTAGTACAAGTACAGATCTCACCCTATTCATTTAATTGTGATCGAATCTAATTGTTCAAGTATTGAATCGACCTAAAAATAAGTTTAATTTCTCTGATGCTCTTTTTCTAGCTTTTCTTAAACCTTTGTGTCCACAAGTCTTGATAGGATTAGAGCCGAAGGATTAAATCTGTTATTCAAAATTAGTCGATTTGGGTCTCAAATCTTGTTATTCGATCCATTGTCATTCTTATTCGAATTAATTACCAAATGTGGAAGCCTGCTAGACTGATTGTTTGGTGTTATTCTGTTAATCATCAATGTGCAGTCAAGAAGAGCTTTGAGGGCACTGAAAGCATTGGTTAGGCTGCAAGCACTAGTGAGAGGACATCTTGTGAGGAAGCAAACTGCGTACATTTTGCGCCGGCTGCAGGCACTCGTAAGAGCCCAAGGGAGAGCCCGAGGCGGGCGAGTTCATGTTCCCGAATCACCACATTCAAGCATCAAGTCATCTCACTTCACTTATCCAGTAAGACCAATCATGATTCTCTTAACTTGCACTAGATACAGCTGATACATACCTAATAATTTGACCGCAAAACTGCAGGGGCCAGCAACTCCAGAGAAATTCGAGCATTCTATCCGATCTAGAAGTTTGAAGCCAGAACAATTGGCTTTGCTAAAGGTTCGTCTCCTACTTATCTGAACTGTGGTAGGGAATTGTTTAACCTGTGAACCATATGGCTAATGGGGTGACTCCACGTGCTATGCAGAGAAGTAGTTCGAAATCAAGCAGAAGTGTTGAGAATGATCGAGAAAAATCACATGTAAGTCACGCAGGCAAGGACAGCAGCAGAATAAGCGAAAAATGGGAACACGGAGCTTATACAAGACCTACAGGTTATGACTATCAAACTGATAAGATTCTTGAGATCGATACCGGGAAACCAGAAGCTGCTCCCAAATGGAGGACCCCTATTTACTCTCCTCACATCAACCAAGGCTCCCACCAACATTGTCGAAGCTTTTCAACCCCAAAGAGCTCAACCGCCAGCCATTCAACACTTAGCCCATACAGCAAAGCTGAATCTTTGATCCACCCTCTGAGTTTCACAAAAGATGACAATGGAAGCACCTACTGCACTGCCGCCAACAGTCCAACATTCTATTCAGCATCATCCATGGGAAGCTCTAAGAGGGGGATGTTTACGCCCACCAGCAGTGACTGCTCGAGGAGCTGTCTCAGCGGTTATTCTGATCATCCAAACTACATGGCTTACACTGAATCATCAAAAGCAAAGGTCAGGTCCCTTAGTGCCCCAAAACTCAGACCCCAATTCGAGAGATCAAGCTCGAGCTCTACAAAGAAGTACTCTGTCCACACACTTGGTGATCCAAGGTCCACCCAGCGAGGTTCATCTTTGCACACAAACTTCACCAACAAAGCTTATCCGGGATCTGGCCGCCTGGAAAGGCTAGGCATTCTTGCCAGAGGTGACATTACCGGAATCAGTGAAGAGCAGTTCGCATTGAGCTCATAATTTTTAGTCACTAACTGTAACTATTATTACCTTTTCGACTCAGAACAGTGTCTTTGTGCTACCTTGGGAGGGTAAATTAAAGTTTATTTAGATGTCAAACATATATTACTCATTAGCTTCAAATTGGCAAATATTTAACCTACCTATACTTGTTAGAATCAATTATTCAAACTGATGTATATATATCAAAAGCAAGCCAGATAAGGTTGTTATATAACTGGTATTTCTAATGAAAAACCGATTTCTTACAGAAACAGTCTCATAGGATAAAGCATGGAAGTGAAACAAAAACGTTATCATGTCAACAATCGATTCAGACCAAAAATAAAAGGAATAGATAAACATCTATTCATATAGGGTTCAAATTTAAAGTAGACTAACAGATTCAACAGGCAAGGAAATCACCGCTTTCCGCCTCCACCGCCGAGCTTAGGGCCCTTGGGCATTGCACCTTTGGGTGCACTGCTCTTGGTAACTTTCTGCTTGGACAACACCTCGGCTTTCTTAGCTTTCTTCTCATCCTTTGTTTTCTTGATTCTCTCCTTGATTTCACTGAAGATCAAAAGATATAATTTTATAAAGAGCTGTAACATTTTGGCAGGCACAAGATGCAATTAAGTGTTTTTGGTATTGATCTTTTAACAATTAAACACCAAACATACCGCAGAGCAGCTTCGCGGGCAGCATCACGAGTCTCTGGCTTCTCAGATCTCTTCTTCTGAATAACTTCCAATGTGGCACCAACAATGGACCTCGAATAAGGTTTCTTGGTAGTTCTGCGCCTCTTTTTAACAGCCTCAGCAGCAATATCCTATTGTATCATTTGAACAGATGTTTGATTGAATACTTGAACAGAATACACAAATCCAGATGCATTCACTGAATGGGGGGTGAATAGCATCATCACAAGGAATATAAATCAATTTTTACCTTCTTATGCTGTTTACGGTACACAGCTGTCCATGTGAGCTTCGCAGGCCTCAGGCGATTGTGGAAATACCTCTTGCATTTTGAGTTAGCAAAGAGGAAAACCTAAGCATGGGAAACATATGTATTATATAGAAGGGGCTAACGCAATTGAAAGGTCAAAAACCAATTATTCAAACAATAGTGTGGCAAAGACACATCTCAACTGCGTTGCAACAACATTGACGCACCTGAGAGTCGGATCGGATAAACCTGATGCCTCTTCCGGGGTATATCTTCGCACCACTGAAACGACAGAGCTCCGTCCTGATAACCAGTAACAGTACTTAATAAGTATGTGCAAATAAAAATAAAAGTATTCAATCAAGTACAAAATTCCAAAGCCATAAAAAAGAACTCTTATGTCATCACAATGCAATCCCCCAACAAAAATTCATTCCCCATCCTACTGCTAAATCAGGCAGAACCTAGCAGCTTTCAGGATGGATACAATTAAGAATTCATAAGTTTTGTTAGACAATTAAAGTCGAGCTATATAGCAACAGAGCATGATGGATGCCTCGTGAGGTCCGGGAACCCCTACCAGGATCAGGTACACCTTTCACAAAATAGAAACCAGACACTCCATAAACAGCATTTAAATATCAGATGACCTTAAGCACAGTATTGTGCTGCAATATTTAGAATGGATAACCCGGCAACAGCCACCACCAAAGTTTCAGCCGAAGATACCTTTATTTAAATATGAATGAAATATAACTGCAAGAATATGGAAATCGAAGCACAATCACCCAAATAAACATCAACCGAACGCTAAATTGATCCGCAAATCTACGATGGCACATCTAACCGAACTAAAAAGATCTAAAAAACATCAAATCGGTGTCAAGCAAGCCTACACGCGCAAACACAAAGGGAATCGGGATAAGGACGTTACTTGAGAACCATGGTTGTCGACCTTGTAGCTGTGCTCGCTGCGCTCCGTTCTCCACAGAAACTCGCAACGCAAACCCTAATCCTGAAGCAGACAATATATCACTTGATGAAGTTTATTGGGTTTCTTTATAATGGGCTTTTGAGCCCACACTTCCTATGGAGCCTATAAAAAGCTTTAAGCCCAACTGAGACTTGTTTAGACGTGTAATTGATTTGGAGTTCTAATTAGTGATCATTCATCAATTTTTATTTTTATTTTTTCATATTCAGCAAAAACAAAAAACGTCCACAATATTTTTTTTTTTAACATGAATTTTGATTAAGATAATACTCGTATTATATTAATTGCGTGTGAATAAATTAATAAGGTAAATGAAAATTGATGAATGGAATGTGTAAATCATTATAACACATGTAAATAAATACTCCCTCCCTCCCATAACAAAGTATTCATTTTTCCATTTTAGCACGTTCATAACAAAGTATCCATTTTTTTTAAGCAACTGTACTATTTACCTAACATTACAAATACCCTTACAACTTACAATATATTACACAATGTCATTACCTTTATATCAAACACATAATAATAAGGTTATTTTAGTCATTTCTACTTTATTCCTACTATATCATAATAAAATACTAATATTTCTAAAACTACGTGCAAAAACCAAATGGATATTTAGTTCCGGGACGGAGGAAGTTCTATAATATTAAAGATTATAAATTAAATAGTATATAAATAAATTTTAATAAATAAAAAATACATATTTCGTGGATAATTAAAAAATAAAAACACACATAAATTTAGTGGATAGGGGATTATCATATTAAATATTTACTTTATCTTGTATTAAATTAATTTTCTATTAAAAAATAAGAATATGTTTATTCGAGGATTTTAAATGCAATCAAATCTATATTTATAGCACGTTAAATATGTATCAAATTCATATTTATCACATGATAGATGTTACTACTTTTTATGTTTTGGCTATTAAATGCGATTGAAGTTGATATTTTACTTCGATTTTTTCCATAAAAACAAAGATCATTACATCAAATATCCTTTTAATATTATATTAAAAAAATAAATTTATATTTGTAATATTATTTATTCTTTATTGAATTATCAACTTGTAACAACGCTTGGAAACAATACTGCCATCTTTTGAATGTAACTTCTTTGTGTGTTGGCATTAATATGTTACGAATATGTATACAAGTAATGTTCATGAAATACTGATCAATACATACAAAATGTCAAATTACATCAATACAAATATACAATACAATGATTATAAACTAGTATGTTTATATCCACAACAAGGCCCACATCAAAAACAATTTGGTTCCCATTCTATACCAGCTAAACAAATATATATAATTATATAAAGTTCGATTTCTTTAATTTAGAACACAGTTTTATTTTTTTTAATTTGCTTTTTTAATCGCGTATTATATAATTAATAGTGCAGATAATTAGTGACAAACAAAATACATTGAACGCGTCGCTTAATTGATTGACCCCACAAAAACAACTCTACTGGACATATTAAATAAATACATTCCTCATATATCCATCCTATTCCTATTATACCCCTTCAAAATTAATAAATTATCACATCATGCAGTTGGAGGGTCATGATTCTTACGGCACACAAGATCCAACGGCTCTGATTTGATCTCCAGACCCCCCGGCGGCAGCCGGTCATCGCCCCTCTTCAAGCGCTTGCCGCCGATCGATACGCCGAATATTCTAGGGCATGTCTGCTCTTCCTCAACAGACTTTCCGCCGCCGTCCGCCGTGGTAGGGGTCTCCGGCATGAATGCTATCCCGATCCCATCCGTCAGCTTCGTTTCGCCTCGATTTGCAGCATAGCTAGACAGAACATTGCATATGTTTTTGCACAGATTCCTCAGCTGGAACAGTTCCTGGCTCATCTGCGAGTTCTCTCTTCTTAGCCTGTCGTTCTCTTCTAATAATTCTGAATTTGATGCGCAAGGCCGCAGCGATGGTTGAGTGGTGGTTGCTGCAGTGCCTGCCTGGGATGAGTTCGATGATAGGACTTGTTCCTCGCCGGAATTTGTTGGAGATATTTGTGCGGCAGACGCCGGTGGCACAGCTACCGTCACTACGGCGGCGGCAGGCGACGATGTCACGGTGGTACTATGGATTTTCCGCCGTTGGATGTCTCTGAGTAACGACTTTGCGCCTCTTCTGAAGTAATCGTTCGCGAATTCCCACCTATCTGGAACTATTTTTCGAAATCCCTGCAAAAGTACAGTAAGCAAGAAATTTACATCCTTCACGTTAAAATCCTTGTTTCTGAAGAACACGCCAAGCGGTTTTCCAAAAAAGAAAAAGAAAACTTACATAAGTATTAAGCTGGCGTACAAAACTGGAAAAATTGTTGTGCTTGAAATATTTAGGTAACAAATCTCGGGCAAATTCGGCTGGTCGCCAGACGATGAACGTCGTTCCATCTTCATTCCACGAGATTAAATCATCGACGGAAGGATCGTCCACTAGCTGATAAGTTTTCGTCAAAAACGGCGTCGGAATTGACCTCTGTGATTCACCTCCTCCGCTACTCCCGCCGCCGCTGGCCGCCGTGCCTTCACCGCTCATATCACATAAAAACAAATATGCCGCTGCTTCCAACCCTAATTAATGAGGTAAAACTAAAACTCGAATGCGGTACTGCAAATCACAAGATCAGAACAATATCTCAAAACCATTCTCGACACGATCAACACTCTCGATAATACAATCGCATTAAACCGACAAAAAGCCAATAAAGAACAAGTAATTAAATCAGGCAAAAACCCACACAAACGTGCGTACAATCTAAGAAACACGACAAAGCCTGGTGCCTGTATTCTAACAATGGCGCTCCAAAAAAATTCTCAAATAACCTTTAACATTATACAGGCATTTGAGATGCAGCGATGTGCAAAAACAACAACTGCAGTTTACACAACAACAATCATAATCTCGTGAAGCAAATCTACGAAAAAAAATCTTTATCATTGTCAATTTACCTCGACGAAAAATCTTCGACTCCTGCCGATCCAACCCCTCTGATGTCCACCAGTTTGTCAGATCAATCAACGAGACGATCAACCGAGGAGGACGCGAACGTTAGGTGCAGAGTGATGGCGGTGGAGAGGCGTTGTCTTTCTAGAAGGTTCTCCGCGGAGAGAATGTGAGGGCGATATTTAGAAATACAGAAAATAGATAAACTAGGAACGTGTCAATTCAGGATAGGTAGGTTGTCGGGGCTCCGCGAGCTAAATCGGGTCGGGCGGGGCCGCCTTAAATTTCGGGGCTGTTTGAGAAGGTACCAGAAGTTCTCCAAAAGATCTGTTTTTCACATGTTTCCCTCCTTTTTCTTACCTGGGAATTGATTATCTAAACCACGTATACTGTGCACAAACTTGTACCTTTGTCCAACATTGGTTGACTTCAGTCTTCGACTCAAGGTACAATGATTTGAAGCGTATAACAAAAATGAGGTGCAGCTGGTGTAGACGTAGGGGATTCTGTTCTTTCCAACTCGCTTTGGTTATTTGGGCGTACGTGTCCGAAACATGATGTTTTGACCACATCGTTGGGTCCCACCAGAAAATATATATATATATAAATCATAAATTAAATATCTTTTTAATTGAGAATTAAATGCCGGTTGTTCAATTAAAAGTAGTTTTTTGAAGAAATATCATATTTAGGTTTAGATTTCATATATATATATATATATCGGATGCCGTTTGAAAAAAAATTGAATTTGAGTTTAATTTTTATTTGAATTTTAATGTTTTTTTTTTATGTATAAGTTTGGTTTGAATTTGGGGTTTTTTTATATATATTGATTTGACAAGTAATAAATATAATAATATAAATATGTATTAATTTGTATAATTTGATTATAAATTTATATTATATCTATATATATTTTTAAATTTTTATTTATTTATATTATAAAAAAATTTATTTCTATAAAATGATATATATTGTATATATTTTATTAAACTATAATTATTATAAAATTTTTAATTTAAATTTATAATTTTAATAAATAAATAAATAAATTAGAAAAAAAAAAAAAAGAAAAACAAATAAACACATGCAAGCCCATCCAATTTGTTTGCCAACCAAGGCACATCCCAGTTTAGAATATTTTGCTGCGCCTCAAACTTGCTTCGAAGAAATATGCCCTTTGTATTTTAGTTAATCATTTTTTAATCTAAATTACAAGATCAATGAATTCTACGACGACGATACAATGGTCCACCCTATCGATGCCTCATGATCAAGAATTTAGTACCGTATTAATCCTTTCAACTGTCGCTGCCGTCATCTTTACTATTTTCAAAACTGTAGTTATTACTTCATTCGATATTTCTATTATCTGTTTATGTGTCTTTTTAGAAGTTACAATTATTCGACTTGACTTATATTCTTCTTATTTATATTTTAACCTCTTTTGTTAAGGAATAAAATATCAACAAATTTAGTATAGTCGAAAATTTTGCCACTTCCATCTGAAGTGTCCACAATCAATTTGATCATCTTACATTCCTTGAGAACAAACGAAGATGTCCGTGATAGAATCCAAATGTATCTCCGCTATAATATACAAATTTAGCTCTAACTTAGAAATGAAGCCTTTAGACTTCAAAATGCAATCTTAGCTTTCCAACAACAATAGAGGAAGATTAGATTCTTAATTCATAGCGATAGATAGATTAAATTGTTCCAACTCTAAATGCTAAGAGAAACTTCACCTTTGTTTGATTGGCAATGATGGCTCGTCCACTCATTCTACAGACGAGGTTATTTTGATTATTTTGAACTTTTACTTATCGTTATTGAATTGTCCTTAGGAGATTGTTTCATCCATTGTGAAGATTTTTCGCTCGAACTTTTTTGTTCTTGATTATTTTTGTCATGACATGTCTTGCTATGTTACTCGATAAGAGTTTTTTTTTTTTTTTTTTATTTTTCTTCTAGTGGTTAGGCATATTGAGATTGATAAATCCTCAAGGACATATGGTTTCCTAGCCGGTTTCTTTTCCCGTGCTTCGGATATTGTTGGTGATGATATGATTGATATAATTTCGAACCTTTTTTTAGCATAGTAAACTTTTGAGGAAGATTAGTAGCCACATCATTCTTGTGTTTATCCCAAAAAGTCTCACTTCATTTCCTATGTGACTTTTGGCTAAATGTATGTAGAAATATGATATACAAAATTAGTTCTGAGCTAAATATCAAGAACATTTTTTACTTTATTATTCGGGATTTCTTGAAAGATGTATTTCATGAGTTTAAATTTCGTTATAGATTGATTGACCTTATTATGACTTGTGTTTACGACCTTCTCCTATTCTTAGGGTGTGTTCGGTTGTAGGATTTTATCAAAATCCTACTATTCATCCAAAAATTTTTCCCCAAAAACATCAAATCAAACATCTATTTTTTATTTTTTATATTATACTAAAAATCAATTTTATATTCAAAACATTACATCAATATCTATTTATATCACATCATACAACTATTCAAATTCAAAATTTTTACTATTCAAAATCCAAACCCCAAACAAACACACCCTTAGGATATTAATGTTATTATGAATTTTTTTAGAGATGAGAAAAGAGTTAAGGTAGGGCGATCTCCTATCATCATACATCTTTATTATTAGTATGAAAAATTTTACTAGTATGCTTAACATTATATGTAAGGATGAGGAGTTGAAAAATCGGCCCGGATATAAAGCGTTTAGAAATTACCCACTTTGGTTTTGCCTAACGATGCCATTTTTTCTCTTGGGTTGATCGCCATTTAGTGGGGAATATGATTAGACTAGGGATGGATAAATTTACCGAACATATCAAAATATCGATTTATCATATCGTATCGCATCGAAAATATTGAAAATTTCGGTACGGTATTGATATCGTACCGAAGTTTTCGGTACGGTATCGATATGAATTTTCGGAAAGTTCGATATTTCGGTATGATATCGTTCCGATATTATTTTAAATAATTTAATTATTAATATAAGTAATAATTATTAATATTTTTTAAAATCATAACAAAAAAAATATGTAAACTATTGAAAATTTATTGATTTTTTCATAATATTTTTATGATGGAGAATAATGATATTTATTAATCTTTTTTAAATTATTTTGAAATTTAAAATTAAATTTTCGGTATAAACCGGTATTTACCTAAATAAAAAATTTAGGTATAAGCTATATATATCGGTATCGTATCGAAATTGAAAATTTTTGGTATAAACGGTATATCGGTATCGTACCGAAAATTTCGGTATATTGAAAATTTCGGTACGATACCAGTACGTATTTTAGTCGTATCGAAAAATTCGATACGATATCAGTATCGACGGATATTTTCGATACGGTAGATGAGACGCATTGATAATTACAGGAATCATTCGAACCTTAGACTAAATTTAGATAAGTCCAATATTTTTTATGCACACACCCTTCATTTAGATAAAGAGGATATATGTGAGCTCTCCAACGTGATTGAAAGTACGATCTCTTTTGTTTACACTGATGTTTCTGTCTCTGCCATCAAACCGAATGTCTCTTATTTTCGTGGGCTTTTTTTATCTTCTGTCTCTATATTAAAATTGTTTTGTAACGGATGATCGAATAATTTGGAGTGAAATCGTGATCATGAGGTTATAAATTCAAATATTATTCTTTCGAATTTTACTTGTCACACATAGTTCACCTAATGTGATTTATTTTGTCGAATCTAATTTATTTACAGTACATTCGAAAAATAACAGTTACAGATTTTCATGTCATAAAAAAATATATATTATCTTTCGTTTTTTTTTAATTTAATCAATACTTCCTCCGTCCAGCTAGAAAATATACATATTTCTATTTTGGGACGTCCAATTACAAAGTAATCATTCCATTAAATACCACATTTTTTTTCACAAATACCACTACTTTATATCACATCATTACTTTTATAAAAAAAAAAGTAAGGGCAAAAATGTCATTTTAGTACTTTTACCTACACACTTTAATCTCCGCGCCAAAAAAATAAATGTATACTTTTAGTTTGGACGGAGAGAGTATAATATTTTACCGAATATAATGATGTAAGAATTATTGTTACTTTTTGAGAAAACAACCTATAAATTATGATAGAGAGATGAATGACGGGTAAAATCAAGCGACGTTAAAAACTTTTATATCATGATTGTACGAGGTTGAAAAAATTAAGGGAGAGTTGATTTTCAGTCCCTGTCAGTGCTGTTGGATTTAAATTCAGTCCCTATTACTAAAAAATTGACCTGCACTCCCTCCTTTTCAATATTGGTTTAATTTCAGTATCTATTTTTTATTTTAAAGGTATATATTTGATGTACCTTTAAAATATATTCAAATACTCTCAAAATTATTTTATATACTTATAATATATTCCACTCTACATATGCTACATTTCGCTCTACCTAAGTTGTTCCACCGGTATACTTCTGTTTACCTTATGTATACTTTTGTTTATGTATTTTAAAATAATTAAAATAAAGACAAAAAACAAAAATTACAATTACAATCACATTTTATTGTGGATTAAGACGGAAAATTATACCTCTTTTTCATGCTAAAATTGTAAATAAATCAAATAATTTTGTTCGATTTGATATTTGATTCAAATTTATGATTCGAATTTGAATAGATATATTTTATTCGATTCAAATATGAATGGAATACAGATAAAAATTTTAATATTCGATTCCGTATTCGTAAATATTCAATTCAACAATAAAAAAAAAATACATACATAGTATAAAATGTAGCATACATATATGTATTTCTCAAAATAAATAAAAACTAAATTTATTAAGTATAATAATTTAAAAATTTTATATAAATAAATAAATAATATAATTAAAATTATATCATGATATTTATATTTATGTTAAAGTACGAAAATCTTTTATGTGTCAATATAAAATTTTGTATTTTATTATTAAGTTGTCTTAATATTATTGTTATATTTTTAATTTAAAAATCTAAATCGAATAGCTTTGAATCGAATCGGATAAGACAAAAATGAATCACATCTTAAATTAAATATCTAATATTGAAATCAAATTGAATACTCGGATCAAATTGAGTAATTTAAAAATTATTTAGAATCGAATACATATATCATTTTAACATTCGAAACAAATCGA